GTTCGTACTACAACTGACGACAGTCAGAAATAGAATCATCTTGCTCTACTGCTGTTTAGTACCACAGATAAGAACATGATCAATTAATAATGAAGCTAATGAGCAAAATATTTAAAATGGTAACTTAAGGAGTAGAACTAAAATTATATGAGAACTAAATTACTTGGCAGAGAATAATACATAAAATTTAAAAAATTGTTGGCTTTGGTTTTTGTTGAGTATGATCTATTTTAGTTGAATAAGATAGAGTCTCATCTTATTGTCATTATTCAATGGCTATAAAAGTTTTGTCCAAAGTCAGTCGGAGGTGATCGTCTTCTACCTAGAGGACCTGCATACTATTATATATTATATAATAGTTTATATAATTTTAAATGTATCTAAGAAAAAAAAAAAATATCCATTTGCTGAATTGTTGTGAGTGAAAAAATTGTATCTAAGTTTTATGTTTTTTGAGACATGAAAAAATGTCTCTATGTGTAATTTTAATGAGCTATTATTAGAAAATGCTCAGATTATTGAATATATAATTCCAAATCAAAATGAAGAATTAACAGAACTTTTTCTCAAGTTTGATGAAACAATTAAAAATATAAAAGCGCAAGCTCAGCATTTCAACGAATGGATTAATTTCATAAGAAAAAGAAGAAGATAGTTAGAAGAAAACAATCCATCTATCCCACCTAAAAAACTTCGAAAGATCTTGAAATTGAGATTTCGAGGAGCAAGGGAAAATGAATATGTCACACAAATCTTAGCAGAAGAGGGGACAAGCCTACAAACTACTGAAAAAATGGTTACAGAAGCATCAAGATATTATAAAAAAATGTTCAGTGTCTACACTTATTTAAAAAATAATTATATTGTGATACAACTGTTTAATAAAAGATTAACTTCAAATCAAATGAAAGTATCGGAAAAAGATTTTAATAGAAAAGATATGGAAATTAGATTAAAATTAATTTCAAAAGTTACTGCTGCAGGGAAATGTTAGAATGTAATATCCTTATACTGTAGTAGTTTGTTTTAGTTACCTCTAAATATACGTACACCTTTAATAATATACATTAAAGAATATAATAAATGTTGATAAAAGATACATATAATAATATTGATTGATTTCTATAAAAGTTAAGTTCAAAATCTAAAAGTAAAAATCTATAAAATATAATTTGAATGTTGGAGAAATGCCAACCTATTTATAATAAAATCTTTTAATAAAAACTTAGTCAACAAAATAGACTTTAAACATTAATAAAACTTAGTCAACGATAGACTTTAAAACTTAATAAACTTAGTCAACAATAGACTTTAAAACATTAATAATAAGTAATAATAATAATAATAAAAATTAGTAATAAATAAAAATAATAATAATAACAAAATTTAATAGTAATAAAAATTAGTCATAAGTAAACATGAATTAATAAACGATTAGTAATAAGTTAAATCCCTCATTGTTGAATTAGTAATTGTAATATTAAAAGTACATTAATCAGTAATCAAGGAGTGATTAATCAAATCCCTTATTGTTGAATTAAATAATATTTATTTGTATTAGTCATTTGTTTATAAACTTAATCTTATTTTGCAGCCAAGTGAACTGCCTTATTGTTTTAAAATTATGACACAAAATAAAGTCTAAAATTATTCTTTAAGATTAGTAATTATTGAGTTATAATAATCCAACAGTCACTTAAGAGTGATTTAATAATAAAGTTAGACTGTTCTAGAGAAGTCTGGAATTATACTTTCCAACAGGAAAGACGGATTAGATTATTACACGATAAAAGATGTGTGGACAACTTTAGGACCAGATTTAGTTGCAGTGGGTAACGAAATATGTTAGAATGTAATATCCTTATACTGTAGTAGCTTGTTTTAGTTACCTCTAAATATACATGCACCCTTAATAGTATACATTCATAATTAAAAGAATGGAATAAATGTTGATAAAAGATACATATAATAATAATATTAATTAATTACTATAACAGATTCTTTTTAAAGTAAAAATCTAAAAATAAAAAGTTATAAAATGTAATTTGAATGTTGGAGAAACGCCAACTTATTTATAATAAAAATTCCTTGATAAAATTTAGTCAACAATAGACTTTAAACATTAGTAATAAGTAATAGGTAAACAATATACCAATAATAAAGTTTAGGTAAACAATATACCAATAATAAAATTTAGTAATAGTAAACATTAGTCATAATAAAAATTAGTAGTAATAAAAATTAGTCATAAGTAAAAATTAAATAATCAATAATCAGTAAGTAATAAACAAATCCTTCATTGTTGAATTACTTACTTATTTTTATGAAGATAGGAATTAATTTCATGTGATGAATACACTAAAAATAACTCGATAATAATTAAGTATGTTCACGAAAGATTGATATCAATATTGATAAATTTCCCTTTCTTCTCTTTCATGTTCCGGATTTGATTTTGACATAATAGGGGGAAATATTAGAACTAAGAAATATGCATCAACTACGCCACATTTCAGAAAATAGATCAAGGCTGTTGTTCCAGACAATTCTTTTTTCTCAATTTGACGTTAATCTAAAAGATTTTGATGGAAAATATCATTTACGTTAAAAAAGGTTCAAGTAATTGTTTCTTCCAGATGCAATTTATATTAATCGACATTATCTTCAAGGATAACAAAGTTGAATTTAATGACACGAGAATTTAGATTCAAGGCTTTTGAGTTAGGTTCATGGTACAAGATTTGGCGGCAGTCTAGATATTTCCAGTGAAGTTATGTTTGTAAAATAAACCTCGATCTTGCAGATAAATTCGAAATTTTGATGTTGTCAGAGTTTCTGACTTCTCATCTAATAAATAAGTGAGTTAATATAAATACACTCTGCTTCATACATAGTGGTCTGTGTATTGTATCTCTTAGTAAATGGCATTTACAAAGTAGTGCTGACCTCTTCCAGAATCAATTAACATTTATAGACGTCCTTAAAAAATTCACCACAATCGGCTTTATTTACACTAAATGGAAAAAAGTTTTCCCGAAAGTGACAGATCCGATCTCGTTTCGAATTCGGTTTAATTCTAAAAACTTAAAAACTAAATAAATTTTAAAAAACATTAATTTGACTTATTCACAAAACAATGCGATGAAACTTATTTTGATAGAGATCCAAAATTTCAAGTATCCCATCCTGATAAATGAGATATTTTCTTTGTAGTAAGGTGAAATATAATAATTTCAGGACTTGGATTCCAACGAAAACATCATTATGTCAAATGCAACTACGCCAGGAAATTCAATAGAAGAGATTAAAGAAGTAGATGTGCAATCAATAAAACCAAATACAGATTTAACAAAAGTTGTTAGTAGAGAAATTTATCTAGCAGAACCCAATTTTGAAAATATATCATTATTCAGAGAATGCCTATTCATATTCTTCATGTGTATGTCACAGTTGTTGACCCAAGCTGCTAATTCACAAACTATGGTAAATGCAGTGGTTTTGGGGAGAGCTTTTGATGTTTCTGATAAACCTGGAGTTGTTTCTTGGTTTTCAGCTGCCATATCATTAACTGTAGGGACGTTTATTTTAGTTAGTGGAAGACTTGGTGATTTATATGGCTACAAAAAATTATACATTATTGGATATATATGGTTTGGAGTTTTTTCATTAATTTGTGGATTTGCTGGTTTTACGAAATCATCAGTATTTTTTGCAATTATGAGAGGATTACAAGGGATTGGACCAGCTATAATGATGCCCAATTCACAAGCATTAATTGGATCATTTTACCCACCTAGTACTAGAAAAAATATTTGTTTTGCATTATTTGGAGCAACAGCTCCAAATGGATTCATTATTGGTGCATTATTCAGTGCTATGTTTACAGAAACTGCGTGGTGGCCCTGGACTTTTTGGTTATGTGGAATAGTTAGTATTTCAGCTGCTATACTAGCTTATTTTGTGATACCTGCTCATGTTGGTAGTAAATCAAGTGGAAAATTTGATTATGGTGGGGCTATTACAGGTGTAACAGGGTTAATCTTAATTAATTTTGCATTTAATCAAGGTCCAAATGTTGGATGGGATAAAGTATATGTTTATGTATTGTTGATTGTTGGATTTTTATTTATGGGGGCTTTCTATTTTATTGAACAAAAAGTTGAAGATCCTTTGGTTCCACCGTCAGTTTTAAATGGTGATACTGGATTCATATTGGTTATAATTGCTGCTGGATGGAGTTGTTTTGGTATATGGTTATACTATATGTTTTTGTGGTCACTCAAAGTGGACGGAGCATCTCCAGTTATTGCAGCTGTTCAAAACATTACTTGTGGACCAGTAGGGGTAATTGCTGCTCTTCTGACAGCATATATGTTAAGAAAAATTCCATCTTCAATTGTTTTGTTTATAGCGATGATTTTTTTCTTAGTTGGGATAATTATTATGGGATTAAGACCTGTCCATCAAATATATTGGTCACAGAAATTTGTCTCTTGCTTACTTATGCCCTTTGGAATGGATATCAGTTTTCCAACAGGTGTTTTAATTTTACAAAACCATTTCCCTCGAAATATGCAAGGTTTAGCTGGTCTGTTGATATCTACATTTGTTAATTATTCAATTTCCATAGGTTTAGGATTTGCTGGAACTGTTGAATATTATACTACAAAAGATAAAGTACCAGGGTTTGATACTACTGTGTATGGTTATAGAAGAGCTTATTATATGGGTATGGGATTAGCTGGATTTGGTTTGGTGATTTCATCAATTTATATATTCATTCAATTGCAAAATAGAAGAAAAAGTTTACAACAAGAAAGTAGATCGCTAGATATGAGTGATGGAGATAACGAAGTCATTGAGGCAAAAGAACTAGAGAACTAATAAGTTAAATAGACACTAAGTAGATTTAATAGATAATTCTGTATCTTCCTAGTTTTCGATTAAGGTACAAAGAAACAGTTCAATGATCTTTAAATTGGTTGTGACTGAGCCAAATACTTATATTTTCCATTGTTGAAAAATATGTTTCGGAATTTTTAATTCAGAATCTTCAAAATTTCGTTTTATTACATTTCAAATTTAATATTTTTTCAAATTCCAGCTCACATTATGCAAAACTTGAAATTACGCCCTATAAGTTCAACAACAAGATGCTACAGTAGTGGTCAACTTTTAAGCTTATTGGATGTATATTTTGTAACAATCCTACCGTATTATTGTTTCTACTATTAATAGTATTAAAGGATTGGTGTAGTGAACCCTTAATCAAGAAATATCAAATGAAAATAGATTAATATAATATTTATATATTATTTAATATTTTAAAATTTTGTAAGTATTACCTACCTAATAATAAATATTACTAATAAAATAATAAATAATAATATTAATTACTTTTTTAAAAATTTGATTTTAAATTTATTTTTTTAATCTTCATTTATTATTTATCACTTTTTTTTTTCACATATAATTTTTGATTGTTGTTATATCGGTTAATAAGTAGCTTTACCAGGCTTTTATATTGAAGTTTTCTGTATTTCCAATTGAAGACTTTAAATGTTATTTAAGTCCATATACGTGATCGACGATAATTTTAGAAGGTTTTAATAGAATGTATCATTTAAAAAATAAATGATACATTACAATTCTATTGGAATTTTTTCAACTAGCTTTTTGATATTTTTTGAATTTAGAATCAAATCCTCCACTAAGATGTAATTGATTTCAGATTTTAGAAATGTTAGAGGTTTAATTTTATTGGTCATGAACTAGCAGAATGCCAAAATGTGGTGTTCTTTTGGGATGTTGTTTAATAATTGTATTACCGCAGTATTGTCACAAAATATATGATGTGTATGAGTGAATGATTTCATTACTTTGCGAAAAGCATAATGCATTTGAATATATGATTCAAGGTTTTTAACAAGATTTGTGATAACGTCAAACTGATCATTTTAATTTATTGGAAACTTTTATATCAACTTTTGAAAATGTTTGATAAAATTGGTATAAGTGAGTGAACAGAATATTTCAATTTTTCTTATATTTCATTAAAAGTGTGAATTATATATTCAAACTAGCAAATTGTTGAAATTAATGGCAATGTTTGACCGCCAGCAGCCTTTTGAATGTGATTGTTATGGATAGATATTTTGTTGTGAACAATTTGACAAATTAGACAGTTCGGAATGAAGTATTTATCTAGTTCTGTGATTGAAAATATTTTATAATTATTAGAATCGTCTGTCATGTTCATTTGTGTACGTTTAATTAACACAAATTCTGTTAGCTCGATTAATATATGTAACTATGTATGTATTTAAGTTTATATTTGTTGTAGAATTTCCTCTATCATCAAGATGAAAGAAAGGCATTGAGTCTAAATATGAAGTTTTATTCGATAGTTATCATGATCAACGGTTCATGAACTTAACAATTTAAGATCGGTTTGAATTTCAAATTGAAATAAGTTTGGTAATATTTGTTGCAAAATTTAAATACAAGCGCAGAAAGTGCCCAAATTATTTTTACTTGAAATCTTCTTCATTACTAAAATTTCACCTATGTAAAACATATAACAAATCGAACGAGGTAGTTTTATTATCAATGAAACAAGAAGAGTGCCATTTAAATCTAAAACCTGTAACATATTACCGCTAAAACTATAAGCGCATTTCTTTAATTCTTTTCTGTTTCTCTCTGAAACAAAATTTTCAGAATCTTTATTTTGTATCTACAATTATCAAAATTACTCACTAGTGCATAGATAAAGATAAAACTACTAAAGTTTATAAAAATCTAAAATTCATAAAAATCTACAAGGTTCATAGCCAAATCTTTAAAAAATCTCACACTCGTAAGTCCATCACACGATTACAAGAAAAAAATATCCAATCGTCATCAATGAAAAGAGTGCTATCAATTCAATCTCACGTAGTTCACGGTTACGTAGGTGGGAAATCTGCCATTTTTCCATTACAATCACAAGGATGGGATGTTGATTATATAAATTCAGTCCACTTTTCCAATCATACAGGATATGGAGAATTTGTTGGGACGAAATTACAAACCACCGATTTAGAAAAGATTTTAAATCAATTAATTAATAAAATGAATATTAAATATAATGCTATTATTTCGGGGTATATACCGAACTCAGAGTTGATTGCGTGTATTGGGAAGTACATTATTGAGTTAAAGCAAAAAGATCCTCAGTTGTTCTACTTGTTGGATCCGGTTATGGGAGATAATGATTATTTATACGTTGATAAATCATGTGTTCAAGAATATAAGAAATTAATGCAAGACAAAATAGTCAATTTGATTACTCCAAATCAATTTGAAGTTGAATTAATAACAGATATAAAGATAATAGATAAGCAAAGTTTACAAAAAGCAGTGCAGAAATTACATTCTGAATTTAATGTACCTTATATCGTGATAAGCTCAATAAAACCAGGTATTTTAAATAATGAAGAAAAATATCTTTCATGTGTATTGTCCGTGAATAATGAAATACGCTATTATAATATCCCAACAATAAATTCATATTTTACTGGAGTTGGAGATTTATTTAGTGCATTATTATTAGATAAATTTTTCGCCAACAACAATATTCAAAATGAGTTGAAAAAGTTATCAAAATCAGTGAATCAAGTATTGACGATTATGAATAAGACACTCATGTTAACTCATAAAATGGGATTGGAAATGGCACATGAACAAGGTTTACAAGGTGATGTTAAAAATTTACAAGGTAAAATTAATGATGGAAAAACTATGAAATTTTTTGAATTAAAAGTTATACAAGCAAAAGACTATTATAATTATTCAGGAGATGGGGAATTTAAAGAAATGACATTATAGACTTATATAGAGTTCTAGATAATAAAATTATTTAAAAGTACTTTTTATCTTTTTAATTTTAATTTTGTTTGTATTAAATAGTAATTAACTATACATTAAAGGAATTGGAAAAAATCGAACTTTTAAGGCATGTAAAGTCCTATGATAACGTTTTTTTAAGAAATGAAAAGTCTAAAATGACAAGCAACAATAAAATCAATCATCTTTGCATAAATTCATAACCCCCCAATTATTAATTTCTTTTGTGTGGTCCATACATATTATCTTGTAAATATTGAAAAGTACCAGTTGATTCCATTCTTCTTAATAATCTTGCAATTGGTGGGGAATAATAAGGATCTGTTAATACATATTGTAAGAAATCAGCCAATATGTGTCTTTCCTTAGCATAAATAAACCAAAAATTTAAATTAACATATCTATTCAACAAACCTGAATCATATAATGATTTAACTATTGGATTTGTTAAATTTGATAATCCTGGTTTTGATATAATTTCCATAACCAATGGAGTTATTATACCTGAATTATTTAATGCTATAATTATATCATTTATATTTGATTTAACTAAATTTGAATTTACTATTGTGTTGATAGCATTGTTCAAAAATGTATTAAACGAACCTTGATATTGATCTGTATTATTATCTGCTCTCTTTTTATGTTTTGATCTTAAGTCAATATAGATATCATTGTTGTGATTAATTATTATATCCCTATTGGTTCCATTATCTGTTGTATTCACCAAAGGAGGTAATGGAGGTACATTAATTTCTGATCTATTTGTATCGTTTGTATTTGCTTTTGAAGTGGTATTTACAATTAAATCAGCAATCCAGGGAACAGTTAAAGCATGACCATCTCCAAGACCATATAATAACCAACCAATCCAACAATATTCTGGTGAACTTAATATTGATCCAACAAAATCTGCCAATTTTTCATTATTTGTTTCATTTTTAACTAATAATCCATCTAATGTTGATTGTATAATTCCTGAATTCATTATATCATTCATTATTTCTGAAATGTTTAAATTTATATTTAATTGTGATAAATTTAATGTACCATTATTTGATGATGAAGAATTTAATATATAATTAAGATATCCAACTAAATTATTAACTTGATTTGAATCATTAGCTATTGATTCTAATAAATCGGGTATTAATTCTGAAGCTCCAACTTGTTGAAATATTTGAGTATATTGTTGTATTATTGCATTATCCGTTGAATTATCTCTTTTATCTATGTTTACTGATGTTGGATCTTCCAATGCCGCAATTTCTTCCAATATATAATTATAATCATTAAAATTTATACAATAAACTAGTTGAGAACAAAGTAGTATCAAAGTTGGTATTATATTTGAAAACTTCATTTTTGTAAGGGTATGTGGTAAAAATGTGTAAATAAATAATTAGATAGTAGAATTAAAAATAGTAGTAGTTACCAATGAATAGGAAACAGTCCTTTTGATGAAGATGATATTTGGAAAATGAATGAATATAGGATGAAGATGATTAATAGGAAGTAAGAAAGAAAGTGGTTGTTGGAAATGTCAAAAAGAAATGAAAAAATTAAAAATTAAAAATTATTGTAAGTTTTTTTTTATTTTTTATTATGAAGTAATTAAAAATTTATTTATTATATTAAAACTTTGATATAAATTTTATACAAAGTCTAAGACATTAATATAAATTGTAATGGTCCACTTTAATAGTAATATTATATGTTAATTAATTTATATATTAAATTGGTAATAATTTAGTACGTATGGTATATCATTTTTTTATTTTTAATTTGTGTATATATATTTTATATTTTAATATCTGTTTTAGGAAATAACTAATACAAATTTAAAATTTTATATAAGAGATCAAAATTTTTATTATTTTTCCTTTGTCATTTTACTTTAATTTAGAGCTTCATCAGACTACATAATTTGTTTAATTTTAGCTGCTTATGAGGAGTGGTATACTTTTGAAGTAGCTTCTTGATCGTAGTTTAATAGTACATTTTTATACATTTACTTTGTTTTTATTAATAAGAACTGTCAAGTTAATGTTTATATAATAAAATCGAATCAAAACATTTTATACATAGTAAAAAAGCCGCAACTTCCAAAAAAAGATCATGCATCGAGCCGCATTGACATAAAACCTGTATATAATTGATTTTAAATCAAAATTTCCTAAATTGGAATAGTAATATATTTTATTTTTAGTTTTATAACCATCTATGGTTAAATTTTTAATATTCAGATTAAAATGAGGTACAATTTTATTTTAAAATCACAATATCATTTTATTTCTAGTATCTCCAGCTTTTATATAGTAGAATTTGAAATTGTTAATACATTAACATTTCGATAGCCTCGATTAAAAATAGCAAAAGAAAGATTTAAATTTTAACATTTGACATATATTTTTATCTTTGGAAGATAAATTCAAAAGTTTCAAGTTTTATATAATATATTTCACTTTTTTCTTTTCAGATTCTTATAATTTCTTTAAATCAACTTAATATTCTTTTCCATTAATTAAAAATTTTTTATCATACTTTAACTTATCAGTTTCATTTGGACTACTACTTTCATTTATTCATTCAATCGTTTTCAAAATTAAAACAAATAGAACAACTATAATTTAAACCTTAAATTCTTTATACAAATTACTAAAAGAATGTTTATAAATCATATAATAGCGTTAATATTTTGTTTTTTAACAACATTTATAAAATCATCACCAATAACTTCACCAATAGAAGGTTCAGATTTTGAAATTATACCAGAACTAGATTATTTTGTTGAAACTCAATTTGATGAATATGAAATCAATAATTATTATAGTTTAATTGACATATTTAATGGTGATGAAGAAATGATATACAAAAGAGCTAATAATACGGGAGGATTACAATTAGATAATGATCAATTGAGTCGTACAATCAATACCATATTACTATCAGTTAATTCTTCAGGAGTTATATGGTCATTATTAGATGCTGTTGCAAATTATCCAAGTAGAATAGATTATATTGGGAACTTAACTTCAACTTTGTTAAAAGGAAGAAATATTACAATTGATGTTGGAGAATTATTAAGTGGTGATACAACAAATGCAGTTTGGGCTAGAAGTGTTAATTTGACTGCTGCTTTAGATGCAGTAGTTGCTTCAGGATTAGTTGACTCATTATTAGATGGATTATTATTAGATCAAGCTTTTAGACCAAGATTAGTTGATATTGTTGATAGAGTAGTTTGGTCACAAAGAGATACATTATTATATATTTTTGGAAGTCTTTTACAGAAAAGAGGATTTTTAGAAGAAGATGAAATTGTTAATATCCTCAAGAGAGCAGACGTTGCAACTAATGGTACTTTAAACACATTTGTTACTAATATTATTGCAACAGTTTTAGGATCAGGAATTTTTGGACAAGTTGCAGGCGATTTATTAAATTCATTAAATGATACAGGAATTGCCGTATATGTAGTTAAAAGATTTTTATCTAACGATGCTTATTTAAATATGACTGCAAGATTAGCTACAGATTTAATGTCAGCAGGAGCTATACATATATCATTTGAAAGTCTTAATATTACAAATGTTTTAAATAATGCATTAAGTGATCCAACTAAAATAACATTAATTGTTGGATCTTTACTAAGTGGTGATTCAAGTTTAATAACAAATTATTTCGGTAGATACTCAGGTGCTATACAAGATATCTTGGCAAGATTAGAAAGTAAAGGATTATTTGCAGAATTGAATTCATATATATGGGGAAGTCCGAGTGCAACAACATCAATAACTTTAGCTCCATCAGCTACTTCAAATGCTAATAGAAATTCAGCAGCAACTACCACAGGTGGAAGTAGTACTGGTTCAGTATCAGTTTCAACAAGAGTTGCTGATGCGAATTCAAATCAGTCAAAATCAAGTAGTGCTAACAAAATAGACACAAATTATAAAATTCAAGCATTGGTGTTAATTCCAACTGCAATTTTATCAATGTTGCTCATAATTTAACCAGAATTAAATTGTCATTTAACTCCAAATACATTTTCTAACATCAAAAAACGTTTCACTTCATATTTTTCGGTCCAAATATTTTATCATTAGTTCTATATAGTCATTCATAGTTTTAATACCATACAATTAAACATTCTTTGCATAATATAATCAATTTTTAAATTGTAGTTTTGTAGTAGAAGGGAAATGTGTGGAATTTTTTGCTGCCCGTTTGGTAGCTTACTCTATTCCAAACTTGCAACCATTTAAAATTGTATTTTTGCAGGAATAACTCATTTCATTCCGTTACTTCCAAAAGATTTTTTATTTAAAATATGTCACTGTACTAGTAGAATATGGTAAAGAAGAATAGCAATGGCATTGATAAAGACAATACCATGGACCATTCTTCTCACAACTTAGAAACATTATCAAATCCATTTGAATCGATAGACTCACTAGATCGACCAATTGGCACCCAATCACCAAAGTCGAATTCTTCTTTAGCTTCAACGCCATTAAATCCCACTCCGAAACCAATAATAAGATCAAAATCAACACCAAGCACACCTCATCAATTAAACCTACCACAGAATACAGCAAGAAGAACTAGTTTGAATGAAAATCTACTATTAGAGAATCATATGTTGAACAATGAGGAACATACTACAAACTTCAGAAAATTCAAAAAAGCCATATTAATACCAGCTGCAAAATGGGCAATATCACCAATAAAAATGCACAGAAACTCTAAAATTGGTCCACCTGAAGAAATTTATAGGATTGAATATTCCGTATTCAAACCTTCCATAAATACAAAACAACTAACTACATCAAATGATATATCAAATCATTTCAAAGGTGAAGTAGAATCAGCTACTGGAAAGCCTTTTCAATTTCCCGAGAATTACATTAATCATCTAAAGTTTAATAAAATAGTGGAAAACATCAAGAAATTAATTGAAGTAGACCATATTTACCCAGAAAGAATATCAGTGGGATCCTCAGGAAGTTATTTCGTGTTTAACAAAATAGAACTAGATAACGTTATAGCAATAGAGAAAATAGGTGTATTCAAACCAAAAAGTGAAGAACCATACGGTCCGTTACTGCCCAAATGGACAAAATGGCTACATAGAACTTTCTTTCCATGTTTTTTTGGAAGATCATGCTTGATCCCCAATTTGGGTTATATAAGTGAAGCAGCTGCAAGTGTATTAGATCAACAATTACAAAGTTATATTGTTCCATATACTGACATAATAGAGTTACGGGCACCAACTTTTTATTATTCATTTTGGGATAAATCCAATGATGTTACTAAACTACCTTATAAGATTGGATCTTTGCAGTTGTTCTTGAAAGGTTATACTAATGCTGATATATGGTTTAAGATGTACCCTTTACCCACTGATATTTATTTATTACCCAAATCTTCAGAAGTTGAGGTTGATCTGAATGTGGTGGATTATACACTCCAATGGAGTAGAGATTTGATGTTGCAATTTCAAGAAGAACTAGAAAAAATGGTCATATTGGATTATCTTATGAGAAATACTGATAGAGGACTGGATAATTGGATGATTAAAATAGAATGGGAAGAAATTGCCAAAAGTGATAAAACCAAAAAAATGAAACCAATACTTAAAATCGGTGCAATCGATTCAGGATTAGCATTTCCTTGGAAACATCCTAATGAATGGAGATCTTTTCCTTATGGTTGGTTATTCTTACCATTATCTATAATTGGTCAACCATTTACTAAAAAGACAAGAGATCATTATTTACCTTTATTGACTTCAAAGCTATGGTGGGAAGTAACAGTTACCAACCTCAAGAAAGTGTTTATGAAAGATCAAGATTTTAAAGAACGAATGTGGTTGAAACAATTGGCTGTTTTGAAAGGTCAAGCTTTCAATATTGTTGAAGTATTAAAGTTAGATTATGCTGGACCTTTAGAGTTGACTAGAAGGGAAAAATTACTAGTATTTGATGATATTATGTACATGCCTCAAAATGAAGATTACAAAAAATTAGTCATGTTTTCATCAAACTACGCCAATGATATAAGAAATGGCCAGCTGTTAATTTCACAGAATAATGAAAGTGACATAACTCCATTATTGCCACAACCCCAACATCAATTGCAGGCGATTGATGAAATCGAGTATGAACCATATGAATCTGGTTATGAAAGAATCAATAAACAATTACAATCACCAGAGAACAGGGGGACAAAAGTAGTCATAGAGAGAATAGTTAAAGAACAATCGAGACCACCAGTTTTTACTTGGTGTTGAAACATTTGAATAAAGAATAAAAGTCTAAAATTCATGCATATTATCTAATTTTTATGTACGTCATATTTTTTTTTAAAAATTTTTGGATAATCATCTGAACTTCCCTTGAAATCAGTTTGATCAATAGTAAACATTTTTCTTTCTTCTTTTAATCTAAATTGTACCATCTTTAATAGTGAATAGATTATTGTGAGTACTGGAGCTGGTACGTTATTTTCTTTTGCAATTCTAATCGGATTACCCAATATGATTTCTAATTCCATAAGCTGTTTCTTCCTAGCATCTACGCACATTGATGGTGAATAAAACATTCCATCTCCGATATGTAAATAACGATCTACTATGGCTTCATTACATTGTACACCAACACTTTTGGCATTGCTATTACTTCTTTCATTGCTGGTAATATTAACTCCTCGTTTGCATTATTTATTTGTATTCTAGTAACGTCTAAATTTACTAACGCGGTAACTGTGTTAAATGCAGAGTTATATATTAATTTCTCCCATCTTGTTTTTTGAACATCTAAGTCTTGCTTTATTTCGTTCAAACCTTCGTTATGATAAATTGATATAAATTCATCTATTTTGGATTGAGATTCGGGATGTATTGGAGGATTCTTAAAATCCCCTAGAAACACATGATCAATTCCTTTATTTTCAACATGTCCATTATAATAAGTACTTCCAATTAATGAAACTCCGGATAAAATTAAATTGTGGGGAAATTTTTCAATCATTGGTTGTTCAATATTTATACCATTTTGTAACAATATTATAACTTCCTTCCCGGTTTTTAAAGCTGGTTCGACTATTTCTTCACAGGTTATTGGACCATCTGGGATGTTTTTTGTTGTTAATAAGATATAATCAAATGGTCCAAATCTAGTTACTGCATCTTCGACTGATCTTGCAATATTATGAGGTTTGAAATTTGTTAATTTACCGTATGTACATGAATCTATTGAATAACCTTGTGTGTTAATTAGATCATAATCTGATCTAACAATTAACGTTACTTCTGATTTATTATTGTGGGTTAAGGATAATGCTGATATGGTCCCCACACCTCCAGAACCAATTATAAGTACTTTTGGCTTTGACATATGAATGATCAAAAGCTAATGTAAATTATGGAAAACGAATGAATAATTATCTGATAAGTCGTTGAAGAGTCATTGAAAATATAGAAAATCTAAATCAAGAAAAACGGAATTTTTCAAAATTTTGGTATTATATTACACAAACCTGTATCATAAATATTGTAGATCAACGGAAATACTAAATTTCAATTAAGAAAGATAAAAAAATAAAATTAAGCGGCTAGTAAAGGGTAAATATTTACGAAAACTTACATACTATTATTATGTTATTACTCTAATTACAATTATATGCTGTTTAAAAATTTATCTATTTTAATGAGTAAACTATTGAACTGCAATTGTGTTAACAATTTTGAAACAAACACCAAGTTTAAGTATAAATGCTCGACCTTTGCAATCAATTTTGAATTTTTAAACTTTTCGCTTATGTCTAATACTTTCTGATTTGTTATCAAATTATTTATTTTGTTCAAACAGGAATCAAAACTTTGTCTCACAAATTTTCTTGAATCATGAATTTTGAAATTGTAATTCTCATTTATTGAAATATACTTATTCCAATCACTACTAACACTCTGAGCCAAAAATTGATTATTCTTATCATTTCTGAATTCATAGAACTTTGAGTCAATATTTGGAGTAGTTAATATAGGTACATGGTATATGAAATTTAATTTATAATTTAGTTCACACCAATTTCTCAAGAAGTTTGAGGCTAGTAACGGCATTGATTTGAAATGACTATTGATTGTATAATTTTGATACTTTATCTCTTCGAATATGGGACTATTCTGGAAAAATATTGATCCAACTAAAGTATTCGGTAAAAAAATAGGTATATCTCTTAAAACAAACGATTTTCGTCTGGCCATGACCAAATTAGTCTTATCCGTTGTGAGTGAATTAACATCTTTATTATTATGAATCAAAGGTTTTGTCCATGGTATAGATTCATTTAAATTCAAATCATATATTAATTTGTTATCATTACAATATAATAAATGATATGTTCCTTTCAATAATTTTAAATTTAATTGATATTCTATTTTATAACCTGTGAATGGTACGTTGATATTAGTGATACATGATTGTGATTGATCTGGTAATGCGAAAACATATTCGAGAAATATAAGTGTTATTACTATCCATTTCATGAAGTAAATTTAGCAGACCAAATAAATCTACAAACAATTTACATTTTTTCGCAGCCAAATTTTATAAAAAAATCCTAATTTTTTTGCTCTATAAAAATCTAAGTACTTTTACTTCCTCAAATCTTACTTTAAAGTTGAATCAAATCCAATTGCTAAAGTCAATCCTAAAACAATATCAAACATACCTCTATTCTCCGCACCTTTAAAAATTTCATCATCTTCATAAATAGTAATCCAACCTAATTTATTCTCATCTGGAGTATCATCTTGAGTATTTCTCAGATAATACAATCCATCACTACCATTATAGTATCTGTTGATGTCTTTTGAGTCACCAGTACTATCGTTTGACTGTGTTGTAATATTTGCTGAATTCTGTTGATTTTTTGCCATTTGTAAAAACAGTTTTTTTATTCTATTTTCAAACGGTCTAAACATACTTAGTACTGGTGGGAATTTTATATTTGTTGATTCATTCAGATATATGTTTCTTGGATTTGGTTCTTTATATTTACTACCTTCACCAGTGATATAATTTTGATGGAAATAAATGTTACGTTTATTGACTAATTTCAATTCATCATTTTGATTATCAGAACTTGATCTCTTGATTCTTTCTCTCATTTGGTTCATTTTACTCAATCTTACTCTTGGTATTGATCCTATATTCCATTTTTGCTTATGCAAATCTTTTATTTCATAATTTTTGAAAAATTCTGGTCTATTTCTTAAATTCTTGTATGGGAAATATTCATCACTTATTGGCAGCTGAAAAGTTACACCATTATACAATGTTAAATCTTCGTATTTTTCTACATTTCCTTCATCATCAACGTATTTGTCTTTTGGTATACTGAATACGAAAGATCCACCTTCTTTTTCAGCATTTTTTGTAATTGTCATTAACGATTTTTTAGATAATTGTTCAATTGAGTCTGAATCTTTAAAAATTAATGTATACCCATCTTTGGAATTAATTTTGGAGCTATTTGAGTCGTCTGAATTATTGATAATTTCGATATAAAAACCTGGACCATTCCTACAAAACACATGTTTTGTGCCAGGGTTAGTCGTAAGATACAAATCTTTTCCGAATTTTAGTATATGGTATTTCCAAAATGGTGGTAATGATTGTTGTCGTGGATCTAGTGATGACAGATTTACAGGACTCATTTTAGCAAAAGGATCAAATATTGGAGATTGTAGTTGATGTGACGTTTTTGGCTCTTCACTTACTGAATATTTATGTTGATCGCTTTCTGGAGATTTGCTCGGAGATAACAATCTCATACTAGTCGACCTTTTGAATGAGTCTAGTTTTAACCCTAAGTTGTTGAAGTTATTCATTGACAATCTTTTGAATTTGGTTGATAATTTTGGTCTATCAGTTTCGTACGTGGTAGTTTGAGTTTCATCAGAAGGTGCAGCATTCTCTTGATCAAGTAAATCAGGTGGTGGTTTTCTTCTAAGAGAACCTTTTGTACTGAAACTTAGATTATTAATTGAAGTTGGAGATTTAAAAGGATCATCAATAGATTTCCTAGATCCAATTGTATAACTGGACATACTTTCTTGAACTGGAGTATCATAATCATTTGAAAAACCAAAATTATTTAAGACTGGAGTTTTATCATTATCAAAAATTGGACTTTGAATAATATTAGGTTCACCTTCTATTATTAAAGGAGTATTTTCTAAAATTGGATCTGATTTTGAGGAGGAAAAAGAATGGGAATGATACATGTGCTGTTCATTATCATATTGACTTATATTTGTTTGATGTTGTGTAATTAGGTGATTTTTATAATCTTCTAAGGAAACACTACTATTGGTTTCACTCGAACTATAGATTGAATTCATACAGGAATCATTGATGAATTATTTATGATGAATAAGGTAGTGGTAATGACAGAGGTTTCAATCTTGAAAGATATGAACTATGTAGATCCCAAAAAGCGCTTGGTAGCTGAGTTCAATTCGTAATTGATAAATCTTTCGTCAAACTTGGGGCAAAGTTTAATTTTATATATATAATATAGTTCAATCTATCTTAGATTCTATCTAAGCATCAGTCAATTCTGGACAAATGAGGAGAAGAATCGTTAATTAATATAAGAGTTTTCAATTGCTACTGGTGTTAGACAAGTAATTATGACTTGATTATTACAGTTTACAATTAGATCTTTAATAAATATTTGACACGTCTCGTTAACACAATTTTAACGCGACAATAAACAATTCTTCCTCGAAAGTTACTTCTACTTTATAATTTGATGATTTTGTGTTTCATGTTATAAATTTTACATTTCCAGGATCTTTTAAAATTTCATTGCTCTTATTAAATTATTTTGAAAATTTTAAAGTTTTAGATTGAAAAATGTTTTACAAAAATCTCAAATATAAAAAGAAACTTATATTTGATCATAATTTCATTTAATTCTATTTCACATTTTCAATTAATTGGTCTGTTGTTTTAATTGAATAAGATTTAATCTTTTTCAATTTAATTAATTTCACTACAACCACTAAATGATTGATCTTGAAGAAAATAATCCATTAATACCACCATCACAAATCGATACAGATAATGAAGGATCCATATATGGTCATGATTTATATTGTCCTAATCCAAGACAAGTTTTCAGAATTTGTACAAATTTAAAATTATTAATTGATGAAATTATTCCAATATTATTTGATGAAGAAGAAATTAAAAAACCGGATTCTCCTATATTAAATGAAAGAGTCATTGAATTAGTTTATAAAGCAGCTGGTGGGAAAGGAATTGGTGAAGAAGGTTCTTCATCTAAAAAATACAGAGCTGCTTTAGTATTTTGTTTGTTGAAAGTTTGTGATTGGTATTGGCAACAAAGTGAAACTGAACTATATGATAATGAATTATTTAGTTTAAGAGCTGTAAGTGCACAAATATTAGCTGCTAAAATTATTGAAAGAGAAACTGATGATAAATATTTATTTTTGAGTATGTTATGTCACAGATATACAATATGTCTAAATGGGAAAAATGCAACTCCAATAAATGCATTAGAATTAGCAGTTGATATGCATTCAACTATAATTATTGGTACTTCAGGTTATCAAAGATGTATAAAATGGTTATGGAGAGGTTGGATTGTTCAATCTTCAAATGATCCTCATTCCTATGTGTTATACAAGGGTATAGCTTCAAATTCAATAAGAACTCATTTTGATCCAGCAAGAATTAAAACTCCATTTTATCAAAATATTTTGGAAATCTTTTTCAGTATGGTTTATTTATTACTTTATTCAATAATTTTAAATACTCATTCAACAAATTTTGCAGATTTAGATATATTTGAAATAACATTTTATTTATTTACATTAGGTTTTATAATGGATGAATTTATTAAATTTTATCATGTTGGTTGGAATTACTTGGGATTTTGGAATGTGTTTAATGATACAATGTATACATTAATTGTATCTGCTATAACTTTTAGACTTTTGAGTATAACTAATCATGGAGCTTTAAGAAATAGATATGATGAAATTTCTTATAGATTATTGAGTTGTGCAGCACCTTTAATGTGGTCAAGATTATTATTATATTTAGATGCTCAAAAATTCTTTGGTGCTATGTTAGTTGTATTAAAAGTTATGATGAAAGAATCACTTTTATTTTTTGTCTTATTGTTTGTTATCATAGCTGGGTTTTTGCAAGGTTTTATTGGATTGGATGCTTCTGATGGTGAAAATGAAGCCACTAAGAAGATTTTAACATCATTAATGAAAGTTGTTATTGGAAGTGCTTCATTTGATGAAATGGGTGCTTTAGTGCCACCATATGCTTCAATCTTATATTACAGTTATTCATTTTTATTTTCAGTTATATTGATGAATATCTTGATTGCTTTGTATTCTACTGCTTATGCAGCAGTTGTTGAGAATGCTACTGATGAATATTTAGCTTTAGTAGCTCAAAAGACATTAAGATATATTAGAGCACCAGATACAAATACTTATGTTCCACCATTAAATATAATTGAATTTATTATTACACCATTAAGTTGGGTCCTTACACCATTATATTATAAGGATGTCAATTATTACGTTATGATGATATTATATTTTCCATTATTATTATATATTACAACTGAAGAATTAAATACTGCTAGAAGAATAACTTATAATAGATATAAGGGATTACCAGATGATGCAAATGAAAATGATACAGAATGGGATTTAACTGATGGATTTGGAGATACTAGTTTAGATAATGATAATTTAAGAAATAATACCCCATTTGATGAAATAAGAGCAAGAAATTCAGAAGTAAATGAAGAATTAAGAGTACAAAGAGAAGCAGAAAGACAAGATGATGAATTCTTAATAAATATGTCAAGTTTTCAAAAAGATATAAAAGAAGTTGTTAAACCTGTTAAAGAAGCAAGTAAAGTTGGATTAAATTGGGAATATTTTGAATTATTTCAAAAAATTGATAAATTAACTAATTTAATTGAAACTGTTGTTGCTGAAAATAAAGAATTAAAACAAAAATTAGAGAGTAAATAAAATAAATTAATTTGGATAATTTACTTTCTTTAACAATATATAAGTTGTATATAATATATATTCATAAGTTAATATTAAAAATTACGGTTGTAAAATTTTAAGATATAAATTAAGTATGTAAGTAGTAGTGCAACTATTTTATTTCTTGTACCAATTACACTACTTAATTTAATATTTTTTATTTTATAGTATTATAATGGTTTCAGATTTACATAATACTTTATTTAATATAGTAAGTGTTCAAGTATTTATAAACACTGCTGTTATACAACTTTGACTATAATATAACAATATCCAACAAAGTATGAGCTTTACTTTTTCATACATATTAAAGTAGAAAAAATTCTTAATATATACATAGTTAATTAAAAGAAAAAGAGAGAGAGAAAAAAAATTGTTAACTACTATTAATTTATATAATTTAATAATATACGTTAATTAAAGAAAAAAATTATTTTTTATATTGTTAATAAAATTATTAGTTAATAAAATTTGAATTTTTTTTAACAACCAAAATTTATTAAAAGATTAGTTTTGAAGTTTTAATCAACTATGACAAGTCGAATAAATAAGAATGATAATAATAATAACAGTACTAATAATAATATGAATAAGACTAATAATAATCAATCAACAACAAAATTTAAATTGGGGGATAATATACATTTTGAAGTATCCAATGGTATATCCAATACAAGTAATAATAATACTGCTACAACTACAAACAAAAAACCAATTATTAATTTAAATTCTTCAAAACAATCTCAAAATACTCCATTAAATGATTCATCTGATTCCAAACAAAAGAAAAAGAAGAATTTAAAAAGTAATAAATCATCAACTAAAATATCAACTTCACAAGCTCATTTAAATAATCCTAATGATGACTATCCTACTTCAAGAGTCATAAAACAAGCTCCAAATGGTGATGTAATTGTTGAAAAAATGGAAAATGAAGATGAAGATGAAGAAGAAGAGGAAGAAGATGGATCAGAGGACGAAGATGAAGATATTGATCATCAACAACACAATCATCATCACCATCATCATCATCATCACCAACAAGGTAATAATCTCAATAATCTAAATAAGAATGGAACCCATCATCCGAACAACCATAACGTAAAACGAAATAGCCAAGATGCTCATAATAGTTTATGGGATTCTGCATCAATTGAAGAACAAGAAAAGTTAAAAGAGTTTTGGGAATCATTAGCTGAGACTCAAAAATTAGAACTTGTTAAAATTGATAAACAATCAATAATGAAAATGTTTAAAAATGAAACAAGACAACATTTACAACAACTTTCACAGCAACTGAATAATAACATGTCAAACAATAATAACTCAAACAATTGTGCTTGTAAATATTGTGGAAGAAGAAATAATATAATAGAAGAAGAATTGGAAAGTATTTATGATAATCATTTTGATGATATTATTGATTTCATTCATGAAGTTCGAGATATAAATGATTTAAATGCATTACCAGGTTTATTATTTGGAGGATTTCATATGTTGGAAGAAGAAAGGAGATTACAAAAACGAAAACAAATTCATATTGAAAATTTAGAAATGGCTAAAAATTCAAATCAACGTAATCAATCTCAAATTGAAGAAATTAGATCACAAATGGATAAATTAAAAATGGGTCCAAAACCTTCAGGTCAATCAATGAGTGCATCAAATAACAATTCATCATCATCTACCGGCAACACTACTACAATTGGACAAAATATTAATCTACATTCCAAAAATCAAACTCCACTGAAACAACCTCATGCAAATGTTCAAATAAGTGCAACTTTCCAAAGTTCAAATCCTGCAGAAACTCAATTATTTAATAAATTACTTGATCCTAAATTATTTGAAGCATTAGAAAGTTTAGATTTACAAAAGATGAAAGAAGTTTCACATTTTGATCCTAAAAATGCAGCACATATAAACATGTTGGAAAAAGCAGGTTCATTAAGAGAAATTGTACGTGATTTACATAGTGTTGATCGTAATCATTTGGAAAAAGGAATGTCATATGTTCAAAATATGGGGAAATTTTTTTCAAATATTGCAAATTTAGATCCAAATAATCCTGAAGATGCAGAAAAAATAATGGCTGGTCAATTAAATGAACAATTTAATCAAGGTCTATCATCTTTTGCAGAAGATTTATTGAAAAATGATGGTGACTCTTTCATTAGTATGATGGAAGCACTTTCAGAATCAAGATCTGCTCGTGAAGAGTTATTAAAAGAAAAGCCAACCCCAACAATTTTGAATCAATTACAACAACAATTACCACCACAATCTACTCAATCTCAAACGAAACAAGCTCAAAAAGCTCAATCACGTTGGGTTGATGAAGATGATGAACATACTCATTATCATTGCACACACCACCATCACCACCATCATCATGATGACGATGATGAATATGACGAAGACGATGATGATTACGATTATGACGATGAAGATGAAGAAGATGACGAAGATGATTTAGATGACGAAGATTTAGAAGATGATGATATGGATGATAAAGATGCAAGTGATACAGAGTCAGAAATATCAGAAGAAGAAAAAATGCAAGAAATTCGTCGTTTATTTTTAATTCAAGTTATAAAATTATTTCAAGAAAGATTGAAAAGTGCTTACAAGGAGAAAGTGTCAAAAGATAATACTCAAAAATTAATTGAGGAGTTGGAAGAAGAAGAAAAAGCCAAAAAGGAACGTGAAGCCAAAAAAATGAAACAAAGGGAAAAAGCTAAAGAAAAGAAAAGGCTACAACAATTGGCTAAAGAAGAAGAAAAAAAGAAGAAAGAAGAGGAAGCTAAAAAAGTTGAAGAGCAATTAAAAGCACAACAAGAGAAACTCAAATTGGAACAAAAGAGGAAAAAAGAAGAAGCTAAGTTGAAACGTGAAGAAGAAAAGAAAAAGAAATTGGAAGATGCCAAGAGGAAAGAGGAAGAACATAGGAAAAAAGTTGAAGCTCAACGAAAACGTGAAGAAGAAGCCAAGAAATTGAAAGAAGAGCGTCGTAAGAAAGCAGATGAAGAAAGAAAAGCTAAAGAAGAGGAAAGGAAACAAAAGGAATTGTTGAAAAAACAAAAGGAAGAAGAAAGAGAACGTTTAAGAATAGCTCGTGAAAAACAATTGGCTCAAGAAGAAGAACAAGCTGCTGCTAATGCAAGTTCTTCTGCCACTATTGCAACTGAAAGATCAAGAGAACAAAGATATTCAAACCGTTCTTCTTTAGTTAATGATATTGATGATGAAGATCTTGTTAGACAAATTGAAGAAGAAAAATATAAACTTTTAAATGGTTCAGCAATTGCAAATTCGACTAATCAACAACAATTACCACCACAACCTCATCAAATGTATCAAGCAAGACCAAGTTCACTATCAAGTACTTCTTCTTCAATTGCATTAGGTCAATTACCATCAGCAATTAATAATCCAGTATCTCAACAATCACAAGCTTTTAGTAGTGATTTTGGTAGTTCAACATTTTTAAACCAACCAACAATTCTTTCACCACAAACTGCACCAATTAATTTATTTAATGGAGTTTCGACGGCTAATCCAATATCAAATGTTTTACCATTAAGTAATAGCAATTCGATGTCCCCATGGTCAGCAAAATCAAGATTAAATTCAGTTTCTAATAATTCAGCACCACCTTTCTTATCACAACCAAGTTCAGATGGTCAAGCACAACAACAACCACCACCACCACCAATAAATCAACAACCACAGCCACCACATCCGCAATTACCACAACTTCATCAAAATTCTCAATCTCAAACTAAGTTCAGTCCATTTAATTCATTTGATGATCCCACTGTTAATGATCCATTTATGCCAACCCCGTTAAGTGGAACTTCAAATATTTGGAAATCAAATGCCGCACCTGCACCGTCTGCTGCAACAGCTCCAAGAAATAATTCAATTTGGGGTAATACTTCTACTAATGCAGCAACACCAGCTGATTCATCATTTTTAAATTCAAATTTAAAATCAAATTCATTCTGGAGTAACAACAATACTAATAATAATAACGGTGGAGGTAATACATTACTTAATAATTTGAATAATACTACAACCACCACTAATGGAGTTAATCAAAATGAAATCGAATTAATTCAATCAACTACCTTTAATTGTTATCAATTATTATCGAGTTCAAATCAATTAGAATTTGGAGTTGCACCATTAGTTTCAATTTTCCAAAATGTTCAAACAGTGACAAACAAACCTCAATTATCAATAAATCAATTTTTAAGTTGTTGTCAATCAAATTCAATTTATCAATTTGATTTCATATATGATGAATTTGGTTCAGTATCTCATTTGAAAGTTGGTCTAACTCCTAATTTTATCAGATCATCACCATCAAGTATACCAACAAATTTAAATAATCAATTACCTTCTTCAACAACACCCCAACAACAACATCAACAATTACAACAACCACAATTTAAATCGCAATCGAATTTTAGTTTAGGACAAAATGTTGTACCACCTCCTCCACCTGGATTTAAAAAAAATTCACCACCTGGTTTATTTAATGATAATCAATTGTTAAGTACTATAAATGAATTAAATAATAATCAATCGGTACAAAATAATGGATTTAATAATGGTATTTGGAATTGAGAAGTTTGAAATTGTTCCGTGTGTGCTCAACTGAATTTTTTGGTCATATTAATTTTCTTTTTGTATATGAGTCTTCAATAAGGATTGAAATAATTTAATAATAAATTATCGTCATTTAAAAGCTACTGTACTCTACAACTTTTTTGATTCATTTCTTGATCGGTAATATATTGATCCTATTTTGTGTTAATTGATTGAATTGATAATACGAATCTGAAATAGAAAAAAGCGCAAATAATGAATTAACGTCATTAATCCGAATGATGAAAATAGAAAGCAAATACTAAGAATTTAAATTAGCATCAAGTTTACAACATTATAAAATTACAATACAATCACATCAAGTTACTTGAATCATATGAAATATCGATTAGACTGAGTGACACATATTCATTTATATTACTTATCATTTACATATACTCTCCCTTAACTTTCAGGAATTAATATGTTCATTATAAAATCATTTGAATATAATCCATTTAATCTACCTTAAATATAATAATATCAATAAATCAATTCAATAAATACAAGATTCAGGCAAAATCGACCGATAATTACTCAATATCATCAACTAGTCCAATTTAAACATATACACATATAACAAACCGATATCAACTAATTTGTAACACAATTAAGATATGGCAACAGATATAACTCGAAGAAAACTAGTAATAGTTGGAGATGGAGCATGTGGTAAAACCTCTTTACTTTATGTATTCACATTAGGTGAATTCCCAACAGAATATCATCCAACAATTTTCGAAAATTACGTAACAGATTGTAGAATAGATGGGAAACCAGTACAATTAGCATTATGGGATACTGCAGGACAAGAAGAATATGAAAGATTAAGACCTTTAAGTTATAATAATTCAAATATTATATTGATTGGGTTTGCTCTAGATACTCCTGATTCACTTGAAAATACTAAAACTAAATGGGTACCTGAAGTTAAAAAATATGTTCCTAATACTCCATATATATTATGTGGTTTAAAGAAAGATTTACGACAAAATTCAGAAAATGGGAATACAAATGATTTATCTAAGAATATAATCAATTTACAAAATCATATAAAGCAAAATAATAATATAGGTCATTATCAGTATGGCCGAAGACAAGTAGGATACGTATCTTATGAACAAGGTGAAGCAATGGCTAAAACTATTGGTGCTAAAACTTACATGGAAAGTTCTGCATTGACTGGGGAAGGAGTAGATGATATTTTTGAATATGCTGTTAGAATCAGTTTGTTACATGGTTCATCTACAAAATCAAGTGATGGTTGTTGTACTATATTGTGATATTTAAAGATGATACAATGAAGTTGAAGTGCTTAATAACATACTACATAGATAATGAACTTCAACGTGACGGAAATGGTGTATAAAGTGTGTAATTCTGATCAATAATGTTAATGAAGTATTAAAGAACGATTCCAACTTTGAAGTAACTTCTAATTAAAAATAGGTGCACATATAATAATTACTACTAAATAATTTTAATTCCGATCGGAAATATAAAATATATATAATAAAAATATATTAAGGAACAGATCAATAATATTATAATTAAATGTATAACCATTCAGGTACCAGTCAATTTACAATTGTAATTTGATCAGATGTCCTAAATGTTATTCTTCTCTCAAAATCAATGAAGTTACTAGTTTTAAGTTTTATCCAAAATTTGAATGGATTGACATAAATTAATCGGACCGTTTTTATTTGATTTATAACTTTAATATTATTTTTCAGTAACCATTCGATGCTTCAAACAATTCAAGCATCTTTATTAATTACCGGTCAAGGTTTTTAGATCAAACAAGGAGATGAAATGAATGTATCATTGAACCACATATATATTTAGTATAATGTTATACGGCTTAGATAAGATCCCCCAACAATACAAATACAATAAGATTAGTAATAAAGCAAGACGGCAATAGAAAAAAGAAAAAAAAAATAAAAAATTATATCATAACCTAATTATGTAGAATTGAAATTTATATATTGAACTTCTATTCTTTATCCTTGATAATTATTCAATACATATTCTATCATCTTTGACATTTTCACTTTACTTTTGTAAAAGACTAAATGTCAAATTCAAATATACCCAATAACAATGATATAAATCAAAATATACCTGAAACAACAAGTAACACAATATTAAATAATCAACCTTTAGTAACTGATCCAATTATAATTCAAACTCAAGATGATGCCACAGAAGTTACTACTCCATTAGCAATACCTATAACTGGTGATAACTTGTACAACAATAGAAAAACTGATTCATTAGAAAGTTTTAGGATTGATGATCATGATTGGGAATCAATAAATATAGATCTGAATTCAAATCCTTCGATACTACAAAAGATAAAGCATTATTTAGTCAAATTTTATAATTCAGTGATATTACCAAATGTTGGGATATCATTATTATTAATTTCACAATTTTTAAATAGTATAATGGTAACAACATGTAAATTATTAGTCACTAACAAGGATTTCAATGAACCAATTCATCCTTTACAAATATTATTTGTTAGAATGTTTATAACATACATCTGTTGTTTGATATACATGTTCGTCACAAAAGCAATAGAACAAGCACCGTTTGGACCACCAAAATTAAGAAAACTTTTGATGATTAGAGGTTTAGTTGGATTTTTTGGAGTTTTTGGAATGTATTTTTCATTAAAATATTTAAGTTTATCAGATGCTGTTTCAATTACTTTCTTGGTGCCTATGTCAACTGCATTTTTAGCATTTGTTATATTAAAAGAAAAATATTCAATATTGGAAGCAGTTTGTTCATTATTATCATTAGGTGGTGTCTTGTTAATCGCTAAACCTTCTTTCATATTCGGGGCAGAACTGGAGAAAGAAAATAACGGAGATGAATCTATTGAAAGTTCATCATCGGAAAAAAGGATAATAGCTACAGTTGTTGGATTAATTGGAGTTTTGGGAGCAAGTTCAGTATATATAGTATTGAGAAAAATTGGTATGCATGCACATCCATTATTATCAGTAAGTTATTTTGCATTAACTTGTTGTATTATAACTTTTTTCAGTATATTGGTTATTCCATCATTAAGTTTTGTATTACCATCAAATACTTATCAATGGTTTTTATTTTCAGTTATTGGATTTTCTGGATTTTTTATGCAATTTTCATTAACTGCTGGAATACAAAGAGTTAAAGCAGCAAGAGCTTCCCTTATGACTTATACGGGTATGATATTTGCAATACTATGGGACTTCACAATTTGGCATCATTTACCAGGTGCACTCTCATTCTGTGGTATTGCTTTAATTATAGGTAACGCATTTGTTATATTAAAATTTAAACCAGAACACAAAGATGAATCACAATCTTCTGGAAATCAAAAAGTAAGTGACTTGGAACAAAATGGTAAATATGATGAGCTAAATAATGATATTGCAATGCAAGATTTTATTATTACTGATGATGAAGAAGATGAAAGTTCAAGTAGTGATTCAGGTAGGAATAATAATAATCCGAAAAATTATTAAATGGGTACATTTTATACAATTAAAGGAATTGAGATATTTATAGACTTTTTAAGTATAGACTTTATTTTGGGTTTTTTTTTAGTAATACAATTTTTTGGCAATGTGATTAAGATTGAAATCTCTATGTGTTAAATTTTGACTTTGTGAGCTATTTCCTTATACTCTTGCAATTAGAAAAAAATAATGAAAATTATGTTTTTCATTACTATTCATTTTTATTGAAATTTTCCAACTTGTTGATGAATAATCATTCACGACAATAAAATAAATGGTATGTTTATTATCACATATATCCTGTTATTTTAAATCAGTCATTAATGAAATATACAAGTGGAAACAAAAATGATGAGAAACTTTTAACCTCGATTTGCAAATTATGAAATCTTTAAGTTTAATGAAATGCTAATAAAAGAACCGCTACACTGATTTATATGTTTTTGTATATGTATATTGCTTTTACTTGTTATTTGTATTTGTTTTGATTCAATGGTACCCTTCTCAGGAATACCTGTCCAGATCAAAGAATAGAGTACTAACTAAATACATAGAATGTTTGATCAATTATTTAGTCGACAGAGATTTCAAATTTTAAGCCTTCTGATTGACAACTAAATTTTCCCGATCATATTTAGCGGACCGTTGGAGTACACGAGAAAAGATCTAAATTTGTTCACATCAACATTATTGAGATAAAACTTTGTACTCCGATGGAATGAGATGAGATAAAAATGTATAGAAACTATAATTGTACTTGTTTCTTCTTTACTATCACAAGTTAAGTCGCAAACTTAACAAGTATATTGAGATATTGTAATTGATTCTACTCGAGCTAAAATCTATCTGTTAAAAACCTAATCAAATACTACATAATTAATACTTAATTAGTAATGTGACTTCTCCTGTATTAATAATATAAATAACTAATAGATTAAATGAGATGTGCGGCTTAACTGTTATTAGTAAAAAATATCATCACCAAAAGAAATTTTTTTGTTTTTTATTACTACACAAAATTTTTCAATAAAATTTTAAATTAATAATTTTTTTTTTTACTTCTTTCTTTTTTGGCAAAGTCTGCCCCTTTCATATACACATAATAATAACTTTAGAAATATAGATATCAAAATGGTCTTAGAAGCATCAAAAGCATCATCTTATTTAAAAGATTATCCAAAAAAAGATGGTTTATCAATAAAAGAATTGATTGATTCAACAAATTTTGGTGGTTTAACTTATAATGATTTTTTAATTTTACCAGGATTAATTGATTTTCCAAGTACAAATGTTAAATTAGAAAGTAAGCTTACCAAAAAAATTACATTAAATTCACCATTTGTTTCAAGTCCAATGGATACTGTTACTGAAGAAAATATGGCTATTCATATGGCTCTTTTAGGAGGTATTGGTATAATTCATCATAATTGTACAGCAGAAGAACAAGCAGAAATGGTTAAAAAAGTTAAAAAATATGAAAATGGTTTCATTAATGATCCTGTTGTTATAAACCCAAAAGTTACAGTTGGAGAAGTTAAAAGAATGAAAAAGGATTTAGGATTTACTTCATTCCCAGTCACTGGTATGTTTTTTATTGAGTTCATTTATTGTCGAATTTTAATTACTTAACCTGATGATCAATGTTCTAAATTTATAACTTTCGTTCTACCGAATTACATCAAACGATGTTGAGGAAAACTTTTTCCTGATTTTTTAATGACAATAAATTACTATTCAAGATTTCATACTAACAAATTTGATTTTAGAAAATGGTAAAATTGGAGGAAAATTAGTTGGTATTATCACTTCTCGTGATGTTCAATTCCACGAAAATAACGAAGATTCAGTTTCAAAAGTTATGACCACCGATTTGGTCACTGGTAAAAAAGGTATTACTTTAACAGAAGGTAATGAAATATTAAGAAATTCCAAAAAAGGGAAATTACCAATTATAGATTCTGAAGGTAATTTAGTTTCATTAATTTCATTAACTGATTTACAAAAAAATCAAAATTTCCCACAAGCTTCAAAATCTTTTGATTCAAAACAATTATTATGTGGTGCCGCTATTGGTACTATGGATGCTGATAAAGAAAGATTGGATAAATTAGTTGAAGCTGGTTTAGATGTTGTTGTCATAGATTCTTCTAATGGTTCATCAACTTTTCAAATTAATATGCTTAAATGGATTAAAAATAAATATCCAGATTTACAAGTTATTGCAGGTAATGTAGTAACAAGAGAACAAGCTGCTTTATTAATTGAATCTGGTGCTGATGCTTTAAGAATTGGTATGGGTTCAGGTTCTATTTGTATTACACAAGAAGTTATGGCATGTGGTAGACCACAAGGTACCGCTGTGTATGGAGTAACTGAATTTGCCAATAAATTTGGTGTACCATGTATTGCTGATGGTGGTATTGGTAACATAGGTCACATATCAAAAGCTTTAGCATTAGGTGCTTCATGTGTTATGATGGGTGGATTATTGGCAGGTACTGCAGAAACTCCTGGTGATTACTTTTATAGAGATGGTAAAAGATTAAAATCATATAGAGGTATGGGATCAATTGATGCTATGCAACAAACTAGTAATAATGCTAATGCATCAACATCAAGATATTTTTCAGAATCAGATAAAGTATTTGTCGCTCAAGGTGTTAGTGGATCAGTTGTTGATAAGGGTTCAATTACTAAATTTATACCATATTTATATAATGGTTTACAACATTCTTTACAAGATATTGGTATTCAATCACTTTTGGAATTAAGAGAAAAAGTTGATTCTGGAGATGTTAGATTTGAATTTAGAACTGCTTCTGCTCAATTTGAAGGTGGTGTTCATGGTTTACATTCTTATGAAAAAACTTTACATAACTAGAAGACCTTATGATCTATACTTTATATAAATAAACTAAAATAGTTTAATGGATTGTTTTTTTTTCATAGTTTTGAAATTGTAGTCTTAGTATAAAATTGAAATCAAAATCTAATATGAATCTACGCTGCACGAAATTGATGGGCTACAACTTTTACAGCCACTTACAACCATCAATTGAATATATCCTTCATAAAGAATGTCGAAGAATTTAGACGATGATCTTACAGAAAGCAGATTATCAAGATACAACAAATTACAACCCGACGTCAAAGAATATCTATACAACATACTATCATCCCACTACCCAAATTTATTTTCAAAATACTCAACCACAACCAAATCATACAACCAATTAGATCTAATAGAATTACTTAAAGATGGAGAAATACTATGCAAGCTAGGTCAATTAGTTCCCTCCACACCAAATCCCACCACAAGATTCAAATCATCATCAATGCCATTCATACAAATGGAAAACATAAATTATTTTATACAATTATGCGCTTTAATTAATTTACCACAAGATGAAATTTTCCAAACTATTGATTTATTTGAAGGAAGTGATCCATATCAGGTTTGTATTAATTTGATGTCCTTTTCTAGAGTTGTTCATAATTTGGATCCTAATGTTTTTGGGGAAGTTATTGGGCCCAAGAAAGTTAGGGTTAAGCCTGTTGTTCCCAATAAACCTAGAAACTTAAAAGGTTAATTGATGAATCATTGAGAAGTGAATCTTACGAATTAGTGGTCGAGAACATTGTTTAATAGCTCATGGCTTGACAAATCATTAGTCAGTATTCAGCCTGAGATCAACAGTTAAATGTGCCATAAACTCAAACCGTTTTAAGGTTTCAATTTCTGTTTCATCTTGCAGTGGAGCTGCTAGCTTGTATTTTAAAATTTCTACTCCTTTCATTGATGAAGAGATTGTTGACATTTACTATATACACCATTTGCATGTAATTGGTATACTATTTCTTATGTACAGGTTTAATTATGCTTACTTTTTTGTGATAGAAAATCTCATCTCTCTTACTATAATTTTTTTTTGTAGTCTTCTCTATCAAATAATTAAATTTTGTTAGAAAGATAGTACTAGAACTAATTACAACTAAACAACTTTGGAGTACCGAATTGATAAAAGAAATTGCTTAAAAACTAACTAAGGAATAGTCACAATTATATAGCATTTAAAAAACGACAGTTTCACCACCAAGAGTACTACATATTTATTTGCATCATCTTGAATACAGCCATAATTTTACACAACAATTGCATATTTATCGAACTTATATATTCTAATTCAATCAAATTTATAAATCATGTCTGACGAAGTTATATGGCAGGTAATAAATCATCAATTTTGTGCATTCAAAATAAAAACTGATAAAAATCAAAATTTCTGTAGAAATGAATACAATGTAACAGGTTTATGTTCAAGACAATCCTGCCCTTTGGCGAACGCAAGATATGCAACGGTTAAAAATGTTGATGGAAAATTATACCTATATATGAAAACTGCAGAAAGAGCACATATGCCAAATAGATGGTGGGAAAGAATTAAATTATCTAAAAATTATAATAAAGCATTAAAACAAGTTGATCATCATTTATTATATTGGCAAAAGTTTTTAGTTCACAAATGCAAACAAAGACTAACAAGATTGACACAAGTTGCAATAACGGAGAGAAGATTAGCATTAAACGACGAAGAAAGAACAATGGTTGGTATAGCACCAAAATTGAAAAGAAGAGAAGAAAACAGAGAAAGAAAAGCATTAGCAGCAGCCAAGATTGAAAAAGCAATAGAAAAAGAATTATTAGAAAGATTGAAAAGTGGTGCTTATGGAGATAAACCATTAAATGTTGATGAAAATATTTGGAAAAAAGTATTAGGAAAAGTTGATGAAGTAGAACAAGAAGAAGAATTTGATGATGAAGAAGATTTTGAATTAGAAAGTGGTGATGAAGAAGAAGATGAAAATGATATGGGACAAGTTGAATATGTTGAAGATTCTGGAGATGATGAAATTGTTGATATGGAAGATTTAGAAAAATGGTTAGATGATTCGAGTGATAACGATAGTGATGAAGAAAGTGATGATGAAAGTGATGAAGAAGATAGCGATGATGAAGATAATACATCAAGAAAGAGAAAAGCTGAAGATAATAAATCTAAACAAAAGAAAAAAAGAAAACCAAGAGTTGAGATTGAGTATGAAGAAGAACCATTACAAACTAATATAGCTGTATAGATACAATTTACATCGATAGAGAAGATTCAGTATTTGACGCATTTGGTTACTCTTTTTGAACTCGCTATTCCTTCCAATTATTTGGTCGACTTTACAACTCCAAAAAACAAATTGTTTCATAATTATTGCAAAAACAAATTTTCCTGAATGTTCCTCGTGATACAAATTTTAGACTCTAGACTATTTTGATTAAACATTCCATAGCACAGCCTTTCATTATATATAAACTTGACTTTTTAAGTCTCAAAGCCTTTATCTTATCAATTGATATCTAATAAAACTTTAAACTTCTGCTAAACCCTTCTTTACTTTAAGTTTAATTCCGTTGACCGTGGAATTTTATTGAATAATAAAAATAAACTTTGCCGTTTTTGTGTACTAAAACTAATTGTGCATATAAGAAATTTAGAAACATATTTGATTATTAAGGTTATTTTAATATAATAAGTTTTAAAAAAATTAGGAAGAATCTCTCAAGATTTTAAAGGAAGTGGGTACCCTTAAAGATCGAATTTTGTTTATATGATTTTATTTGAATGCTTTTGTCTTCGACGTTTCTTTTTCCACTCAAATTCTTTGATCTACTGACACATAAAAGTCTATTGTATGGGCTAAATTTTTTTAAAATTAAAATCATTCAATCTTGTTCCCAACCTTTGCATTTTCAAGAAAATGAAAATTCAATAATTTGATCCTTATTTCAAAACTTAATTCAAGATTTGAATAAAGAGATATGATTTAGAAAGAAAAAAGAAACGGATAAATAAAAATTACTTTTTGTACTAACCGATAATTTTGTCTTTGTTTAATTAATCTTTTTTTAGTCAAAATATTTAAATTAGTAATTGAATATAAATTTAATCATGAAGGTTATATTGGTAATGAATTTAGAGCTTTTTACAAAGCAACGAGCAAAAGTAATAAATCACAGATGTGGAATTGTTAACTCAAATCCTCAAATCCTTGACAGGTTTTTATGATGAGATAGAATTACAAATACTGCATAAATAATATGATCACCGAAGCGAAAAAGCCACTTAAATTAGAATTTTTTAAACTGTCATAAAGAAGGCTTGTTCAGCCCATCTACTTGTGAACGGCTAGTGAAAGTGGCTAGCTAGGTAATTCATAAGTTTTAGTTCAGAAAATCAGGGTTATGTTATCAAATACTCATAATTTATAGCTTAATTTATTCTCCGTTATTCACTTATATCCTTTTTCTTTTGTGACAAGAAATTAAAAATTTAATAAATCACACATTTATATAAAAAGAAAATAGAATAATACAATTAAATTTTTAATAATTAAATTTAGTAGAATCTCTGAGTTATTTTTATTAGTTTTAATTCACTTATCTATATCCATTAAGAGTTCACATCATTCTTCGACTACTTATTTCAAGACTCGAATCAAATTATTTAATACAATTTTATCATTGCTAACTTATAAAATTATACCCGTTTTAAATAGAAAAAAGCAATAAATCCGAAGATCAATTTTTCAAAATGGAAAATCTTGCTTCAATAACTGCCTGGTCTCCAACAACTACAGCTACATCAACAACCTTATCGTCTGTTCCATTAACGGCAGCATCCGCATTACAATCACTGCTTTTACAAGCTGTTCATACATTAACTTCAAAAGGGTCTACTATAAATAATGAAGATTATATCTCCGCTTCAAGAATAATTAGAGGAGCTCAAGCTTCATTAAGTATTATTCTGGCTGAACAAGTAATAGCCACCGCAACTGATGACGCAACAAAATCAAGAGCAACACAATTGATTTGGCAACTGACCGAAAACTTACTAAATTTGGTTCGTGAAGAAAATGTTTATGATATTGACAGATTAAATAGACCTGCTAATATCATCTTCTTGGTCTTATTTGCAATCACTTTTTTATATTGTATTTTGATAGTTTATAAATCAAGATATTGGTGGTTCAATATTGCATTTGTCTGCGGTACAGCTTTGGAATTCTTAGGATACTTAGGAAGGGTGCTTAGTTTTGGAGATATGAGTGACTTCAACTTTTATTTACTACAGTTGATAGCTCTTACCATTGCTCCGGCATTTCTCATGGGAGGAATTTACTATGTTTTTGCTTTGTTATGTGTTATAATGGGTCGAAAATTCAGTTTGTTGAAACCGCTCGTGTATAGCTATGTATTTATTGGTATGTTTTAAGATTTTTAGCAATTTAGAACTGTTATACTAACATAAATGAAGCATGTGATGTAATTAGTTTAGTAATTCAAGCAGTAGGTGGAGGGATTGCTGCTGTTGCTGCTCAAAATTATGAAAGTGCACACGCTGGTGAAGCAATTATGGTTACTGGTATTGCATTTCAAGTTTTTTCAATGTCAATTTATTTAATCTTATGGTTCATTTTTCTTTGGAATATCTTCTTCAAAGTAGATATATTGGATAGTCAACAGAAATGGAAACCGTCTATCAAAAACTTTTTAAGATTATTTTTCAATACATCAGAAGCTCAAAAGTACAAAGAAACTCAATTAGAGCACAATTACAATCCAAAATTCAAGAGTATTAGAAATCGTCCATTATTCAATTATTACCCATTGGCAATCACTATAGCAGTTGCTACAATTTATATCAGATGTATTTACCGTGTTGTCGAATTAGCTCAAGGTTTTAGAGGTTACTTAATTACACATGAAGTTTACGTTATGGTATTAGATGCTACAATGTGTTTTATTACTTGCTTAATATTCATGCCATTCCATCCACAAATTGTGTTAGGTTCAAATAATTTAATTAGATTAAAAACAATTACGAAAAATGAAGATGAGAAACATCAATTAGGTGGTTCTGCTTTAAACGATGAGGAAAAGGCTTTTGATAAAGATTCAAATGATGAAACGTTTTCAAATACCCCAGTTCAATCTAATGAGCAAAAAATTGATAAGAATAAAGAATTATTATAATGTTATTTTAACTCGCTTAATAGATGTGGCTATCTTTGTATAGTTTTATATAGATCAGAGACTATTTTGCCAAAACCCTGCAAATCTCTTTTCTGAATTTTGATCTACTTGGAAGCTCACAAAAGTTCAAGCTTCCTATCTCGTTTTTCTAATTGATAATAAACTCCTGCTGATCATGTGCAGTAATTGCTCTTCCTTAAGCAAGCTTATACGTGCATCTTCAAAGTACGGCATTCTTCATATATCATTAGTTTTCTCCAAATTCTCGAAGATCACTCAATTCCGTTTGATAAGAATTAATTAAAATGAACGGCTTACAAATAAGAGAAAATATTAATAAAGCAAAAATTAAGGTTAAAATGTTCGTAAATTTTAATTTTATTAACGAGATAAATAAACTTTTTTGAATTTACGAGAACGTACATTAAAATTCCTTTTTCTTCAGACGCCTTTTGTGTTTAATCTAACCACCAAACTTAATTAATCACTAGCAAACGTTCACAATTTTCGTATAACTATTTCTTTGCTAAATTTATTAATGGTTTAAGTACCAAATACGATCTTCCTCAGCTTGATAAAACTAGTAGCTTTTTGTTTAGCAAATCTTCAATTTAGATTCGTGTAAATTGAACGCTTTATGGATGAGCTACTTCAGTTGAGGGATCAAAAGATAGAGATCAGAAAAGAACCAGGCATATCAATTCCCTTAAACATTTACAACTAGTACCTGCATGATATCTTAAAAACAAAACATGGAGGAAGGTTTTTATAATAATGCTTTTCTCTGCCCGATGGTCCATCTCGTAGATCTTGATAATTCATGCACATAATTAACATTAGATTTCATAGTTCATATTGTCTTAAAATCAAATAGCAAAGGACTTCACAATGTTATCTGGGGTAGAACTTACTCTTCTTTCACGATTCTTGGTTCTATTTTCTCATGAAGATTTGTGATAAGAAGCAATATAAAACGTGAGTCACGAAAGTGCCTAGTATGCTGAGAGGTTGGACAAAGTATTGTACGACAATTCAATAAAGTATAATACTGATTATTACTGATTTCATTTTTCATTTTCAAAGATCTACATTCGTATGCATATAAAAAATTGCTTACAAAATTTGCGAGAAAAGGTGAAACACAAACTTGAAAAATAAAGCCGCTTAACATAGAACAAAATATTTAAGGAATTAAATTTAAAGCAGAACTGGTTAACTTCTATAGCATAAGTTAAGAGAATCAAGGAGACTTTATTGGTATTATCACGATGGGAAAAAAGTATATAAAAAAGTAAAATATCCAACTACAAAATGTAATTATTTTTGCTAATTGGAATTATTAAATTTTCATGAACAATATCTACCATATTCAAATTTCTTAATTCAAAATGGCTCTAAATGTTGCTTTGGCCCCATTGACTGCTTGGACGCCAACTACAACTGCAACTTCAACAACACTTACTTCAATACCAGCAACAGCCGCTTCTGCTTTACAGTCACTGTTATCAGGTGCAATTCACACACTCACATTAAAAGGTTCAGAAATACCTAGAAAAGAATATGTTACTGTATCAAGAGTAATTAGAGGTGCTCAAGCTTCTTTAAGTATATTGGGTGCTGAGCAAATGATTGCAACTGCAACTGATGATGCTTCAAAAGCTAGTGCAACTCAACTTATATGGGATCTGACTGAAAATTTATTGTCTTTATTTTGGGAAGAGAACGTTTATGGAATTCAATATTTAAATAGACCTGGTCATATTATTTTCTTATCCTTATTTAGTCTTGCATTTTTGTACTATTTATTTATGGCCTACAAATCAAAATATTGGTGGTTTAATGCTGCCTTTTTGTCTGGAACATTATTTGAAGTATTAGGCTACCTAGGTAAAGTCTTAAGTTTCACTGATATGAAAAACTTCAACTATTACTTGTTGCAATTGATAGTAATCACTTTAGCTCCTGCTCTTTATCAGGGAGGAATCTATTATACTTTTGGTTTATTAATTGTGGTTCATGGCCGTCAATACAGCATATTGAGTCCATTAGCATATTCTTATATTTTTATTGGTGCGTATACATTGCCTTTTGTCTTTATTAGTGCAACAAGTCAATTACTAACCTGAAATAATAGCATGTGACTCAATAGCTTTAATAGTTCAATCAGCTGGAGGTGGTTTAGCTGCTACTTCTTTTCTAGAAATCACAAACATGCATCCAGGAACTTTTACAATGGTTGGAGGAATTGCATTTCAAGTTTTGTCAATGTCAGCTTATTTAATTTTATGGTTTATGTTCCTTTGGCAAACATATTTCAAAAACACTGAGAGATTGGGTGAACAAAGATGGAAACCATCAATAATAAATTTTTTCAAATTGTTCTTCAACACTTCAGAAGCTCAAAAATACAAAGTTACCTATTTAGACAGTAATTACGATCAGAAATATAAAGCTGTCAGAAGTACAAAGATATATGGTTATTTCCCATTAGCAATAACAACTGCAGTTTTTGCAATATATATTAGATGTATTTATCGTGTTATTGAATTATCACAAGGTTTTAGAGGTTACTTCATTACACGAGACGCTTATGTCTTGACACTTGATGCGGCAATGTGTTTCATAGCCTGTGCTATTTTTATGCCATTTAATCCATATTTCGCAATGGGATCAGATTATACAATTAAATTCAAAACTCTTATGGTTAATGATGAAGAGAAACATTATTCAAATCAAGATATTTATATTGATGATTTATCAAGTGATGCTGATAAATCAGACAGTTTGGAAAAATCTGCTGGAGTTATTCATCAAACTGTTGAAATTGACAGTTTGACTGAACAAAGTGTTAAGAATTAGTATTTTTGCAATTTCGCATGTTTTGTTTATTTGAGTTATATGATTAATTTATCAAATTTTGTGTATACGTGCTTTAATTTTTTTGTTAAGATTAGTATTAATATCTTTAAATTTTAATTTTACTTGTATTCTCAACTCTATAAATAAATACAAGCCTTTGCCTTAATATGATACTATTATGACAATTCTGAGTTTTTTTCGAAAATCAGCGTGCCAAATGATTCTGAGACAAATTATAAACTCATAAATTAAATCCTAGTCATAGCCAATTTCAGTTCATTAAAACATGTTTATCAAGATAACTTCAGGGACTAAACCTAAAAAACATTGCTTCTTATTTTCGAACTGACGTGAACACAAAAATAAGATATTATAATATGGTGATAGAACTACAAACGGTTTTACATAGTTTCTATTTTTAGAATATTGGAATACGGATTTTTTACACAATAGAAGATAATAAAGAATAACAATAAAGAATAACAATAAAGAATAACATTTTCATCTATATATGTACGGCCATAAACTAATATATATTTCTTGGCTGATATAGCCTACTCTTGTTGCAAGCCGTAGTTTCACATCTAATTTAAGTTATCTGGCATAATTTATTATTTGTTCTTCATTTCAGTGTATGTATTTCAGGAATATAGGGGGTCAATTTGTTACACAAACTTTAAAACTTTTGAAGATAGTTTTATTTAATTTACAGCCTTTTCATAAGTCAAACTGAAATGGGAATTTTTCTCTCCAAGTTAATTTGAATCTGAGGTTGGACATACAACTAATTTGGTGGCTTTGATAATAGCATGTAATAACGTCAATTTAAGTTTTAGATTCATGGATTTATTTTTAGATGGAGAAAAAAACTGTACATATTAAATTTGTTTCATAGATGTTAACACCTAAATTCAAATCGCAAAAAAAAACAAGACCAACTATTAATAGTTTTCTGCTACTGTAATATTGTTTCAAAGCAAAATAACTGCAATTTTCCCTAATTTTAACAAAGTATAGATGTACCAAAGTTTTAATGGCTGAGTTTGTACACAAAATCAATTTTGTATCAAATAACAAATACCGCTTAACCTGAAAATACTAGCTGTGAATACAAATTAACAAAGAAAGTTTATACCAACTATTTTCCTATATAAATCTGGAATAATCTTACACATTTCTTTATCCCTTGAAAAACTTTTTTTCAACAAAATCTGTTAAGTTCAAATCACAAGTTGCCTATTGATAAACAGGATACTTTACAATTTACTTTTTGATTAGTGTTACATTTCTACAAACTTCAAAACAAACAAAAAGCAGTAGCTTTAAGATAGATTAACAAAATGGACACAACAAGCACTTGGTCACCAACTTCCATACCATCTTCTACTACATTATCAAGTATTGCTACAACTTTTGCCCCACAATTAACTCAAACTTTATCATCTTTATTGAATCAAGCTAGTACGGAGACTGATACTGTTAATTTCCATAATTTACAAGAAGCTTACAGAGGTGTACAAGCATCACTTACAATAATTTCAGCCGAACAAGTTTTAGCTACTGCCACTGCATCATCAGTTAAAAGTGCTGCTACTGATGCTATCTTCTATGCAACATTAAATTTGAAAGCTATTGAATGGGATAGAAATATCTTTGGATATGAATTGAGTAGACCAGGTAATTTGGTATTTTTGATTTTGAATTTCATAATTATAGCTTATATTGCAGGTATGGCTATTTGGTCAAGATATTGGGGATTTAATATCACCTTCTTTTGTGGATATACACTTGAATTCATTGGCTTTTTAGGTAGAGTCTTAGGCTTTCAAGATAACAGTTCTTTGCAATATTACTTAATGAGTTCTATCGGACTTGTTATCTCGCCAGCTTTTATCATGGCGGGAATTTACTTCTTGTTTGGTCAATTGGTGGTTATTCATGATAGAAGATTTTCAATCTTACCCCCATTGTTCTATTCATATTTTTTTATCACTATTGATGTTGTTTCATTGCTTATACAAGCTGCAGGAGGTGGTATTTCAAGTGTAGCTGCAAACAATCATACAAGTCAGTCAGCGGGTAATGCTATAATGATAACAGGTATTTGTGCTCAAATTTTTGCAATGTCAATATTTTTAATTTTTTGGTTTGAATTTTTGAATAGATTGTTTTTCAAAAGAATGCCTCAAGAGTCTACATACTCAAGAGAAGAAAACCCATTAAGGAAAAGATCATTTTGGAATTTTTTCAAGTTATTGTTCAATGTTAGATCAGTTAGAGAATATAAACAACAATACTTAGAACAATTTTATAATCCAAAATTTGCTTCAGTTCGTGATCATAAGTTGTTTCCATTTATGCCATTAGCTATGACTATAGCAGTGATTGTTGTTTATATTAGATGTGTATACAGAGTTGTTGAACTAATTCAAGGTTATAGTGGTTATTTAATGAATCATGAAATTTATTTACTCGTATTAGATGCTACAATGATTTCAATTTGTGGTTTAATTTTTTTCCCATTCCATCCAGTTTGGGTATTTGGTAAAAAGAATCTTGTTAAATTAGCTTCCATAAAGAAAAATAAGGATAAAGAAAATAATGGTTCTGATGAAACTTTTGAAAATTCAGTGGATGGTTCAATGGAAAACCAAGGTGAAAAATCTACTAGAATTGCTTTATAGTTTTGAAATTATGTTGTTTATTGTTTATTTTTTAGTGTGTTTTGTGATTTATAGATATTTATTCTAATTGAAGAATTGAAAAGGCCAATTTTGTAATTAAGACAACCCTAGCTAGTAAATACAATTTATATTAATGGCTGCAAAATTCTGCTAAGGAAATAATATTTTGTAAAAGTAAAAACGTTTTAAAATCTGGTAGTGTATTTTTGATAATGCTTTGTTTAAATTTGATTGACATCACTATTCATAATTTGCATCATTTAAAAAGTGTCAAAGTAGCAGATCTTATTTTAAGCATCTTGTTGCTTATCATTTAAATTTTCTAAAATTATATATACATATCGTATAATCCTTATACATCATCGTTTAACAATTGATTATTGTGGTATAATTATATAGATCTTGTTTATGTATGTAATTTTCATTCAACCCATTTTCCGCACAAAAACTTTAATACTCAAAACTAAAAAAGTTTAAAATATTATAATGTGGTTAATGCCTTTTATTGTTTGTGTAAGGACTTGTAAGCTAAAAAAATATCTTATCTAAACAATAGTTTGTAAGTGGTTCATGAAATAATAAAATAGAGCATACTTAGATATCGTATATATTCTTGTAATCGTATATTATGGATTTTAAATTCTACAAAATTTATTGAACTTATTAATTTTAATATTCATGATGTCATAAAATATTTTGACATAAATTTGAGATTTCAATTTTAACTTTTTGACAAAAGAAATATTTGAAGATTAAATTTCTTTTATAAATTATACGACTCAATTAATATTTTAAATTAAAATTGAACAGGAATCTACATAGAAGTTTAGATCTTGAATAATTGAATAATAAACAATTGAAGTAATTCAATTTCATAAATTTCCAAAAGGCTGAGCTTTTTTATTTTCGTACGTTCAAATTGTGTAATTGATGTTTGACTGATTGTTCTAATTTTTACTCTCTATGCATATAATCAAAATTTTGACTTAAAATGTCTGAAGATAATAAAACAATAAATTTAGAATAATTTGTTTTCTATATAAAACTATCGTCTTCAGTTGATTCAACATTACCACAAAAGTTCTCATTCATCACTTTTTAATCAAGGCATATACTTTGAAACTTGGAAGTTGAGCTTTCAGTCGATATATCATAATCAAAACCACTAGGCAGTTTTATTTCACAAGAAAACTACATTTCAAATAATCAAGCTATCACTTCAAAATCAACTAAGTCAAGCTATCATTAAAACCTATCATAAAATCCAGAATTATATCGATATCTATTCAAGATCACGAACAACAATTTACAAATAAAGAATTAATAAATGGAACTTACAAAGACTTGGTCACCAAGTTCAATAGCCACGTCCACAACTTTATCAAGTATTGCTACGACTCATGTACCAAAACTACAACAAACCATATCATCAGTAATTCAACAAGCCAAAACTGAAACAAATTATATTGTATTAAATTCATTATCACAAGCCTATAGAGGTGCTCAAGCTTCTCTCACAATAATATCAGCGGAAGAAATATTAGCCACTGCGACCGCATCATCAATACAAAGTGCCGCTACTCAAGCTATATTTGACGCAACTTTAAACTTGAAAGATTTAGCAAAAGAGCAAAACTTATTTGGATACGAACCCAATAGACCAGGAAATATCATATACTTAGTAGTTTATGCTATTATTATGTTATATACTGGTGTGATGATGATCTGGTCAAGATATTGGTGGTACAACGTCACGTTTTTCTGTGGCTATGCACTTGAATTCATTGGATTTTTAGGAAGATGTCTAGCTTTTTCAAATACCAAGTATATGCCTTATTTCTTGATGAGTACAGTCTGTTTGACCATAGCTCCCGCATTTATCATGGCTGCTATCTACTTTTTATTTGGTCAATTGGTCATAATTCATGATAGAAGATATTCAGTTTTACCGCCATTGTTCTATTCGTATTTTTTTATTGCAACAGATGTTTTATCTTTACTTGTACAAGCTGGAGGTGGTGGGGCAGCAAGTGTAGCTTCATCAAATCATACGGACTCGAGACCAGGTACTAATACCATGATAGCTGGTATTTGTTTACAAGTTTTCGCAATGACAATATTTTTATATTTTTGGTTTGAATTTTTAAATAGATTATATTTCAAGAGGTTAGAAAGTGAACCTGCAGATATTGCCGAGAAATATCCGTTAAGGAAAAGATCATTTTCAAATTTTTTCAAGTTGTTGTTCAATGTCAAGTCAGTGAGAGCGTATAGAGAAGATTATTTAGAAAGTCATTATAATCCAAGGTTTGCGTCAATTCGTCACAACAAATTGTTTCCATACATGCCATTAGCCATGACGATTACAGTAGTAGTCATCTATATTAGATGTGTATATAGGGTAGTTGAATTAGTTCAAGGATTTGGTGGTTATTTAATGAATCATGAAGTTTATTTATTAGTTTTGGATGCTGCGATGATTGCTGTTGCTGGGTTAATCTTCTTTCCATTTCATCCTGTCTGGGTTTTTGGTAGACAAAATCTTGTTAAATTGGCTACCATCAGAAAGAGAATGGATGTTCACAATGAGGATAGCGATGAAATAAAAGAGGAACCAGAACTATGTGGGGAAACTCTCAATGAAGAAAGTTTGGAGAAGAAGACAATGCTGGAGAGAAATGCTTTATAAATTTAGAGTATAGACTAAATACATATGACACTCAATTTTTTCGTATAAATTTTGAAAATATAATCGCATGTCTGTTTCTTTTAGATTCTTTTTTTCACAAATTTGGCTGCAAATTGAAACAAAGAAAAGTTTATTTTGTGTTTTCCATTTGCAACATTTCAAAAGTAGTGTGAATTTAATAATTTCAAAACATTTTTTTGTAATTAAAATAAATAGCTATACACTAACAAGACAACTACAACAATTGCTAAAACATTGGTCATTCTAGAAATTTTCTCATCTTTGCTATATGAGCTACGTAGTTGACTCGCTTTTTTCAAATGATTCTTTGCACAAACAAAATTCAAGTTTTACTTCAACTTCTACAGATATTGACATAGATGGTTTGTTAAGTCAATTACCTTATTTTCCAACTAATGGTATAGATCCAATTTTTCAATTTACAAATGATGAGTTAATATCAGATAGGTTTCCAATAACAAAGTACCCCTTTGACGGATTCATAAATTTTCATTCATTAAAAATTTGTAGTTCTAATGCTAAACAAATGTCAAAATATTTACAATTATCTATGGGGTTTAAAGAAGTTGCATATAAGGGGTTGGAAAATGGTTCAAGAATAATAGCTTCGCATGTTGTTTCAAATGGGGATATTTTTTTGGAACTTGTTAATACGTTGGAGACAATCAATGAGGATCAGAACTTGTTGAAATTTCCATTCCTGCAAGAAGAGTTGGAGACATTTGAAGATTTTGACACTAAATTTAAGACCTATTTGGAAGAATTCAAAATAACTACTGAGGATCTAGTTTTTGATTATATTAATAGTAAGATTGATAATTTGAGTTCTGATCCTGTCAACCGCTTAAAGTTTACTCAATGTATTTTTGAAACTATTTTGAAAAATGAAAATTACAAGTGTACCACAAATGAATTAAAAAGTTATATGATAAACATTTTAAATAATTCAGAAATAATTTATAATGATGTTATGGAATGTATTTTGATACAAAATTTTTTAAAAAATCATGCAGAAGGGGTTATGGATATTGCACTTAATGTAAATAATGTTGAACAAATTTTTTACAAATCGATTAGATCTGGTGCTGGTATAATTAGACCACTTAAAATAATAAGTGATCAAAATGGATCAATCAAAACTGCTACTATTACTGTTCCAAATACTGACATACAACATACCCTAATTGAAAATGTTAATTACTCTGGACCATTTAAACCAGGATATTTTGATCCACTAACTAGTGTTTCAGAATACGATAATCAATTGAATAAATTACCCAAAATCCAGCTTACCGCAATTGATCATTGTGTAGAGAATTATTCATGGAACCAAATGATAGAACAAGCTAAACTTTATGCTGAAATGTTTGGATTTCATAAATATTGGTCAGTTGATGAAATGGATGTAACAACTGGGTATACAGCATTAAGATCTATTGTAATGAGTTCAAGTAATGGTCAGATTAAAATACCCATAAATGAACCTGTAAAATCTAGATATAGAGGACAAATTGAAGAATTTAATGATTTTTATGGTGGTCCTGGTATACAACATATTGCATTACGTACAAATAATATTATCAAAACTGTAAAATCAATGATTGAAAGAGGTATAGAATTTAATCATGCAAGTGAAAATTATTATAAAAATTTACAAAAAAGATTAAATGATTGTGATATACAATTATATGAGAAGTTTGAAGAAATTAAAAAATTGAACATACTTGTAGATTTTGATTCAAATACATTTAATAAAAAAACCAAAAAGTGTAATTATATTTTACAAATTTTTTCGAAACCATTACATGATAGACCAACATTATTTATTGAAATCATCCAAAGGCATCATCATAATGGATTTGGAAAGGGGACTTTTAAAGGATTATTTGAAACTATTGAAGAACAACAAAAATTACGAAAAACTTTTTATGAAGTTGAATAAAATTAGAACATGTGTACTGCATACTGTAGACCTACTTGCACTCTTCGAATTTACGTTTGATGAATGTACATATGATATCATTATTTATTATCATTACTATATAGTTATATACAATGACTTCATTCTCTTCATATTACTAAGCTATAATGTTTTTGGTACACTTAACGGGGTACTTTGCAGTGAATTATCGTAAAGATCATTTTCTTTAATACTTGATGATTGTAAAGATCTTTCAAAATAATCATCACGATTATTTATTGAATTTGTAAATCCATTACTTGAACAATCTTCTTCTTCTTCGACTTCACCTTTTGCAAAATTTGAATTCGATGGGTCTAATAATTTATTAAAATGACCTTCTTCATTTCTAAACTTAGACATTTTTTCAGCTTCTAAATCATCTTCACTTTTCAATTTATGACCTTCAGCTAAAAAATATTCTTTGATGTTTCGAACAAATAATGGTGTTAAAATATCATCAACCCCTTCATTACGTGCAATTTCATAAGCTCTATCAAATGGAATCCAAACTCCCTTCAAATTCATTGATCCAACTTTTACAACATTTTTAACTTTTTCAGTTTTTAATATGCCATCTCTTTTACCTCTTGTCATACCAACAACATTTAATAACTTGGTGCAGTTGATATAATTGTTGTCTTCTCTACGAGAAACCAAAATATTTTTTGCACGAACTTGATAACAATTGGTATTTTCATCATCCCAACGAGTTGTTGCAACTTTTGGTCTGACAATATTTTCAGGAAAGTCATTTTGTGGAATGCTACTGCTGATTGATGTCGCTCTTGAAGAAATATGATCTTTGTTTGAAAATGTAGATGAATGCCTTGATTTGGTAGTTAAAGTAGATGAGACCAGAGGATTTCTCAAGAATGATTGTGACTTTGAAGGTTGTGATTGTTGCCTCTGAGCTGCATATGCTTGATATGTAGATGGAATTGTAGGTGTGGTATAGGACAGATATTGTGATACACTGGATTGAGGATATAACATAGTAGTTGGACTTCCAAATGCTTGACTCAACATCAATTGCTGCTGTTGTTGTTGCAGATGTATTTGTTGTTGTTGTTGTTGTTGTTGCAGTTGCTGCTGGTGCTGTTGTTGATGTTGTTGCTGAAGTTGTTCATTATCTTCGTCTATTTTCTCATTTTGATAATCCTGAGTTTGTTGGGAGATATAATTCTGCTGTGCAATTTTTGAAGATGAATAAATTGACGGTTGAGTTTGAGATTTTCCATAATTGTACATGTCTTGTGCTTGTTGTTGCGGTTGCTGTTGTGGCTGTTGAGGTTGAGGTTGTGTATAATATGCATTTTGTTGATTATAATTTTGAGAATATGATTGATGTTTTTGGTGTTGTGGTTGTTGCTGCGGTATTTGTTTACTTCTAAATGATTGCATGTCTGGAGTTGAATTTGAATTGGTTTGAAATGTAGGACTCATCACATAACTTTGATAATCATTTAATCCACCATTCGTAGTGTTAGATGTAGATGCGGTAGTATTTGTAAATTCATTATTTGTAACAACTGGATAACCAGGTTGTAAATTGTAATAACTAGAATAATCCATTACATAATTTCTTTGATTTCTGTTTGTAGTAGTTGGCATTGATGCAGGATAAATATTCAACCCTTCAAAACCTGAAGTTTGTACTTGAGTATTAGTTGCTTGTTGTTTTTGAATGGATGAATTTGGTTGATTTGGTTGAGACTGTTGATTTGATGCTGGTTGAGGCTGCTCCAAGTTGTTTTGTTTATCATGCGTCTGTAAATGTTCCTTGGATGTTACACCCATATGCTCGGAACTTGATACTCCTACAAGATCTTGACCATAGAAACTGGCATTTGAAGGTGTAGTCATAACTTTATTCATTTAAGATATAGATCTCTTCAATTATTTATAAAAAAATAAAAAAAATTAGGCAAATTGTTCCTTTTGTTTTGACTTTAAAATTATATTAAGCGGCAAATTGGGGTATGAACAGTGAAACCAAATCAAGATCTGAATGAGGAATCTCCAATATATAAATTAAAATTAAATAAGCTGCCGGTTTAAATAATTTGAAAAATTAGGAAAGTGTACGTTAAGTTGTTAACTTTTGAATGAAAAGCTCTATAAGTCTATTCAATTAATCTTAAGGAATTTCGAGTATAAAAAACTTGATACAAAGTAGTTGAATAAATGAATTTAATTGATGCAATTATTGATTTAATGGTTGATGATAAAATGTTAAAAATTTGATATTGTACTTTTTTGAGATTTTAATAAATCTTGAATATATTTATGAATTAAAAAATAGTAGAGTGACATTCAATTGATTATTAATAACCGATTTCTATAGTCAAATTTAAGATATTTTGAACAAAATATTATATTTCTTTTTCCATAAGTTAAGGAAATAATAAATTTTAGTCTAATTCAATTTTGCTGATAAAACTAATTAAAATAAATTATTATTTTAAAAATATCATCTAAGATTTTTTTATTATAAATGGTCCATACATTATTTATTTTTTGAAGAAAATCTCTTATCAAATTTATAATAAAAAGAAACAACCTTTTAATGGTGGTCATACCATTTGAATAATAATATAGCTTGATCTAAAATATCTAAGTTATTTCTTTGCACTAAAAAAAAAAAATCTTTGTTGACCCTTGATGTTGGGTGGTAGAATTTACCATGGATATTGAATGAACCTCAAGATGAAAAAATAACTGGATAGTGAATAATATTTTATTTTTTTTTGACCCCAACTAACTTCTATAAATTCGAACGAAACTGTCATCATGTTGATTAGATTAGCCTATTTTGATATCAACTTCCAGCTCTTAAATTCGTATATGATTCGTCTTTAGTATTCAATTCAATTGTGGTAAATTCTTCGTGGTGAATTCGATAAAACCGCCGTGAACGGGATTATTCAAGGCACAAGTCAATTTTTAGTTTATTTTTCATCATTTTAAAAACTTAATGTTTTATTCAGTGAGATTATGTAAAACTTGACATCACTTGAAAAAGAAACGGCTATAATCAAGCTTTTCCTGGTGATTAAATTATTCTATTATTTATCAATTTGATATTCTTGTATGATTCAGGTTCCTCTTGATGAAATTCAAAAATTTGAAAGTGGAATACCAAAAACAGTACAATGATGAGGGATTTTTGGTCCTCCATGAAATTAGCTAATTTCTCTTAATCATTACCTATTTAAAAATTTTCATCATCATAACAAAATATAATCAAGCCAGCAATTGGAATTAAAAGTTACAAAATAACAACTCACATAATTTTGCTTATTCTTGCGTAAACCTACACCAACAAACATTCATGATTTTGAAAAATAATAATTAATTATGTAAACAATGAAGATAAATTATTACTCAATATAAGTCATTCTAAAAATATGAAAAAGAAGAATGGAAGCACTCCTTTCGCTTAGTCCAGATTTAGCTAATACTTTTACCAATTTATAGTTGACCAATCTTGTTAGACTATGAATCAACAGCAACCCGCAAGGCTAGATTTCAAGATTTGACCAACTCATCATTTCCATTAACTTGAGTTTTATGTTTGTATTTAAAAATGTAGGTGTAAGCTTTTTATGAAGTAAGTTTAAGAAATGTCAAACTTTTACGAGTTGAATGTGTCAAATAAACTCACATATATTCACTTATTGTTGAATCAGCCTTGGTAAAATTTTATAAAATGATGAAATCAAAATTGAATAATCAAGTAAAGTAATGGCACCAATATTGAAGAACTTTATTCATTACCAACAATTAGTTGAATGGAAAAAGAAATTAGTGAATGATTCAATTTAATAGATCAAATCTGACTGGATATTACTTGAATTCATTATATTTCACTGATGAATACATTTATATCTTAGATTTAAATTGATTTGCTCAACATCTCTTATATCTTGCAGTAGTATGAATTTTTAATAGATTCGTTCTCGATGGCATTCGAATACATCATGCTGGTTTATATTGATCTTTATATAGTAGTTCGTGATTTGAATCAATCAATTCTCTTTAAGTAAAAGTAGATCAAATTTTGTGATCTACAAACAGAACTACCAATTGAATACGACAAGAAATTTCATTAAGTATTAATTAAGTAATGTATTCAGATGTAAATAGTTTAATTATATTATAATCAAGTAAGAGATGAGACCCTAAACCCTTTATTTTACAATCTTTATTGTTATCTAATTTAGCTTTGTAAGACTTTGTAATAAAACTATTCATTAAACTGTAAAATATACTACTTAAAAATTTTTAAACTAAATTTAAAAAAGCCGCCTTAAAGAACAATATTTTTAAAATAATTAGATGATATTGTTATAACGATAATAATATTATCATTAATATAATTCTAATTACAACAATATTAAATTTTTCAATATAAAAATTTCGACCAAATTATTCATTTTAAGTGCTTATTCAACTATCAGATATTCTTGTACATATTAAAGGCTGAAATTAGTCAGTTTGTTAAAAATCTTAACAGCACGAATATTCATTATTTCATAACCGATTTATCAAACAATCATTAGTTCAAATATTCAATTCAGTAATCAAAAATTAAACTTCTAAATCTTCAATACTCATAATATTACAACCAAAATGTCATCATCATCAACATCTTCACAACCACCTCCAACTTCATCAACATCGAAATCTATTCCAACAACAAAAAAACCAAGAAGGCGATCATTCATGGATTATGGAGGTTCAAATTCTTTAAATAACTTTGCATCATCATTTAGTAGAGCTCAAAATTATACTGGTACAACATTTATGGAAAGTCCAGATGATTCAGATTTTGTAGTACAACAACAACAACAACAACAACAACAACAACAACAGAATTCACAAATACCAAATTTCACATTACCTTCAGATCGACCTATTTCACCATGTGATGAAGAAAGTTATATTGGAGATGAAGGAGATAATCAACCACAAGGTGAGAATAGAATACGGAATTTCCAATTTCCAAATTTAAAAAGAAGAGAAAGTGAATTATCAAAAAATTCCAATATTGAAGAAGAATGTATTGATGAATTAACTCCATTAGTTCCCACATTTTCAATCCTGAGTCAAAAAACATCTATAAATTCATTTATATTACGATTGGGAAATTCAACATCTGCTCAAACTATTTTTAATTCTATAAATACTCTTGTGGGAATTGGAATGTTTTCTATACCTTTAGGTTTTAAATTAAGTGGTTGGGTTATTGGAATTATTTTACTTATTGGATCTGCAATGGCTACAAATTTAACATCTAAATATTTAGGTAAAATCCTTAAAAAAAATTCAAATTTAATGACTTATGGAGATATTTCTTATCAATATGGTGGTTCATTTTTTGCAAGTTTTGTTACTTTTTTCTTTATTATTGATTTATTTGGTGCATCATTAAGTTTAATTATTTTATTTAGTGATTGTTTTGGGATTTTATGGAATCATATTAAATTTTTAAAATTAATTTGTATTTTAATTATATTTGTTACTAGTTTATTACCATTGAATGTATTATCTATTTTAAGTTTATTTGGAATATTTAGTACTATTGGAATTATAACAGTTATAATTATAAGTGGATTTATTATTCAAGAATTCCCCGGTTCTTTGAGGGATATAGCAAATACTTCAATTTACCCCAGTAGTTTTAAAGAATTATGTTTTAGTTTAGGTATATTTATGGCACCATGGGGAGGACATCCAGTTTTTCCTGAACTTTATAGAGATATGAAACATCCTCAAAAATATAGTAAATCAAGTAATATATCTTTCAGTATTACATTTATTTTGGATTTTACAATTGGTATAATTGGTTATTTAATGTATGGAAATTTAGTTGATGATTCAATTATAAAAAATATAATGTCAAATTCAAATAAACCAAATTGGATTAATCAAATATTGTATCTTTTATTGGGAATATTACCAATATCTAAATTACCATTAGTTACTAGACCTATTATTACTTCTTATGAGAATTTAATGGGGATTTCACAACATCAAGATCATAAATCTGGTCACAAAAATGGAATTGTTAGAATCGGTATGAGATTTGTATTTTGTTTTATATTGTTATTTATTTCCATTTTATTTACTTCTTTTGGTAAATTAATTTCATTTTTGGGTAGTGCAATATGTTATACCGTTTGTTTAACATTACCTTTATTATTTTATCTCAAATTGAATAAATTTGATATTGGTCAATTTGAAAAGTTATGTATTATTTTAGGTATAATTGTATCTATAGTGTTGAGTATTGTAGGTACTTATGCTGCAATCATGGCTAGATTTTAGAAGATATTGTATACAGTTATTAATAGATTTCATTTGTAATATTAAATATTTTAATAATTTATTTATTAATTTTTAAACTTTTTGGATATATTTAAGTATAAAAAAAACCAAGACCAAAAAACCCATCCTTTAGTAATAAAACGATTCCTAGTCAAGCCCTGCTTTAAACTAAAAATTTACAACTTTGTATACTTTTTGAAACCAAACAATAAAGTAAAAAAAAAAGCACTACCTAAAAAAATACCATTTAATTTGTAATTCTAAGATGATTTTCTATTACGATTACCACCACGTCTATTTCCAAACTCATGATGATTATTACTTGATCCATTACCATTATGATTACCATAAAAATACCCACCATTACCGTTTCCGTTATTATTATTAATATTTTCATGTTCATAAATAGCTTCTTGTTGTTGAGCATTAGCTAAGTATTGAGCCATTACTTGCAGACCAGATGTAGTGAAAGGAGTTTTATGACCAACAAATTGTGGCGAAGGTAATGGTAATTGCATAATTTGTGGTGATTGTACAACAGATACATATCTTATTTGTTGATTACCATTTGTAAATTGTGCTGTTGGTGGTGGTTGAAATTGATGCATATTTGGATTGGGGGAATAAAAAGGTTGAGATTGTGGTTGAGATGGTATTACCATAGGTGGTTGTTGTACAAATACTGGTTGTGCATGAATATTTGGATTTGGTGAAGGTTGATATTTTTGACTTGATCTAAAACTACTAGCTGAACTTGTACGACTTAATGGTGGTAAGAAATAAACTGGTTGTGGTTGCATATAAGGAGATTGCGGGATTGAATGTTGTTGTTGATGACCAAATGAATCATTATTGTTGTATCTTATTGAACTATTTATTGAAATATTTGATGAATTTCTTGAGAATTTTCGTTGTGAGAATGAATTATCTTGGTTGTGATATACTTTTTGATACCTAAATGGTGGTTTATTTGATTTTGTTTTGTTGTTGGAGTGGTTGTTGTTTGTGTGACCATTTTGTTTTCCAGTGGTGGTTGTATTATTTGTTGAAGTAGTTTCAACAGATCCAATTATAATTGAAACATCATCATCATCGTCATCATCATCACTTTCTCCTTCATCTTCTTCTTCAATTTGGTCTTCTTTATGTATTTCCCCATTTTTTGCAGGTTCAGTACCTTCAGTTGAATTTTTTAATTCACCATTTTCGGTTTCATGTTTACCATTTGCTTCTTCAGCTTGTATTTTATTATTTTCTAAATCTTTAATTATACCAAAAACCATAGCTGCTTCATCATTAATCATAGCATCATCAGGTTTCATATCTTGTTGTTGTGGATGTTTATTTTTGTGATATTTACCATTCTTTTTAACACTTGCATGTAATTGATCTTTATACAATTTATAAGTTGATCCTGCATTTCCACTTGATTTTAAAAACAGGTATTTCGCAACTGATGCACATCTATCTTTTGCAAAACTAATTTTAAATTTTTTATATTTTCCATAAAATTCTTCAGCTTTTGTTGGATTGTTGAAAAATTTATTTAATTTGAAAATTGAATCTTTTTCTTCTAAATTGAAAATATTTATTAAAGCAATTGCTGATTTTATATTAATAAAATTTAAAAATGCACAATCATTATTATGAAAAAAATTAATTTGTTCTAATGAACCTAAATTTGAAAAATCTTTTCTTAATTCTTCTTCAGTTGGTATTAAAGGTTTTGGCAGTTCAGAATCTTTATTATTTTTAATACCAATATATACATTTCTTGAAGCACCTGCCGTAACAGCTAATGCAATATCTCTACTTAATGGACCACTATGTTGTTTTGCCCAACCAACAGTTATATCACAACCATGAATAACCAATTGATGTAATTGTTGATGAGTTTTATAAAATTTGTAAGCAATAGCTGCATCAATAAAAGTTATAAAACACATTTTCTTTTCCGGGAAATAATTTATAGATTCAACTAATCCGCCTGCACGTACATTATTTGCAATTTCTTCAATTGTTGTACTTGGGTGTAAATTTCCAAGATATAATGATCTATTATTATTTGAAGGTTCAATATTATTATAATTTATATATGGTATTAATTGTACTGGTTGAACTTGACTAAATCTTGAACTTGATGATAACATGGAATAACCTTCATCACTTATGGTTGAATTTTCAGATTCAAATTCATATTCATCAACTTCATTGTTATTTATTAGATCATTTGAATTTGCCGAGAATTTTGAAATATTTGAGTTGGTAGAGTTTTCATGTACAATAGTTTGATCACATCTATCTTTATTAAAACTTATAGCAGTAAATGTAATATTGAATTTGGAGTTTATATCATTAATATCTTTTGAAGTACTTGATCTTTTTCTTATGGATTCTTTATTATTAGTTAGTTTTTTTAAATCATGGTAAATTCGTCTTGAATAATTTTCGTAACCAGTTATAGCTGACTCAATTGATGTAAAATGTACAATAACTTCCCCATTAATATATTTAATTTCTTTTTCCTCTTCAGCTTCTTCAGATAAATTTTGGTCTTCTTTTTCGTGTTTAGTATCTTTTTCCTCAACTTCATTTTGTTCTTCTTTAGATGACTCAATTTCCTTTTCTTCCTCTTTCAACTCTTCTTCTTCTTTATCTAATTTAATTTGAAAATCTTCAATATCACCAAATTTTTCACATTGATTAACTATAAATTGTTGTATTTGATTAAGTCTATCATCAGTTGAAATATCATCAGGTAAAATATTTTTAATTTTAAAATTTAATTTTAAACATCTTGTTGCTTGAAATTCTAATATATAATTTAAAACTTTTAATTTTATATTATCAAATGGTGAAAGATTATTATTATGATTATTAATTTTTGGCTCATTATATTCACTCATTGAAATTTGTAAATTTTTTGATTTTAAAACTTCTCTTAGTTTTTTCAATTCATCGTTTACATTATTTTCATTATTTTCATTATTATCATTATTATTATTATTATTATATTTTGAATAAAACAGTGAAGAAATTTTAGAATTTACAAATGATATAAAACAATTTTCATTTGAATTATTAATTTCTTTTTTTAATCCAATTTTTTCAATAGGTCCATGATTTATTTGATTTAATAATTCATTAAATGTAACTTCTTGTGATAAATTTTTAATTAATATAGTTCTTGAAGCAGTAATTTGATCTATAGTATTATCAATTATTTCATTTTTAATTGAATTATTTGAATCATTTGATAATAATGAAGTAGATGAAGTTAATCTTGAAGATTTTCTAGATCTTCCCATTCTAGGAGAAGAAGTTTGAGGATATTGATATTGATGGTTTTGGTGTTGTTGGTGTTGATGAATTTGTGGTGGTGGTGGAGGATTATTTAATGAAAAATATTGAAATGAACCCAATTGTTGATGAGGATGTGGATGGGGATGATGATTAGGATGAGGAAATTGTTGATGAATTTGTAAAGGATTTGGTAAATTTTCTATAGATCTTGCATTATTCCCATAATATATCTGTTGATACATTGTGGTATTTTTTGATTAATTTTGTATAGTACGAACTTCAATAGTTGTAAAATAATAAGTGAAAGTTCTTTAACGAATGGTATTGATTATATCTAATAGATGAGTTAATTGATAATTGACTGTTGAATATGGCCCTGATATTGTGAAAGTGAAAGTGATAGTAAAGATAAAATAAAAAAAAGTGTATATCTATTGAAATTATTATTAAAAAAAATTAATTAAATTTTGGTGGTAGGTTTTTTTTTTTCATAAATATAATAAATAATTTAATTATAAAAAAATAAATTCTAAGTAAATATAAATATATAAATAAAAACAAACAAATAAAATTTTCGAGAGAAAATAGAGAATAAAAAAATTGGAAAATAATAAACTAGTATTTATTAATAATTTCAAATATCAATTAATATTAGTAACACTTCAATTGAAGTTTAAGAACAATTATTTTTTAGTTTCTCAAGTTATAGTAGTTAGTGTTAAAATTTAATTTAAGAAAGTAAGAGTAGTGTTCAAAATGATAATTTTTATAATTTTAAATTTTCGAGGAAATTTAAATTTTTTATTTTTTTTTTTATTTTTATTTTTTTTATTTTTTTTTTATTGTTTCAGTTTTTTTATTTATTTAATTTAATTTAATTTAATTTAATTTAATTTATATTTAAGAGGATAAAAATGTTGCTATTTTAAGTAAAAAATATTACTGTTTTAATAGTAAAATTAAAAAATCAAGTAGTCAAACTCCTATATACTCCCTCTTCAATAACTATTAATAAGTGATATTCAAATAAATGAAATTTGAATTGAATATTAAATAAAATTAATATAATATTATAAAAAAAAAGCTTAATTTTTTATCAAGTTTTTAATTTGTGATTCTAATTGTAATTGAATACTGGACAGAAATTTATAGTCAACTATTGAATATAAAGAAGTATAGTAGTAGTAGTAGTAGTAGTAGTAGTAGTAGTAGTAGTAACAAAGGGTGTGTTTAATTATATCAACTATAATTTTATATTATAGTTAATATTATAAAAATAAGATTAACGCAGTGTGTATTTTATTGAATAACGTCTTCTATTTTATTAAAATATAGTTTATCTTTTCAAAATATAATAATAAATTATTATTTATATATGATATAACAAGTTTTACGATAAATCTTTTAGATATTTATTTTCATTCTATAATTTATAAATAAATTTTATTTTTAGTATAATATATATATTATTTATCTACTATTAATGAATTATTGCAAACACTCCTATATTATTAAATCAATTAAAATATTTAAGAAAGAATAAATACAATATATATTTATTTGTTAGTATTAATTATTGTATATTTCCTTTAATTTTAACGTAAATCCTTAATAATATTTAATTAGTGTAATATAATTTACAAGTCAATATTAATTCAAACGTTTGAATTTAAAAAAGTAAAAAATATCGTTTAAATAATTAATATCAACACTTTAGTAAAAGAAGTATTGAACTATTTAATTTCAATATAATGCTATTCCACACTTCTTATCAATTGGCATTTGAAGATAATGGAAATAATTATAAATATCAATAAATACATATATATCAGATTCAGATTCATTAAAGTACAAGGTCTTAAAACTTAACAACAATAATTTAATTTCATTAATATAAAATTGTTCTTTTTCATCAATTTATTGATTATGTTTAAATTTATTCGTAAATTAATTTATAAATTAAAAATTATTTCTAAATTGAAGATCTTTTTTTTTTTTTTTATTCAAATAATATTTTATTTTGCGTAGAAATCAAAAATAAAAAAAATGTAAAAAATGGCAAATTAACAATAAATTTTTACCTTTAAATTTTACATTTAGTTTATTTTATTATTTATTAATCAATTAATTTTTACGTATTCTTTTACGCGTTAAAAAGATTAAGTTAAATATAATTTTAATTTGTTTGAAAGGCATTTTTAAAATGTTTAAAATAAATTAAATTTTTGTTTTTGATTCTAAATTTGATTAAAAATAACAATTTCCTTAAATTTTTATTTATATCCTTATTTATTTAATTTAAATTCTTCTTTTTCTTCTATTTTGATTTAGTGTTATATATTTAGCCTGTTGAAATAATTGACTATTAATTTTTTTTTTATTGTTAAATTTTAGTTCATTCTGTATGAATTTAATTTTCCTCGTATGTATCTTGGGTAATTAATAAAGATATATACATATATATTGACAAGTAAAGTATCATCAAAGTACACATCTCAATAAGTAATTTTATATTTATTTGAATGAACTGATAGTAAAATTGGGATTATAAAATGAATAAGTAATCCGGTTTTATAGTGTTCATAAAATTTTGTAGTTTACAAAATGAAATGGATTCGATTTCAAGTTTGTACAATAATTTCATTAATAATTATTAATGTGATCAAGTTACATCAGGCTTACAATAAACTAAAAAAATCCATATAATATGTGTAGTATAGATGCAACGAGATTATAAACTCATGCTGTCAATTGATATTGCAGCACTAGTCTTTGACTTTTCGCGTAATTAATAAGACTGAGTTGGTAGAAGGTAACAAAAAAAAGCACCAGACTTTCAATAAATGATTAATTGATATATTTTACCTACCGTAGTCGGGTTTCAATTTTATCGATAATTTTAGTCTTCAAATTTTTGAATGCTGTGAGTCGACTAGAGTTTCATATTATTCTACTATTTTGTTGCTCAAATTAAATTGTAAAAAATCGTTCTTTGAAAGAGAAATACTCATTATAATTTCACTGATAAAGATGATTGTTTTGACCAGGAATAGGCTTCTCAAATTTAAGCTTCAAATATTTTACTTGTAGGAGTTGATCTTCTTGAAAAGATCAACATTTATGAATATCAAAAGGTCAGGCAACAAAAGTAGAATTTCTCAAGTCTCTGTTATTTTTGGTTGGACAGCTGAATTTTGTTAAGCATTTAAAAAACAAATAATGTACTGAAGTAGAAAAACTATGTTACTTCAGTATCTGTAGAGGCTAAAAGGTTTAACTCTGAATGGGTTAATTGCGGAAGGCTACTTACATAATTTATTGTAAACTAATCAAAAAACTCAATCTTATTGATGGTAATGTGGATGATCAAGATTTGTACATAGTTTTGTGACAAGAGCACTCTATTCCAAGGATTTAAAAAATAATTATAATTTGCAACCATTTTTACGTCGTGAAACAATATTAATTGATATGAACAATTACGTCGTGTAAATATCAAATTAAAACTATAAACAAATCAAATTTTAAAAATGGCAATTAAATTGAAATTTTTATTAAAGACAGAAAAAAAGCTCATCTATTTTATTATGTAATATTATGAATCGAGCTACCAAATTTCTTCAGCTAGATCAACAAAGTTTTTTTTTTTTTCTTTTTGATGAATATTTTAACAGACATCATCTTTGTATTACAAATTTATTAGATCAATCAATTTCAATTTCATATTAGTCAATCAATCAATTAATCAATCAATCAATTGAAGAACTAACATTACATTTATTTCATTTAATCAATATACATAAATTAGATAGATAATTCATATATACAAAAGAAAAAGATGGCTCAAGAAGTTCCTACATTTAAATTAGTTTTAGTTGGTGATGGTGGTACTGGTAAAACTACATTTGTTAAAAGACATTTAACTGGTGAATTTGAAAAGAAATATATTGCAACATTAGGTGTTGAAGTTCATCCATTAGGTTTCCATACAAATTTTGGTGAATTAAAATTTGATGTTTGGGATACTGCTGGTCAAGAAAAATTTGGTGGTTTAAGAGATGGTTATTATATTAATGGTCAATGTGGTATTATTATGTTTGATGTAACTTCAAGAATTACTTATAAAAATGTCCCAAATTGGCATAGAGATTTAGTAAGAGTTTGTGAAAATATTCCAATTGTTTTATGTGGTAATAAAGTTGATGTTAAAGAAAGAAAAGTTAAAGCCAAAACAATTACATTTCATAGAAAAAAAAATTTACAATATTATGATATTTCAGCAAAATCAAATTATAATTTTGAAAAACCATTTTTATGGTTAGCAAGAAAATTAGTTGGTAATCCTCAATTAGAATTTGTTGCTTCTCCTGCTTTAGCTCCACCAGAAGTTCAAGTTGATTCTGATTTAATGCAAAAATATCAACAAGAAATGGAACAAGCTACTGCTTTACCATTACCAGATGAAGATGATGCTGATTTATAAGTTTAGTTTTTAAAAGAAGAGAAGATATAAAAAGTCATTAATAAATTCAAGTTTATTAATCACTAAGTTAATACATTTTTTTAGGTTTAATAAATTCATTATATAAAATACAAGCATTATTGCTCACCAGAATCTGACTAATGTTGTAATTCTAATTTTGATTATGTTTTTATTAAAGTGCTGCTAAAAGAGAAAGATAGAAAATTATATATAGGTATTTTATATAGGTATATAGTAAATTTTTATTAATAAAAGATTGTAATTTATGTAAATTCAATTTATACAAATTGAGCTCTATATACTTTTGAATATACTCAAACCCAGTCAACCTCGAAATTCGTAAGTCATTAGTCATACATTTAATAGAATCCAGCTATTAAACTTGTTGTTGCATCTAATAGAATCCAGCTATTAAAATTGTTGTTGTTGTAGTTGTTGCTTTTTTTGTAAATAAATTGAATGTTGATACTCTCTAGTATTATTATAAACAGCAGGTGGAGGTAAAGGTAAACCAGTAAAATGAGGTGGTGGTGGTAAATTAAATTCTTCTTCTTCTTCATCATTATCATCATCATTTGATTTCAGATCAATAATCATTGAATCCTCATTTTTTTTGTGATGATCTTGATTAGCTATTAAATTTTTATCATCTGGACCACCAGGTATTCCCTTGTTTAGTTTATTTAAAGTTATTTCATAAATTAATTCCTTTGGTTTCCAATCACCAGTTTCTTTTGATTTATATTCATAATAATCACAATAATATTTTATATGATTTTTACCCATTAAATGAGATTTTCTAACACTTCTTGTATCATGCGTTAAATATGATTTACAATAATCACAATAATACTTTGGCATCGTTGCTTATCAAGTATTGATTGATTAAGATTTACTTGTTGATAAATATATATGATTCAGTAGTAATTGCATATGTCATCACGTGAAACATATATTAACTACTTGTCCAATTGAAATGTATTATTTAGATAGACTAATTTGGTAGCTTGAAGAACCTTGTAAAATTTTACACTACCTCCATAATTAATATGCGATTCGCAAATACTAAGGTGAAAAAAAAAGTCTATAGTCAAAGAAACGATATTGAATCTGATATTAATCAACCATCAACTACATATTCATAACAACAATGTTCAGACCAATTGCTGTATGTAACAGATCATTTATGGCGGAATGATAGAGGATAAGGAATTAATTTATGAAATTGCAAGAAGGAACTATAATACTACATTCAATGGACTTCAATGGTTGACTTGTAGGAGATATTGATGAATCAATCAAACTCAAGTCATTGTTAGCAATACGAGAGAAATTAAGACGAACTTAAAATTGGAATACAGTATTTGAAAGTTTTTTCAACGACATACAATTGGAGAAACCCCATATATCAACAATATTTAAACAGAACATGACAAGCTTTGACTATAGAGTTAAAATCTCCTTCATAGCTCTACATTAATCCTGCCTCGCTTACCCTATGACTTTACCGTTTTGTATACTAACAATCCCATTTTTAGCGTATATCATCAAGAAGATTATTTTCAATCACACCAAAAAGATCAAATTTAATTGGTGATTTATATGTTCAAAACATTAGACAATTTAAACCAAAAGCTTTATCACAAGAAGAAATTGATTCAGCAGTAAAAAAATTTCAATTACCAGGTAAACCAACCATACCTCAAATTCATGAATTATCAAGTGAAAATGTTAAAGAATATGAAACAAATGATGTAAATACTGCTGCTTATGATAATGAAAAAGTCGATACTACTGAAAATACTAAACCTGATAATGATGATTGGTTTGTTTTTGATGAAGTTGAAGAAGCTGGTCATTAAAATTGATGATTATGGTATAAGCATTCAATAACTCAAAAAAAATATTAATATAGATGCTATTTTTAGTTCATAAGATCTCTAGTTAATAAAAAAGTATAAAATTGTTCGAAATACTACATAACCCTTCTAATATTGAGGATGTCTCGTGGTATAATTGAATCTGACCTTCGATAACTTTTAAAAGTTTCAAAAAGTTAATTTTGTGTCATGAACCATAAATCAAAACAAAGAATAGCTATTCATTTTTTAATCGATAAATCAAGTAACTATCTTATTTAAGAATGACAGATTCATATTCATACCATAAAAGAGCTCATCTAATATCATCGGCCAACTACTTAAATTCCACTTTACAGTCTCGAGCATATATAGAAACAAAATTGTTATTTCCTAGTATAAACTCAAATGATTTAATCTCCACAAGCAAAGAACAAGATGATCTGATTATTATAACTGATGAATTAATACGAAATGATCAAACAATAATAGATGTAATGATGGATCTTATACTGTCAATTGATAAATATCGGAACCAACAAAAAATTATAAATGAGTCAATAACGTCAAAAAATAATACAATTGAAGAATTAAATAATAGAGTTAACATATTGGAAAAGCAATTAACAATAAAAGACAAGAAGAATAAAGAATACCTAATCGAGAGAAACAGAATTAAAAATAAATATGATCAAGTGAATTCAATAAATAAAGTCCAACATAAAAGTATCAAGAATCTATCAAATTCAATGAAAGATATAGCAGTAAAGAATAAAATAGATATGAAAAAGAAAGAATTAATAATTGATGAATTAAAAACCAAATTAATAACGAAGAGAAATCTTAGTTCAACCATAAAGTATGGAATACCTTTAACTCCTACATTGGAAAAAAGTCAAGACACCGATATACCAATCACAACATCAACTTCAACTTCAATTGAAGAAATCTTATCAAATAATATACCAATCGATGACAAGGAAATACTACTAAGTGACGAAATACTATCAACCATTAAAAAATTTCACGATAACGAATCATCAATATATATCAATCAATTATCAAACACAATAAATGATATGACATCAGAAAACTATAAATTAACAAATTTAATAAAATCAATTGAAAATTATTTATCATTATTAAATTTAAATCTAATATCTTTTAAAGAAATAAATTTAGATGATATTATACCTGATCCATTAGAAATTTTAAATGAATCAATAATAAATGAAGTAACTGATGAAATAATAATGAAACATTTTAATGAAATCGAGAATTGTGAGTTTTTAACTAAACCAGTTATAGAAGAATTTTTAAAGTTTTACAATAATTTAAGAGACGTTTTAGTACTTTCAAACCTTCAAAATTATACAACTACAACTGCTTGATATAAATAGTTATGGGATATAATAATTTATTAACATTTTATTAATATATTAATGAAACTAATTATTGGATAATGAGTTTGACGAACAACTTTGTCTCTTACTATATAAATTCTATCATCAATTAATTTTTGAATAATAATGGTAAGAGGAGTTTGTCAATTAAGATAATTCCATTTCATTAAATTCAGCAGATACATTCTTTGGTAACCTAAAACGGTTCAAGTATCACTTTTATCCGCATTAGTTTGAACCATATTCGTTTCATTTTGACCAACTTCATCTGGAATTATTGAAATATCACCGAATGAACCACTCATTTCTTTTGCTGGCATGTTCAATTGACTCGTGTGTAATTCTGGATTTTTAATTTTGTCCTTAGCTTTTGGTCCTTCTGATTGACGTGGTTGTATTTCTTCTGATTTCTTAGTATTAGATTTTGATGAACCTTCAACTATAAAGCTATGTAATCCGACCTTTGAACTACTTTGACGGAATTGTTCTTCATTGGGTAATTGATCTTGACCTTGTTCCACTTCCCTTAAACCAGTAACATTATTTCCAAGATATTCAATTGAAGGATCCTTTTTTCTGAAAAACATTGATCTTTTTCTTCTTCTACCATCTTGATTGGTTTGGATCCAAACATAATCTGGTTCTAAAGTACTAATGCAAAGTAGTACTAGGAGTCCAGTAGCAAATGATAATACCAGAAATACCAAAATAACCGTGTTTGAAACACCCATGAGGAAAGAATTAAAGATGTGTAGGAGAAGAAGTTGTTGGGAAATTTTGAAAAAGAAATGTTTGTTACAGGTATCAATTTGGATGCAAAAAAAATTCTTAATTAAAATTATCAATTTTAGGCGCTGTGTGTTGGCGAGAACTTTGACTTAAATATTTCACAATTGTCTGATGCAAAAGTCGGCCTTTGACTTATAATTACCACGACGTTTGGTGTGGTTTTATTATATACAGTATTTTTGCTGATGGTCAAAGTGATTACTCTGAAATGTACGTATGGTCCATAGCTACATTTCTGCCAGATTAAGTGAACCCCCTGTCTTTTGAATAAGCTCACCGTACAATTTTCTAGAATTCAAATATAAAAAGATTTACATAACATGAACGAATTTACAATCTTTGAGTATCATTACATCTAAAACAATTACATATACAATTACTAGATATTCTTAAGTGGTAGATCAACTTTAGCATCTTTAATGAAGTCTTCGAATTCATCATTAATGTCTAATTCACTTTCATCATTCTCCAATTCTTTTTGTTTTTGTTTCTCTTCATCCAACTTCTTGTATTTTCGATTACTCTTTTTTGATTTATTTTGTTTAACTTTTTGAGCTCTCTCTTTTAATACGGCATTCCTACTTGTACCTGGATTATATAAATCATCTAATTTCAATGCTAATATTTCTCTTGCTTTAATTCTATTTCTTTCTTGTAATCTTGATTCTTGACATGAAACTATAATGTTTGTAGGTAAATGTCTAATTTCAACTTTTGTATTAACTTTGTTTACTTTTTGACCTCCTGGACCCCCTGATTTTATAAATTTTTCCTCTATTTCGTCTTCTTTGACTAGCCATAGTGGTCGTTGCGGTAATTTATTTTTCTTTGGAATTGCATATGGTTTGATTGATGAAGTTGTAATTTGCCGTATGAATTGTTTGAACATTTATTTGAATCGCATCAAGTCAATAGCAACAATTTAATTGATTTGTAATAATGCCAATGTAATATGAGATGTAAGTGAACTTATGGTAAGATAATTAACTGTTAATGAGCCAATACTATAAATTAATGGAAATCTGATATTGAATGTGCTACCAAAAAATATGATAATTTAACTCATTTAGGAAGTCTAATAATATACTGATCTTATTATGTAATTTATTATGTAATCATTAGAATACACGTCTTAAATTTAATTTTTATTTTTATTTTTATTTTTATTTATTTATTTGATTTATCATTTCATAATTTTTAACAACCAATTTCAATTTCAATTCAGTTCAAGTCAATTCATTTCAATTCAGTTCTTTCATTCATTTATCACCAACTTCTTTTTAAATCTAAATCGTCATCTCACATAACTCAACATGTCATTTGAAAGACCAAGTGTTTATTCAGCTCCTGTATTACCAGGTGAAGATCCTGATGATAATTCATTTAATGAAGTTACAAAAGCTTTCCGTTCATTTATATTAGAATTTAGATTAGATTCACAATTTATATATAGAGATCAATTAAGAGAAAATTTATTAATTAATAATTATTTTTTAAAAGTTGACAGTGAACATTTAATTGGATTTAATGATGAATTAAATAAAAAATTAACAGACGATCCTTCTGAAATGATTCCATTATTTGAAAATGCTATCACAGACATTGGTAAAAGAATTGCTTATTTATCACAAGATGAAATTCCAAATAATTTTCCAACTTGTCAATTAATATTATATTCACAAGCAAATAAAATAAGTATAAGAAATTTAGATTCTGAACATATTGCAAAAATAGTTAGAGTAAGTGGTATAGTTATATCGGCATCAGTTTTATCATCAAGAGCTACACAAGTTCAATTGATATGTCGTCAATGTAAACACACTATGCAATTAAAAATTAAAAACGGATTTGGTTCAATTCAATTACCAAAATGTCAAAGTCCTCATAATGTAGATCCAAATTCAACTCAAGAAAAATGTCCACAAGATTCTTATGTTATTGATCATGATAAATCTACATTTGTTGATCAACAAGTTTTAAAATTACAAGAAGCACCTGATATGGTTCCAGTTGGAGAAATGCCCCGTCATATATTATTACAAAGTGATAGATATTTAACAAATTTAGTTGTTCCAGGAACAAGAGTTACAATTGTTGGTATATATTCTATCTTTCAATCTAAACAAGCTGCAAGAAATAATAACACAAGTAATGTGGCAATTAGAAACCCATATTTAAAAGTCTTGGGTTATCAAACTGATCTTGATGCTGGAGCAAATGGTCAAGGTATCATATTTAGTGAAGAGGAAGAAGAAGAATTTTTAAAATTATCAAGAATGTCTAATTTATATGATGTTTTTGCAAATTCAATTGCTCCATCAATTTATGGTAATAATGATATTAAGAAGGCAATAACGTGTTTATTAATGGGTGGTTCTAAAAAGATACTTCCAGATGGTATGAGATTAAGAGGAGATATAAATGTTTTGTTACTTGGTGACCCAGGTACTGCAAAATCTCAATTGTTAAAGTTTGTGGAAAAAATCGCTCCAATTTCAGTATATACATCAGGTAAAGGTTCATCAGCTGCTGGTTTAACAGCTTCTGTACAAAGAGATCCTCAAACAAGAGATTTCTATTTAGAAGGTGGTGCTATGGTTTTAGCTGATGGCGGTGTTGTTTGTATCGATGAATTTGATAAAATGAGAGATGAGGATAGAGTAGCAATTCATGAAGCTATGGAACAACAAACTATATCTATTGCTAAAGCTGGTATAACAACAATTTTAAATTCAAGAACTTCAGTTTTAGCAGCTGCAAATCCTGTTTATGGTAGATATGATGAATTTAAATCACCAGGTGAAAACATTGATTTCCAAAGTACAATTTTATCAAGATTTGATATGATATTTATTGTTAAAGATGATCATAATGAAAGAAGAGATATTTCGATAGCTCAACATGTTATGAATGTTCATGCAGGTGGTAAAACTCAAGAATTACAACAAGAGGGAGAAATTCCAATTGAAACAATGAAAAGATATATACAATATGTTAAATTGAGATGTGCACCAAGATTAACAGAAGAAGCATCAGAAAGATTATCATCGCATTTTGTGTCCATTAGAAGAAGATTACAAATTAATGAAGCTGAAATGAATGAAAGATCATCAATTCCAATTACTGTACGTCAATTAGAAGCTATCATACGTATAACTGAATCATTAGCTAAATTAAGATTAAGTCCAATAGCAACAGAAGAACATGTTGAAGAAGCTATTAGATTGTTTACAGCTTCAACAATGGATGCAGTTGATCAAGGTGTAGGAAATGTATCTGATGCTTCATTAAATGCAGAAATTAAAAAAGTTGAACAAGAATTAAGAAGAAGATTACCAATTGGTTGGTCAACTGCTTATAGAACTTTAAGAAGAGAATTTGTTGACTCTGGTAAAGCAAGTAGTTCAGCATTGGAAAAAGCGTTATATATTATGGAAAGACATGAAGTTATTAAATTTAGACATCAAGGTCAAAATATTTTGAGAGTTGGTGTATAGGTATCAATATTTTTTAAAATTAAATTGTATTATTAAGACGTATATTAACATTAACTTCATTACTTTACTAAATTCAATCTCTCCTTCATCAAGCTTTCAATATTATAATAACAGAATCACCTCTTAAAAACATTTTACTAACGAATCTTTCTCTGGGCACTTGTTTCTTCTTACCAAACTCATTAGTTACTTGATCAGTCCATAATTCTTTAACATTCTCCAAAATTAAATTACAATGTCTATCAAATTCCCTTATTTTACCAATTAATTTATGATTATTCCTACAACTAATTATTACTGGTGAATTTTGCTTTTTGGCTTGATTAAGCAAGGACATTGGACCGTGTAAAAATTCAAATTCTTCTAGTTTTGCTAGCTCTTGTTCTGTTAGTTCTGATCTCGGTCTATCTATGAACTCACTAGATTATTGTTAGTATTAATAATTGTATTTAGATATTGATTAAGATGCATTTGTAAATAACATACCTCATTATTTATATTTTATTTGTGGTGATTGAGTAGGTTCAGTTGGTTACTATGTGGTAAATAAAATGGTGACAAAAAATGTACTATTAGAAGTTGATAATTCCAGAAAATTGATATTTAACTTAGTTTGGTTGTAAATTTGGAGTGTTTGATATTAGTCTCAATTTTTTTTTCTTTGTTTCAAATTTGTGTACGAATATACGCAAATACAAAGACAAGGGAACTAGAGATATTAGACATTATTATTAGTTTTATAAAATCTATTCATTAAAAATTATATCATTAAATCTATGCAAACTTTGACGATACAGCTAATGGAGCACTCAATAAACAAGCTCTCTTGATGATATTTTCAATACGATCTTTCAATACTTTTGAAGAACAATCAATATCCAAAGATCTATAATTTATATTTGCAACATTTTTACCAATTGTAACTTTTGCCTTGTCGTCTGGTAAATTTTCTAATGCATCACCAAATTGAGCTTGTAAGATTAATGAAATTTTTTGAATCCTTGTTTCTATGTCATCGTTTTTGATTAACTTTTTCTTTATGCCATTTTCAATTTTGACCCTGTCACTTATATGATTGTGGCTGTGATTATGTTGTTTTGAGGTTAGTTTAACTGATGCAGGTGATGAGTCTATGGAATACAATATTGCAATTATACTATCTGCCAACGAATCAGCCATCAAATTGTCATTGATCCATTCAACTGATATATACAAACCAGAATTATTTGTTTTATCTATGAAAATATCAACAACATCCATTATAACACATTCCCATGATTCTTCGTCATCAGTAACAATATTTATATATCCAAACATTTGTTCAAGATGCCATATCATTAATGATATATCAGCATTTATTTTGAGGTTTATTTTTGATTTTACTATTGATGTTGATAATTGTGTAAATACATTCAAGTCTTGTAATTGAACAAGATTTAGATCAAAATCTTTGGAGACTAAGACACCTGATACTATTTGTCCTGGTTTGAAAACAGATACATTTCCTGATTCTTTTTCGTCAACCTCCATTTTATTATCTTCACCGTTTTCTTCTTTAATCTCCGTAATTTTTTCTTCATCCTTCTTAACTTGATCTTCGATTTCTTGTTTTAGTTGGTGTAATTGTTCTTCAGCTAATGACCCCAAAACTTTAGCAACTTTCAACCCTTTAAATTTTATAATCAACTCTTCACATATTTTTGGATTATATACTTTGACTTCTCTGTCTGTCCCTCTTCTTGATGAATACTTACTCAATAATGCTGATTTCAATCTACCCATTGGAACTGAGTCACCATGTACCAATATAATTTTTGATGGTGACACTTTATCTATAAATTCTGAATTTTGTTGAAAATCAACATGAGCTGCAAATGATATTTCTTCAACACCTATCCTTCTTGGTATACTTAAATCAGGATTATTTATTGATTGTATGATTGGCGGTTCCTTTAACAAATCTTTCGCCATTGTACCCTCCACTGAGTAACCAGTTAAAATTACTAAATTTTTCTGCTCAGGTGCCCATTTCTCTAATAATTGTCTTGATATACCAGCTTGTAACATACCTGGAGTTGCGACTACTACAGAAGGACCTAAATCTGAAAATTTTGATAAATCTTTTATAGATTTTATGTACTTAAAGTCAAAAGGACTAGATCTAGAATCACCAGAAGAAGAGAGCCGTATCTTATCATTCATAATTCCTGTATAAGTTTCATAAACGGCCATACATTTTTTAGCTAAACCTGAGCAATAATAAACATTTGCACTCTGTAAATCTTCATTTTTCTGCCAATATTCATCAAGAATTAACAAAAGTTCTTGTGCATTACCTAAAGCGAAAACTGGTAATAAAACTCTACCACCTCTTGTTATTGTAGCATGAATATGACTTGTTAATTTTTTTTCCAATTCTGCTTTTGGTTCTAATGTACCAGTACCAAAAGTTGATTCTGTAATTAAAATATCTGGACTATTTGGAGGAACTTCAGCTGAATGTAAATGTCGATTCTCCTCTCTTGAATAATCACCTGTAAATAGTATTTTTAATCCTCCAATTTCTATGAAATACATACAAGCACCCAAAACATGACCTGCATGATAAGCTGTAAACCTGATACCATCAATCTCCATCGTTGAATGATAATCTATTGTTTCAATTTTATCAAACGATTTAAAAATATCATCATCAGTATATAAATTTCCCCCTTCTTCTGCACCATCATTTCTTGAGCTCCCAATTAATGTGACTCTAACGAAATCTTGCATTAACCATCTATAAATAGCTTTTGTTGCATGTGTCATAAATACTTTACCTCTAAAATTTGATTGTTGCATAACATAGGGCAATGAAGCTGAATGATCAACATGAAAATGACTTATTAATAATATATCTACTTTTGATAAATCATATTCATCAAAATACGGAAATGATGCATGTCCACTATAAGCTGGATGCATACCAGCATCTAACATTATAACTTTGTTCTTATACTCGATAATATGACATGATCGTCCAACTTCGTTACAACCACCAAGTCCAAAAAATTTGAAGTTCTCCTCATTGGAAAAGCTGTCATTTGACCCTGAACTCATTGCTGATGCTATTAGCGCAACAGTTGTAGTGATATTTTGATCTGAGTTGATTAATGGCTTTTTGATATTTACAAATTATTTTTTTTTTTCAGATTTTTATTTTGCAACACGAAATTGATATCAGTTTACAACCAAACAACAACTTAGACCTTTCATTAACATAGAAATAACTTTCCCACGTACAGAGTCAAGTCAATGACACAACAAGTAGCTCAACTTACCCATGATATCTTTGTGTCAAGATGAAGTTAAAATTAATGACAAGAAACATTGAAAAATTGAAAGATACTTTATCATTAATATCACATTTAAGAAAATTTGTCATTCTAAAATTCACTCCTGATGTATTAAGTGTTATACTGGTAAATGGTGGATCAGTGCAGCTGGAACCCCAAGTATGGTGTAAATTACCTATAAACCGTTTATTTGAAACAATCGAAATTCAAAGTATGAGGGATAACACAATTCTGATGGAGATAAATATTGATTTATTATTACAAACTTTAAAAAATTTTGATAAAGCAAACAGTGAAGGATTGAATATTAGATTACAGAGAACTGAAACAAATGGTGAAGCTGGAGCTGCCGCCAAAACTGGTAGAACAGCGTCTCTAGCATTATTTTATTCAAATTTAAATATCAATTCAAATGTTATTAATCATACCTTTAGAATTCCGGTTAAAATATTAAGAGAGGCTCAAGATATACTACATGAGCCAACCCACTCGGATATAGGATTGATTATGAGGTTACCAAATGAATTTATCTCCATGTTTAAAAGATTAGATAAATTTAAAAAAACTCAAAATGATACTGTTTTGATCCAGGCTAGTATGAATGACGGCTTACTGTTTATTCTAGAAGAAGAAGGTAAATTTAAAGTTACACTTAGCTGGAATAATAAATTGGAAGTTCATAAGCCAAACAATCCTGATGCGGAATCCTTAAGAGAATCCCTAAGAAATTCACAAGGTATGACAAACAATACTCAAGATAATAATGATGCTTTCCCAAATGAGCTAGATTCTAACGTTAAACTAAGAGATTGGCAGCTGGCTTCAAAATTAGTTGGTAGGTGTAAGACAGTGATATTATATATTGCAGAAAGAGAATGTAGTCTACATTGTCTATTAGATGAAACTGAAGATGTTGAAATGGTCTATTTTATAAATAGCGTAAGAGTTGTATAATGAATAATGAATAGTAAACGTAATGACTTGTTATAGTAGGTGATTAATGTTGTAATTTATCTTGAGTCATCATATATTGTATCGCGCCTCTTAGTCACAAGAATGAATAATTTTTTTGCTACATTTAAATTTCATACATTGCTTTCTTACACCTAATAATTGCAACTTCTATCAACGATTGAGATCTCAATTTAAAGTCAATTTCTATAAAGAATATTTATGTCAAAACCAAGAACTTTAGAAAGAGAAGAACCAAATTATTTTGGTGCAGGTCCAGCTTTATTACCAACTGATGTTTTAACCCAAGCTGCTTATGATTTATTATCTTATGATAACGATACCATCGGAATTGGAGAGATTTCACATCGTTCAAAACCTGCATCAGCTGTTATCAATGATACAAAACAAAACTTACGTACTTTATTGGATATACCTGATAATTATGAAGTATTTTTCTTACAAGGTGGAGGTACCACTGCATTTTCAGTTGTTCCATATAATTTAATTGCCAATTATGCTAAAAGAACTGGTAAGAAGGGAAGAGCTGCTTATGCAGTTACAGGTACCTGGTCATCAAAAGCGGTAGAGGAAGCCAATAGATTAGGTTTTGAAGCTGACACTGTTGTAAACACAAAGAAAATAAATTATGGAGATATACCACCATATTCTGAATGGGATCCAATAAAGGAAGATACTGCTTATTTGTGGATCTGTGATAATGAAACCGTTAACGGTAATGAATTCTTTGGTACTCCAAGTGAGGACTATTTGCCGAAGGGAGTTGAATTGGTTGCAGATATGTCATCAAATATTTTGTCAAAGAAAATAGATGTTAGTAAATACGGTCTTATAATGGCAGGTGCTCAAAAAAATATTGGTATTGCAGGTTTAACTATATATATTATACGAAAAGATTTATTAGATCAAGCTTCAGATGAACAATTAAGAAAATTAGATATAGCGTTATGTCCAATTGCTTTTGATTTCCCAACAGTTGTTAAAAACAACTCAGCATACAATACTATCCCATTGTTTACATGTCAAATTTTAAAATTGGTAACTGAGAAACTCATAAAAGAAAAAGGAATAGACGAAATTGAAAAAACTAACATCAAAAAAGCAAAATTGTTATATGACACATTAGATAAATATGCTGATTTTTATAAATTACCAGTTACAAATCCAAAAGTAAGATCAAATATGAATGTTGTATTCAAAACCCCATCTGAGGAATTAGATGCTAAGTTTGTAAAAGAAGCAGATGCTGCTAATTTGAAAGGTTTGAAAGGTCATAGATCAACTGGTGGAATAAGAGCTTCAATTTATAATGCTGTTTCTTATGCTAGTGTTGAAAAATTAGTAAAATTTGTTGAAGAATTTGCTAAAAATAATTCATAAATACTTATTTAGACTTCTTTTATAATATAATTGAATATCAAAATTATGACTATTTTCTGTATAACATATGTTGTTTCAAAATTCGCAGCAAAAAGAATTTTTAAAACGACTTAAAGTTTATTAGATCAGATGTTTCAAAATTAATGCTACTACCGTCTCTATTCAAACAAAGATTTTCATCATTACTACGATGCTCCTATCCACTAAGACAATATGCCTCAGTATCATTCCCATCAAAACCAATAACAATTGAAGAAAAAAAACACAACTTGAATCAAGAACAATCTCGAAAAACTTTAGAAGAAAGAATATCCAAAATACCCATAGAGAATTATAGAAATTTCAGCATAGTTGCTCATGTTGATCACGGAAAATCTACACTATCTGATAGATTATTAGAATTAACTGGAGTCATACAACCAGGTCTGAATGCCCAAGTGCTAGATCGGCTTGAAGTTGAAAGACTAAGAGGAATTACAGTAAAAGCAAATACTTGCTCGTTAATATACAAACACAACGATAATCAAGACTACCTACTACATCTTGTTGACACCCCTGGGCATGTTGATTTCAGAGCAGAAGTTAGTAGAAGTTATGCATCTTGTGGTGGAGCATTATTATTAGTTGATGCATCTCAAGGTGTTCAAGCTCAAACAGTTGCAAATTTTTATTTGGCTTATAGTATGGGATTAAAGTTATTACCAATTATTAATAAAATTGATCTTGATCTGGCTGATATTCCAAGATCAATTGAACAAGTTGAATCTACTTTTGAACTAGATCCAAAAGATTGTATACCAGTGAGTGCTAAAACTGGATTGAATGTAAAAGATATTATACCTGCAATTATTGAAAAAATACCAGCTCCAATAGGAGACGCTGACAAACCATTAAAAGCACTACTTGTTGATTCTTGGCATGACCCTTACGTTGGAGTTGTGATGTTAGTCCATATAGTTGATGGTAAGATGAAAAAGGGAATGAAAATACTATCGGCTCATAGTAATAAAACCTACGATGTAAAAGAAGTTGGTATAATGTATCCTGATAGAACGCCAATGGAAAGTATAAAAGCAGGTCAAGTTGCATATATTATTCCAGGAATGAAAAATCCGAGAGAAGCATTAGTCGGTGATACTTTTTTCCAATTAGGCAAAAGTGAAGGGTTACAACCATTACCTGGATTTGAAGAACCTAAGCCCATGGTTTTTGTTGGTGCATTTCCTGCCGATGGTAAAGATTTTAATGCTATGGATGATCAAATGCAAAATTTAGTCTTGAATGATAGATCCGTTTCATTGGAAAAGGAAACTTCTAATGCCTTAGGACTTGGTTGGAGATTAGGATTTTTAGGTTCATTACATGCTTCGGTTTTTAAAGAAAGATTAGAGAATGAATATGGTGCGAAGATCATCTTGACAGCTCCTACAGTACCTTATAAGATAATTTATCGTAATGGTAAGGAAAAGATTGTCACTAATCCAGATGAATTTCCAATGAATAAAGTAGTTAATGAAGTTGATTGCTATATGGAACCTTACGTTGAAGCTATCATGACATTACCAAATGAATATGTTGGAGCCGTAATGACCTTATGTTTGAATAATCGGGGTGAACAAAAGGATGTTGAATATTTGAATACCGGTCAAGTACTTTTAAAATATGAGATCCCAATGTCACAATTAGTCGAAGACTTTTTTGGAAAATTAAAAGGCTGTACCAAAGGATATGCATCATTAGATTATGAAGAAGGTGGTTATAGAAAATCAGATATTGTTAAAATGGAATTATGTGTAAATGGTGAACCTCAAGATGCATTAACAACAATTACGCATAAATCTCAAGCACAATCAAAAGGTAAGGAATATGTAACAAGATTCAAAAAATACCTTAGGTATCAATTATTCGAAGTCGCAATTCAAGCAAGAGTCAACAACAAAGTTATTGCAAGAGAAACCATAAAAGCTAAACGAAAAGATGTTACTCAAAAATTACATGCTGCTGATATATCAAGATACAAAAAGTTATTAGAAAGACAAAAAGAAGGTAAAAAACAAATGAAAGCTACTGGAAGAGTGACCATTGGAAATGATGCCTATCAAGCATTTTTACGACGTGATGATTAAAAAAAAAAATTATAGATCTATTCTTGTATATACATATTAACTTAAATCTATCAATTTCTTAAAAACTTTTTATAAAATACATTTTCAGATTCATCAACAAATGTGTATCCGATATTTTTCAAAAATTCTTGGAAATCATCTTCTGAACCTTCAGGTAATATAAACCCACATAAGACTTTCCCAATATCATGACCATGATTTCTATAATTGAATAAACTTATATCCCAATCACTTTTCAAAGCTTGTAAAAAGTTAAATAATGCTGCTGGTTTTTCAGGAAATTCAAATTGATATAATTTTTCATGATCTGATATTTTGTGAGATTTTCCACCTACTAAATAACGACCATGCGATTTTGCTAATTCATTATTTGAAATATCAACAACTTCAAATCCTGCATCAACCATTGCTTGACTAATTTCTGATTTTTCTTTTTTCATATCATTGACATTGAAAGATACAAAAATATTGGCATTTTTTTCTCCACTACTTCTATATGAAAATTCAGTTATTGCTCTTGGATATATGATTTTTTGTAATTTTGCAAATTCACCTGGTCTTTCTGGAATGGTCACAGCTAATGAAACTTCTTTACCTTCACCTAAAACTGCTCTTTCACTTACAAATCTTAATCTATCAAAATTCATATTTGCACCTGATAATATTGGTACATAAGTTTTATCTTTATGATTGATCTCTGGATGTAACTCTATGTATTTCTTCAAACCAGCAATTGATAATGCACCTGATGGTTCAGTAATTGATCTTGTATCTTCGAAAATATCCTTTATAGCGGCACAAAGTTCATCGGTATCAACTAAAACAACCTCATCAACGTATTCTTTACAAAGTCTCCAAGTTTCATTTCCCAAAATTTTGACTGCTGTACCGTCTGCAAATTGACCGACCTTATCTAATTGAACTTGTTTCTTTTCTTTTAATGAAGTATATAGAGCATTTGCATCATGAGTTTCAACACCAATAATTTTAACATGTGGAGCAATATGTTTTAAATATACTGCAACACCAGCAATTAACCCACCACCACCAACAGGTACAAATAAAGCATTTAATTTATCTAATCTTAATTGTCTTGTAATTTCCAATGCTGAAGTTCCTTGACCGGCAATAACATATGGATGATCAAATGGTGGAATATTAATTAAATTATTTTCAGTACTTAATCTTGCACATTCTTGCTTTGCTGAATCAAAATCATCACCATATAATACAACTTGAGAACCTAATCTTGAAACATTGGTAAATTTGATAGAGGGGGTTGCAGTTGGCATAACTATAGTTGCAGGTATATTTAACTTACTTGCTGAATAAGCAACACCTTGAGCATGATTACCAGCTGAGCATGCAATGACTCCAGACATTGGCTGATTGGCATGAGAATGTAAATTTGCAATCATATTATAAGCACCTCTTAATTTAAATGAAAAAACTGGTAATAAATCTTCACGTTTTAATAATACATTTGTACCTAATCTATGAGATAAATTTATAGCATGAGTTAAAGGTGTACCAGCTTCAGGTACAACATCATAAACTCTTGAAGTTAAAATTAATTTTATATAATCTGGTTGTTTTAAACCACTTTGTGGATCTTGTTTTAAATCGGAATCTAAAAGGTCTGGCCATGTTGTAGATGATGATGATGTATTAATTGAATTGTGTCTAACAAAGTTGTATGGAAATTTTTTATGATGTAGTATTCTAGTATTAGTATTTAATAATTGCCTAGACAAAAAACCACTTAGTCTAGTCATAATTTTAAACTGTTTTATTTATGATGCAAATTAAGTTGAAATAAGAAAATAATTCTTTTCGTATATGATTAATGTATAAAATGAGGAAATGTCAAGATTTCAAATAGTCCTAGCAGTAACTAACTTTTGTAAACGAGATTGAGTAAGTTTTTAGTATGAAAAAGTGTCAATGAATAAAATTTAAGGTTTCAACTGTAATTTATCGTTTAAACGGAATGATATTACTTTTATGAATCGATATTTTCAATATATTAATTGAGTCACATTAAATCAGCTCTAACATTGTAAAAAAAAAGTTTTGAAAAATCTGAAAAATTATTTGGTAGCATTGGCACTTAATTTAAAAAACTGTACATTAATGCCAGGTAATGTATTAACAATCAACTTGATAATAATTTCCTAAAATTTTATATATTGATTTCGGATTAATTTATGAAACAATTAATCGTATATTGAACTTTGTTTTCAAACCTGTTTTCAAATACATTTTCTAGTCTCATTCAACAACTTTTAATATCAATTACCCTTTCGAAACTTGTTTCTCATATTCAACACATGAAAAACTGAGAAGCCAATTTACAATTAAGGGGTAATTAATTTAAACTTGATAATCAAAATTAATTTAAAGTGGCGAATGTGAATAAACTTTGGTTGCAAAATTTGAGAAGTATTAGAGAGCAAATTAAGACAATTGATCCTATATCGGAATAACCTCAATCATATCCAAGAAAATTTACAAAAAATTCTTTTTAGTTATTTAAGTACGTATTTAAAACTTATTTTAGATCCTGTATGAAATTAATAGATAAAATAAAAACATTTGTTGCTAAATATAAAACACCGACTTATAAAACAATTATCAAAAAACAGAAAAGCTTCATTCGAATAAGTTTGCATAATCAAATAAGAACCACACAAACACCATCAAAGATTTAAGTAGAAAGCACGTTTTACACCTTATCTTATTTGTTAATTGAAAAATAAAAATTACGATTTGTAGATTTATGCTATTACCCCTTATTCTTTTAATTTTTCAAATCTATCTCGTAATATAAAATCCAATTAACATAACATAAAAGTAAAAAATTCAATTAATTTTTCAAGATTGTGTTTGATCATAGGCTGTTTAGATCTAAATCTCAATAAAGATTTGTCTTATTACCACGATAGACTTATTTTATTGGTTTTTTGTTATTTTCAGATTTTAAACTTGCCTAATTATTTAAAACAAACTGAATCTTGAATATTTTGCAACAAGTTGAAATTTTGACATCACGTCCAACATACTAAGTGACAATTTAATTTATTTATATTGTCAAAAAGCTACATTCATTAAGTTAAAGAGTCAAATTGCTTTAATATTAATATATTAAGTATAAGTAATTATTAGGTGAACCTACTAGATTATGGTGCTAAGTTATGATGATAAATTTTATTCAGAAGATGAACCAATGGAAGTTAATAATACTGTCATTAATGAATCTGATAATTCAAATATCACAACGAATAATGAAGTTGTATTAAATGATGAAACAAACTCATTTTCAACTACTCAATTTGATTTTAATTCTGCTGAGTGGGATTACTTAAGAATTGCACAGCATTCAGTACATAATCAAACTATGGATAATAATGGTATTGAAATTTCACCATCAATTTCAAATCATACCTTACAAAGTTTAAGACCAACTTTTTCATCAGAATATGATACTGATAATACAGATTTTTTAGGTTTAGTCGAAAGTACTAATCAAAGTAATATAAATTTATCAACAAATTCAAATTCAAATATTTTTTGTGAAAATAATATAACAAATAATCAGCATTTAATTGATAACCTAAAGGCAAATCATGAATTTACTTTTCAACATAGTTTGGATGCAAATTATTGGGATTATATGTTGGAAAAGGAAAATTTATTACATGATGAATTTGAATTAAATCAATTTAATAATGCAAATAATAACAAAAGTTCCACAAATATTGGTACTAAAAATAGTGACAATAAAATAAATTATAATGAAGATGAAACAAATAATACGCAGGAACAAAGTTTAAGTGACAATATTAATTCTGAAAATAATGAACATCAAGAAATTGATAACAAAGATAGCGATTTAGATGTACCGAGTATTAGATCAACTTCAACTTCCTTTTTATCTGATCATGAGAAAAATATATGCAACATTACAAATTTGAATGACGACATACCGCAATACAAACCAATATATGAAAGGTATGAAAATGAAGCACTTGATGAAGAAATGGAGGAAAATGAACGACTATATCATCCAAACCTTCAAACAGATCCAATTGAAAAAACTATTGATCAGCAAATATATCAATTTCTGGAAAGGAAGCTGAGCATTCACAACAATATATATGGTGCAAGTTCGTTATCACTGTTAATGCTGGAAATGTCACCTGACTCACCAAGTCAAAACCATTTTAATCTTGACGAAATCACAACGTATAATAATAATTTTGTAAATTCACCAATTTATGAATGGCCAGATGATGAAACTACAGGGACTTTAAACCTGTATAATCGAATAAAAATTCAATTAAAAAACCTTGAACCTAAAATTATAAGTGATGCAGTATTAAAAACAATAAGAGAAGAATTTATAATTCAAGATTTATTTTTAAATGGTGAATCACCGCCGACTCCAGAAATTCCCAAACTGATTAGAAAAAAACTGGATAGAGATGTTGAATGGACTCCATTGTCTGTTTATAAAGCTTACACAAATATTAAATCCCCAACTAATGGTAAAGATTCTTACAATAGATTAGTACCTTATACTTCATGTATTGGAACTTTAAATTATAGACCAAAAGATCATGCAGCTTGGAAAAGGTCACCAAATCGAAGATGACAGAATGAAATTTTGATATTCATATTTATAAAATAATTTTAAACTTTATTTATATAAGTTACATAAATTAGCAACGTAAATTAATAAAAAGATTAATATAATATTATGCATAAATAATTTTTTCAACATAAATTTAGATTTTGACAGAATTTTGTAGCAAAATTTACGAGATTGTAGCTAAATTGATCTGTTTATTTGCAAGGTCCAAATAGAAAAATCCTGTAGATGAGATAGCTCTAACAAGCCCTTTCTTTCAATGTGGGGCTAAATATAATTTTTTTTTTTGTCTTTATCCGAGTTATTAAACCTTGTTTTAAATTTTGACCTTGGTGTTTCAAAATTTTCATTTTTAATCCAATAATAAAAATGTTTTTATTTATTACATAATGAATTAGCACGTGACCTAGCCCAGATCAATTTCAATCCTGGGTATAAAGTTTGAATTATTTTTTCCAAAATCATGAGTAATAACTATGTAGCTACGTGTATTCAAAAATAACAAATTGGTTCATTATTATAAATTTTTATTTTTCTATTCACCCCTGTCTAGTTGAGCTGACTATTTGATGTCAATATTTAGCAAATATTTTTTTAAAAATATATTCTGACATAAAAAAATTTCTCCATCTTTACCCCTTAACGTCAAAATACGTAATACCCCTTAAGTAACGCATTTCACGTGCAAAGAAGTAATATCAGCTCTAGAATTTTTTTTATAAAAGTTACATATAAGTTAAAAGTTGAAGTAGCCGTTTGATTTAATTAATAAAATTTGGGATTTACTAAATCATTAAAAAGTGAAAACTATCAACTGACCACTATTTTATCAAATATGGCTTTGATTCAAGAAGAGTATATATCCAAGGTCATAAATACAATAGATGGTATTAATTTTATAACTCAACCAGCAAAATCTGTCTCATCACCTTTTTCAAAATTAGTTTCAAATTCAAATATTTTAATAAATACAAATGATCCATATTTAATTATTGAAAATTATTTATTAGATAGAACTAATCAACATAAAGAATTAGAGCAAGAAGGTCAAGATAAAGAATTGGAGTTTGTTAGTATAACTACTGATGGTAATACATTATTAAAAAATTTACCATTCTTATCTGCATCATCTTTTAAAAATAACAAAACTGTTAGTCATGTCAGAATCAATAATTTAGATTATCATGTAGTCACAAGTTTAAAAGATTTAAAATATCCTATATTAATTTCACAAAATTCAAATGATACTTATAAATTATCAAATTTAGCTTATAATTTAGCTGAGAAATTAAATATTTCAGTTTTCCATTTTTTTCCAGCAGAATCGGGCTATCAATCAAAAGAAAATATTAAACAATCAGAAGGAGTATTATTGAAAAATTTAAATGATTATTCATTTGACAAGATTGTAAGTAGTTTCGAAGTTCAACCTTTCGAAATTTTAAATAAACCTTCAAAACTGAAAAATGCATTACTTTATTTAGGTCAAGTTAATGACGAGTTAATTCAAGCTGCAAATAAAGAAGATTTATTGGTGATAAATATAAAAGTCTATCAACCATTTTTATTAAATTCTTTACTTAAATCCATACCTGCAACTATTGAGACATTAACCATAGCTGAACAATCTACTGTTAAATCTGCATCATTTTCACCTTTATTACTTGATTTTTTTGCAGAATATTCACAATATCAAACTTTGAAAAATTTCACTAAAATTGTGTCTGCAACTTTTGGACCAGTTGTTAATTACACTAAAGCCATTTCAAGTTTAATTTCAAATGTTGAATCCGAAAAACCAGTACAGAATTTATATTTTGGTGACTTACAATCTGATTATGAATCCAAAGCATATAAAATTGAACAAACTGGATATACAACTGCTGCTTCTGAAGCTCACACTTTAGAACAAGCTTATTTGAAAGTTTTAAATCAAGTCAATGATATTAACTTGAACATTTTAAACGAGTTCCAAGCTGATAATATCGGATTAGAAACAAACCCTGAATATGGTTTTGGTTCATTCTTATATGAGCAAGAACAACAAGAAAATTTAACTAAATTAGTCCAATATGCTTTAAAAGAAAATAATTTTCATACAAACGATAATGAAAAATTGATAGATTTATTAACACAATGGTTATTACAATTACAACAGAAAGGTCAGGTTGAACAAAGAATTGCTCAAGAAATTACTGATTTATTAAACACTGATCAAAAATCAACAATTGCTAAAGAGCTTTTAGCATTATCCAAATACTTCACAACTTTAAAAAATTGGCTTATTGGTTCGGATGCTTGGTCATATGATTTAGGTTCGTCAGGTGTTCATAGTGTTATTACTTCAGGTAAAAATATCAATATGTTAATAATAGATTCTGAACCATACAATGATAAAAAGAATGAAAAAACAGTTAACGGATTCAGAAAGAAAGACGTTGGGTTATATGCTATGAATCATGGTGATGTTTATGTTGCCTCAGTTGCCGTATATTCTTCTTATACTCAAGTTTTACAAGCTTTCATTGAAGCAGATAAATTCAATGGTCCTTCTATCATATTAGCATACTTACCATACCATAAAGAATCAGACAACACATTAGAAGTGTTACAAGAGACTAAAAAAGCAGTAGATACTGGTTATTGGCCGTTATACAGATATGATCCATATGCTGAAAAAGAGACTGATATCTTTAAATTAGATTCTTCAAATTTAAGAAAGCAATTAAGAGACTTTTTAGATAACGAAAATAGATTAACAATGCTTGCAGCAAGAGATCCATTATTATCTAGAAATTTAACTGCCAACGCTAATACTGAAGTCAAAATCAAACAAGCTGAAATTGCTAATGAATCATATGCTGCTTTATTACAAGGTTTATCAGGTCCTCCATTAACTATTGCTTTTGCTTCTGACGGTGGTAATGCCGAAGCTATTGCTAAAAAAATTAATAGACAAGCACTTGGAAGAGGTCTTAAATCAGTTATCTTACAAATGGATGATATTTCAATGGAAGATTTACCAAATGAAACAAATATCGTATTTGTTACTTCAACTGCAGGTCAAGGTGAGTTTCCAAATAATGGTAAACAATTTTGGGATGGTATTAAAAATTCAAATGATATAGATTTATCAGGTATAAAATTCTCAGTATTTGGATTAGGTGATTCCCAATATTGGCCAAGAAAAGAAGATAAACATTATTATAATAAACCAAGTAAAGATTTATTTGGTAAATTAAAATTATATGGAGGTGTTGAATTAGCAGAAATTGGTTTAGGAGATGATCAAGATGCTGATGGATATTCAACTGGTTTTAATGAATGGATAGTTAAAATATGGTCAGCATTAGGTGTTGATAATGTTGAAGGAGTTGAAGAACCAAAACCAATTACAAATGAAGATATGAAAATTGGATCAGATTATCTTAGAGGTACCATTGCTGAGGGTTTACAAGATCAATCTACTGGTTCAATTTGTGCTGTTGATCAACAGCTAACAAAATTCCATGGTATTTATATGCAAGATGATCGTGATGTTCGAGAAGAACGTAAAGCTCAAGGTCTTGAACCGGCTTATGCTTTTATGGTAAGAGTTAGATTGCCAGGTGGTATTGCTACTCCAAAACAATATTTGAAAATGGATGAATTAGCTGATGAAAGAGGTAACGGTACTTTAAAATTAACTACTAGAGCTACTTTCCAATTACATGGTGTTGTTAAACATGATTTAAAACCAGCAATTAGAGGTATGAATTCTGCATTAATGGATACTTTAGCTGCTTGTGGTGATGTTAATAGAAATGTCATGGTTTCTGCATTACCAGAAAACGCTAAAATACATGGTCAAGTTTCAGCTATTGGTACTTTAATTTCAAATTATTTATTACCAAATACAACTGCTTATCATGAAATTTGGTTAGAAGGTGAATTACCATCAGATAAACCAGGTGATAAAGAAGCTTGGGAAAACCGTAAAGATGGTCCAACTAAAAAGAAAACTTTAATTGCAGGTAACGTTTTAGCTGATGTTGAACCTCAATATGGTGTTACTTACTTACCAAGAAAATTCAAAATTGTTATAACTGTTCCACCATATAATGACGTCGATGTATATGCTCATGATATTGGTTTAATTGCAATTCTCGAAGATAATGATGTTATCGGTTTCAATGTTTTAGCAGGGGGTGGTATGGGTTCTACTCATAACAACAAGAAAACATACCCAAGAACTGGTTCAATGTTTGGATTTATACCAAAAGATCAAATTCATATTGCATGTGAAAAAATTATGTTAGTACAAAGAGATTTTGGTGACAGAACTAATAGAAAACATGCAAGATTAAAATATACTATCGATGATTTAGGAATCGAAGTTTTCAAATCAAAAGTTGAAGACTTATTAGGTTATAAATTTGGTGAACCAAAACCGTTCAAAATAGATAATAATGTTGATCATTTTGGTTGGTGTAAAGATGAATTAGGTTTCAATCATTTTACTGCTTTTATTGAAAATGGTAGAATTGAAGATACTCCAGAGTTACCACAAAAGACTGGATTGCGTGAAATTGCTAATTATTTGCAAACAAACAATAAATCAGGTGAATTTAGATTGACTGGTAATCAACATATTGTTTTATCAAATATAAAAGATGAAGATTTATCAATTATAAAACAATATTTGGCAAAATATAAATTAGACAATACTGAATTTTCTGCCTTAAGATTATCATCAGCTGCTTGTGTTGCTTTCCCAACTTGTGGTTTAGCAATGGCTGAATCTGAACGTTATTTACCAAAATTAATTACAAAGTTAGAAGATGCATTAGAAGGTTATGGATTAAGACACGATTCAGTAGTTATGAGAATGACTGGTTGTCCAAATGGTTGTGCAAGACCTTGGGTTGCCGAAGTTGCATTAGTTGGTAAAGCGTTGGGGGCATATAATTTAATGTTGGGTGGTGGCCATCATGGTCAAAGATTGAACAAAATTTATAGATATTCTATCAAAGAAGATGAAATATTGGAAATTTTAACGAATTTGTTTGAGAGATGGAGTAAAGAAAGAGATGATGGTGAACCATTTGGTGATTGGGTTATTAGAGCAGGAATTATTAAAGAAACTACAGAAGGTAAATATTTCCATGAAGATATTCCTGAGGACGCTTAGGTTGGTTCTTGTATATTTTAGTTATTTATTTTAATTATTTATTCTGTATATGAATTTAGATACGTGATAGACTTATAACTTGAGAAATTGTAGTAAGACTAACCACTCGAATGATTTACTTTTGGTTGATGATCAGTTTCTTCAAATCCTGAATATCTTTAATTAACGATTTAGCTTGTAATTTTTTCAGTCTTTCAATAGTTAAAACATCTTTCAATTTAACATCTAATAAAGTAACACTAACTCCATTCATTCTTCTTATAACCTTTTGATAAGTTTGTTGTGAGATCTTATTCAATTGTTCTTCATTTTTTTTAGCAATTTTCGAACGTTCAAGCTTCAAATGATTTATGATCGTTTGCTTTTGTTGTTTTGTATATCCCATTATATAATTTGTTATATCATGATGATCTTGGTTGTTAACAATTGAACTGTAGATTGATCTAATTTTATACTGTGTATATTTTATTGTCTGAGTTTTGAAGGATTATTATTCATTTTATAGTGGCAACAGAAAAAATGTATTTTAATATTCACCAATTTTCATTAACAACTAATTAATTTATAGATCTATTCCCATTTCCAATTACAACTAATTAATCTTTCGAAATCAAAATGGTTCTTGAAGCTACTATGATAGCCATTGATAACTCAGAATATATGAGAAATGGTGACTATTTAACTTCAAGATATGATGCACAATTAACTTCTACAGAATTTATTTTTCAAAATAAAGTCAATTCAAATCCTGAAAATACTGTTGGATTATTAGCATATGGAGGTTCAGGACCACAAGTATTGAGTACATTAACTACAGATTTTGGGAAAATATTATCAGGAGTTCATGAAACCAAGATATCTGGAGAAAATAATTTTAGTAATGGAATACAAGTTGCAGCATTAGCTTTAAAACATCGTCAAAATAAAGTACAACAACAAAGAATTATAATATTTGTGGGGTCACCAGTAAAAGAATCAGATAAAGAATTGGAAAAATTGGCCAAAAAAATGAAAAAGAATAATGTTGCAATTGATATTATAAATTTTGGAGAAGAGTCAATAAATACAAGTAAATTAGAAAAATTTCATTCAATAATAAATAATCATGATAATTCACATTTAGTTACAATACCTCCAGGTCCAAGACTATTATATGAAGTTATTGCATCATCACCAATATTAATGGAAGAAGGAGCATTCGGTTCAGGAAATGATATGGATTTCTTTGGTGGTTCAGGAGTTGCTGGTGCTGGAGATATAATTGATCCCAATATGGATCCAGATTTAGCATTAGCTTTAAGATTATCATTAGAAGAAGAGAAAGCAAGACAGGAAAGAGAAGCTGTTGATAAAGCTAAAGAAGCAGGTAATGGTGAAACTTTAGAGCCAATTAACGAAGATAAAAAGGAAGAGGATAAAAAAGATGATGGAGACAAAGATGTGAAAATGGAAGATGCTAAATAGATGACTAATAAATGCTCACAATTTTAAAGAGACCTATGATTATCTCTTTAAATTGAGCTGGATATATTATTTTGGTAAATGTATGGAATGTGCATTTTTTGTTACACAAAATTATTATTATAATGGTTGCAAAATCTTGTATATTATATCTTTGCCATTACAAAATAATAAAGACCAATAAAAAAAATTGGTCTTTACTAATTCACCATCAATTGTTCTTTAAGGTTGTTTGATTTCTTCAATGAGAAGAAGGAACTACAAAAAAGAGAATGAGGTATCAATTCCTCAACCACAACCTCTACAATCAGTATTTCATCCACCACCAAAGAATTCTCCACTATTACATCATAAAAAAAGCTCACCAACCAGACCTACCTTATTCATTCCGTCAGGCAATGAATTGATTTTGAAACCAATTCAGCTGACAAAAGCTCATTTTTTTGACGCTTATTCTAAAGTATGTTAATAATTGGAGATTACTTGTAGATTTTTGTACTAACAATAATTTAGGGAAAATGGAATCTTTCAAAAGTTCCATGTCCACCATTTCTTGATGATATTGGGTATATGAAACCACCTGAAAGTTTTAATGAAATATCAAGATCAGAATCAGTATCAAATTATATGAGTTTACCTCATTGGAAAAAAATTCAATATTTTACAAGAATCATATCAAAATTAAAAAAAGAATTTAAAATTAATGGTGTTTCCATATCTTTAATTGATAAAGATAAATGTTTTTACAAATTTGAAACTACATTAGATTTGAATTGTGTACCTAGATGTATTGCTATTGACTCTCATGCCATATTATCAAGTGGGTCATTTGTTTTATTAGATGCTTCAAAAGATTGGAGAACTATGAAAAATCCTTTGGTTACTGAGTCACCGTTTATTAAATTTTATTGTGGTGTTCCTTTATTAGCTCCAAATAATGATGTTATTGGTATATTAGCTATTTTTGATGCAAGAGCCAAATTATCATTTAATGAAGATAATTGTAAAACTTTAGTTAGTACTAGTAAAGATCTTATGGATTTTCTAAATGCACCACTTGATGATGGAAACTTAAATCCAAAATACTTCAAAGGAGGTCAATTAGTTGATTCCTTGCTATTATATGGAAATTCAGATAAAAAGGCAGCACTTAAAGAATTAAGAAAAGAAATCGGAAGACCAACAAGTGGGAAATCTTCATTAGTATTTGAAAAAGATGGTTCAGGTGGACCTTACAATGCAAATCAAATTACAAGATTCTTGAGGTTTAATAAACAAGAAAATGAAGAAGAATTTAATACTGACCAATTGGAAAGAGCTCAAAGAATTAAATCATTTGAAAATCATCAAGATAAATATGAAGAAGCTGAGATCAAAAAGAATTTGAGACCTATTAACGGTCACATCATCAAACAAAAGGAATTATGGAAATCATTATTTTCATTAGGTTCATTAAATAAAGCAGCTTCAGCATTATGTAGCACATTAGGTGAATTTTATAAATTTGATTTTGTATTCATTTTAGAAATTAGAATTGCAGAGCAATGTTGTATACAAAAAGAATATTTCCCATCAAATGAAGATAAAATTGATTATGCACTGTTTAAATATTCAAATAAGATTACAAAATCAAAATCACCAAATGATGAATTTATGACAAGAATGACTGGGATATATGATCGTAAAATTTTAGATCATTCTAAAAATTCTGGAAAAGCTGCTTCTACTAATTCTCCAACTACTCAATTTTTTGAAAGATCTATTCATTACAAAGCATTTTTATCAGAATTTGGTCTTGAATATATTAATCCAAGATTGAACACTATATATAATTACGGTATCATAATGCCATTTTTCAGACATGAATCAAAATTACTAAAACATACATCTAGCAGATCAAAAGCCAACAATAAAAATGTTGAATTATACTTAAGAAGTGGTGGGTTTTTAATTGGTTTATTTTCAGAATTGATTAAAGAAGAAGTTGATAGTGAAGTAATTTCTGCTATTTTTGATCATTCAGCTACTTTTAGAAAAATATATATTAGTACTACTCAATAAAATTTCGTTAGTTTGTTTAGGGATTGTATTGTCTCATTAACTCCATTTCCATATCTTCTTGCTCTTGTTGAGTAGGTTGTGAATCATCCTCTTGAACTATTCTTGGAGCAGATATGTGCCCTGAAGTTGGTATGAAATCATCTTCATCATCGAATTCCTCGTTATCTTCTTCAGCATGCGTAGCATTAGTGTTATTTGGTTGTGCATTTTCCAGTTCCTTTTCTGCTTCGTTCAATTGAGGTTGATTGTTGGTTGTTTCATCTTGATTCATGAAATTGAAAAAGTCATCATCATCTTCTTTAGATACAGCTGTTGGTCTAGGAACAGTTAGATTTTCATCATCATTACTATTAGTATTATTATTGGTGGCAGGGATAGTGTATAAATCATCTTCATTATTTATTGGGTCATTGTCTCCATTTTCATTTTGATCATCATTCTCATCAATAATTCCCTTTGACACTTTTAATTTATGAATTTCTTTTTCAATTAATTCACGTCTATATAATCTTAGTTGCGAAGATTTATGACCCAATGATCTTATCAAATAAGCACAATCTTTAAAATTAGCTTTGGGAAATAATCCATGACACCATAATTGATAAAATTGTAAGATTGAAGTTAAGTTAGAATATTCATGATCGTATTTCAATTGATTAGGGGTTTTGTAATTTTTATTTACTGATGATTTAATTTGTTCTTGTTTTTGGAATGTTTTATCATTTTTGGCTATTATTCTATTTAATCTTTGATTGTTTTTAATTAAATATGGTAAACCTTTTTGAGTATGTAGTATTCTATCATTATCTATCTTTGCAATTCTTCTTTTTGGTTTGATTTTAACATTGTCAAGTCCAAGTTGTGGGTCGGCTAATGGATCCATTATTGGATCTGCTGGTATGTCCATATTTGAGGTAGATTGGTTCATCGTGTGTATATTATATAACTATATTTGATGTTTAAGTAATTGAATGTAAATTGTTTAATAGATCGCGTATATTAATAATAAAATTAAATAAAAATGTAAATAAAATAAAAAATAGAAAATATCAAAGACCCTAAAAACACGCGTAATTTGTGGCTAATGTTTTACGCAGGTAATGTGGTAGCCAAAATAATCTTCTACTGATAAATATGATTAGATTATTAAAGAAGATAATTATAAATTCTATTGATAAAGTCAGATCTATATCATTTTAATGTATTCAGCAGAGTACTTACCAAGACTAGGTCAATTATCCATAGAGGTCAAAAATGTCACGCAAGAATCATTGCAGAATATAGAATTGCAAGGAGATCAAACTATAATATTAATTTTAAAAGATCAACCATCAGTCACTATTTTATTACCAGTATCAATATCTCATGTATCGGTTTTAAAAGTACTGTCAGTTGGTGACATACTAAAACTAACATTAAAAGTATCATCAGATGTTCAATCAAATTCACAAGATAACAACAAAATTACACAATGGTCATGTAAATGGTTACAACAAAACACATCAAAAGTAAATTCAAATAATGTATTTTGGTTTGATTGCTTCGAATGTTCTCATGAAATTATAAATTCATTAAATCATAAATTTAAAGATATGCCCAACGAGTTTTGGTATGAGTTGATGGACTTTTGGCATTGCCATAAGCCTGAAAATAATCAACCTACCGATAAGGATTATGGGATATTAGTTCCCAAAGATGAGCAGACTATAATAATTGGATCTTATTATTTATTGAATTTGGTAAATGAAAATATAGTTCTTGATCAAGATTTGTACCTGTGTAAGAATTGTGGAAGCAAAATTGGTCAACCCTTTCAGAATGCTATAAAGTTACTTAAATGGAGATTAAATCTAAAATATTCTCATGATGGTAAAGAATATATATCGGAGTATAATCCAGTAAACTTTGTAATTGAGTTAATCAATACTAAAATCCAGTCACTGGCTATTAGAAAGTTTAAAATCAAGCATGATAATAAATGGATATATTTGTGGATCATGAGCGATGGAATTGACGTTACAATAAATGATAAGGTTCTTAATAATTGCTTTAAAATACTATATACCGAAGAAGTAGGTGCAAAAGAAGAAGTGAATTATGAAGAGTTAGAAATATCATACACAGAAATTAGAGATAAATTTTACAAAACACTAAAACAAAATACAATACAATCTAAAATGCCTTTTGGTTCTATAGAATTTTATATAAGTTTTATACCCACATAGAATAGATGATTTAATAATGACTTAATAATTTTCATTTCTCAAGAGCTTCTTTCACAATAGGTACTACTTGCTTTCTCGAAGCGTGAATATTAACTTGGTTGTAAATTTTGAAATGCCCGACATTATCAATACTAGCTGAGTTAACATATTCCAAAACAGGATCAATTTCATCACCTCCATATACTTGATTGTTCAAACTCAATTGAGTTTCCACCAAATCATCCAATATCTCGTAAACTGCGTTAATACCTTCATAGTAGTAACAAAACTCTCTTCTATATTCATTAGTATCTTTTACAGTATATGATGAAGTGATAACTAGCAAGTCAATACGATTTAATTTTAATGAATCACTTAAAGTTTTTAAAATTTCTTCTTTGGTATAACTCTCAACTACCCATTTCAATGGCTTTCCTATAGAACTGAAACCAATATTATCACCCTTTAAAAATTTAAATTGTTTGTAATCTTTTCTTAAAATATCTATAAATGCAAAACCTGATAAATCTTTCTTGGCTTTCTTGATCTCTTTATAAAACAAATCAACTTGATTTGTATTTGATTGGGTGGGGATTTGACTTGCGATAATTTGTGATTTAGTCACACTTAATATTTTTTTGTATATATCAAATACTTCTAAATCTGGTTCTTCTACTTTTTGAGTCATATTACTTGTGTCAATCAATAAAGGAGCTATTAATAATTCAATTACATCTTTATTGTCTACCCAAAATTGTTCATTATTTTGTTTGAGATTGTAAAAATATTGGAAAACTAAACTTGAATTAGACCCACAAGATCTAATAATTCTTGGGCTTGCGTTTAAAAATTTTCCTTCATCTGCATGATGATCTATAATTCCAACAACTTTCAAATATCCTTCATCATAACTTTTATTTATTTCAACACCTTGTAATCCATTATGATCAACCAATGATAATTCCGTCTTTTGTAAAACTTTACTATTGATGGATTCACTAATGAAATTATCAAAATCTTCAACAAAGTATAAAAGATCTTCAGTTATATTATGATATGTTTCTAATACTCTTATGATATCTCTACGTAATTTTAAATCAGCTTTCGGTACGTTAATTAATGGGATAATATATTGTTGTGGAGTTTTTAAATTGTGCGTGAGATAAGCATAAGTAATCGATGATATAACTGAATCCACATCTGCTGATTGATTACCAGTTACAAATGTGTATGGTAATTTTATTGTTTTTTGATTGATTGCATTTTTTAGATTGATTAAGTATGATCTTACTGACATGATTTATGCAATTATCTATAAATGAGTTATCTTGTAGATTTGAGATCTGAAAAATAATGTAGGACCAAATTTCATCATATTATAATTAATCTCATTACACAAAATTTTAAATGGTTGCAATCTTTTAGCTAAAGCAATAATTATTAAGAGACAAAAACTTTACAAGCAAGTACAGGTTCAAAAAATTGTTATTATTAATACATATATAATTTATCAAAAGAAGAGCAAATTGTCAACCCTTTAAACCACCTTCACATTTAAATTTTCCATATTTTTTGGCCCTCTATAAATATATTGTTCTCCTCCTGCATTCTTTTCAATCCAATTTGTAATTCGGATTCACTAAATTGATCTTCTTGATCTAAATCTTCATTTATTGCTTCAATAACTGATTGATATGGTGCTGACTCTCCACTAAATAAATCTGATCTTAATACTTTGGATATTATTCTTGAAAATTGTATATATCGTTCTGAACTTATTGTTGACTGTTGTGCGTTTGATACTGAATTTGATATTGGTGCCAATGGTTGTGGTCTTGATGTTGATTGTGATTGTGATTGTGGTGGTACTGCATCTTCTTCTTCTCCTTCAGTGCTTTCATTTTCATTTTCATTTGAGATATGAGTATTACGTAAGTGATCTTCAATTGAAACGTCTTCTTGATTTTGGTGTTGTTGTTGTTGTTGTTGTTGTTGTTGTTGTTGTTCACGGAATCTTTGTCTTCTTGTAGTAACTCTTGGTACATATACTTCTTCTCTTTCTACCTCTTCCTCCGTTTCAGTTTCAGATACTTCTTCTTCGGATTCAACATTATCTCTAGGTTGACCTTCTTCTGTAGCATTACTTCTTGACTGAACTTCTTCATTATTTCTTTCAGTTGTAGTTCTTCTTCTTTTCTTAGCATGTTTACCAATTTCCTTGAATAATGCATACCTCAACAATTCTTCAGCAACTTTAGCATCTTTAACTTCAACAGTTTTGGATAATCTAACTTTAGCATGAGCAGAAGCTAAACGAATTAATGTTTCCAAAGTTCTTGCAGTTATTGGAGCGGTATTTCTTTGATTACTCCCTATTAAATCATTACGTAAACTTGAATAAGTAGTAACAATATAATCTGATGCACTTTTAGTCAATACTGGTTTTATTCTTTGTTTTGCATATTGTATGTATTTTTTCAAAAATGGGATTGATAAAATAGTTGGAGTTTTTCTTGAACCAGAAGAAGCTGCTACACCAGCATGTAATAATGCATTGAATTTTTCAAATATTGGTTGTTCTAATAATTCTTGTTCATTGGTTTCATCATCTCCAACAGCCAATACAACACTAGATTTTTCTCTTATTGGTTCACCTTCAACCATTCCTGGTGGAATAAATCTATGCATCCTCAAGACATGTTCTGAAATAATTCTATCTTTTGTAGGATTTACATCGTCTGTAACAACAAATAATAAATCAAAACGTGATAATAAGGAATCTGGTAATGCAATATTTTTATGTGGATCTTTATGAACATCATATTGACCAAAAACAGGATTAGCAGCTGCAATAACTGAACAACGAGCATTTAATGAAGTATGAATACCAGCTTTTGCAATAGTTACAGTTTGTTGTTCCATAACTTCATGAATTGCAACTCTATCAGCATCTGACATTTTATCAAATTCATCAATACAAACAACACCTCTATCAGCTAAAACCATAGCACCTGCTTCCAATCTTCTTTCACCAGTCTCTTTGTCGGTGGTAACTGCAGCAGTTAAACCAACACCTGAAGATCCTCTACCAGTCGTAGCTATAGCTAATGATGCGGTATTTAAAACAAATCTTAGAATTTGAGATTTGGCAGTGGATGGATCACCAACCATTAAAATATTTATATCACCTCTTAAATGGGACCCATTATCTAAATTTTTTTCAACACCACCCATCATCATTAATAAAACAGCTTTTTTAATATAATCAAATCCATAAATTGAAGGAGCTAAAGAATTTGATAATATATCGAATATTTTTTTATCTTTTGATATTTTATTTATATTTCTAATATCTTGATCAGTAATTTTCTCTTGTGAAGATACTCCAGTAGATCTTGCATGTAATGGATATACCGAATTACCAATAATAACAGTTTTAAAAGTAGAACCATTGTTTGCACCACCACCTAAAGCTCTATAAACACCAACAATTTGTATACGATCACCAGGTTTCGTTAAATCAACTAAATCATCATCTAATATAACATCCACCGACTTTGGTAATTGACCAGCTGGAGCAGTTTCTGGCATTTCTTGTACTGATATTTTTTGATGATCTCTATAAGTTGAATAACCATATTCTGTTGTTAATTTATTACCTTCCATATCTTCAGTTGGATATATTGCAGGTGTTGAAATTGCATCAAATGAAGTAGTTTGATCTCTATATTCTCTTGCATAAAATCTACCAGTTTGTTCCGCATAATGAACTGATCTTATAACTTTTGGACGTACTAATGAAGCTCTTGTAACAATACCTTCAATAGAAACCATCTTGGATAAATAATTTGAATCTATAGTTCTTGGAGTGACTGAATGATTACCAAATGCTCCTTTAAAACTTAGGTAATATTGTTGATTTGAATCAAAATCTGATGGGAATGTACTATCTGAAGGATCATAAATGGTTAAAACAGTATCTCTTAAAGCTCTTTCACAAGCAGGTAAATAATCAGCAGGTTGATTTAATAATCCATTCCAAAATTCTCTATCATAGTCTCTTATTTGATCAATTGAAACATTTAATCTATTTTTATTCTTTATAATTAAATTTTTAATTTGTAATCTATAATCAATCCCAGTGTTTGAATCAATTCTATCTAAAAATTCTTGAAATTTTCGAACTCTATCACCAAATACAGCATCTAATGGTTGTTGTTCATCTAATTGAGTATTATTGGTATCATCCATTACGATATTTTAGGTAATTCAGTGGGTATTGAAACGAATGACAAATGGTTTGACGATTAGAAAAAGAATAGTTTTATAAAAATTATAAAGCTTCCCATTATTCAAATTGAGTTGCAAAATTGAATAAAAATAAAAATAAAAAATAAAAATAAAAATTGTTTAATTAAACGCGTTTTTAATTTTAATTATATTTCCTAATTAAGTTTTAATTAAAATTAACAGAATTTGGTAGCATTACTTTGTTATATACAGTACAGTATATTACTATAAACTCCAACCTTCTAATAATATATTTTCATTAACTTCATTATTTTTGAAAATATTATCTTTATCATTTAAAATATTACTAAATTCTTCAAATTCTAAAGCAGTAGTTTGTAATTTAAATTTTCTTGACTGTTCAGTTTCCAATAATTTTAAATAACTCCAATCCAAAAAATCCTCCAAATTATAATTTGGCTTTTTAAAAGGCTCTTTAAAAATTTTAGCCAATGTTGCAATATTTGGATGATAATGATTCATTAATATTTCTAATTCCCATAATGATGAATTTATTGCTTTTGTATTCATTGGGTTTTTTTCTTGATTATTAAATGGATCGTTCAAAATTTCTTCTTTAGTATCATTTTCATTTGTGTTATGTATCATGATCATACATGTTGGATGTCTTTTTAATAGGTTATATATGAAAGGAATAATTATAACAACACCAGAAGCACTTGCAGTTAATGATAATCTTGCTAGTTTCTTTATGAATGAAGCAACTAAATTCGAAGATAAATGAGTTGATGATAAAAATAAATCAACTAATCCAATAAATCTTGATCTATATTTTGTATAAAATAGATTGGAATTCAATAAGGAATACAATTTTGTATAAAAATCTGGATATTCTAAATTATAATTTTTTATGAGCTCGTATAATGAATTTAATGTTAATATTGGGATTATTAAGTTATCTGAATCTTCTGATATACTTTCCTCCAATGTGGTAGTTGTATCTTCTAAATTGTATAAGTCTGTTAAGAAATCCATAAGACCTTGAGGTTGTGACATATATGGTATAATTCTTTTTTGTAAAATTAATAAAATTGATTTATATTGTGGTATTGTCAAAGGAAATGATAATATAGTTATTACTGTTTTTTGAAATTGTGATTTGAAAAGGTTGATCTTATATATTGATGATGATAAATTTGATTTTGGTAACCATGTAGGTATCGATTTCAATTCTTCTTCGTTTGAATTAAATAATGATTCTTTTCGTATTATTGTTAAAAAATTTGCAAATACTTTTTGTAATTTAAACTCAGATAAATCATTTTTCCAGTTTTCTAGTATAGATGATAAGTTATTGAAGAAGTAAAATTGCAAATCCCAATACTTATTGAAAAAACTATCGATGAATTCCAACAAAATAAAATTATTTGATGACCCATCTGATAAAATTTCTCCATTTGAACTATTTAATAATGATTCGATTATTGATTGGTAGGTTTTAGTTGGAAATTTTTCCGATTTGTTATATTCTGAACCTATTTTTAATAAATCAAATAGTATGTCTAATACATCCAATTGTAACGATGAATCAAAACTTAACTTAGTCTTAAGTATGTCCATAAGTATAGTCTTGGAATTATCGTATTTCTCCAATACCCAATTCACAACTAATCTTGTATGATCATCTTGATTTTTAGTTTTGGTCAATTTCCCATCTTCAAATAATGTTTTGAAATTTTGCATTACGACGACCAAAATTTGTCTACCTAATGATTCTAATTCGGAGTCTTCTTCAGTTATAAGTTTAACTTTTATATCTCTTAATTGATTGATCAAGATCACAAAGTTATTATATTTTGATTCTGTCTGTATTTCATTACCTAATTTTTGTACATCTTTTGTTGTGGTTGGTGATGACTTTTTTGACTTTGATGACTCTAAGGCTCTAGTAGCTTTCCTTTTGGGGGCCATTCTTATATACTTCTTAATGATTTTGTTGATGAATTAAAAGTTGGTTGCAAAAGTGAAGTACATAAGATGAGATTATTAAATTTACATATTGTATATTTTTACACTACCACTTCGAAGAAAATAAAATTTTCAATTTTTCAAAACAATTTTTTTACAACTTTTTTACTTTTCTTCTTCTTTTCTCTTTGTATGACCTTCCAAGTTTTATACTACATGATGAAATCTCGCGTTTTAAGTCATTGATTAAGACCCTTTCTTGTTAGAGGTTGAGTTGATTTGAAAGAATTGATTCCCTTGAGGGAAAAATGATGGAGTAATTTCTATCTGGTTGTCTTATATGATGATTGGTGTTTGGCGCAAATATCTTGTTACATTATAACAAATGCCTTTGAAGAGAAATTCTGATCCACAAATATAATTATTTGGTTTAAAGGATTCATACGTTGTACTATTTTTGTAGAAAATTTATTTACTGCTTTATATGTGGAATCAATGAGGTTTAAAAGAAGTAGTCCTTGACGTTATATATTGATATCTTACGTTTTGACTTTTAATTTTATTGAAATCTGATTTGCACTTTTCTATTTGAATTTAACACCATTAAATAATTTGTCATTAGACTGTAAATTTATAAATCAGATTGTATCTTTTTAAATCAACGTTCTTTAGCGTTCAAACTTACTGTTTATATTTTGTGTATTTTGACGACTATGTTGTGAGGTGTAACTCAAGACTTTCATAAATTAACATCTAATACCGATATATGGCTCAAGTCTAACCTTTCAATTTATAGCAATAAGAATTATAAAGATTCCAGATACTAAATCCTGGTCATTTCATTCAGGATATACTATGTTACTAAGAAGCAATAAATAGAGGAAGAGAGATATATTATACTAATAGGAGATAAGTACTAATAAGAAAAAATCAGAAGAGGAAGAGGAGTGATTATATTAAATAAGAACTGAGCAATACTAAATTCTATTCTAGACAAACAAATAGAAAGAGAAAGGACAACATTGGAATTCAATGAAAATAAAAATAATTCATTTACCTATATTTAAGACAACTCAAGAAGATTGAATGCTAGTGAAAAACCAAATGGACTAAATCAAGAGAGGTCTTGAATTAAGAGGAAGTTTTGGAAAGTATAACTCCAGACTTCTCTAGAAAAATGTAACTTTAGTTATTTGATAGCCTTAAGTGACTATAAGTGAATTTTAAAAAAAAATAAACTCCGTTTTTGTGTCATATTCAGAAATGATGTTTTGGTTGCAAAATAAAATAAAAATAGATTTATTACCAAATAACTCATACAGATAATTAGTCTTAATTCAACAATAAGGAATTTATTATTACTTACTGATTATTGATTTGACTTATTTATACTTATGACTTATCTCTAATACTATTATTTTTCATACTTATTATTAAATTTTATTATTGTTTTTATAATTACTTATTACTTATTACTTAATTTTATTATACTACTATTATTAATTGTTACTAATTTTTATTAAAAGGTTTTTATTATAAATGAATTGGCGTTTCTCCAACATTCCGAATTACATTTCATATAACCTTTTTTACATTTTTACTTTAACGTTTATAGATATTAATTATCATTTTTATATGCATCTTTTAATATCATGTACCCTATTCTTTAAATTACAAATGTATATTAATAAAGGTATATGTTTATTTAGAGGTAACTAAAATTAACTACTACAGTAGAATAATATTCCATTTAACAAACTATACAACAAAAAGCAATGACTAAATTAGATACTTTTATTTTTTGCATCTTTCAAAAAAAATACTCAATCCTCCGTAACAAATCATATCACAAGTTATAATAATATCCAAACCATTGATAACACATATCAATAGCCAAAAATGTGAAAACTTACCCAACATTTTGTATTCATCAATTAAACGTTGGGCATATTTTGAATCATCATCACCTTCTGGTAGCATGTGGATTAAATTTTTATTTGACCATCTGTTCTTTAACCATGACCGGAAATTTGGTTGCTTTGTATTATTTGATGGTCCTGAACGTGTTTCAACTAATTCAGCTTGATGTTCATTATTTTCAACTGATGCTGCATTATTAACTCCCACTGATGCCAACCGTAATTTGAACATTTCAGATTGAATAAAATCCATTTCCTTTAAGATTTTTTGATAGAAGAAAAATGAAATACCAAATCCTAAAAGTCCAATTATTAACCATACCGCAGCAACTTCTATGAGGCTCTTGCAAAATTTGCACGAAGTCATTATTTTCTATTAAATTGTTTATGTGAACCAATTGTTTATGCTAATTTTGCAACACTCAAAACAATTCAAAATCATACATGCAATATTTTTGTTATGCGAAAATATAAATATTTCATTTACTGCACAAAAAATCTAGGAAATCTCAGATCATCAAAACTTCCAATTGCTCATGAATCTAAGAATATGGCTTGTAGCAAGGTTATTTAGAAGTTCTCTTGCGAATTTTTTTGACAAACAACTACAAAATAATGTTATTATTGATTGAATTTTATTCAATATTAGAAACAATTCATAAGTCTTTATCCTCCTTAGTTTTATTATAATAGGGCAAAATTTATTTTGTTCCTGGGCCAAGTACAAATTTGTAGAGAGTAGAGCAAGAGAATTGATTTTGACAGAGACATATGATTCAATTTTAGGCGCCAACTTATTAGTAAATTTTATAAATTGTGATGAAAAAAATTGGATTGTTCTAATTTTAAGTAGTCGCTTTAGCAAGTAGTGGTGAAACAGTCAAGAAAAAGTCTTTTTGTTTCACCGGATGTTAGAATCCATGATCAAGCCTAATAACATCTGTTTATAAAAATCATCAAAACTAGTTGTATTTTATATATCTCTAGTATTTGTATATGTCGTATTAATCACCACTATACTACACTTTCACACTCCCAATTTGTTTCAAGTGTTGTAAAATAAGGATAACCTACATATAGGCTAACATCCTCAAAGTGGTTTTAGAACAACACCATAACGTCAGCTATACTGTTGCAAGATATTAACTGCTTGATTATGAATTTTTTGACCTAGAATCTTGTCACAGTTTTCGCTCTTATGATGTAATTTGGGATGATGTAGAGCAGATTATTCTCCTGTAGTTTGGAGATCTTCAATAGATAACATAATTAGTAGAAAGAGAAAAAGAATTTCAACCTCCTGGTAACCAATAAAAGATCAATACAAATGTACAAAAAACTAATTAATTCGAATCTTTGATCATAACAATAGTGGCACCAGCCATAATACCAAAAACAATAAGAATTGGAAGAACGCAGCTAATTAGCAGGTAGTACAAAATCTCTTTTGAAAAGTAATACAATAAATAGATTGTGTAGCAAATGAAAATTACACCTATTGCCAAAACTTCAATAATGTTATAAATGATTTCAGCGATATCATAAAAGACAATTGTTGAACACTCTTTAATCAAAACATGTGCTTTTTCACATATCCATCTCATTCTATCACTATGTTTTTTGGAATGTTTCTTCAAATGATCATTTATCTTTTGATCTTGATTTGGAAAGATTGATAAACATTGTAATTTGGAATCTCTTATAAGAATGGTAGGTTGGTGTTTGAAGGAGAATCTTGTTTTCACTGGTTCTGGATAGGGGATATTATTGTTTACTTTGTTTTGTGAATGATCATCTGTGCTCAATAATGTACTACTTGTTGTATTTAATTGATTTTGCATATTCCCAATAAAAGCTGAAGAGTGTCAGGTAGTTTTGATCTGAAACAAAATTTCCACATTTCATTAATTTATGTACAATGGATAAATTAATCATATTGTCTAATAATGATATTACAATTTCCGATTTTTTTAATTTCATAGAGCACCTTGATGTACATGAAATTCAACATAAAAAGTTGCGAAAAAATTCTATTAAAAAAAGATTTGTTTCATGTCCCGAAATTGTTATATAGTAAGCATGAAATACACAAAATATAAACAGTAAGTTTGAAAGCTAAAAACATTGAATTATAAATAAACAGTCTATTAAATGCTAATTATTTACTGGTATTTATATATCTGAAATACTTGTAAATGTCGTATATACTAGTGCTATACTATACTATTCACAATCTTCACTCTTGATAATAATTCAAGAAGTATCATTACATAATTTATTGATTTCAAGTTAATTGTAAGATTATGCACAACATAATTTAAAAATACAATAAATTAAATCTTATAAATCTAGATAAATAATATTTTTACTTGATCTTTCTTTTTTTTTTTTAACAACTTTATTATGAGGATATTGATAAATTTTATAGTAAATATTCATATATAAAAGAATACTAACATGAATGAGTTAAATTAACTGGTAAAGGATTAAAATTTATTACAAATGATTCACAATTAATATATTTTTCCATTTTATTTTTTTGTTCCAGATTACTCCATAGACTAAACAAAAAGTTAAATAATTTAGAGCAAGTAATAGTCATCATTCATCCATAAAAGAACCAATAGTCAACCAGCATTCTCAAATGAATGATGATGAAGATGAATTCAAAGTTCAATCTATAGCTGACGTTAAAAATAAATACAATTTTGTTTCAAAGTACTTGCTAAGCTTCATAAGTTTCTTCTTTTCAACTATATTTTGTACAATACTATGTACTGGGGCGATTTTCCAACAATTAATTGATAAAATTAGGGGTAAATCCAAAATAATACTACCGGATATTGAAATAAGAAGTAATGGATATATACCAAGACAAGCTTATGATGATATGACAAACCTCAAAACAATAGATGATTTACAATACTACCTCAAACAATTAAAATTAGACTTGGAAGAATATGAAGTTACTACACCAGATGGATTTATTCTAACATTACATCATATAATAAATCCGACAGAACTGCAACAACAAAGAGATGAAAGAAAACCTATGTATATGCAACATGGATTATTATCATGTTCAGCAACTTGGATAGTAAGTGGTAAAAATTCATTAGCTTATTATATGTTTGAAAATGGTTATGACGTATGGCTAGGTAATAATAGATCATGGTTTGAAGCTAAACATGCTACATTAAAGGGTGATTTATACAATAGTGAAAAATATTGGAATTGGAGTATAAAACACTTAGCTTATTATGATTTACCATCTTTTATTGAAACTGTGCTAAGTATGAAACCTAAACATGATAAACTAGTGTTGGTGGGACATCTGCAAGGTGGATTACAAAGTTTCTTAATGTTGAAAAATCCATACTTGAGTTATATTCATGACAAGATTGACTTTTTTATACCCATTGCACCCGCTATATATCCTGGAAGGTTATTTTATACAAGATGGTTCATTTCTATAGTTAGTACATTACCAAAACTAGCTTGGTTGATAATGTTTGGGTACCTGGCCATACTACGTAATTTATGTTTAATGAGATTATACTTGTGTCAATATTGGATATTTGGTAAATTATCATACTATATGTTTTATTATTTATTTAGTTGGAATGGATCAAATTGGGATCAAGATAGAAAAATTTGGCATATTTTATTCATTTTTAATATGAGTTATGTTTCAGTTGATTTGTTTCAGTTTTACTTAGGGAAGTTTAATCAATTTGGATTTATGCTGACTTTATTACCTAAAGAAGTTTATATGAATGATGATGAAATTGATTATTTTGTTGTTGATGCAAAAAGAAACTTAGAGGAGATAACTGAAGAGAATATCACGGAAAGTGATAAATCAAATGAACCACTACTGAAGCTGTATTTCCCATATAACAAGACTTGGTTTACTGAAAACATTAAAAAGGTCCCCATGCTACTAGTTCTAGGAGACAATGATTACCTAGTGGATGGTAAAAGACTACTATCGCACATGTTAAATTTTGAACCAGGTTATACCAAATACAAGAATTTTAATTTTATCAATGTACCGACTTATAATCATTTAGATGTAATATGGGCAAAAGATGTTAATGGTTCTATAGGGTATGAGATATTAAAATTTATCAAAGATATTGAGAATGAACAAGAATTTAACGAAGCTATGGAATTAAAATTAGAATAATGTGAATTTAATCTTATATATTTATTCAACATTTAACTTAATGAACTAATTTATTTTTGACTTTATCAATTATATACTCTTATGTTCGGCTTTACAATGTCTTACTTTAATATTTGTACGATATGGTTTACTACAATAAATTTGGATCAGAAGAATTCTTCTTTACTTCAAAGATCCAAGAAAATTTCAAATTTGCGCTTGACATTTCCGTTTTTTTTTGATTTAATTTTTAAAGTTTTTAACCGAAAATGTGTCAAAATATAAAAAATTTGACACATATTCATTTCGTGTAATAATAAAGTAAATGAATTTAAATTATATCATTGAATGAATTGATGGATTGAGTTGAATGATAAGGAATAACTTCGGTTAGTTACAGATCCAGAATTTGAACTTATTTGGCCCAGTATCAAATATTTTCTTTCCCTTTATAAGAATAAAATGGTAATTATTATAATTACCGAGAAATAAAAAATATTTTGATCACTTAAATCTTTCTAAGAGATTTCCTTTTTTTTAGAATTTGCAACGAAAAGTGGAGATATTAGAAGACAAATTAAAACACATGTTTTCAAACACTTATTGAAATAAAGCACAGGTTTCACATCACATTCTTATATCAACCATAATTTTATATTAGACCAATTAACAAATTTAGAAACTTTATAAATCTACACAGTTTAGTCAATTTCTAAGCCATTGTTAGTCAAATTAATTTACAAACAATTAGTTTTGGTTTTTTACAAAAGATCCTTAATTTCAGATCCTGAAATATTTAAATGGAATAAGGGCTGCAAAATTCAAAATCATTGAACTTATATTATTCAATCAAATTAATTTAGAGTGAAAGCCAATTTACAACACATAAGAAATGACTATTCAACAAATACCGATAATCCTAGATGCAGATACAGGAAATGATGATGCGTTTGCAATATTGTTATCTGTTTTCAATCCAAGATTCAAATTATTAGGTATAACCACAGTTCACGGAAATGCTCCCACATACATGACAACTCATAATACTTTAACTATTTTAGACATATTGGGAGTTCACAACGTAAAAGTCTTTCGGGGAGAGGAAAATCCTTTGTTTGTTGAACCAAGTTATGCATTAAATGTTCACGGTAAAAATGGGATAGGTGGGATAGATGTTCCAAAATCCACTAGAAACCAAGTACAAACTAACGAAAACTACCTAGAATTTATGTATAAATCAATTTGTGAATATGAAAATGAATTATGTATAGTATGTACAGGTACTTTAACAAATATGGCAAAATTAATTAAAAAATACCCAGATGTAATTGACAAAATCAAATATTTATCAATAATGGGAGGATCATTTGGATTTGGAAATATAACTGAATTTGCTGAATTTAATTTTCATACTGATCCTCATGCTGCTCAATATGTTTTGAAAAAATTCAATCAATCTAAAATCATATTATCACCTTTGAATTTAACTCATAAAATTATTGCAACTGAATCAATAAGAAATGAAATGTATAATGAGTTAAATCCTCAAAAAAATAGTGATTTAAGATTGGCATTTTTTAAGATATTGATGTTTTTCACTTTGACTTATAAACAAGAAAATAGTATGTCATTAGGTCCACCTTTACATGATCCAGTTGCTGTATACATTTTATTACCATTTATCGATAATAATTTCAAAGAATATGGTTATAAATTTATACAAAAGAGAATAACTGTTGAAATTAACAATAAGGAAAGAATTGGTGAATGCATATACCTAAACAATAATAGTGTTGAAAATGAAAATGAAGATGATGGTGTTAATATTGGTGAAGAATTAGATGCCTCAAAATTTTGGGAATGTCTTTTAAAATGTTTACATAATGCTGAATTAAATTTACAAAATTTAAACTAGAGTCTACCAAAAAGTTTTTATCTAACATAATATATAAATTATTTATGCTAATGAATTAATGATATCTTAAATAATGTCTCTAAATGTATTGTCTATAATCTCTAATATCTAAAAAAATCTATATGTAACTATTATCGAGTAATTTAAATGTCTGCACCTTTTTCTTCAACAGGAACTCTAAAAGCACCTGCCATATAAATTGAAGGTTCATTAATATTATGATGTTGATAACTTAATACTCCAACACCACCAGCATCTAACATTAAAGCAGGATCAACATTAAGATCTCTCCCAACCCATCTTGCAACTAAACATCTTAAAATATGGCCATGAGCAACAACAATGATATCACTTGGTTGACCATCGTTTAAAGCTTTAACATGTATTGATTTAACTTTTTTAATAAACCTATCTAATCTTTCAGTAACTTGTTTATAATCTTCACCATCTTCACATCCATCACTCCATATTGACCAGTCGTGATCTGGTGGATCTATACCTCTATCATGTCTTGATTTTCTTATCTCGGCAGTTTTTAAACCTTCATATCGGCCATAATTCCATTCAGTTAAATCATCATCATACTCCACAGGAATTTTTTCCCTGATCTTTGGTGGAACAGCCTCCAAAATCAACTCAAGAGTATGTCTTGCTCTCTTTCTAGGACTTGAAAAAATCTGCACAATATTTTGAGGTTTGATCATTTGAGATTGAGATTCACCAATTAATAGCTCCCCGGTCTTTTTCATCTGAAGTTCACCAAAAGGTTCCAAATCAAGCTCTGTTAAGCTTGTATGTCGACCGTCACGCGACCAGCTGGAATAAAGTCTCTAAATGTATTGTCTATAATCTCTAATATCTAAAAAAATCTATATGTAACTATTATCGAGTAATTTAAATGTCAGCGCCTTTTTCTTCAACAGGAACTCTAAAAGCACCTGCCAAATAAATTGATGGTTCATTAATATTATGATGTTGATAACTTAAAACTCCAACACCACCAGCATCTAACATTAAAGCAGGATCAACATTAAGATCTCTCCCAACCCATCTTGCAACTAAACATCTTAAAATATGGCCATGAGCAACAACAATGATATCACTTGGTTGACCATCGTTTAAAGCTTTAACATGTATTGATTTAACTTTTTTAATAAACCTATCTAATCTTTCAGTAACTTGTTTATAATCTTCACCATCTTCACATCCATCACTCCATATTGACCAGTCGTGATCTGGTGGATCTATACCTCTATCATGTCTTGATTTTCTTATCTCGGCAGTTTTTAAACCTTCATATCGGCCATAATTCCATTCAGTTAAATCATCATCATACTCCACAGGAATTTTTTCCCTGATCTTTGGTGGAACAGCCTCCAAAATCAACTCAAGAGTATGTCTTGCTCTCTTTCTAGGACTTGAAAAAATCTGCACAATATTTTGAGGTTTGATCATTTGAGATTGAGATTCACCAATTAATAGCTCCCCGGTCTTTTTCATCTGAAGTTCACCAAAAGGTTCCAAATCAAGCTCTGTTAAGCTTGTATGTCGACCGTCACGCGACCACAAAGTTTGCCCGTGGCGTACGAAGATTACTCTTGGAGTGTGAGTTTTAGTCATATTTGATGAGTCAATTAGTGTTCCAAAAATTGAATAGTTGCAAATTTGAAAGTTGCAAATTTGAATAGTTGCGGGAATAAATATGTGCGTTTTTTTTCTTTGCTTTTATCAATAGTGCGCACTGTTTAGGGTCAGCTTGATTTTAGCGCACCATCAAGTTTCACGCATTTTTTATACAAGACTTCACAGAAAAAATTATCTATAGACTAAATATCAAGTTGATTTTAATTATAACTTCACGTTATCACCGCCAAATAACCTACAATAGTATCATTCAGTTCCGACACATAACAACTCAAAATGTCATCAATAACGTCCAAAACCCAAATTACGGAAAAAATAATCCAATTATTAAAAACATTACCAAAAGATAGATTAAAACATTACGCATCATTTAAAGATTCACAACTTCAGAGATTTGAAAATACACAAATAGTACAAGATATATCAGAAAAAGATTTGAAATTACAATATATAGCTTTGAAAGAGCTTGTGAATGATAAATATAAAAATTATTATAAATTAGATGATAAATTATTAAAACCTAAGGGAAATCCTGATTATTATAATAGATTAATTAGTGAGATTAAAGGTGAAAAAAAGGAGACGTTATTTACTGCTATTAGAACTGTTGTATTTGGGAAATAGAGTGATATGGTCGTATCATATGTATATAGCACTTTAATGAATTCATTGTAAATTTTAGTGATTAACTAAATTTTTCATACATCAACGTGATCGGATATTTCAATTTCTCAATTTTATCATTTTACTCCATTTTTTGTACAAAACTTTATCTATTAGATCTACAACTTAATTTTAATTGTACTACTATATCCTGCAAATATGTCGTTCAAGAGGACATTACAAGGATCCAAACCATTACAATCACTACTAACAATTTCTGTACTTCTACTGATTTACTTACTATATCATTTCAATGTATTTTGGTTCTTAAATTCATCATCTACATCAACACCAGAAGAAATTAATTCATTACTACAAAATAAAGATACAAATATAGTAGCCTTAAAGAAAACAGAATTGACTAATCAAGGTATACAAAAGCCATACTTAGATGATTCATTATTTCATGTACGTAATTGGAATTTGAAAGGAAACACGTTTGTTGAAAATGATAAATATATTAGATTAACCTCTACTGCACCTCATTTAGCTTCAAATATGTTTAGTAAAAATCCAATAGAAGCAGAGTCTTTTGAAATGGAGTTGACGTTCCATATACATAATGAAGATGCAAAACATGGATTGGTGGGGGATGGATTAGCAGTTTGGTTTTTAGATAAACCTTCTGATATTGGTGATGTTTTTGGAATTGAAAATAATTTTAATGGGTTAGGAATTATGATGGATACGTATAAAAATGGTAAACGTGGGACTTTCCCCTTTGTGAATTTAATGTTGGGTGATGGTTCTACTTATTATAACAAGGGAACAGATGGGTATGAAACTAGATTAGCTGGATGTACTGCTAAAGATCTTTTAAATCCAGCTTCAAAGGAGACAAAAATGAGGTTAGTATATATCAAAAATGGTTACTTATCAATAGATTTCAATTATTACGGGAAACATGAAGATTGGACAAACTGTGTTACATTAACAGATGTTAAATTACCCCACATCAAGTACTTGGGATTAAGTGCAGAAACTGGTCAATTATTTGAAAATGTTGACGTGATAGAAAACAAAATATTTGCATTATTTAAACCAGATGGTACATTTGTTGAAAGTATAGATGAATTGGATGATTTAATAAAGGAACAAAATGAATACGATGAAGAAGCTAGCTCGTTAAACGACATAAATCAAAAAGTTGAGAATATAAAATCAAAAACTGGTGGTCGAAATAGAGCATTCAAAAGAAAATTAAGTACTCAACGAAGAAGAACACTAAAGAGATTACAAAATGCTGAAAAAAGAATAAAGCAAAGGGAAAAGCAAGCAAGGTTGGAGAAATATGGTGATGAAGACGCTACTTTTTTCAAGAGATTGTTCAGTAGGTTGTTATGGTGTCTTAAAATTATAATTTATATCGTCATATTTGTAATTTTAATTTGGTTTGGATTGATTATTTATAGAGTTCAAAAACAAAAACGAAAACTGAAAAGTACTGGATTATTAGATTGAAATTGATGTACATATATATATAGATAACGAGATTATAAACAAGAAAGAACAATCGATCTATCTTCTCCTTTTAGCAATTGCTTCCTTAGATGATGATGTTGAAGTTGATAAATTATGTTCCAATAATTCTGAATTCTTGAGTAATTCATAATCTTCTTCATCTGTTGATAATATTATACCATAAGTATCTAAACTAGCTCCCAAAATTTTATGTATTAATTTTTCATAACTTTTAGCAGTATCTTCAAATGGATTTAACTCAAAAGATTTATCCAAGATTTGAAACCCATGAATTTGTAAAGCTCTTGCTAATTTTTTATTAAATGAATAACAATCAGCAGTAATTAAAATTGATCCCTTTTTAACATTGGTCTTAGAATCTTTTAAATATTCTTGATACAATTCTCTTGACCTTACCACGGCCCATTCAATTAATAAATTATCAAAATCAACTTTTTGGAAAACTTTACGTACATGTATTCCAGTAATTTTAACCACAAAATTTTCAGGTGTAGATTGTTTCAAATCTGGTACTAATGTTATTATAGCTATTGGTTGATCTCTGTAACTGATTATATTAGTGTTTTCACCATTTTTCAAAACTTTGGCTTTACTTTTCTCTTTAACAAATTCAGTTACATCAAATCCATAAACGGAATTACAATAGTTCTTACTAATAAAATTTGTTGCAATTGCTCCAACATCATCACCTAAAATATATCCAATGAATGCAAAACTTGCGAAAATAGAAGCAACAATTGGAGCACCTCTCAATATATTAAAAATAAAATCATTTCTATTCTTACTTGCAATAGTATAGAATTCAACTAAATTTTCACTTATTGATAAATAATCCCATAATACAAATCCAAACACTAATGGAACTAATGTAGTATATACCAATATCGATATAGGATGCCAAAATACAAATTTTGATAAATTAGATTGCGATTGCTTATAATAATCTCCATGTAATATTAATGATGCTTTTGTTAATGCTGGAGTTAATGTTGATTTTTCAAGAGTTGCTGGTTTATCTGCATCTAACGGTTTATTTAAATCTATTTCTTTTTGTTCAATCATGATTTTGATTGTCTATAAGTAATTGATGAAAATCTGTAGTTGAAATCGAGAAGTAGATCTATAATTATAATAATTAATTAATCAATTTGGACCTCATCAAATTATAAAATTCTATGAAATGCAAATTTGGTAAAATAAAATTTATAAGTCCGCCTTCTAGTTTAGTGTTTTAAATTTAGCATTAAGAAGTGATAATTATAAAACGTGGGACTATGCGACTTAAAGTAATATTAGACAGTATTCGAATTGAAATATTATAATTAAACTACAGACTGAAAAAATAATCAAACACCTGTGATTCAATTCATTTGGAGCTCGTCTTCTGCATCACTCATCATTTTTGGAGAAATAACCCATACTATTATTATTACCGTTGTAAAATAATATAATGTGTATTCTGGCATATTTATTTTAACACTTATATTCTTAGGTGGTATTTTTAAATTAATTTGGAGCATAATGGTAGACTGAGCTTGAAAAGTCTTTATGTAAGTTGATATATTTCCAAATTATCAACTCATTATATTTCCAGAAACATTGACTTTTGATATTTATTCTTATTTTTATCGTGGTTGTGAAGATTGAAATTGTATTTAAGCCAAATTTTTATCACAAATTTGACGCAAAAAGTTGCAAATTAAATTAAATCGATTGTTTTACATCCAAGTGAAAAGCATTGGTGAAAAGAAATATAACTTAATTGTGTATCAGAAACTTGGCTGCCGCTCTTGTTCCTTTCTTAGGCCATAATTTGATTCTAGAGGTTTCTATAAAATGTTTTATGATCTAAGAATTTGTGAAACTCAGTATTTAACTAATTTTTTAAGGGGTACTTTGCAATTATATATTTGTCTCATGCTTATCTAACAAAGTATACAAAGTCAATACAAAATTTTAGAAGATTGATATAATATCAATTCTTATTTGTGTACATTTATACATTTATGCATTTATACACGCAGCGATTCAGGATTATAATTCATTTATTGTGCTTCAAGATCTGGATCAGAACCAATAGGTAGACCAAATATAGATAAAAATATAATTGTAATAATGAAAATAATTTTTGAAGCTAAAGCATATTTACTGATTCTGTTCAATCTTTTATAATCCTCAATATCTTCGATAGTCCTCAAGTTAGATCTATCAACTCGTTTTTTTAGTTTTGTAATAGCTGAACTCTCATCCTCATTTAATATTGTGAAGAATTCATCACCATGATAATTATATTGTACTAGAATTTTCTCAATATCATTCGATTTGCCATAGTAATTTAAACGATTGTTAATTTGATTTGATGCATAGTGGGAGATGATGTATCCTATTATTGATAAGACGAAACTTTTAAGTAGTAGATGTGACATTTGAAATGATACTCAAAAGAAGTAATGTTGCCAACAATTTTTCTCTATCTGAAATTCCATACCCCCCACAAATCAATGAACAATATCATATGCTAAAGTCAGCAAAATTAAGTTCCTACATTTACACTCATTAAGAAACTGGATTGAATCATTTCAATTGAACACCTTTTACTACGATACATAACAATCAAGAAAGTATTGATTTTGTCGGATGTATCGATAAAAATTCTAAAGTTGCATCAAAGTACGAAATAGAACAATAAAAGATTGGAACTAATGTTGAAAGCTTTATCTGATCAATATATAGTAATTAGAAGTGTAATGCAAGTAATACTCGTTATTGAATAAGAGTATTAATCATATTACTAATCTAATTGACAATTAATTTCGGAGATTAATAGTGTGGCATTTTGCAACCACATCCTTTTCCTTATCAATTAGGAATAAAAGTGATAAACCAATGCATATATATAACGATTACAAGATAATGTACTGAAGAACAGGGGTATCTTTTACTCCTCTATACGACAATGCCATCAATATCTGATCTAGATCATGAAAACCCAGTTGGTTTATCATCAAAGCAAATTCAATCAATTGCAATAATTGGAGGTGGAGCATCTGCTGCAATTATTTTAGATACTTTATTGAAAGAACCAGATTCAAATATCAGAAAAATAGTAATCTATGAAAGACAAGATAAATTGGGTGGAGTTTGGTATCTTAATCCACAAACTATCAAAACTCCAAATCATATAATTAAATCTGGAAATATAAATTTTGAAAATGATCCTCAATTAGCCAATCCTTTTCATGATGCCGAGGAACTAACTAATGAGATACGCTTACCAAGAAATAATCAAGAAAGATTTCTTCAAACACCTAGTTATCATGGCATAAAAACAAATATTATTGAAAATATGATGACATATAGTGACAATAGAAACTGGGGTGTAGAGGGAAACGATAGAGATGGTAAGTATGTGGTTGGAACTGTTGTCCAAAAATATATTGAAAGTTATGTGAATCAAAATTTAAACAACTCAAAAGTTAAATTGAGTTTAAATTCTACAGTAGAGGATGTTGAAAGGATTGATAGATCGGATGATGTTGAATTGCAATACAGGTTTAAATTAACGGTACGTGAAGAATTAAAAGATTCAACTCAAGACCGTTGGTACCAAGAAGAGTTTGATTCCGTTATAGTTGCAACTGGTCATTATCATGTCCCATTTATTCCGCATGTACCTGGTTTAAAAAATTTACAAGAGAAGTATCCAGACCTAGTTCAACATGCCAAATTTTATAGATCTTCAGAACCATATAAGGGAAAAACTGCAATAGTTGTCGGTTCAAGAGCTTCCGGAAGTGATTTGACGAAATTCATTGCAAGAGAACCAGGTACTAAGGTTTATCAATCAATTAGAAATTATGAACGAACTAAAGTTTTATCGTCGAAAACCAACGTTGAGTCTAAACCACCTATTGCTTCAATCGAGTTATTAAATAGTGAATCAAATAAACAGAAAATAAAAGTTTTATTTGAGGATGGGTCAATAGTTTATGACCCAGATCATATAATATATTGCACTGGTTACTTATTTTCATACCCATATTTGAACCGATTATTTAACAATTCAATCACACATGAGGGAATGACTGTATCAAATTTATATCAACACACTTTCCTAGTTAATGAGCCCTTAATCACAATAATAGGAGTCCCAATAGATGGTATATCATTTAGAGTATTTGAATATCAAGCAATTTTGTTATCAAGATACATAACAGGTAAGATTCGATTACCTTCAAGAAATGAACAAATTCAGTGGGTGAACAATAGATACGATGAAAAAAGTAACACAAGATTATATCATACAATTGGAGTTGTTGATGCTTTACCTTATGCTCAAACTTTGGTAAGATTAGGGCAAGTTTCACTGAAAACTAAAGTTGGTCGTGAATTTCCGATAATGACGGAGGCAGAAGTACAAGAGTATAAAGAAGCAGGTGAGAAATTGAGAAAGTTTTGGGATGAAAGATAGATATAGAAACCAATTTCATAGAAGGAACTAGTAAATAGATTAATAGACCAATAGACCGTAATTATAAATTGTTAAGAAATTGTAGTATAAAATTTGGACCCTTTCTGATCCAGAAATTTAGTTGCAAAACAAATTTCATACTAATTGGTAGCCCCGTCGGAAATTAAAGCAACCGATTTTTATTCAGATTTTGTTTTAGAATTTAGATCTTTTACAACCGATTTTATCAATTTAATCAAATACTTACAACACTTTAATAAATGATAACAGCATTATTCATATATGACAACAAAGGAGATATACTAATATCAAAACTATATAGAGATGAAATCAAAAGAAATATAGCAGATGTATTTCGAATACAAGTAATAAATCAAGCCTCAATTGGAAAGTCAAATCGAGATCAGAGAACTCCGGTATTAACTTTAGGTTCAACTTCATTTATATATATAAAACTGGGTAATGTTTGGATATGTGCTGTTACAAGATCCAATCAAGATTGTTCACTAATTTTGGAATTTTTATATAAATTAGAATCATTATTATGTATTGTATTGTGGGAGGATAATAATAATAAAAAGAAACAACAACAAAATCAAAAACCAACGTTATCAGATACCGCGATTGTAAATAATTTTCCTTTAATCTATGAGATACTAGGAGAAGTATGTGATTTTGGGTATCCTACAAATATGGATATTGAGTACCTAAAAAAGTATGTTGTTGGGTTAAGCGAATCAAACGTCACAAATATTTTCAAGAAAGCAAATTTTAACCCATTGAGTCAATTAAAGAAAAACACACCACCCACAAATAATATAGAAAATCATTCAGTAACTTGGAGAGCATCAAATATAAAATATAGAAGAAACGAAATATTTTTAAATGTTGAAGAAAAATTAAACATTTTGATGAATGCACATGGTGAAATTTTACGAAGTTCAATAGATGGAGCAATCAAAATGAAATCTCATTTATCAGGTATGCCACAATGTAGATTTGGATTTAATCAAAATACAATTTTTTTACTGAATTATGATTCACAAGATGATGAAAGAAATTCAATAGTAGCATTAGAAGATTCAAAATTCCATCAATGTGTCGAATTAAGTGCTTTTGAAAATGACAGAACTATTCAATTTATACCGCCTGATGGAGAATTTCAATTAATGAGCTATAATTGTTCAAATAATACAAATATACCATTCAAGATATACCCACAAGTTTCAGAATACAAAAAGAATAAAGTACTATACAAGATTAAATTGAAAAGTTTCCAACCTCCAAAATTAGCAGCAACAGATTTCAAAATCAAGATCCCCACACCTAAAAATGTCATATCAACAAATTTTTTAACATCAAATGGTAAAATCAAATATCATCCCGAAGAAAATTCAATGATTTGGAAATTCAACAAAATTTACGGTGATGCTGAAAACCTATTAACAGCGGAAGTAGAACTTCAATCTCAATCAAACCAAAATTTTAGTCAATGGAATAGACCTCCAATTACAATTGATTTTAATTTAGATATGTGGTCAAGTTCGGGGTTAAGTGTAAAATATTTAAAAGTACAAGAAAAATCTAATTACAAAACTGTTAAATGGGTAAGGTATACCACTAAATCAGGTTCTTATGAAGTTAGGTATTGATAAAGTAGTTTGTAAATTAATTTAATAGATGAAGATTATAGAGATGAAACGTGGTTTCTAATATCCAATGTAATTTACTCATTGATACTCGATTAAGCTCAATCTCGCATGAGATCTGCTTGACAATAACTGGCTCTTTCATTATACTACTGTAAAACAAGTTGTAGATATGTTGGACTGAATATGGTAGATGTTTCAATGGTCCTATAATTTAAAAAGATGAGCTTATCACTTTTCAGGTTACAAAATTGCAAAAAAAAGTATACGGTGAATTCTTTTAATTAAAATATCCCCAGATATTTCAAACGAATTGCATTAAGTCAGCAACATTCCATTGCATAAATGAGAGACTTAGTTGTTCTTGGAGGCTCATCACATCCATTACTTACAAAATCAATATGTAGAAATTTAACAATTGAACAAAGTAGATTAGATTCAAGAAAATTTTCAAATGGTGAAACATCAATAGTTGTACAAGATAGTGTTAGAGAAAAAGATGTCTATATTGTACAAAGCGGTTGTGGTCATGTTAATGATACTTTTATTGAATTATTAATTACTATAGCTGCTTGTAAAACAGCAAGTGCTAAAAGAGTCACTGCTGTATTACCTTTGTTTCCATATTCCAGACAACCTGATGTTCCTTTCTTACCAAATTCAACTGGTGCTCCTAGTTTGACTACAAAAAAGGATGATTATACTTTTGAAAGTGCACCAAGTACTCCAAGACCATTATCACGAGATGGAACTAAGTCATTTGATTTTAGTAATAGTAATTCAAATAGTATAGGTTTAATGCCTGATGTTTCAAAATTAAAAGTCAACAACTTAAAAACTCCACAACCAGTAAGGTATACACCAAAATCCATAGTTACAAACTCATCATCAACTAATTTCTTACCTCAAATAGATGCTCAAGGTAAAACTGAAAGTGGGTATAAACAATGGATTGCACAAAATGGTACACTTATAGCCAACTTATTATCAACAGCAGGAGCTGATAGGATTATAACAATGGATTTACATGATCCTCAATTCCAAGGGTTTTTTAACATACCAGTTGATAACTTATATTCAAGACCAATTTTAAAACATTATATAATGGATTATATCCCAAATTATCAAGATTGTGTTATTGTAAGTCCAGATTCAGGTGGAGCTAAAAGAGCTACTTCTATAGCTGATACTATTGGATGTTCATTTGCTTTGATACATAAAGAAAGAAGAGCAAAAGTTGCAAAAGGTCCACCTCTGACTTCTTCTAGTTCTTCATCAATATCTGCCGGAGCTGCTCAACAACAAATACAACGTCAACAATATAGTCAACAACAACAGCAGCACCATCACAATCAACAACTTCACCATCATCATAGCTCAACTCAACTACAACAAGCTCCCAAAATGGTTGCTACAACTATGTTAGTAGGAGATGTTAAAGATAAAGTATGTGTTTTAATTGATGATTTAGTAGATACTTCATATACCATAACGAGAGCTGCGAAATTATTAAAAGATCAAGGTGCAAAATATGTATATGCATTAGTTACTCATGGTATATTTAGTGGTGATGCAATTAACAGAATAAATAAAAGTCAAATTGATAAATTAGTTACAACAAATTCAGTACCACAAATTGAAAATGTTGCTATATTGGGAGATAAAATGGAAGTTTTAGATGTTAGTAGGATATTTGCGGAAGCTATAAGAAGAATCAATAATGGTGAAAGTGTAAGTATGTTATTCGATCATGGATGGTAATTTACGAGGTTATAGACAAGTCAAACTTGATTAAAAAAATGCTAAAATTTATATATTTATTTTCTTTTTGTTTAATTAATCAAAAAAATACCTATTTATATGTTAAAAGCTCTTGCTCGATTTATTTTGCATAATGTAATTTTATATCTAACCATTGTCTAGCTTTAACTTCATCTGGTGTTAAATATGTATCACCATAAGTAATTGGTCCAAAATAAAAGAAAAACCAAATTATACCTAATGAAGCTAACCCTACCAATAAAGTCATTTTAAATTTTTTAATGTTTGGATTTACATTTACTGCATCTCTTGAATTATTTGAACATATAAATTCTGCCAAACCGCCTGAAAATAAAGCAGCTATTAAATGAGCAGGTAAATAATGATGTAAAAATTTTTGACGATTCATTAAATAAAATGGGAAATAATGTGCACTCCATCCAACAAATAAAAATCCTAAAGTATTATATAATCTTGATCTTGCTTTATCACTTAATAAATGATAATTTCTTCTTCGGGTTATTTGATCAGCTAATACAATACCAATATAAATTGACAAGAAACAAACTTCTAACCAGAAACCAACAACATTACCAACAAAGAAAATTTGTTTTTTGGTATCATTATTATTATAAAATGAAACACCACTTAAAGCTAATGGCCAAGAATCAGGTTGTGAAGCAAAAGGATGTGATGAACTTAATTGATTATTATGATGAAACATTAATCCTTGTAATTGCCACCATTTCTTTAAAAATGGCATAGTTTTAATTTCTTTTGGAATATATTTACTTCTTGGATCGCTTTTGTCTAGGTTTGTAATTTTATTAAAAGTCCATACATTATCCTTATCTTGAATCTTTTTGTTACCACTAACTTCTTGTTGACCAAATGCCCATTCTGGTAATAATTCATCATCATGAGTCCACATTGCAACTACTGTATCCATATGTAAAATTTTTAAATCTGTAGCTAAAGTTTTAACTTTTTTCTTCTGATTTTGTTTCTTTGGTGATGAACCTGGTACACTTAATCTTAATCTAAATAAAGTTTCATTGTATCTTGATTCAATTTTCTCATCAAATACGACTGTAAATTCTTCATTTGTTGGTTTTAATGGGGAAGCAACATCATGAGTTAATAAATAACCACCAGTTCCTACATGTTTAAATCTGACAATATCATTAGTATTAACTTCTTTACCTCTTTTACCATCATCTTCTGCTTTTATAGGAACAATTTCCCATTGATTATTTGGATCTTGTTCAGCATTATCAACATCAACACAAGTAACTTGTTGTTGATTTGAAGAAATTCTACCGTCTTCATAACGTAATGGATAAACATGATCATGAGAATGTAAAAATGAACCAGTATCTTTATGTTGAATAGTAATTTGATCATAATATTGAACTTGTTTTGAATTTTGAGCTAATGGTGATTCTAATAAAGTTTCTTGAAATTCAGATGACATAAAAGCATCACCTGGACCTGATTTAATTAAAATTGCAAAATGTAAATAAAACCAAAATAAATAAATTATAAATGGTACTACAATTAAAGCCCATAATCTTGCTAAAAAATGTTTTGAAAAATCTTGTAATGTTAAACCCTTTTGATAATCTAATAAAATCCATAATTCATGAACAACTGCCAAACCAATAGTGAAAAAAGTGAAAACACCAACATATTTAGTTGAAATAACACAAGATAATGAAACACCAGTAGCTAATAACCAAGTCCACCAATTTTGAGTAAAAGGTTGTTTTCTAAAAGTTGAAAATTTACAATAACTAAACATTGTTAATGCAACACTTAAAATTAATGTAGCATCCAATAAAATTAATCTACTATCAACAACTTGAGCATTATCAAAACAAACAATTACACTAGCTAATAAACAAGCAGGTACTTGAAATCCCAAAGTCTTCATAGTCATAAACATTATTGGAACAATAGCAGTACCTTGAATTGCGGATAAACTTCTATAAGCAATATAAGGAACATTATTTTCAATATATGAATCACCAATTGCATCAAATTTAAATTTACCAGTATAACCAATTAACCAACCAACAAATGCAATTAATAATTTAGCAAAAGGTGGATGTAAATCAAAAAAATAAGTTCTTTCTAAATAATATGATGCAAATTTACCAAAATGAACTTCATCAAATACAACTTGATCTGGAGTACCTAATTTTGTAAATCTTAAATAAAATGCTAATGCTGTGATGAAACTTAAAACTATATAATATTTTAATTCATTTTCTTTAGTATTATCTTGAATAGTTACTTTTTTCTTTTTAATTAGATAAGTTTCATCAATTATATTATTTGAATTTTCAATTGGAGTAGTTGATTTTTTACCTCTTTTCCTAACTTGTTGAGACATATTGATTATATTAATTGTAATTTAAATAAAACACAAAAAAAAGTGAGAATTAAATAATCATAAATGAATTGAATATAGAATGAAATTTGATTTCTTTGAATTTTTTGGTCTTCAATTATTCAAACTATGAAACAAGTAACTTTTTTCAAATTTAAAAATCTAATTTGATCTCTCTCCAAGTTTACGAATAAAATTGAAAAATTTGAAAATAAAATCGTTAAATTTTGTGTTTCTTTTTTCTTTATCAAAATACAAAAACAACACGTAATAAATTGATTAAGTATATAAGGCTGGGCCAAGTCGTTTTAATATTACAAGTTAAAATATTTTTATATTTATGACAACTGAAAATGTGCTTGATTGATTTCATCCAATTATTGAATACAAATTCTTTTATCCTCTACTTAGAATAATTCTTTCTAGTGTATAATTTTGGTGTTGCCAAATTTTGATCAATACGACAAAAATGGTTGCAAATTTAAAACGACCTAATCAATCCTATTATTGATGAGAAAATGGTCCAAGATTGAATCAAAATGAATTAATTTTGAGTACAGAGACGGTCTTTTTTAAATAACTATAATTATGATTGGACAAATTATCTCAAAAAAAAAAATTTGTTCAACTAAGTGACTCAATTCAAATTCAAATTTCAACTGTTGTGAGTAATGAATTGTAAAAGTAATTATATATTATATTATAAATTTATAAATTTAAAGTCCATGTCAAAATATATAAAAATATGTCAATTATATTTGGTAGCAACTTTACCATACAAAATTATTATTATTATAATTATGTTAAGTATTCCATAAGTAATTTTAGTATATTAAATTATTAAGATACAACCAAATCAATGGATAATAATTCAATTGAAGAAATTGATGATATTAATAACAATGATATAAAAGATACAAATGATAGTTCATCACTGTTAACAACTCCTCCCATACAATCTGGTAAAATACGGAAAAAGAAAAGAAGAAATAAAAAAAGAAAACTTAAATTAAATGAACAAATTGAAAATGAAAATCATTATTATAATGGTGAATTATTAGTACATTCTTATTATACATTACCTCAATCAGTTCAAAAATTCTGGAATAGAAGATTTGAATTATTTTCAAAATATAATGATGGAATATATTTATCAGAAGAATTATGGTATAGTGTAACTCCAGAATTAATTGCAAAATATATTGCTCAATTATTTGTTAAAATATTACCACCAGAAGCAAATTGTGGATTAGATGTATGTTGTGGGGGTGGTGGTAATACAATTCAATTTGCAAGATTTTTTGATTCAGTTGGGGCTATTGATATAAATCCAGTTAATTTATATTGTACTGAACATAACTCAAAAGTTTATGAAGTTGATGATAAAATTTGGACATTAAGTGCAGATTGGGCAAATATTACAAGTTTAAAAGAAAATGGAGAATCAAATTACGATTGGATACCAGATCATGTCAAAGAACTAAGAAAAACCTTCCCAAAAGATAGAACATTTGATTTTATATTTAGTTCTCCACCATGGGGTGGTACAAATTATGATAAAAATGAATTTAATTTATATGAAATGGAACCTTTTAATATAATACATCTTTTAAAAACAATGACTCAATATTCAAATAATGTAGGATTATTTTTACCTAAACTGTCAAATTTAATGCAATTAAGTATGGCAACAAAAGAAGTTTATGGAGATTTTAAAAAATGTCGAGCGGTCTATATAAATTCAAAAGGAAGATCTGTTGCTTTATTGGCATTGTTTGGTGATATTTTTACCGCAAGATTTGATGAATTAGATGATATTAGTGAAGAAGCTTTGATGGGAGAAGATTATAATGAGAATATTGATGAAAATCAAGATGAACACTACAATGAAAGTGGGAATTATGATGGAGATGAAGTTTATAATGAAGATGAAAATTATATGGATAATTATGAAGATGAACATTTCGAAGGGGAGGCAGGTGAAGAAGATGAAGATGACATTGAAATCAATGACGACAAAAGTAACCTTGAAGATGATGCTAATGAAGCTGAAGTCGAGGAAAAATCTCTGAAAATAGCTAATGATGAGTATAGATGAAAAAAATTGTCATACAAGAAATTACAATGTCTCCACTATCGTATAATTTGTCTTTCATTCTGGTGCTTCATAAAAATACTAAAGATACTCAACACATCAATCATCAAATGAACATTTTCGATCTGATTGTAATTGTAAGAAATCTCTGCCATAATAAAAAATTACGGAACATATCTGGTAGCTCATGTAGATCTTGACACAAACTAAATACTAAAAAAAGGGTGAGAGACATTTTCAAGAAAAAGTACTCAAAACAATTACTTTGTATAATAGATAAGATAAAACCATAATAAACGACACTAGACATAGTATTTATCCGATTTTTCAAAATGAATATTAGAAATGATATAAATTCACCATCAAGATCTTTATTAGAATCAAAAGTTGATAGATTGATTGTTCAATTAAATGCTATTGAAAATACATTTCATGAAGAAAATAGAATTTTACAAACTTTAATTCGTAATCAAAATGATAAAATTGATACTTTATCTAATATAATACATAACTTGGTAAATAATAGTAATAATAATAATCCCAATGGTTCAAGTCATAAAAAGAGAAAAACAAACAACAACAATAATAATGAAGTAAATGATCAATTGATTGTACAACATGATGATATACAAAATTCCCCACCTGAAATAAATCAACAAGATGATGATGAAGAAGTTCAAGAAGTTGTTGAAGATGATGAAGTTTTAAATTCAATTCATGCTTTACAAGGTGGCGTTAATGTTAGTGATTTACAAAGATCAAATTTACAACAATTGAATCATTTACAACATCAACATCAACATCAACAATCAATGTTGGATCAAAGAAGAGCTCAATTGCATCATCAAATTCAATCTCAAGGTTCTAATCTTTCAATTGATAATAATATGGATCCTGCATTACATCAAGTTGCCACTGCTGCAGTCCAACAACAACAACAACAACTTCAACAACCGCAACAACCACAAGAGGGTCAATCACAAACCGGACCTAAAAAGCGTAAAAAATTAGGTATATATACAAGAGAAAAAGTTGGAATAACAGCTAGAAAAATCAAAATCGAATTTTTACAAAATCCAAACACTGTACGAGATATATATCAAGAATTTTATCACGGTTATAAGAATCAAGAACCACTTTGTGAATTAGATGCAAAATACGGTAAACATGAATGGAGAGGTGATTCAAGATCAAAAGAAAGTAAAAGATATCAAAGAAGAAAAAGATTATGTGATGCTATAAAAAGGGGTGCATATAAGTATAATAAAACTGATGATGAAATGATTGAATATTTGGAAGCTTATAGAAAAGAAAAATCTTTAACTTGGATTATGAATGGTCATTTACCTCCAGACCTTGAAGATTGAGGTAAGTAATCAAACATTGATAACTAGATTTGTACCTAAATAAATGTCTTAAAATCTACAATATCCGAAATTTTTAAAATAAAACTCTACGTAATTTAAATACATTTAATATATACTACTAATAAACTTTATACTATTTACAAATAATTGACCTTTTAAGTCAATTGAACTAAAGTTATTTGAAATCGAACAAAATGCTGAAAATTATATTGCAAACGTTGATCATCGTAATATTAAAAAACTAAAAAAAAAAGTATAAATAAATAATTTCAATTTCATTTATCTAATTTTTCTTCAGTTTTAATTTTGACATTCAAAATTTATCTAATTTTTTGGTGGTTCTTCTGATGATGATCCTGATTCACCTTCATTTTTATATAAATCCTTAAATAAATTAATAGCTTCATTTTGTAATTCTTCAGTCTTTGTTTTTAATTCTTCTGGAGCTACTTCTTCACCAGCTTGAGCTTTCAATACAATTTCTCTTAAGTTGGTGATTAATTCTTTAACTTTATCAACAGCTTCAGTTGATAATTTTTCTTTATGTTCATTTAATGAATTTTCAGTATCATTACATAATTGATCAGCTCTGTTTGCATTTTCAATAGCTTCTCTTCTTGCTTTATCTGATTCAGCATATTTTTCAGCATCATTGACCATTTTTTCAATTTCAGCATCTGATAAACCTGATGAGCCAGCAACAGTAATAGAGGCATCTTTATTTGAAGCTTTATCTCTAGCAGAAACTTTAATAATACCATCGGTATCAATATCAAAAGTAACTTCAATTTGTGGAACACCTTTTGGTGCTGGTGGAATACCACTTAATGTGAAATTACCAATTAATTTGTTATCTCTTGTTAATTCTCTTTCACCTTGGAATACTCTAATTTCAACAGATGTTTGACCAGCAGAAGCAGTTGAGAAAATTTGTGATTTTTTGGCTGGGATGGTAGTATTTCTTGCAATTAATCTTGCAAAGACACCACCCATAGTTTCAATACCTAATGATAATGGAGTAACATCTAATAAAACAACATCTTTAACTTCACCAGCTAAGATACCACCTTGAATGGCAGCACCCATAGCAACAGCTTCATCTGGGTTAACAGCTTTTGATGGTTCTTTACCGAAAATTGATTTAACAGTTTCAATAACTTTTGGCATTCTTGACATACCACCAACTAAAATAACTTCACTAATATCTGATGTTGATAATCCAGCATCTTTTAATGCCTTTTTACATGGTTCAATGGTTTTTTTAATTAATGGTTCAACTAATTGTTCAAATTGTGCTCTTGTGATTTTTTGATTAATATGTTTTGGTCCTGATGCATCAGCAGTAATGAATGGTAAATTGATTTCAGTTGAAACAGTTGATGATAATTCAATTTTAGCTTTTTCAGCAGCTTCTCTAATACGTTGAATAGCCATTCTATCTTTTTCTAAATCAATACCAGTTTCCTTTTTAAAAGTATCAACAATATTTCTAACTAATGCAATATCAAAATCTTCACCACCTAAATGAGTATCACCATTAGTTGATTTAACTTCGAAAACACCTGCACCAATATCTAAGATGGAAATATCAAAAGTACCACCACCTAAATCGAAAACAGCAACAACTTCACCATCTTTCTTTTCTAAACCATAAGCTAAAGCAGCAGCAGTTGGTTCATTAACAACTCTTAAAACATTTAAACCAACAATTTTACCTGCATCTTTAGTAGCTTGTCTTTGAGCATCATTGAAATAAGCTGGACAAGTAACAACAGCACTAGTAATTTTTTTGCCTAAAGCAGCTTCAGCAGTTTCTTTCATTTTATTTAAAATAAAACCACCAATTTGTTGTGGAGAATATTGTTCACCTCTTGCTTCTAACCAAGCATCACCATTACCATGTTTAATAATTTTATATGGAACTTGATTAATATCTCTTTGAACTTCTTTATCTTCATATCTTCTACCAATTAAACGTTTTGTGGCAAATAAAGTATTTTCAGGATTAACAACTGCTTGTCTTTTAGCTGGAATACCAACTAATCTTTCATTATCTTTTGAAAATGCAACAATTGATGGAGTAGTTCTACCACCTTCTGAATTTTCCAAGATTTTTGGAGTTTTACCTTCCATAACAGCAACAGCTGAATTGGTTGTACCTAAATCAATTCCAATAACTGGTCCAGTTGGAGCAGCAGTAGTTGATTGTAAACGAATTGAATTAAATCTACTTATTTGACATTTTAAAGTTTTGATTGAATTTCTTGCAGACAACATCTTGATCTGTTTTAATAAATTGAATTATATACAAATGATTGTTGTTTTTGATGAGTATCTAAACCTATATATATTATATAAAAATATATGAGATTTTAAATTGAAAAATTTTATAAAAAATTCAAAAGGTCGTTTTTAAATTAAATTTTCTATCACACACTAAAGAAAAAAAGTACATGATGCAATAGAATATTATAGAATTTTATTAAGACTAACAGAAGAAAAGAGAATATTAAAAAAGAATCAACATTAAATCGATATTGTCTCAAATTATAACTATACCTCTCTACATAAATTATTATAGTACCAGCTTTCCTTATAAGATTATTTATCTAACCTATACATCGGTTATTACTTACATTTAAGTCTTCTTCTCAGACAAAATATCTCTTCTCTGTTGCCACCGGGTACAAGATCGGAATTGATCGTAATACTTTCTTCTTATACATTTCTTTAATTTATCCACTTATTTGCCCTCGAATGTAAAACAATTGTATAAAATTGTTCTTGTGCTTAAGTATGAAACGTATATTTGGATTGATGGGACTCTAAAACCAACATTTTTACAAGTTTTAGTGTCTCTTTGATACTTCAATCATCATTCATGAGACGAAATTTGCTTGGTAGCAGATTATTTTGCAACCATTAGAATATAATTTGATCAATATAAGAAAAGGCTGCACTGAATTTTAATAAATAAAAGTTCAGCTGAATTATAGGTACAAGATACTACACTTACAACTTTTTTGAAAAAGCTAATAACGCTTGGTAAAAGTTCACACTAAATTTAAGAAAATTCAGTTTATTTTGCAACAAATTGAGAAAACTATTGTATAGCAATATAATTTATTTAGCCAAATTTTTGTGCAGTTGATTTTCAGCTACTATTGATTTCTTGTATAGAGGAAATCTTCTTGGTCTGATAGTCCCATTTTTTATCGTTTGTAATTCAATAACACCAATTACAGCCGTTTATATGAGATCCCAGATATAACTTCCATTTGTTGCTTTAAATTGTTAAATGAGACCAACCGAGATTGTTTAATAGGGTTCAAAAAGTATTTAACATATTGTATTGATACAAAACTCACAGTCATCACTATTTGTAATTTTACGTAAATCAGGAATACTTCAGCTGATTTTTTCTGTAAATTTAGTACGGTTGCAGCTAATTTATATGGTTCGATGATGAAGGAGATGATATGGATTTGGTCGGAATCGAGGTTAAGTTGTGTTCCACACCTCAATTTTGGTCACTTTTAATTGTTTTAGCGAGGTGAATGATATATACTTTAAAGAAAAGTCGATTTTATGCTTGTCAAAAATAATCGCAATTATTTATTTTCGATTTTGGTTAAGAGGTAATTAGGGGTGAATAAAATGTCAAAATGTTTTTTTTTTCTCTTATTTTTTTCTCCCCCTCTCTATTATCAGATTCTATATAATATTATATATTATACGTACATTTTTACGCAAATAAAATAAACGATTTAGTTACAGAAAAAATCGAAAATTTAAATTAAGTTGAAAGCTCATATCTTTTGGATATTATACTATAAACATTAACTAATTCTGTCTCGGTTTTGTTATACCATCATGAATGAAATAATAAACTATAGTGCCATCATCATTAATCATTGCAATTGTGATTCTATCTACTCTACCTTTACCATTTATATATTTTAGACTCTCCCATTTTGTAGCAACACCTTCATTTTCAACTGTATTTGACACATCATTCGTTATATTATTTGCATTATCTTTAATAGAATTGTTATCAAGTTTTTCATTCCGTATTTTATCCGTTATATTGTTGACATTATTTTGCTCATTATCATTCATATCAAATTTTTTAATCTCTTCAAACCAATTATTAATTTCTTGAACCGTAAGTTTAGTATTCGTTAAATTTTTACAAACTATCCATTCTCTTTTATTTTGTGAATCAGTTGAAGCTAATTTTGAAGCCGGCAAACCACTCACTATATGATCATTATGTATTATTACTTGTGTCCATAAATTATAATGTAGTAGATTTAGTTTTACTTGATCTGTATTTGATGATGTGAATTGATTTGTCATTTAATATTTGTTGATTTATTCTGAAATATTAAGATCAATTTCGTATTCACTTATTTTTAAAGTTCAAGATGGTGTCACGTGCTGCAGAACGTGATTTGCTTTAACTAGACATGGATAACAAAACTAACCATTACAAATCTGAAAGTTTCTTAATGAGTTTAGAGTCCTATTGCTTTTGATCAGTAGTGTTGATCCAAATTAACAAGTGATAGGATCAACTTAAAAGAAGATGACAATACGATGATAATAGATTTAATATTCAAAAAATTTTCGATACATAATAGGAATGCGTTTTGTAAACTTCACATGTCTTAGTAATGACGTTTTTGAGACTTCGATTTATGTAAATGGCTACAAAATATTGCTCAACAATCTCAATAATACTAGCTCACTAGTTTCTACAAAAATCTCAGCATATCATTAAAATGATCAGCCTCAAATTCAGTACGACCAAACGTTTTAGAATTAATTTTGGTGAAAACTTCATCAATATGAAGAAATTTTAAAGAGGTCATTGGTCAATTTCTCCACATCACAGATTACATCAAGGCGTATATATGATTATTAATTTAACTGAGACACAATAAATATATGTAAAAAACTTAAAAGCGTTTATCAATTCATCTCATTGCATATCTTTAAAATAGATAGTAATTAGAAAACAGATCAACATATATTAATGTAAAGAATTGCCAATGTGCCTTATCATTAAAAAAAGAAACTGTAAATCAACTTCAAATTCTGGTATGTATGTAATTAATATAAAATATATTATGTAATTATACTACATTGGGATAAATTAATTACATGAACCAGAAATTAAGCACACAAAGATACAACTATTTTAAAATAAACATCTCGGATTTTATTTTAAACTCAAGAATGCTGATCTTCAAGATCTTTGGTTTTAGTTATTTGAACTAAAGTATGAATTGACGTGACCTGGAGACAACCTCAAAGTCTGAGTGAATCTCAAAAAATTTAATTTAAGCTCGCAATTTGATCTCTTGCTAAGGAAGAATTGAAAGACTTAGTCCAATTATTTAGTAATTAGAGTTTAAAGCATAACTAAAAGGTATTTCACAAAAATAAAATTTTTCAATAAAACATTTGAATAGTTGTTAAAATATTTTAATTTACACTTTTTGTACAATATTGAGAATCATGTTATTGTATACATTACATGATTCATATAAAAATTTTCAATTTAACATATGATACTTACAGATTCAATTTATAAATTACTAGTTGCGCTTATTCTTTTTACAGAATTTGAAAGTAATTAGGTTAAAATTTAGTACCGGTATAATTTGAAAATTTGACCTGCTGATCAAATGACGTATAAAAATTTTAAGCCGTTGGTAGTAATGTGAAGTCGCTCAAATTTATATTTCAATTAACAAAATTTGTGGAAAACTACATTCACAAAAGTCTTAAAAATGTAACATTAAGGAGTGGAGTAAATTTATAAATTCAACAATTTACTTCATTGCATAACTGACGGACTTGACTTTCTTATTGATTGATTTGATGGTTTGTAATTTTTTTTTTCAAATTTATATACAGAACACATCTGACATTCTGATTTGACACAGATCCAAAATTTATTTAGACGAAGATCAAAAAATTTAAAGACTACTATAACCCAAATAGACTAGATCAATTTTAAAAATAGAATTAAATTAAGCTTTGGAGAGTATTGAAACTCTTTTACTATAATTTTTCAATTATAAAATTATATTACAGAAAATTGAGGTTGATGTTTGCATAAAAATTAATTTAAACTCCTTTTAAATTTTGTAATAATTATGATTTAATCTATTCAACATAATATATGTAATAAAATGTTTAATTAAAGATTGTTTTAAATTTGATAAACTATTGATTAATTATTAAATTTAATACTTTATACATAATTACTACTAGTCAATCAATTTGATGCAAAATAAACGATAGTTAAGTAATTTTTTTAATTTCTAGTTCAAAACATTTTTGAAACTCTTAATTGTTTTTCCATCTTTGTTTTAAAATTTTATTATTATTCCACTTAGTGTTTAAGAATATATATGTAATAATAAATTCTTCAACACTTATTAACTTAATAATTATTTCATAAATTGTTTTTTATCATATTTCATTTCATTTATTTGCAACTATTTTCATCTATACTTCAGTTTCCTAGCTTATTAAAAAAAAACATTCTCAACTGAATAATACCTATTCAGAATATATGCAAAATAATATAATTATATACAACATTTACAATGTCTTATCCTTTGAACTCTAGACAACCATCATCATTAGACCAACCAAAATCAAAGTTATCCTCAATGTCATATTTTAGACCAAAAATTAGAAATTCTTCAATACAAAATAATAGTGTTAACAATTATTCAGATTCACATAGTATATCAAGTACAAATTCAAATCAAACAAATGCTTCAACAATTGCAACAACTTTAAATCCAACTATATCGAATATATCGTCAGAGTTTAAAAAGAACAATTCACAGATTGATTTAAGTTTAGGTGGGAATCTTTTAGATAATTTACATACATCTTACAATTTATCTAAAATAGATACAAGAATTTCAATTGATTCATACTACATTGAAAATACAAATCAATTTAAAATAAAATTACAATTAACAAAACATGAAATTGAATTATTAAGATATACATGGAATAAAATGTTATGTGAAGAAAATATTATAAATAAATCAATGCCGGGAAATTATCAAACAACAAGTACATCATCATCATCATCAATTGCAACTTCATTATTTTGTAGACAATTATATGATAATTTACTAAATTTAAAACCAGATTTAGAAAAATTATTTCCATCTATAAAACATCAAGCTATAAGTTTTGCTGGAGTAATGACATTAACTATATCACAGTTAGAAAATTTATCAACTATTGAATCATATTTGGAAAAATTAGGTAAAAAACATACGAGAGTATTAGCTATTGAACCACCTAATTTTGAATTAATGGGTGAAGCTATAATAATGACATTCCATGAAAGATTTGGGTCAAAATTTACTACTGAATTAGAAGTTTTATGGATAAAATTATATTTATTTTTAGCAAATTCAATTTTACAATATGGTATTGATCCAACTTTAAAATTACAAACTAATTCATTGTCAACAAATAAATTCCATTTAGGTAGTGGAATAATATCAGATTCAAATAGTATAATGGAAGAAAATTGTGGCAATAATAGTATAATTGAGTTCGATGAACTGAATAGTTCAATACAAGATGATCTGATTATAAGTAATAATTTTCAAAAATCTTCAACTTTACCAACTGTTCAAAGTTCAATAAATTCTAGTAATATTCCAAAACCAATAAAACAACAAGGTAAAAAGAAATATGGTAGGATTAGAAAGAAAGGTGATTGTATAATTATGTAGAAAGTTTCAGGATTTTAGAATAGTCGTTGAATATATATCATTTTACTATAAAAATAAGAACAATCAGATTGCACTCAATGCCCTGCACAGTCACCGTACTAACAATCTGTAGCATACAATGAAACGTAGATTAGACAGTGCAAACTTTCAAGTACATATTATCAGAATTTACTACTATTTGGTAGCTCTTTTAAGACACGTTAAAATACCCGCTTCAGTTTATATAAATAGACGCGTCTAGATTTATAAGGGGGACAGTCGCAAGCTAATAATTAATTAATTCCTTAATCGATTCATATCGATATTCAATCGAGTGCAAATAAGCTTATTGAAAGAATGATAAATAGGTAATATGATTTAAACAATTCTTTAAAATTGATATATAGAATTTTGATTTATGTATGTACATTATATTAATTTTAATTCTCTAGACTATAGATTTTCCGAATTGAGTTTAATTAAATTTGAATTAAAAAGCTCGAGTCTCAAAATTTTTTTTTTATTGAATTATTTTTAACAAGTAAAAAGATAGAATATTAATGAATTATTATTATAATTATCATCATTAATAAATGAAGTTATATAATCATTGATAATTTTATAATCTATTTATAATATTCATACTTTGATTAAAATCGGATCTTAAAAATTTATTCCTATCAAATAAATTATAAGATTTCATATTTTTACATTTTTTTGATATTTATTTTATTATTATCATATTAATTTTTACAACCAAATATTTTTTGCATTCAATTAATTTTAATTTACAACCACTCATTTATTATAAACAATTCATAAACATTAAATATAAATCATTAAAATTTTCATTTTTCAACTAATTAGAAATAATTAAATACAATTAGTTTCAAATAATTCTTATATCACCTCCAATTTCCTAAAATATATTTACTCATTTAGATTATTCAACACAGAATATTACATTTAATCAACTTTGTATCTACAAATGTCATCTAATACTACTGAATTTAATGATTTCTTTGCAGAAAATAATTTTTATTCAGCACCCAATACTCAACATAGTTCAAATCATATTAATACCTTGAAGAATGCTATTCCTAATTCAATTAGTCTGAAAAGTATCAAAGATGGATTGAATGATAATGAGAACAATGGAAAATCAAAAAGCAATAGTACTAGTCGAACATCAATTATTAAATCATCACCTAGTTTGAAAGCGTTGGAGTCTATTTTAAATGAGAAAAATAAAAAATGGGCACCAAACTCAATAAAGGAAGAAGATGAAGAAGAAGAAACAGATGATTTTGATACAGAGTTACATAAGAAATATGATTATACAAACCCATCACCTGTCAAATATAAACAATCAAATAATACTACTGATACTTTAACAACATTTCAGTCATTTGAAACTGCAAATGAATCAATTGATCAATCAAAATCACAAAATCAATGGAGTTCTCAAAAACAATTCAGAACTAACAGTAATTCTCATAAACACAATAAATCATTAACTTCATCAATAAGTATAAGTGGTAGTGGATATAGTACTGATGATACTCCAATTTTGGAACAACCACCAACTTTTCAAAATTACACTCCCCATAATAATGAATCCCCACAATTAAAAGTCATTGAAACTGGTAAAGTTTCTTCTAAAGACAATACATTAATAAATGATAGCACATCAACAGAATCAAAAGACAATAATATTGATGATAGTGAAGAAACTATACAATTAGTTGATGATTTGAAAGCTAAAAATAGTATAACTAATCTTAGTAATAATTTTGTATCGGAATTAAAATTCAAAAATGAGAAAAATAATAAAATTAATATTTACGAATCAAGTACTAAAAATAATAAATTAATTACAACAAATAATAAAATTAATAATAATAATAAAAATTTTAAGGAAAGGGATAATTTCAAATTTAGTTCAGATACTCCAAGACCGTTTTCACAGAACGTATCTGCTCCTCTCGATAAAAATTTACCAAGTTTACCAAATAAATCAAATACAATTGGTATGAATAAACTAAAAGAGAATGGATTCAAATCAAAAAGTATGCTTTCAACACTACCAATAACAAAAGATGATTTGATACCACAACAACAAGTTGAACAACAAAAATCACCTCATACTAGATCAAATTCAAGTTTTTCACTAAATATGATGAAACAAGAAAAACCTAAATTACAACGTAAAAGATCTTCAACTATGGATGATTTAAAGAAAGTAGGTCAAAGGGATGAAAATATACAGCCTGAGAAAAAGAAATTTAGTTTTAGGTCATTATTCAAATCAAAATCTAAAAATCATTCTTTAAATAAATCATCCGATGAATTGTCGTCAACAAAACCACCTGTTCAAGTTACCTCCAAATCATATTCTACTACTACTATACCAACATATCAAGAAACACTCCCGCCTTTAACTAAAACTAAATCAAATACCTCGATAATTAATGTTTTCAAGAGAAATAAATCCGTGGAACAACTAAAAAGTGAAGAACTAAAATCGGAATTACCCAAAAAATCAACACAGCAATCATCATCACCAGTAAATCAACAAATTAAAAAAGTTGAACCGGATTTGCAAACTATACCAGATACTGATTCACCAATTTTATTAGATGCTAATAACTCCAAGGCTAAACCAGGATCAGTAAATTTTATTCGTGAAGTAAGTGATAATAATATTGGTTTTAAATTCAAAGAACCAAGTAGTACTGAATCTGAACTGGAAAATTTCCAAGACGCAGAAGAAGAAGATGATGATAAATTATCCTTTGTAAAATCAAATGATGAGCATGATTATGATTCTAATAATATTTTGGAAAACCCACCAACAAGAAAAATCAATAATCAATTTGGTGAAGAAATTCTGTTGATGCCATCTTTTTTGGAAAATTCTCAATTTGGTTCACCTTTCAAAGTAAACTATCAAAGTTCACCACATGGATCACCAACTACAAACCACTACAAACCAGTTAAATTTCCATCGCCATCACCATTACCAAATAGAAATCCAAAAGATGATAAAAATCAACAATTACTTGGTGAAGCATTATTTCCAAGATCACTTAATGCTCATGAAGTTGAATCCATTGTTTCATTAGAAAGATCAAGATCATTGAAATCTATCAAATCAAACAAAAGAAATTCATTTGTAAATTATAATGGAAGTGATGATAATATAATACATTATAATGGACCAGCTTTATCACCAAACACTAGTGGTATAACAAGATCAAATTCAATTCTAAAGAACTCAGGTAGTAAGAAAAGTAATTTGAACAAAGAAGCAGTTGATAATACAAATGGTTTACCATCACCAGCTCAACCAAATGAATCAATTGATGGAAACTTATTAGATTCAATCGACTTTATGGAATTTAGTGATTTTATTGATGTTGATAATTTAAATTTTAATTATTCTCCAAATGGTGCACAGTCAGGTACAGCAAGTCCAAAAATTGAACCAAGTAGTAATGGGAAATTGAATGATATTATAGCTACCACTGCTAAAGAAACTCAAGAAGAGGACCTTCAATTTCAGTCACCACCACCTCCACCACAACAACAACAACAACAGCAATTACCGCAATCAAAAGAGAATGAGCTTGTCTCATCACCACCTACTATTGTTGTAAATGAATCATCTTCAGCATCACCTAATGATCTTAAATTGGATACAATTTCATTTCCTAATAGTGCAAATAGTCATACTTCTCCAGTACCGATTATTATTGAATCAAGAACTCCTTCACCATCACCATTATCAATGGAAAGAGAAGAATCACCAAAAACCAGTCTAGAAGTTGATGGATTTGATAAGAATTTTGAACAAAAAGAATCAATACTATCTGATAGAATTGACAACAAAGATTCTGATGAGGAAGACGAGATGAAGGCACTTAAAAATTCACCAATTTTACAAACTGCAATTAAGGGTAATACCAGCATAAAAGACTTGAATGATGATGGTAAATCAAATTTTAATAATAGACCAATTTCAATGTCTTTTAAAGGGTTAGACGCACCATCATTTTCAGGTAAATTTACTCAACATAATCTTAGAAGTAGTGATTCTCATCAATCTTTTACTATATCATTTAATGATTCATCATCATCAGTTGGTGGAGGATTTGGTACAACAGAAGATGAAGATGAAGATGATGAAGAAGAAGAAGAAGAAGAAGCAGACAATGAAGCTGGTGTAAGTTCAGATTATTATGATGATGAAGAAGCTTTACTTAATGAATATGAAAAAGAAAATTTAGTTCCTTATACCAAAAAATCTCCACAATCACTGCATCAACCAAAATTTCAATCATCACAACAAAAATGGACTCCACCGCAAAGATCAACTTCAACATTTGGTAAAGAGAATAATAATTCAAATAATTTTGATTTTTCACCAATTCAACCACCACCTCCTTTCAACACTAAATTCAGTCATAATAAAATTCCATCAATTTCAGATCAATCATCAACAAATTCATCACCAAGATCTTTTACATCAATGTTGGGTAAATGGAAAAAAGGATATACCACAACAAACAATAATATAATAAGACCAGCTCCACCACCACCATCATCATTTTCACCATTAAAACAATCAGGTGTTCGATTCAGTTCAAGAATTATTTTGTACGATACATATAATGGAGATGAATATGATAGACATCCAGATACTGCAACATGTAATCAATTAACTCCTTCATTAGCTCAACAAATTAAAGAAGAGATGAATTTAATTAAAAGTGAAATGGAAGTTCATGTTGAAAGTAGATGTTATACTCAATTTTTTTGAGGACTTAAAATAAAATACAATAATGCATAATAAGGACAATTTTTTACAAATAGTATTTGTCAAATTTTCAATTTCTTAATAATACCATTTTTAATATACACAATTCTTTTAGTTATACAAACAGTTTAGTTGCTCTATATTTGTAATCATCTCTAACTTTGTTGTTGTTGTTTTGCATGAGTTTCTTTAGCACTTTTAAAAATTCTATCCAATACATCATTATCTTTTGAATCAATTTTGACTATAATTTTGTTAGGATTTTCCATTTCAACAACAACGTACCCATCGTTTCTATTATCTAAGCAAGTAGTACTAGTCCATTCTGCATCATCATAATCTCTTAATGAAATTGTTTGTGGTTCATTATTTATATATTCTGGATATTTACTCATTTTCTGATTGTAGATTAAATAATTGAAAAGAGAAAAATAAATTCTAAAATAAAAATCTAGAAGTTCATCTTATATTATATTATTTGCAACCAATAATAAAATGGATTCAACGACATCCACACTTTCGAATAAAGTAGTTGTTCCAGGCCAATATATAATCCCGACTTATAAAATAGATACTACTACAAAAAAACCAGTCAATTTCATATGTGGGAAAGGAACTGTTATTAATCATATAGAAATTAAAGATTCTAAAACATTACCAATTATATGTTCAACAATTGTTGGAAAAACTTACGTTACTAAATTAGATCAACAAGAAGATTCAAAAGAAGTACCGACATACATAGTCAGTGTTTACCCAAAAAATCATCAACCATTACAATCTCAACAAGAATCACAATTAACAACAATTAATTCAAACATAAATTTACCAAAAGAAAATGATATAGTATTAGTCAAAATTACAAAAATATCTCAAAAACAAATATGGTGTGAAATAATAAGTCTAGATAAATCAACAATTTTAAAAGATTCAGGTGTGGGATCAAATGGATCTATTGCACATTCATCAATACCACCAGGTGGTGGATCACAACATTTACATAATCAACAAACTATAGCATCATCCATAACAACAACACCTCAAGCACAAATTTATGATTTAGGTGAAAATTTTAAAGGTATCATAAGATCTCAAGATATAAGATCAACTGAAAGAGATCGTATAGTTGTAGGTGAATGTTATAAACCTGGAGATATAGTAAGAGCAATGATTTTATCTTTAGGAGATGGAAATAATTATTATTTAACTACTGCAAGAAATGATTTAGGTTGTATATTTGCTAAATCTGAAGGTGGAGCTGGATCATTAATGTTTCCTATTGATTGGCAAAATTTGATTGATTTAGATTCTGGTATAATTGAAAAACGTAAAAATGCTAATCCATTTGTAATAAGTTAAAATATACTAAGTATGTGATTTAAAAATTAATTATTATTATTTATTCTCTATTAATATATACTCTATCTGTAATTATGTTATTGGGAAGTTATACAATTGGTTCAACTGGATGTATTAATTCTTCATTATCACCTCTTAAATCAACTTCACTTAATCCAACAATAGATCCAAATTTTTCAAACCTATCATAATATTTCTTTTGTTTTAGCTCACTCATTTCTAACATAGCAGGCCAATATTTTTCATGATCATATATAAAATTAACATCACCATTAAATTCTTTATCTAATTGAATTTTTGGTACATAATTTGGAAATGGTTGATCAAATACTAATTTTTCTCTTGTTAATGGATCAATGAAAGGATAAATTATTTTTAAAAAAGTATGACCTAACCATGGAATATTTATTAATAAAGCTTTCCCCAATCTTTCAGGATAATGAGTTTGTAAAATATTTAAAACTTGTCTACCTACACCAACAGGTGGAATTTTCCCACCTTGTGTACCAATTGGATGTGATTTAAAATCTATAAGTAATGCTAAAGAATCTTGACCAGATGGCATAAAATTAATAACTTTTTCTAACATTAATACAAGATGTTGTACTTGTAATTGAGAAGTCTTGGTATTTTGTCTACCTGGTTTTAAATAAAGACAAGGTCTTGAATCATTATCAAATCCTAATATAACCTCTTTACCAGTCTCATTTTCAACTGAAGTTAACTGTCCATTAACTTTATTTTGAGAATCAAATGGCATATTTATTCCAAATTCTCTTCTCCATGCTAATGTTAATTCTATTCTATCTATTGTTTCATGTACATTCCATTTTGTTGCTCTTAAATATCTCAAGAAACATTCTCTTGTTAACCATGATTTTTCTTGTATTAATAAAGGTGATTTATTGATTCTATGTTTATGATCTTCTTCAGTTGATGATATTTGAAGTTCAGGATTTTGAAAATGTTTTAATACTTCGGAATATTTTGTACTTTGTTCTGGAGTTAATTCTTTTTCTTTTGGTATATGAGATTCTGAGGAGGGAAATTCAAATGGAATATATCTTGGTTCTTCATTTTGTGACTTTGTTGTAGTATGACCATTCGAAATTCCATTACTTATATTTCCATTACTATTACTAGTTCCGTTTAAGGTTGTATTACCATTTGATAATTCTTTTTCATTTATAGATGAAGATTCTGAATTTGAATTTGAATTAACTACTTTATTTTTTAATTTATTAAACATTAGGAAATTATCAAATTTGAAAAATTTTGTGGAATTGAATATATATGTTTAAACTTGAATGATCTATTGCCCTGTGTATAATGGTTACTTAATTCAACCCCAATATTTTAATTATTTAATTGATATATATAATTTTGCAATCAATTAAATATATAATATATAATTATAATAAATAAATTACTAATTAAATATTAAAAAATGTAAAAAAATGTAAGATTTAAATAAATATTAATTGAATATACGAATGATATTATTTATAATATAATAATAATAAAAATCAATAATTTTAAAGTAGAATCAAAAGTAATTCGTGCTTTATAAAGATGTTTGATAAAAATAATTTTCAATAATGAATGATAATGTTTTAGAAAATTTCAATTTGTTATTAATAAAAAAGTGATTAAATTAAAAAGAAGAATACGGGAATATAAATAAATAATAGAAGAAGAAGAAGAAGAAGAATAAATCACTTAGTAATATTAAACATTAAGCGGTTATTAAATTTTATTTAAATTATGTCATAGAACTTATTATTATATGTCAATACAATCTAATAGTATCTTATTAGTTTCATTAAAAAGACAGTTAAACTACAATTGAATTTGAATATTGACAATTATCATAATTGATCAATCAATATTAAAAATAAAGACACGTCTTAAATATCCATTTTCATGTAATGGTTATTATACATTGAATGAAAAATTTTTATTGGTATTTAAATATTCCGTATATTATTAATAATTTTAATCTCCGTAAAATAGTAAATTTTTTTTTTAATCCGATCAATTAAATTTTATTTCTTAAGTACTGTATATAAAAAGCGCAAATTTGAAACTTAATATACAGTAAATAAATTATTGTATAAACGTGAAACAAATAAAATTATAAATATATTCTTTAATTTTGTATGTTTTATAAATCTTATTCTTCATAAAATTTTGGAAGTTGATATTTGAGACCAAAAAAAGCACAATTAAATTTATTAATCTGAAAGGAAAATTACTCCACAACTAATTCTTTATCTTCTTCATATTACTTAAATTAATATTATAAAATTACATTATTATCAATTTTAATCTATAAAAACTATTACAATATTATCAATTTGTGAAATTCTTAGCCGTACAAGATTAGTCAATAGATTTGAACTTTTATTTTTTAATTTTTTAATTTTTCATCTGCTTCTTTTGCATCAATAATTTGTTGAACCATTTCTACAATACTTTGTTCAATTGGTATATAATCAATATTTAACAATTCTCGAGTTTTATGATAATCACCAATTAATGCATCTTCTTTTATTTGTCTTTCATTTTCAACTAAATCACCTTTTGGTATATTTAATTGTGGGAAATTTTTATTTATAATATGACAAAGTAATTCATTTGTGAAAATTGAATCAGTTAAAACCATTCTTTTATTATTTGTTTCCTTGTGATTTTCAAATGCTAAAATATGAGCTTTTGCAACATCTCTAACATCAATATAATCACCATTTATTGGTGGAATTTTATCAATTTGTTTTAAATTTAATAAACTATTAACCATTTCAGCTGATGAATTTAATTGTTTATAATTTTTAATTTTAAAAGCTTGTGGACCAAATACATATGTTGGTTGAATATATGCAACACTATAAGAAGGTTTTTCTTCTTTTATAAATGAATGAATTAATTTTTCACTCAAAGTTTTTGATACACAATATGCCATATAACCATTTTTTAATCCATCATTATATTCAACTTTATTCCAACTATCTTCTGTTAATATTTTACCTATTGAATTTCTACCATTTCCTGTAGTATCTACTATTGTTGCCATTGAGGAAGTATATACTAAATGTTTTACATTATGACCATGTTTTTTTATTGAGTTTAACATATTTGCAGTTCCTTGAATAGCAGGTATAATAATTTCATTTTCTAAATCTTCTGCAAAAAATGTAACTGGTGAAGCAGTATGAATAAATACATCAGTTTCTGGGTGAGCTCTTAATGCATTACTAAATGAATCTTCACATAATAAACTATTTATTATAACATATTCGAAATTTGGATCATTGTTGACTAATTGTTTTAATATTTCACCTTTTTCAATTGTTCTAACCAGTCCAACTGTTTTATAACCTTTTTCAAGTAATTGTTTAATTATATGTTGTGCTATAAATCCATTAGCTCCAGTCACAAATACTTTATCAACCATCTCTTCCTTTATTAGTTAGTTTTTAATCTATTGATTGAACATATCATATTATTTTTATAATTTTTTTGAACATAATTTTATGAAAACTATTAAAATAGGAGTGATGGCGGTTAAGAAAAAAATATTATTTAATTTTTTTGAGTTTATGATTTTTTATTTTAAAGTTTTGGTTACGAATCCTTCGAAATCTTGCATTAGCCTGCATTTACACAAATAGATATATAATACAAGCCCTGTCATATTAAATCAGCTAGAGTTTAATTTATTGAAACTTTTCCTTTCTAGACTATCATTAGAATGATATATTGAGCCTAAATATATTATGGAACCAACTATAAATTCCCTTTTAATTATTTATCATTTTTAACATCTAAAATTTGTTCAACAGAATCTTCAACAGATTTTTCCAAATCAATAAATTTAAAATCTAAAATTTTTCTAGTTTCATCATTATTCCAAACTTTTAAAGTAGGATCTTCTTTATTAGCATTTTCAGGATTACCAACAGGCAACAGTAATCCAGCTTCCATAAAATTATCTCTTATAATATCTAAAATTTTTTGAGTATTATAAGAACCAGAAAATAATAATAATCTTTTATTTGCAGTATTTTCATCTTCAAAACCTTTTAATATGGATTTACAAACATCTCTTACATCAATAAATAATCCTTCACCAGGTGGTAATTTTGAACATGGTTGTAATTTCAAAATTTTATTAATAACTTCAGAAGATGTATTTAATTCCTTTTTATCACCTATTGGAAAAGCTTGTGGTCCAAATATCATTGCTGGTAATACCGTTGTAGCTTGAAAATTTGGTTTTTTTTCCTTAACATATTTCCAAAGTAATCTTTCTGGTTCTAATTTTGAATAATAATAAGCTAATAATGGGTTTTTAACATCTTTATGTTGTAATTCATTCCATGATTTTTCATTAAATTCATGATCTTCTCCTGTTCTTTTATTTGCTACTCCAGCACTTGCAATAGATGAAGTAAGTAAAAATCTTTTAACATTTGATCCGTAATTTTCAATAGCATTTAAAGCGTTATTTAATCCATTTACTGCTGGTTTTATAATATCGTTATCAACATCTTTAGATTTGAAATGAAATGGAGCTGCAGTATGTAAAAATACATTTGTATCTTTATGTTTTTTCAAAATTTCATCAAATGCATTTGGGGCACCAACATCTTCTACTACTTCATATGAAATTCTATCAGTTGGGATTTGAGCATTTTCCAAATTATCAAGTAAATTTGTTCCTTTTGAATCTGATCTGACCGATGTTACTAATTCATAATTTGATGGTGATTTTAATAATGTTTTAACTAAATTTGATCCTAAAAATCCACTACCTCCACTTAAAAATACTTTTGTCATATTTGTATGTAATGTTATTTTTATGGAGTAGTTTAAATTGAATTATTCTATCATTTGAAACTAAATGAGAAAATAACTATTATATATGCAATTTAAAACCTCGATGATGTAATTTGCTACTCATTACGTATACGACAAAGTTTGAGTTCAATTGTTTGTAAATCTTTATGCGTTTATAAAACGTAATTAACGTCCTTTTAATTGAAAGCAATGTTATATTTTTACCTTCTTCTTGCTAATAACCACTTAATAAAATGATTTTGTAACTCATTACCCGGTTTTGTGTTATGTTTTAAAACTATGGAGATTTAATATTGAATAAACGAAACCAAAGTTTTTGGAAGATTCAAAAGATAGAGAAGTACTCATGGTTAGTTCAAAAGCTAGTTGAAATAACTTTAAAGTTCATACATTTTTTGTCTATACATTATTTTGAAATTTACTTATTCAATGATTTGTTCAATAGTATCATCAACTGATTGTTTTAAATCAATAAATTTAAAACCTAATAATTCTCTAGTTTTTTTATTATTAATAATACTCTCAGTTTTATCCCAATTTGGTGCTTTTGATGGATCTAAATGTGGTAATGGAATAGTTGGGAAATCTTTATGAATAATTTCAGCAATTTTAGCAGTTGTTACTGGTCCTTCAGATAAAATTAATCTTTCACCACCCAATTTATTACCTGGTTCAACTGCTTTGACATGAGCATGAGCAACATCACGTACATCAATAAAATAACCAGTAAGTTGTTGTGGTGGATCTGATTTGTCTTTTCCAGCTTTAATTAATCCATTTATAACTTCATTTGAAGTATTTAATTTTGATTTATCTTTTATTTCAAAAGCTTGTGGACCAAAAACATAAACTGGACAAATTGTAGTTAATGACCATTTTGGTTTATGTTCTTCAACAAATTCAACTGCCTTTTTGTTGGCAAATTTTTTACTACCAAGATAACCATTCATTGGATTAGATTTTGATTGTTCATAAGTAATTGGATTCCAATCTTTTTCAGTTAATTCTTTACCAGGAGCAGCTAATTCACCAAATCCAGCAACAGCAGCATAAGAACTTGTTATAACAACTCTTTCAACATTTTTTCCATAAGTTAAAACAGCTTGTAAAGCAGATTCAGTACCATCAATAGCTGGTCTTAATAATTCTTTTTCAATATCTTGAACTTCAAAAGTAAAAGGAGAAGCAGTATGTAAAACATCAGTTATCTCAGGGTGTGATTTTAATGCATCATCAAAAGCTCCCTTTGAACTAATATCTTTAACAATTTCATATTCAAACAATTCATAATTTAAACCAGCTTCTTTCAATAAGTTTTTAAAATTATCTCCTTTTTCTGTTGATCTAACTGATCCAATTGTTTTAAAACCTTTTTCAATTAATTGTTTAACTATATGTTGACCAATGAAACCAGTGGCTCCTGAAATAAATACGACTCTATCTTGTACCATTTTAATGATTAATTTTGTAGTAAGATTAAATGAAGTTTGAATATTGTAATTAAAATTAAATAAAATTGAAGTAATTTATCCCCCTATTTATATTAATTTAAACTTCGTTATTGTTCCATAACTATTGTGGTTTTATTAATTTTATAAGTTTGGCTCTAACAAGTCAATTAATTTAATTATTGCTATAAATTATATACGTACAATTTAAAAAGGTTAAAACTGAAATCTTCTTTATTATACCGAACCCGAATTTATAACATAATTGCTTTGAAACAATCAATAGATGAATGCATTGACACTTAAAATAATCAATCTATTTCATGAAAAGAATATTTTGAAGATCTATGACTCTCAATCAATCACAATAATAAATTTTTATTATGTCAAAGAATTTGACAGAAATTTCAAACTCACAAAAACTACCGATTATTACTTCGGCCGAATTATCAGTTGAAATTTGAAACGTTCAATTTTTTCTCTATTTTTTTATGTATGTTTTTATTCAAAGATAAAATTAACTTATATTGAAATATTCGTCAAAATAAACACCAATATGGAAAGTCAATATGTCATTGGAATAACGGGTAACGGCTAGAATCTCTAAGTAACTTTTGGTTAGTATTAGCTTCCGTTGGATTACATGAGAAAGATACTTCTTAATATAGCTCATAAGTTGTTATTCAAATTATGTGAATGAAAATTGCAAATGCTCAATTTCAATTTATTCTTCAACTAGTATTGGAGAGTGAACTTTTGTATTTATTCAAATCTATTAACTATTAAGTCATATAGGGGTATTTTTACAGTTGGCGTTTGTGAACAGAATCACATTTTTTTTGCAGCATCTGCGCTAAAATGTATGGAAATTACAATAATGTGTAACACTTTTCTTCAACAAAATGATTAAGAGGACAATTGTTAGTGGCATGATAATATACAACTAAAATAACTAGCTTTAGAAAGAAAAGATTCGATCAAATGGTATAGTTTAAAAAGATGAATCTGAATCATTCGGTTCTAGTTTCCGTGATCGGTAATATTTCTCAAGCATATGAAAAAAAAAAAATTTTTAAGAGTTATCAAACCAAAATATAATAACTAAATAACTACTACGTTGAATTAACATCACTTTCGTTAACTTATAGCCATACTGGTCAAGTCATTACTTGAAGCTTGTGAACCCACACCAAAAAGAATTAAAAAAAATTAACTTCAAACTAATTTTAGATTCACAAAGCATCTCAAATAAATGCCAACAATATTTCATAGATACAATGCTCTACTAAAGAAATATCCCTTTCGATCAAATATGATAACGACAAGTATACTATTTGGATTTGGAGATATCACAGCACAGCTGTTATTTAAACACAAAAAGACAGTAATAATAACGGATGAGAAAACAGGAGAAACTCATGAAGAGATAGAAACAAGTGATTATAATTTTGCAAGAACATGCAGAGCAATGATTTATGGAATGATGTTTTTTGCACCAATAAGTGTGCTATGGCATGGTAAAACTTTGCCAAAGTTAAAGAATCCATTTATTAATATACTTCAAAGAAGAAAAATGGAACAAAATGAACATTCATATAAAAAATTACATTTTTATGATTCTGTTTTTAGGATGAGTGTTGATCAATTGATATTTCCTGCATTAGTTTGGATACCACTTTATAATACGGTAATGGTTTTATTAGCACAACATGAAGATCCATTTGGAGTAATATATAATAAACTAGAAAATAATTGGTTTAATGTTTTAAAAGCAAATTGGACAGTTTGGCCAGGGTTTCAATTAGTAAATCTTTATTTTGTACCTGTACATTTGAGGATCGTTACTGCCAATATTTGGGCAACTGGTTGGAATTGCTTTTTAAGATTTGTACATAATACTGCTGGTCATGGGAAAGGTAGTGGTCATAAAATTGAAGAGTTAGTGGATATAGAAGATGATGATCAAGAAATTACTATGATTTATGATTGATCTACTATGTTTGGGGCGATAGAGCTACAAAGATACATTTATAGACTTAATAGACATTACATTAATGAATTTATGAACTAACAGAATGAACTGAACGATTCAAAGTCGTTATTCTGACCTTGAAAGTGAAACAAACTATAATTATGCATATTGTAAGATGAAATCAATGGATTCGGGCTTTTATAAAAAGAGATAGAACAATACATTTTAGCATGGCTTGTAATTTAATGCAATATTTTAATATTTGTTAGTGTTTCAGATATGAATCTTTCGGGTCGTGTTTTTTAAAACAAATCACAAAAGATAAAATAAATCGGACTTATCTAATAAATATTTTATATGTAAATCAAAATGTAGCAAGGTTTATGATTATGAAGTGATACCAAGAATACATTTTGAAGAAATTAAATTCATTATTTTACATATATACAAGATTGCAATTTTGTAGTTTAGTCACTCACTAAAACAACACACCAAGTCTTCACTCATCTTTCCAAATAAATGAGATTTTTATTCCAGAAATATCATCAATTGCTACTTAAAAGACCTTTATTAGTTAATGTTTGTAGTACAGGTATATTATTAGGAAGTGGAGATGTATTAGCACAATGGTTATTTCCAATGCACCCAAATCAACCATTTGATTACTTGAGAACTTTAAGAGCAGTGATATATGGTAGTATAATATTTGCACCTATAGGACATGAATGGTATAAAATATTAAATACTAAAATAAAATGGCATGGTAAAAATGAAAGAACAATATCTACATTATTAAGAGTTGGAGTTGATCAATTATTTTTTTCACCAATTATAGGTATACCATTATATTATACAGCAATGACAATATTAGAGAATAAAAGACCATTTATTGAAAATATTCAAGAAAAATTTCATACAAGTTATTGGGTAACTTTGAAAGGAAATTGGTTAGTGTGGCCATTCTTTCAATTCTTAAACTTTTATTTGTTACCTGTTCATTATAGATTATTAGCTGTAAATGTTGTTAGTATTGCATGGAATACTTATTTATCTTATATTAACAACAATTACTCAATAGAAGTAGAAAATCAAGAATTAAAATTAGATAACCTAAAAATTTGAGCTAGATTTATGACTTATCATTAATATTCAACAAATGCATCCATATTAGATTATGAAACTAGATAATAATAGGTATAATTTATATAGAATATAATTCTATTTAATAAACTTACCATAATAATATTAATTTATAAGGGAGGTCACGAGAATTTTGACAGCCTCGAAATTTACTCTTTTTTATGTGAACAATACGTTTATAGTACCGGAATTATTTAATTGTTTATTGTTTAATAAATTTATATTTTTTTTTTTATTTTTCTCCAACAACAAAATATTCAACATTTAAATTATCAATTTTAGTTAGTTTTCAATCCAATTTCTTCATTCAATACTATACTTTTACTTACTATATAATCAATTTATTCAAACTGAAAGTCATAAACAATATTATCATCGAAATATAAAAGCTAATTAAAATTACAATTGAATTGTTGTTGAATTTTATATATTAGTATTTTTATATACAAATTTCATTTTCTAAAAGAATTCATTTATTCACAATATGATGAAAGGGTTTAAAAATAGATTGACTCGAAATAAGAGTCAATCTTCTACTAAGAAAACTGATAAAAAGGATAAAGATAAAGAAAAAAGATCCAGTTCACCATCTTCATCAGTTTCAACAAATTCAAGTTCTTCAAATAGCAATAATAATAGTAATAATCAAAACAATCAAACAAGTCAAAGTTCAAAGAATTTGCTTTCTTCAGCTAGTTCAACTTCATTAAAATCTAATTCACCAAGTCCATCTAGAAATAATAGTGCAAATAGTGCTATATCAATTAAATCAACAAATAGTAATACAACAATGAATTCTGTAAATTCTCCTCATGGTCTGCCAACTACTGATTCACCAAGAATAGTTATACAGGATGATAATAATTATAATAATTTTAATAATAATAATCATAATGATGTATTTGGATCACCTAGTCAACAATCTTCAAATAGTTCTGGGGTATTACCGGGAGGACCAATTTTAGCTACAGGTCCATCATCAGCAGCAAATTTAAACTCAAACACAGGTATAACACCAACTACAATGCCTTCGATTGTTACACCAAATTCAAGCAGTTCTGCTGCCAATGTATCATTCGGATCATCAACAACTCAACCTGTGACACCGACACCAACATCACCAAATAGTTCATCAACTTCATTTGAAAAAGCTCATCATAGTCAACATGGAGCACAATCACATTATAATCAATTAAATCCAAATATCTCATCACCGGGGAAAGAATCTTTCGATATAGATTTAATAGTAACACCAAAAAGACATTCATCATCAAGATTTGAACCAACTAGTTCAGATAAATATCAAGAGATTAATAAATTACCAAATTTTGATGAAGTATTACCAGAAGAACAAATTAATTTATTTATACAAAAGATTGATCAATGTAATATAATGTTCGATTTCAATGATCCAACTTTTGATATAAGAGGTAAAGAAATAAAAAGAATGACATTACAAGAATTAATTGCATTTATATCGAACAACAGATTCTCATATACTGATGAAATGTATAAACATGTTGTAACAATGTTCAAGAAAAATTTATTTCGTCCAATTCCACCTCCTGTGAATCCGATAGGAGATGTTTATGATCCAGATGAAGATGAACCAGTAAGTGAATTAGCATGGCCTCATATGCAAGCTATTTATGAATTTTTTTTAAGATTTATTGAATCACCAGATTTTCAACACCAAATTGCAAAACAATATATAGATCATGAATTTATTTTGAGAATACTAGAGTTATTTGATAGTGAAGATCCAAGAGAAAGAGATTGTTTGAAAACAACATTACATAGAATTTATGGAAAATTCTTAAGTTTAAGAAGTTTTATTAGAAAATCAATTAATAATGTATTTTTACAATTTGTCTATGAGACTGAGAGATTTAATGGAGTTGGAGAACTATTAGAAATATTAGGGTCTATTATCAATGGGTTTGCATTACCTTTAAAAGAAGAACATAAAATCTTTTTAGTTAGAATTTTAATACCGTTGCACAAGGTTAAATGTTTAAGTTTATATCATCCACAATTAGCTTATTGTATTGTCCAATTTTTGGAGAAAGATCCATCATTAACTGAAGATGTTATAATGGGATTATTGAGATATTGGCCAAAGATCAATAGTCCCAAAGAAGTCATGTTTTTAAATGAAATAGAAGACATATTTGAAGTAATGGAACCAAATGAATTTGTCAAGATTCAAATTCCATTATTTGCTCAATTATCAAAATGTATAAGTTCACCACATTTTCAAGTTAGTGAGAAAGTTATGAGTTATTGGTCAAATGAATATTTTTTAACTTTAATTACTGAAAATGCAGAAGTTGTATTACCAATAATATTTGCATCCTTATATGAATTGACTAATTCTTCACAACCAGGGATTGAAAATGGTATAATGCAACAAAAATTACAACATTTCCCAAATGCTACAGTAGATGCAAATGGAAATTTAATAGATGGTGGTTTAGTCCTACAAGACATACAACAAGGTATAATCCCAAGTGCAAATGATCCAAGTCATCCTCATCATAATATTTTCCAAGTACATGCATCTGTAAATAATAACAACAACAATAATAATGGTAATAATACCAACCACAATGAATACAACGATGGCGAAAATGATATACAAATGACAATGAATGGTGAGCACAATCCTCATCATCACACACATACTGACTTAAATGGTAATGAGTTGTCAGATGAAGAATATTATGATCTGTTTAGTTCAATGCAAGCAGGTAATTTAAATTCTGGAAATACAAATAATTCTTCAACAAATTCAGATTCAACAAATCCATTAGGTGATGAATTTGGTCCAGGTTTCGATGATGATAATAGTATGTTACAGCATAATTCTGCAACTTGTACTTGGAATAGATCATTACATTCATTAGCTTATGGAGCATTAAAAGTTTTCATGGATCATAATCCAATACTTTACGATCATTGTGTCTTGTTATACCATCAATCAGTAACTGAACGTCAAGAAAGAGAAGAGTTAAGAAAAAAGAATTGGGTTAAGTTGGAGTCTTATGTAAAACAAATAAAGCAACAACAACTGCACCAACAAACATACTAATCAATATTTAAGGAGTTTGTTTGATTTTGATATTAATTTATTATATATAATACATAGTGTTTAATAAAATTATCAATATTACATTACATATTTATTTTTTCTAGGAGTAGCATTGTAACTGATTCCAAGTAGAAGTGAGTCTATGCCAGTTTGATTTTGTGACGGGAATTTTTATTATGTAAGAAAATAACAGCCAAAATTTCGCCAAAACCCTCACCTCAAAATTTCCATATTTCGTAACCTTTTCTTAACAGACTTCTAACGACTAAATCTGACTTTTTTGACAATTTTGAGTGTATTTTGTTAGTGAACTGATACTTGAAAGTTGTTCCGTGAAATAGTAACGCCCAATTAATCACATCACCAAATTAAAATCTCGAGTTAATTCCTTTCGACGTACTCTTTATTCCTATTTTCACTCTGAATAATTCAGCTAATTTTGCATTTGTCTAGTCCAACCAACTCAACTCATTCCTGACTTGATTTAACTGGATTAAATTCCCATTCAAATCAACAATTTTTTCAATTTGATTTTTGTATTCATTAGTTTCAGTCTTTAAATTGTTTAGGTTATTGATTAGCTTTCTTGAATTATTCAAATTGACTTCTAGATATTCTAGTTTTAAAAAATCTTTTGATTGGGGATTTGATGGTAATGTTCTTAATTGATTTATCCATTTATGATTGTTTTGTTGTGAATTATTTATGGTTGTGTTGTTGAGTTGTGATTGGTTCGGTTTCAGCTTGAGGTTAGTGCTTGACGTTTGTGTCGATTCTTTTTGATTTTGACTATTAGAATGAGTCATGGTCTTTGCATTTGAATGTAAAATGATTGTGATTTGACTTTAGCTATAGAATAATTTAAAGCGGAATTTTGACACAAACTTGGTAGTTACAATCGATTTAAATTTACAGTTCCAATGTCAAAAGAAGTTTATTTACAATTCTATAATTAATACATCAATTATTATATATACAAGTTCATTTACTCTTTTGAGAATGGGAATCCGTAAGTACTCAATAAAGTTTTAGCTTGAGAATCATTTTGTGCAGTAGTTTTAAAAGTAATATCAATACCATTTAAATTTGGAAATAATTCTTGAAAATTTTCTAATTCTGGAAATAATTGAACGTCTTCTGCTGTTAATCCAAAGCTTATATTACCATTTTTGTCTCCTGAACTAAATTTAATACCTTTAAAAGCTCTAATTCTTGGTAATACTAATTCTGTTAATGTTGATATAAATTGATTCATATCTCTGTCGTACAATTCAACTTTACCACCACATGCTTTACCCACTCTTACTTTCCATGGTAAAATATTTGATTTATTGAAAATTTGTTTTGCTTTTACATTTGATATTACTGATAATTGTAATCTTGTCGATATATTTAACCAATGATGTTCTAATGAATTTTTATTATATGAATGTATCACTATACTTTCTAACTTTGGAATGTTTTTATTAGTTATCGGATATTGATTTTTAGTTGATCTTGTTCCACCTCGAGGATTCCTTGATGATCTATATACTTTATAAGGTGAATCATTACCCCATGATCTTCTTTTATTTCCTTCGATTATTTTTGAATCATGATCGTAAAAATGTAATAATAAGTCTGATTCAATTGAATTGGTATAATAATCTGCTACTCTATCTTGTGAGATCTCGGTTGGTTTATATTTAACTGATCTAATATCATCTTGTGGTAATAATACATTTTGTAAACTTGGTTTTAATTTTGATTTTTCGACATTGATTAAATGATGGACTGGTTGAACTGTTGAGTATCCTGGTTTGCAACGTAGTGATGTCTGTGAGAACAGACGTATGAAGGTTTTATTCATTTATGTTTAGTCTCTTGTCTTACTTTATTGACTTGAATCTAAAAATTTTTCAAACAAAAAATAAATCACTAGCCGGCGTTTGGTAGCAGCGAGATATCGAAATATCAATAGTCTCTTTCAAAACTTGGTAAATCTTATCTAATTATCACATATTAAAATAACGTCAATGAACCAATGAAATTTGCAGTGCCCGATGAATTATTGGTCGCAGAGATAGATTCAATTAATAGTTTACCACCAAGTATACTACGCCGTGCCAAAAATGCAAAAATTAGTCCTATACTACCCCAGAAATCATCTTCAAAACAAGAAAATGATTTTAAAAATATGTTTGAAGCTATCAGAAAACATACAAACGATTGGATCGCCTCGAAAAACCGAGAGATAGAACAAAATCAACTAAATACCTTACTTTCACTTGAGCAAGAAAACAATGAGGCTAATTTAAATATTTCAATTTTAACAGAAAACTTTACAAAAAAGATAAATATACAAGATCTTGAAGTAGGTAGACTAATAGAAGAAGAAAGGGAGAAGAAAAGGCTAAGGGAAGAAGCAGAAAGACTTAGAAAAGAAGAGGAACAACGATTGAAACGACTTGAAGAAGAAAGAATACGGAAAGAAGAAGAAGCAAAGAGGGAACAAGAACGTAAAAGGCTAGAAGCTGAAAAACTTAAAAAAGAACAAGAAGCGCTACGTCAAAAACAAGAAGAACAAGAAAGAATAGCGGCTGAGAAAGCCAAACAAGATGCTGAAGCAAAAGCTAAATTGGATAAACAAAAACAGTTGGAACAACAAGAAGCTCAAAATAATTCATCAACTAATTTCTCCCAAATTGAAAAACAATTTCTTAAATATAAACAAGATATAGTCGATATTAAAAAGAACGTTGTTGAAACATTAAAGGAAAACAAAGAATTGAAAAAACAAGTTAATCAATTTAAAAGACAAATTAATCCAAAATTTGGTCAATTATCAAATTCAACACAACATACAAATACAATATGTCAAGAAATATATGGATTTGTTCAAAAAACTCAAAGCAATAAATTAGTTTATGAATGGATTTTGAATTTTATAGCAAAAGCAATAATAGATCAAGCAGAAACAGAAGTTATAGTAAGACCAGTAGCAGCAAGACCATTAGCATTATTATCATATTTTTTATTACAAAATTTTCCAGAATTCGAATATTTTTTAACTGCAAGATTTATTAAAAAATGTCCATACATTATTGGATATACAAGTAATACTGATTCAGAAGAAGGTAGATTAAGAATGGGATATAAGAGAAATGAAGATGGTAAATGGGAAGATGATGTTAAATATGATGAAAGAATATCTGGTATATGTTTAGTATGGGCAGTAATGACTCATGAAAGATCTGTTAATGAAAGTATTGGAATATATTCACAACCTAGTTCATGGCAATTTATTGCAAGGATTTTGAATACAAATTTACTGTTAATTAGAAATACTCACTTTGAATTAATTGCCAATTGGTGGGAAGGTACAGGTAGAGAACTTTTAGGTATTTATGGTGAACAAGGTAAAAAAATTGCTTATTTAATGTTTACTCAATTTATTGGTGCTGTTTCTGATAGAAGATATCCATCTGCTGCAAGATTACATTTAGTTGGTGAAGAATGGTTACAAAGAGGTAAAATTGAAAGTCTAAAAAGTATGGAAAGATAGATTCTAATAGATTTAATAATTCATTCAGTCATTCATTAATTTAAAAAGTTATTCAAAATCGCTATCACTATTTTCTTCTTCTTCTTCTTCTTCTTCTTCTTGTTCTTCTCCTTGTTCTGCTTCGTCTTCAGACGAGGATAATTGATTTTTGTAATCTACTTTTTGAGCAACTCTATTACTTCTTCTAGTTGGTTCAACAACTTCTTTAATTTTGTTAGCTTTTGGTTTTGCACTTGTTTTAGATCTAGCAAATGTAACTTTTTTGGCTTTGGGTTTTGAGGTCTTTTGACGTTTAGTTCTATTTCCGCTTGCAATACCAGTATCATTGATTTTTCTTTTTGAATCAGTAGATAATGACTTCTTCAAGTTGTTTATCATTCTTCCTTGAATCGATTCTGGAATGAAAATAGTTGAAACTATAGATTGAGCCTCTTCTGCATTAGCCATTGGTGCATATATTTCTTGAGGTAATTTCAATTTCTCAGTCCAAGTTTGTATTGACCAATTTTTTAAATCACTAAATAATTTTAAAATTAATTGAGCTAGTTCTGATATTCTATACAAATTGAAAATATTTTCTGGTTTTGGATCTTTTTCATATTCTAAACTTGATATTGATGCATCTCTATATTGTTTAATTCTACTTGCCAAATAATAAAGTAATGAAATATTATCAGAATTTGCAATTAATTGAACATAATAAATTACAAAAGTTGATGCAAATTCATAAGCTTCGCATTTTTTCATTTCATCTGAGTAGTCTCCCATTAAACTTATAAATTTTTCATGATGTGTGATGTTATGGATCAACCTTACCAACGATTTTTCGAATTTCAAGTCCTTTTTCAACTCTGATCTTTTAAACATAGATTTAATCCACATTGTATTTTTGTTTTTAAAATCTTGATCTTGTTCTGTTGCACTAAAGAAGACCAAGGACATGTATTTTTCTGAAATTGATTCATTTGCAAGATATGCTTTCAATTTCTTTGAAAATTGTGATCTGATTGATTGTTTCTCGTCAATTAGTAGAAAACATAATTTTCTTAAAGTAGGTGAAAGTATAGTTTCATTATAAACTGGTAATTTGGCAAGTTTTAATAAATATAAACCAGAAACTAATCTTAATTTTTCTTTGTAACTTTCTGGTGTTGGCCAAGTTGAATTGGTATCATTAACAATTTCACCTTTATTTCCAATGATTGAGATTAAAAGTTTTATAACGGGACCAGCTTTCTCTTTAGCGTCATCACTTGTTTCATGAGCTTTTAAAATATTAATAAACAATCTAATCACTAAAACTTTGAACTTTTCATCTTTATCATTTTCAAGATTTTGAAGTAAAACATTCTTGATTAAATATGGAGTAGTATCTGATTCTTTATCCATTACCGAAAACTTATCCACTAAAAATAATTCTGCAATTGAGCTTAAATGAGTTGCAAATTTCTCATTTTCCACATCCAAAGGATAAATTCGTGATATAATAGAGTCAATTGAATCTTCTTTTCTTGGACTAAAACCAATCAATTTCATAGCATATTTAGCTTCATCAGAATTTCCGTCAACTGCAAAATTTTTCAATGATTCCGTGAACATTAATTCTTGTGGGTACAATTCTGGAAATTTCTTTACAAAATGATAGATTGTTTTTAATGGTCCTGATTTGGTTGTTATATTTTCTTCCATACACAATTCCATCAATGATCTAACATTGGTTTTAAATACCTCTGGGTTTGAAATTGAAATTTGTTCTAGTAATTCATTGGCAACTGCATTGAAAGCATGTTTTGGATTTTTTGAATATGATATTAATTGCTCGATATTTGATTTATTGTAAAAAATTGGTGAGCCTCTAAAGATTAATAATTTTGCATTGTAAACCATATCAGTTGTACTAACCCCTAATTTATCATCTAATCTTATATTTTTTGCATCTGAAAGTTTAGCAAACAATTCTTTACTTGAACTGTTAATGGATTGAATATCTGAATCTGCTGAAATGCAATTTGTAATCAAATGAAAAAATCTTGCTCTATTAAGTTGAAACAACCTTTCAAAACATTGATATGTATTATTATCATCAGGGAACGAATTGCAAAACCAGTTTATGATTTTTTCGACTTTCGCCAGATTTGTTTTAATAGTTTCTCCTGATGGTGGATTATTTTCTTTATCTAATGAATTTGCTCTGTAAGATTCATCCGCAATTTCCATAAAACTTTTGATGACTTTAGACATTTGAATTTGTCTTTTGTTGATAGCAACAAAAGCTTCTTTACCTTTATCATTTAATGAACTGTAGAAGCAAAGTAAATTATTGACACGTTTAACCGCATTAGTTTCAGTTATGGGAACTAATTTTTCAAATAATACCATGTCAACCAATGCTGTGATATTCTTATCATTTATATATATCAAAGATAAAATTTGATTTGGAATTTCGATTATTATTTCACTTGTAGTTTTATCAATTGAAGCATCATCAGTTTCTTTAATATAGTTATTGTATATTGATGCCAATAAATTGATGGACGTTATTCTTATATTCTTATGTTTTTCACGAATTAATTGAAATAAAGTTTGCAAAATATCTTTATTAAGCAATTTAATCAAGTTTTGGAATGACACGCTGGAAAGTGCATTACAAGTAGCTTCTCTTACTTTTGGATCAGTATCAAGTAAGCATTTATTAATTTCATTTGATATTATGGAACTAATTTCAGATGTAATATATGAATTATTTGCAATTATATTAGGTAGATGTTGTACAAACAGAATTCTGACAAGGGTGGAAATGTCTGATGCTTTTTTCAACCAATTATTCCAAATTGACTTATGAATTATGAAAAAATTAACTTTATGTAACGGGACTGATGAGCCATAGTTTGAGCAACTTAACATTTCCCCAATACTTTTTGTAGCTAATGCTCTAACTCTTTCATCACTTGCATTTAATTCATCATCAATTAATGCCATTACAGAAGATAAAATTGTAGGAATAAATCTCCATAATTGAACTGATAAATGATGTATTTGTTTCAATACTTCCATAGCTTGTAAAAATTCATTTTCATTTCGTTTTTTCAACTCTGGTTCAGATTCGTCATTAAATTCTAATTTATTTGAATTATGATATAAAATTTCTGAAAAATGTTGAGCTACTAATCTTGTCATTCTATCAACATTGTTTTCACAAATAGATAATGAAAAATTAAATTCTGGACTAGTTGTATTATTTAGGTTGTTTGATTCATGATTTGTAAATTTATCCAATATTAGTTTTATAATTTTATGAGGAACTATTTCAGATTCAGATATCATTTCAGATAATATATCAGTGACTAATGTTTCTAATTCTTGTGGAAATGATTCTTTTGTTGCTATATTATAAAAAGTTTCAAATAATAATTCAATTAAAGCTTGAGAATCTGGTAAATCAATAATTAAAATAGATGATTTAGTTTCAGCTAATCTCTTTAAAAGATAAACATATTGGATATAAAATTGAGCTTTGTCATCTTTACCTTTACCATCTGCTATCCTTGAAAATTGTTTAAAAAATGATTTGAATATTGTTGATAATTCTTCTTCTGAATATGGAGCATTTGGTGCATACAACCTTAATATATCCGCAATAGAACAACATACGAAAGCTTGAACTCCGATACTTGAATTATTAAGTAATTTATTATTAATTAGATCTTTTCTTACTTGATTTAATGAACTTATATCTAAATTCTCATCTTCCATTACTGATAATTCTTCATGTAATAAAGTAAGTCTTTTTAATAATTCTTTGTTACTTATAGACAGTTTTATACTGCTAATTATTGGTTTGTTAAAATTTAATGTATTGTTTGGATCATTTCGTACTGTAGATGATGATTGCTTTAGATCTTTACGTGACCTTGTCATTGAATCCTATAATAATTATAGTTGGTTGTAAATATTAAAATGATATAAATAATAAATAATAAATAAGATCTGTATATAAAAAGTAAATAATAATAAATAATAACTAAATATTTAGACGCGTACTAAGAGTTTTACAAACTACCAAATGCTATTCACAAGTTTAGTACAACTTTAATAGATTGTGTCAATTTGATCTTGTGACAAATTTGACTGAGTTATACTTGAAGTTATTAAATCTACAATTTGATATTGATAGTTTCTGAAGCTATAATTATTATAGCTAAGATATTTGAATACTATATCCCAATATAACTCAATATAAAGACTAATGATTGAGTGCTTTTTTGTAAAGAATTTTGTACAACCATTTAGCCCCCATAACAATTTTTAGTTATAAGTATCGATCGTAAATGAAGCAAAAGTTAAAAGGAACCAAAATGGAAATGTGTTGCGAAGAAATACTTCAACATACCAAGAAGTTATTTGCTTACCAATATTTATGCGACTAAAGTGACTAAGGCAATATTTGGATTTAAGAATTTGGTCTAGATAAATTTTTCAATTAAAAAATGCTATTGGTACTTAAATATTTTAGCCACTGCATTAAGAAGATATTTTAACAGCACAGTTTCAGATTATTATTCAGATTAAATTATAAAATTAGGTGTTTATTATTAATTTTATTCGGCTTTTTTCTCCAAGTATTATTTGCGGAACTTATAATATATCATTTTTATATCTGTATTACCCGCAGAAGAAGACTCTAAATAACATTGAGGCTGGTGATTCAAAATTTCAAGATAATTAATATTGTTTCATTCATCATTAAATTAAATATATGTGTGTTGCATAATATATAAAATAAAACCGAGAATATTATACTGAATTAAACAAATTGAGTATATTTCCGAACTTCAAAAGAATTAATTAACGGAAGACGGTTAATATTATAAAAATTATAAATTTTAATTCAATTTGCATAAGGCTGCTAATCAATTAATTAAATTAAATTAATTTAGTTACTGATTGATTGATTGATAGTCATAATTCATATTTCCATAGAAGAAAGTTTAATTCTTTAATCATCTTATTTAATTTAAATTTAAATTTATGTTTTATCAAAAGTTTCATATAAATACCATTGAAATTTATCATAATTTCATAAATCAATTCAATTAAAATTAATCAATTTTATCAATTAATAATATTACGACACATACACTATAAATAAAATGACTACTAATAATTTACCTATTATACCATCAAGAACTTTTGCTGATTGGAAACAAATGTTACATGGTTTTTGGCCAAGTAAAGCTACTTTTACTGAAAAAGATTATCCAGAATTTAAAGATAAAGTTATTATAGTTACTGGTGGTAATACTGGTGTTGGTTATGAAACTGTTAAATCATTAGCAGGTTCAACAAAAGCAAAAATATATATATTTTCAAGAAATAAAGAAAAAACTTTAAAAGCAATTGAACAAATTGAATTAGAAGTTGCAAAAGAATATAAAATAAAACCAATTCCAATTGGATTTATTCAAACAGATCTTGGAGATTTAACATCTATTAAACCAGCAGTTAATGAATTTTTATCAAAAGAATCAAGATTAGATCTTATTATTTTAAATGCTGGTGTTATGATGCCACCACCAGGTTCAAAAACTAAACAAGGTTATGAATTACAATTAGGTACAAATGTATTAGGTCATTTTTTATTACAAAGATTATTAGATCCAATATTTATAAAAACTTCATTTAATAATCCACCAGGTGTATCAAGAATTGTTTGGGTTGCTTCAACTGCTCATCAATTGGCTCCATTAGGTGGTATATTTTGGGAAGATAAAAATTTTGATAAAGTTCCATATAATTCAAATACTAAAATGCAATTATATGGTCAAAGTAAAGCTGCTGATATTTTATTAGCAAAAGCATGGCCAAGATTTAATCCAGATGCTAAAAATGTTATAAGTACTTCACTTTGTCCAGGTTATTTACAAACTGAATTAACAAGACATTCAAGTGCTTTTGAACTTTTCCTTGGTAAATTATTAACTTGGCCAAGAAGAAATGGTGCTTATACTGAATTATATGCTGCTTTTTCTCCTAATATTAAAAATGGTGATTATAGTATATCATTTGGTGAACCATCTCATGTAAGAAAAGATTTAAATTCAATTGAAGCTGGTGATAAATTATGGGATTGGTGTGTTAAAGAAACAAATCCATATGTTTAATATTTATTGTTCATTAAGTAATTTTGTATATAGATGTTTGTAATTTGTATTTTTGACTTTTAATTTATTATTTCATTGTTTTAGATTAAAGAACCCTTAATACAAGCTCTTTAAAATTTCAGATGATTTAATTTGAATTTGTAGTTGAGTCGCTAGACCTGACAAAATTCGCTAAGTATAAAGTATTTTTGGCGCGTTTACAATACCCCTAAATACCACCTTATTAAATAATTTTAAAAAGTTCAAAGTAGAATGTTTCTAGGTTAGTGCTGAATTATGTTTGAAACTTATTTTTAAACATTCTCAGTAAGTAAGATTAATTTTTTATAGATTGGAATGATATTTTATTTAGTTAGTACTGAGTATTTCCAATTTTGATCTAAATTATTAGACTATATTATATAATACGAAAAACTTAGTGAATTGGTAGCTCATACATTAGAATATTTTACTTCCATTTATCCATTTTTTTTATTTTTTCTCTCTCTCTCTCTCGTAAAAAAAAAAATTATTATTAAATAAAAATTTAAATTCTGGGGAAAAAATAAAAAAAAAAAAAAAAATTAAAAAAANAAAAAAAAAAATTATTATTAAATAAAAATTTAAATTCTGGGGAAAAAATAAAAAAAAAAAAAAAAAATTAAAAAATAAAAAATAATCATAAACTCCTCTTGTGTTTTGAAAACTAAAAATTTATTAATACTTATAATCAAAGCTCAGTTTTTATTTTTTACAACCACAAATTATAATTTATAAAAATAAGAGTCAGTGATCTAACTCAATAGGTCATTTCAATAACTTATATAAATAAGCCAAATCTTGATTATATGAATTAATTAATTTAATTATTTTTTAGCTATTAATAATATTGAAGTGAGTTGTAAATATCACAAGATGGAGAATGTTAAAAAAGAAAATAACAATAAAATAAATAATACAAAAGTCACAGACTCAACACCAATGATTTATCAACTATCCCAAGATGGTAAAGGGTTAGATACAAAACGGCAAAGGTCGCTGGCCGCATGTGATAGATGTAGAATTAAAAAAGTTAAATGTGATGGATTAAATCCATGTCATAATTGTCAAAAAGCTCATATGGAATGTAAAACATCAGATAAATTAACAAGAAGAGCATTTCCAAAAGGTTATACTGAAAGTCTAGAAAAAAAAGTAAGGGAACTAGAAGTAGAATTATCGAATTTAAAACAAGGCGATAATAATAATGATAATAATATTAATAATAATAATCATACAATCAACGGCAATGGCAACGGCAACGGCATTGGTATGATTCATAATTCAAATCCAACTCCAAACAATTCGGCAAGAAATAATACTCAACAACCTACTCCTATACCAACTATTACCACATCTAATGATAAAGTCATTTTCCAATCAACTAATCAATCTGTACAAATAAATAATCCTATTGATCAAATATTTAATCTTGATAATAAAGGAATAATTATAGGTAATGATAATTTAAATTTTGAATCCCAATTTAATCATTTATTAATTAATTTAAATTTACCATTTTTAAAAATTACAAATAGTCATAATTATTTATTAAATGATCCTGATAGTTATTTATATAATCCATCATATGCAAAAAGTAATCAATTTCATAATAAAGATTTAGATTTAATTTATAATCCTTTAACAAGAACTGGTTCACCTGATCATTTAAATGAATTACCATTAGATGTATATGATCTATTCATTAAATTAATCAATAATTTCAAAAAAGTATTTAAGACTAAAAAAGAACTAGATGCTCAAATAACACAATATTTTTTAAACTATAACACTTTTATTCCAATATTTGATTACAATCAATTTATGACAAATTATGATGAATTCCATACAATGTACCCTTTTATTTTTACTTATGATGATTCCACAATAAATGGATTTAATTTATCCAACTCCAATGACTATCAAATAGTCAACAAATTTCTTATGACAATTATTCAAATATATGCAATGATAATAATAAATAATCCTACAATCAATTTAAACTTACTACTTAATCACTCAGATCCTCAATACTCAATAAGTCGAGATATGTCAATATTAAAATCTTTATATGATTTTTTACCATACTTTAATGGTTTTCAAATTTCAATCAATCAATTACAAACTTACCTACTATTACTTTATTACTCATTACTTACCAACAATAAAGAAAAATCATTAATCTTGTCATCACTAATAAATGCATTTATTGGTATCCTTGGTATAAATTTGAATTCCAAAAATTTGTTCTTCAATGATTTATCATTAAACGTACAACAAAGAAGAAACAGAGTAAAAATATTTTGGAATTTTAAAGTTTTATTAAAATGTTTCAATTTAAAATTTGGGTTTAAACCAAGTTTAAATACGACTGTTATTAATCCTGTTACTATCGATAGATATTTCCAATTAACTCCTGAAAAATTATCATCTTTATTAGGAGACAATGATGATCTATTTAATACATTATTAAAACCAAGTATTGAATTTTTAAATCTAATGAATATAATTATTCCTTCTTCATTTTCACCAAATTATTATCAATACTTAAAGAATGACAAGAAGAAAAAAGATAAAGACCATCAACATAGTCATCACAGATTGGACTGGATCTTGAATGAAGATGATGGAGATGGTAATGATGGAAATTTAAATTATAATTTTAATCAGTTTTTAACCATTGACAAAAATTTATCAGATTGGAGACAATCTTTGAAAAACAAAATGTTTTCTTTAACACCATTTGCTATTAATATGGGTTTACCTAATGTATTAAATATTAATCACAATAATTTATACCATGATATGAATCAAGAACATATACCTCAAGAAGTTATGATACCTTATTATCAAACTGGTTTACCTGATATTTATACTGCTTCACAACTTATCAAAATTCAATTAAATTTTCATTACATTTTAATTAGATCAATGAATTATCTAAATTTTATTGTTGACAAAGATTTAAATTTTATATATTACAAGGAAATTGCAGTGATTGCTCAAGAAGTATTACAATATTTCTTATTAATATTTGATCACGTTGGAAGATCTCAAGAAAAAATCAATTCACCAACTGTAAATTCAAATTCAATAGTAATGAGAAGTTTGGGACTTGATGTTGATGAAGATGGATTTGTCATAAATGATTTCTCAGTTAAAAAAAGAAAATCAAATGTTAAACAAAGTCCAGCAAAACGTATTAGAAAAGAAATACCAATTTCACCTTTTAATTCAATGTTGAATGGATTATCATTAACTGTTATAAATTTAAAAAAATCAATGGTTTTACAAATGTTATATTTATTAATTTGTCAAATGAAATTTATAAAAAGGAATGATATATTACAAGATATTAGTAACTCAGTTGACCTTTTAACTAAAGCAGTTGATTTATTCATTTCAGTTTTCATAAATTATAAACCAGGTTTAAACAATACAAAATTAAGTGAAGATGAATTATATAAAAAATTAATGAATGATGAATTAACGTCAGATATATTGAAATATCAACAACAACATCACAATAGTAATGAAAGTGATGATGAAGATGATGATATTAGCAATTACTATAGAGCAATTGATTGGGATAATGAAAATTTAGATGAAGATTTAAAATACCTCAAGATTTGTAAATTCATAAAATATAAGTCACAATTAGTGTTACAACAATATCATTCAATTCAAGCAAAAAGTAAATATGAAAGTCTTGAATTTACAGTACCAACATTTCAACAACATCAACAAAATCAACTACATTCGCAAAATCAACCACAATATCAACAGCAAGAACAACAGCAAGAACAACAACAATTTCACAATGGTTCCACTGACTTTGCAAATTTTAATGGTAAACCAGATAAAGAATTTGGTGCTGCTCATGATTTAATGGATTTAAAAAGAAGTTTTTCATCGTCAAGACCAAAATCAAGTAAAAGTATAACTACATCAGTTACAACAATCAATAATGGATATATAGATTAAGTAGGTAATTCAATACATGCTATGATGAAATAGTAACGTATTATGGTGTTGCATCAAAAAGATTACATTTTATATTCAAGAATATCAGTATTAGATCTTTCCGGAATCCTCATAATTTCGTACCACCATTTCATAGCTAATTCAATTCTATTAAGATCTAAACTATCACTTAATACTTTCCAAAGCATACCAATTAAATAATTTTTTTCAGATTCATTACTTTTTAAAATTAAATACCAAATTTTATCAATCCATTGTAAAAAAACCAGTAATGGAAAATAAGGAATTAAATTAATTAACGCTAATATTGCACTTTCTCTTGCTGTTTCTGGAATTAATCTATTTGAAAATTGATATTCTTTTCTAAATTTTGGTAATAAATCTTTAATTACTTTATCTTTTGGTTTTTTTGCTTTATTTTCATGTATAATATCATTATTTAATCTTTTATCTTGTTCTAATGTATTTAATGTTGAATTAGCTTCAATTTCAGTTATAGGTTGTGCAGATGTAAAAGAAGGATTTTCTTCAATGTTTTTAACAGGTATACCTGGTCTTATTGGTGTACATTTATCAACCAAGAATTGGAAAAATTCATCAGCAGAATTTGTGAAAATTGAATTTGGTGGATATGGTTTGGGATTTGATAATATTTTTTTACCTATTGTTTCTATTGCTATACATAATTGAGTAGCTGATATTGTTTTGGGGAATTGTTTAATTAGAAGGTTCACATATTCAATACAATCATTTAAATCAACATTTGAACTATTTGCAAAATAAAATAATAAAACTGAATGACTTGCTTCTATTAAATCATCATTTGAATATTTTTTATCATCTGCTAAATCTTTTACTATATTATATATATCTTTTGCGAATTTCTCATTTTTAATATTTTTCAGTTGTAAATAATTTTCCCAAAGTCCTAAAACAAATAAAACTTTCAGTTGCATTATATAATTTGTATTCAAAACATCGGGATACAAGTTAACTTCATTATAATTTAATAAACTCATTGTCATTTTATCAAATTGTACTGATGATAATGCTAATTCAATACTTAAATAATAAACAAAATTATAATTATCAAATCCTCCTTGACCTATTGACAATAGTATGAAATTTAAATAATATAAGTTTGTAATAATTTTTAAAGATATTTCCCTATATTCTCTCTCTATAACCACTAAGTCTCTTGAATTGAACCAAACCATATTTGATTTATTACCTGATAAAAATCTAGTCAATAATCCCTGAAATATGATAATCTCCGAAAAAAGGATATTTTTCATAAAATACCAAAACAGCTGGAATAAAGGGTTGCTATCTTTAGGACTAGTGAAGTTATTGAAAATTGAAGATGAACTTGAATGTGACAAATGATGGTTGAAATCGGTTACTTTAATTAAAAAACTATGAATTAATTCATCATTTTTGTAGTTATATTTTAAATTACGTAAATAAGCAGCTAACAAAAATGAAAATTTATTTAAGTGTTTAATAACCGGTTTTTGTAAAATTTCCTTTTGAATTATTTCTTCGTTATTAGGTGAATTTGGATTAAATTTGAAAAATTCTTGATACGCTTTTGTAGAAATATTTGGATTTAAAAAAATCATATCCACCAAAAGATTAATCATAAATGAATCATTAATTTTTGAAGTATATTTCTTAATATTTTCATCATCTTTTTGAAAAATTAAAGCTAAACTAGTGACACTTAAAAACAAAATATTTTCATTATGAATATTACTTAAACTAAATTCCAAACATTTGATAAATAAGGCTTTTATTTTAGTATCCCAGTTTTGGAAAAACCAATTATATTTGAAAAAATTTTGTTGTTCAATATATATTTCATTTCTTAAATTATTTGAAAGCAATATCCCACAAATAATAGGCAAGACTTTCCATGAATTTTGAATAGGGTTGTAAGAAACAAAATTTTCTAATTCTTGGCCAATAATTGAATAATACAGTTTTATTGACAATGTAGGTTTGGAAATCTTTAACTTCTTATCAGTTATTAATTTAAATACTTCAATGATGGGATAATTTTCTTCAAATGTTGGTAGTATTGATGTTTTAGATCCAAAACATACTGGCGAGTTTAAAAAACTTGCTATTACAATACCTAGATTCCTTTCATGTTTAATATATGGTACATAATTATATAAATATCCTAACACTTTATTAACTGTTGTATTTGGTTTTGGATTTCTTAATTCATCAATTACAAAATCTAATTCTTGTGGAGTAAAATCTGGTTGAGAATGATTTTGGGTTTGAGATATATGATTATTGTTATTTTGATTTAGTAGAGCTCTACCTTGTGGTCCCAACTTATCATACAAATTCGACATTGATTTGTTGCTTTTTGATTTGAATTGTGGAGATAATCTAAATTTTCATAATTATTATAAAATTATTTAGTTAGAATTATTTACCGTGGAATTCTAAGCGAGAGCTACCAGTTCCTGGTCAACATCTATTTACTAACTCTACCTCAGAGCATTGTTGCGAGTTGCCAAATTTAATGAAGTTCAATGTACAAAGAACTACAATATTTTGATTATTGAATGCCAAAGCTTATTCTTAAAAAATTTCTAGTCTAATCAATGCTTTGACTAAAAAAAAATTGGAAACATTTTGTACCAAATCGATGTGTACAATTTTGATTTAACCAGTCGATATGTAAGGTATCACAAGTATTATTGCACTTTACTTCCCAATTCTAATTTTTTTAGCACTTGCAACTTTTGCTTTAGCAGTAGAAAAGAATTGACTTTCAACTTCAAAAACTTGAATTACTATCTACCATTTGTCAAAAATCATATCTAAATTTATGAAACAATTTTTACATGAATTTTGTGTTAAGTTTTAAAATTAGTTTTGTGGTATATAACAAAAGTTTAAATAAAATTTATAATTTTAATAAAATTAACAATTTATTTTTTACAACCACTTTTTCTACAACTTCATTTCAGACTCAAATGATTACAATGAAGTAAAAATAGCTCAATAAATATACAATGGAAATTAATGAAAATTAAAATTTTATCCTTGTTGGCTTGTTGGTTTGGTTGGTTTTATGTATTGGTTTTTGGCAGTTATACTAGTTTCAAATATTGAATTCTAATAGACATACGAAATTGATATTCTATCTTCAGATTTGGGCTTTTACTTTGACAACTGATTTTCATCACATAAAATAAAGTAGTTTTAAGACAGAAGATCAGAATTATAATTTAGAATGTAGATGATTACTTCCATCATTAAAATTATCTATTAACTAACCAAATCTATGAAATAAAATTCCCAAAATCTATATATACATACAAAAGTTATTATGCAAAATTAAAATGCTAAAATAATTATCCAACAGTTTCATCTATCACACTTCTATAAGGAATGTTTGAATAATTTTGTATTTTTTCCCATTGTTTTATAGTTAAACCATCACTTAATTTGGTTTCTTCACAAATTAATTCATAATTACCAAAATATGGTAAGATTTTAAACATCACTGCCCAATATAAAATACAAATAGAAATACAAATAAGTCCTACTAATCCATAATTTGGCCAGCTTTCTAAACCTTTTGGATTTGGTGAACTGCTCGAAATAAATGGTCCAATTGTTAAATAAATACTTATGATCAATACTGAGATTGTACCTAAAAAGCCAGCTTTTATTGGTGCATGTAAATCAGGATATCTTTTACGAATAATAAATACCCCAACAGATATAAGTGCTACTGCAATTTGTGATGGATATCCTTCTAATGAAACCATATATGAGTAAATATCACCTTTGGGAAATCCGACTAAAAGTATTGTGGTTATTGAACAACTTAAAATTAAAGATCTCATTGGTGCACCAAACGGCCAATTTGAAGCCATAAATTTTGAAAATGGTAAATAACCTTCTCTAAATACTTCTTGATCAACTCGTGATATAGTATAAATGACAACAAATATATTTCCACCAGCACATAATGCAATTGAAAATGTTAAAAAATGACGGCCTAATTCTTTACCTAAGATTTTTTCGAATAATATGGATCCAACTAAAGTAGATGAATTAACAATTTCTTCATCTGGTATAACTTTCAAATATGCAAAATTTATTATGAAATAAGTTACTGTCATTATCGCCAATGATACAGGTCCTGCAATTTTAAAAGTTTTAACAGGATCTTTAATTTCATTTGATACAGTATGTACAGAATTCCAACCACTAAATGCAAAACTTGCTTTAATAACAGCACTTGAAAACGAAGCTAAATTTGTTGATGTTTTGATAGTCCAAAATGAATCCCAAGTTAAATTATTTTCCAAATGTGTAATTTTTTTAGGAAATATCATTACGTAAAGTCCAGTTAATACCATTATACCAACTAAGACTAATTTTAAACCACCTAAAATATTTTGAACTTTGACTCCATGATTGACACTAACACCATGAATTAAAGCAGCTCCGTATAAGAAAATTAATCCACTAAGTCTTAAATTAAAAGGAGTTACTTTTAATCCCAAAGAATGAATAAAATATTCTCCAAATACTAACACATTACTTATAGTAAAACCAAACATAACAGAATATATTGAAAATGCAACAGTAGCTAATAATTGAGGTTTTGTATAAATAAATTCCAAAAATACTTTTGCACCACCACTTCTTGGAACTAATGATCCCATTTCCAAAAATACATATAAGCCACCAAATGATGCAATACATGCTAAAAACCATGCCAAGAAGAACAAAAATGGTGATTGTCCAACATCTATATATATTCCAGATGTTATACTAAAAATACCACTACCTAATATCCTACTTATAAATAATATTATGGTTGAAAATAGTCCTAAATGTCTACCTTGTGGTAAGTCTTCTAAATCAGTTAAATGAGAAGCAGGATGCAATAATTTATTTGGTAAAAGGGATTCATTCGATGAAGTTGATCCAGGTTTATTTATTGTAGTGGTTGTTATCTCGGGTAACTTTGAATATTCTGATTTATCAATATCTAACATTTCAATAGATTCTTCCTTTGGTGATGATGATGATGATGATGACAAATTCTGGTTATTAGTGTTTGAATCCTCGATAGAAAAATCATTCATTTAGTAATTATTATAAAATTTAAATCGTGGATAATGATTTATATTTATAATAGCAATGTCTCAGATCAAAGGAATATTTTTTATTTATTTTTTAGTAATTAATCAGCCATAGTTTATTATTTTTATTGACACAATTTCTTTCTATTTAAATAAGAAAAAATTAAAACATTACACTTGGTAGTGCTTTTTCGGAATTGAAATTTTACGAGTTGTGTATCACCGGATTCTACAAAATTGTATAAAAATTATTGCACGTTTTTATACATTAAACTTTAAAACACGCTATTCTTTACTTACTTTGTTTTACAATAATGTTTTGAAATAAGTTATAGCTTTTAAATTTAAAAGTTAGATGGGAATAATTGCTAATCAATAATCTATGCTATCACGATTTTTATTCAATTCGCTATCTTTTTTATTTTTTTTCATTATTATTGATGCTCAATTTATCCTAAGATCTGAATCAAATTATCTTCCTATTTTCAATTCCTCAAAAGATTACTTCGAACAAAGTGACAAAAATATTCCGACTCATAAAGTCAATGAAACAAACTTTGGTTTAAAGCTTAATTACACTTGGGAAGAAGTTCTAGAAGATGTTCAATCAAATCCGAATCAGAAATTATTTTTTTTACAGAGACATGCTGAAGGTTACCATTTAACTGCTAGAAGTCATTTCAATTTCAGTGCTGTAGATTGGAGATGTTATTGGAGTTTACAAAAGGGGAAAGACGGCATTGTATGGTATGATGCTGAATTAACTGAAAAAGGGTATCAACAAACACATTCATTAGTTAAAAAGATTGAATCTGTTTCAGATTTTCCGATTCCACAAAAATATTTTGTTAGTCCATTAAGAAGAACTTTACAAACTTGGAGAGAGACTTGGACTAATTTGACCGAAGAAACGGCAGTTATTAAAGAATTTGCAAGAGAAATATATGGAATTGATAGTGAAAGTGAAAGACATAATAGATCGTATATTGAAGATAATTTTCCAAATTTTGAATTTGAGGAAGGTTTTCATTTTAGTGATGTACTTTGGAATTCTAATTATAGAGAAAAAACTCAGCATTGTCAATATAGAGCTGCTACATTGTTGAAGGAAATCTTTGATGAGACTTCAGAGGAGGATAAAGTAATTAGTATCGTTTCTCATTCAGGAATTCTATATTGTATTTTGGATGTTGTTCATCATAGATATTATGGTTTATACCCCGGTGGGTTGATTCCTGTAATTATAGAAATAGATGATGAAAATAAGGTATACCCATTAGACGATGCTTATTCAAATTTTACAAGTTGGTGTCCACATGTTCCTTCACTGATTTCTGGAACAGCAATCCCTACAGAAGTTGCAGATACAACTTTAAGCATAACTAGCACGACAACTTAAAAAGAAGTAGATAAAGTCATCAGATACATTACTAAGAACCAATAATACAATAATATTATTGCTATAAACATAAGACACAATAAGACACAATATGCTTTATTAAAACTATAAACATGAACATTAAACCCAGTCAACCGGGTTTTTCAAAACTTGAACCAACTTTTCCTCTTCGGAACCAGCTTCTGGATGATGATCATAAACCCAAGCAGCAGTTGCAGGTAATGACATTAATATACTCTCAACTCTTGAGCCAGGAGTATGTAAACCAAATTGAGTACCTCTATCCAAAACTAAGTTAAATTCAACATATCTACCTCTTCTTATTTGTTGCCAATGTTTTTGTTCTGGAGTGAATGGAGTATCTTTTCTTTTAGCAACTAATGGACAATAAGCAGGAATAAAAGCATCAAAACAACTTTCAACAATTTTCAAAATCTCATCAGCTGGTTTTGAATCAAAATCATCAAAAAATATACCACCAACACCTCTTGTTTCACCTCTATGCTTTATAAGAAAATATTCGTCACACCATTTTTTAAATTTTGGAAATAGCTCAGGATCAAATTTATCCAAAGCATCTTTATGTTTTTGATGGAAAAGTTTAGCATCTTCTTCATACAAATAAGAAGGAGTTAAATCAGCACCACCACCAAACCACCAAGTTTGTAAATCACCAGTTTCTGGATCGGTAGTTTCAAAATATCTATAATTAGCATGAGTAGTTGGAGCATGAGGATTATGAGGATGGATAACTAATGATAAACCACATGCAAAAAAATCAATACTACCATCTTTTGCAGTACCTTTTAAATTTGAGTGATCATTTTTCATTCTTTCAATCGCTTGTGGTGGTAATTTCCCATGAACTATTGAAATATTCACACCGCCTTTTTCAAATGTTGTACCATTTTGTAAAACCATTGATGATCCACCTCCTCCCTTATCTCCTCTTGTCCATGAATCTGTATGAAATGTAACTGTGTCAAGATTTGCAATAGCTTGAGTAATTTCTTGTTGCTTCAAACGAATTAAAGCTTCCATTCTATCTCTCATTGGCAAAGAGCTATCATGTATTTGATCTGGACCTACCATTTTTAATTACGGTTGTATTTGATGCAAGATTCGAAATAAATTGAAAAAGTGAATAAGTGAATTAAAGTAGTTGATAATTGTTGCTTCAATTAAAATTGATCAATTGTTCTTTAAGTAAAATTATATCTTAAATAGTACAAATTATGCTTAATCAAGTCATATAATTTAAATTATTGTTCGTATGATTTATTTCAAGTTTGAAAAATTTCAGGTTTTGTGTAATAATATCAAACGGTTTTATTTTTGTTTAACAAACTGAACGGCTGCAAAATATGAACGGACGAGAGTTCAATTATTTTCTTAAATAGTACTTTTTAGTGTATTAAAATATATAAATTACAATTCATCATGATAATCTGAATCTTCGTCATCTTCCTTGTCGATTTCAGGCTCATCAATATCTATATCTTCGTAAACTTCATCCTCGGGGTCTTCAATTTTATCTATCAATTTATTTATCTCCGTTTCGTAATTTACCCATTCAGGAATTAATCTCTTAGCTGTCTCTAATTTATTTTCAAAAGTTAACGGATTATTGCATAAATCAATCATTTTAGCTTCTTTTAAACTGTCATGAGAACACCATGTTTCACACCATAACCAATTCTGATCCAAACTTTTAATCTTTATTGATCTTTGTAAATTATTAGGCAAATCTTGATCTAAATTACTTAATGAGTTGGGATCACTTGATAATTTTTGATAATGGGATCTTAACCGATCACCAGCATTCATAGATTTAAATTTTTGTAAATCAACAACATATAATGCACTAATATGATATTTTAAATCATCTTGTAAAACATCCGACCAATATCCCAGTTTCCAAAATCTAAAACCATCCATTTCAGTATTTGAATCGCACATTGGTGTAAATGCATAAGGCGCTCCTTCTAAATCCATTTCAATTAATGGAGTTAAATCTGTACGGCAAATCTGATCAGCATCAATGAATATTATCCTATCAAGATCTTGTGGAAACAATACATCCAAAAATAAAATCTTATAACCCCAAATTTCTCTTTGTCTTGTAGATTGTTGTCTCAAAAATTTTGGCCATTTATAAGTGATTAATTCTATTTCAACATTATATTTCTTAGCCAATATAGGAATTAATGATCTGAAATGAGATGATATAAAATTATTCAATATCCAAAACTTTATCAGTTTTTTGGGATTATGTTCTCTCACTGAGGCTATCATGATACTAGTCAATTTTTCATATTGATGACCACCTGCAATTGTGAATATATTAATATCTGCATGTGCGGATTTTGTTTTGTCAATTGTAGATGATTCTTTGTTAGTGACTCTTACATTTACAGTTGCACCCTCTAATGAAAACACGGGTACTTTTATTTCTGGTAATTCCTTCGTGTTTGACTCATATCTATTCGTTGATGCGGATAATAAAGCATGATCTGATGTAGTACTTAATGAGAATATACCTGATTTTGCATGTAATTGAAAATAATCTAATGCAGACATAACCAAAGTATCGTCAGAATAATTATCATTTGACAATTTGAGCTCTAAATTCTTTGGAGTTTTGCCAGAGTTAATGTCTCTAGCATAACCTTCAACAACCAAATTAGATAATTCAAATGAAATTGATGCATCTCTTGACCAACTAAACTTGCTAAGATCCAAATTTGATGGACAAGATTTAGCACTTAAGATCCAGCTGTTGGGCTCATCAATATTGAGTGAATATGTGGTTGAAGGTAAGTTGTTGAAATCAACTTTGTATGTTTGATTCCATATCCCTTTTTGAGTAAATACAGGTTTTGAGTCTGGAAATTCACCACGATAAAACCTATTTGGAATTTCGTCCACTGTATATTCAGTTTTTGGTTGCAATAAAATTCTTATGTTGACAAACGAAAAGTCTTTGATTGAATTTACAATATTGACTAATTTTTGTGAATACTCCATTAATGGATCGATTATTAGCAATACATCAACAGCATTGGAAGTATCGTATTTTTTAATATCAATCAGGTTTGAAAAGTCCAATGATCCAAAATCAAATCTATTTACATCAGCTAAATACAATTTATTATCAGTATGAAACGACTTCGTAATGACGCTTGTTATTAAATCAAACCAATCTAAAATATCCAAGCCTGACATAATGTTATTGTATTCTTCCAATTCTTGATTGAATTCATCTGGATAAGTATGAACAATATCTTTGACTAATTTCAATCTTTGATTTAGTTCATATTCAAATAGTTGACCTAAAGCTTCAGAGTCTAAAATAGTTGGATCCAATCTCAAATATCTCGAATTTATTAATAAGTATGAATGATGTGTGGGTAGTTGTTTGGACTCTAGTATTTGAACAAGTAACTGATTTTGCTCGGTTGACAAAGATGCATGTTGTAAGTTGTCGATAATTTTGTCTATATCTGCATTTGCTAACGAATTTAATCTAAATGACTTTTGTAAATTTTCAAAATCTTTAGTATTTCCTGTATTAACTACTCTGATCAGTATTGAATTTTTTTTCATAAACTTTAAAAGGTAGATGAGTTGTTGAAAATTTTCAGGTTTAGTAAAATCAGACATCAACCAAAATGAAGCCAGTGAATCTAACAATTTGTCGATTTTTTTAAAAGCAATTGAATGATCCATTAATTCTTGATCTACTGCCTTATAGATTAAATCTGCAGGATCTAATGGAAGCACTCTTAAGTTACGTTCAGATTTAGCATTTTTGTACAAAATGGCGTCTTTTAATTTACCATCAACTGGTCCTTGTCTTAAATAAGTTTTTATCAAAGATATATCTTGAGCTATTTGTTTACTCATAGCTAACTGCCAATTGGATGATGAAATGTCTTGAATAACACCATTGATAATTGCTGATGGTCTATCAATGGAGTACTTATCAGGAATTGCAGAGAACTCAGCTTTAAAATCTTTTGAAAATTCTATTTTATCTAATAAATCTTGTACTTCATCAGAATTCTTTGTTTCCATGTACTTGTAAATTAATGCCAATGCCTCTTTTGTGTCCAGCAAAGAGGCAATGTAATAAAATCTATTTGCCAATTCAGTGTCTAATGGATCATCTCCAATGAGTGGTAATATACCAATTTGCTGTGGAATACCAGTATCTAAAATCAATTTTGAGAATGTAAAAAACACTTTTAATTGTTGTTTATCACCCAAATTTATTGCAAATATTAAATCGTGAACATTCTCTTTGAGTGGTGGAATCTGATTAGGCTTTAATTTATATGATTCTGGTCCCAAATATGCATTTTGTCGTTCAGTTGTGTAACTTTGGTAGTTATCATTTAATTCAATATTATTTGCAAATAAAACACCTCCTTTTTGAGGAGTACTTTTATCGAATTCTTCTGCATATATTTTGAATCTGTTATCATTATTACCCATTATAGTGTTACCATTTCTATATTGATTCTGTTTAACAGCTGACAATAAGGCAAATTTAGATATTAAGAGCTTTGATTGTATAGTGTTGAATCCCAATTTTACCAAGTCTTGGATGATTTTGTATTCCTCTTGAATTTTATTGGTGAGCTTATATACGTCCAATTCTAGTGGGTTGATTGGTGATCCATTGATGTAAATACCATTGGAATCACTAGATAATCCAGCTTGCTCATTGCTTGCCACTTTGGATTTGACTTTATGAAGGTTAATTTGATTGGTTAATTGATTGATATATGGCATAAATTTCGGGAGATCATTAATGATTATTTTTAGCAAGTCGTATTTGGGTAACCTGATACTATTTGATAGTATAAAAGCAGTTAATTTCAGTCCGATATCATTCAAGTTTTCTCCAATGCTATATAAAATTGTGGATTCCTTAACTCTCTGAAAATCTTTATTCAAGTTATAAGTAATTTCCAAAGGTGGATTATCTTTTGATTCTATTACTTTAATATCAGCTGAATAACCTGATAAAGTATCATCATACCTATTACCCAGTGGCACATATCTCCAAACAAATCTAATTTTACCACTGTTGGCTTCCTCAATTAATAATTTGATAAAATCTCTTGTTTGATCAGCAATTGGATCTCCATATAGTATAAGTACTGGTGATTTTGAGTTTTTTCCAACAACTCTATCGAATGGTTTTATATTTTCATTTTTAATATCAGTTTGCAAAGCAAATAAATCATTTACAGAACAGTAAATTTTATCATTGTATAAAACCCAAGTAGGCACTAGACCATTTTTGGTCTTTACGTTGTCACCAAATGAGTCTTTTGAACATCGCTTGCTCAAATCAATCTTTGCCATTACATCTTGGTAGTGTTCATAATGTGAAACTATTCTTGGACTGTATATTTTATTAACCAAATTAAAGTTTATAAAATCTTTTGATGATTGGTCTAAGTTTAAATTATTGATGACTGATTCATAGATTTGCTCATCTGAAGTGAAATCAATATCAATTTCATCTTGCTGGAATAGTAGTTCTATCGTTGGAATGTATAAACTTTCAGTAAATCCTGATATACTTTCAATTAAACTTGATATGAAATCAATTTTCTTCCATTGTGCTTTTATATTAATTGATAATGAATCGTCTACTGATGAAGTAAAGGCGGTTGACGCTAGAAAACAAATTGATAATATTATACTAGCTGTTGATTGCCATAGTAGCATACTTTTTGGTTGTATCAATGTAGTAAATCAATGAAAATTTGAATATATTTAACAATACGTAATTGAAAAGAAAAAAATCGATTTTGCAACCTTTTTGTATTTGCAACACATTTTTTAAAAAATCATCATCATAAATCATAATCATTCATTAATCATTAAGCTATAAAATATAAGTATACAAATCTTCTATTACGTCTAGGAAATTACAATTATATCTTGGTCATCGTTAGTTTTAATTTTTTTCTCAACAACTTCTATTATTTCAATATCGTCTTCATCTTCATTTGGCGGTAGTGGACTATGATTTTGTTCTAGTTTCTTATCATACTCGTCTTCTTCTTCAATTATTTCTATAATCTCGAGTTCATCATCATTTGGAATTTCTGAACTTTCCCTATCTTCAACACCACATCTTTTCGAATCTTCTAATCTTCTCATTGCTGCTTCTAATCTGGCTTGACGTGGATCTCTGACAGGTTTAGTAACTTTAGAACTCAGTCCCAATACTTTTGTTTCATTTTTAAATTTTACTTTATCTAATTGTGATATTCTTCTAGCTCTTACATCAACTATTCTAGCTCTTAACATACCAAAACCCAATTTATTTTCTTCACATCTATAACCTGAACTACTATTATGTCCGTAATTGATTTTATCATATTTGTCTTTTAATTCCCCTAAAAAGTCATAAAATTTTTTATCATGAGCTCCATGAATATTATGTGTTAGCTCATGTAAAAAAGTTCCAATAATATCACACATTGGTAGGAATTCATCTTCCTTGTGATGATATCGTAATCTTAATAAAATCTTTTGGCCTTTATTAACATTCAAACCTAGTAGATTCGCCTTTTTAGGAAACATTTCACTTAATATCCCTACTTTAAAATTGTATTCATGAATTATTGGTGCTACTGCTTTAACCACGTCATGTAATAATTGGTTCGCGTAATCTCTTGTATTATATCTCATTAATGAACCTATCTTTGAAACATTAGCCACTGGTGATGGTCTATTTGGCTTTTTTATAGGGTACTTGCCCCTCCCCTTCTGCACCATGAAATCAGATCAAACTTATAAAAAGTTTATGTGTGATAAGTAATTGATATAAGAATGAATATTTTATTGTGTCTATAAAATTTATTTATAATTATATTTGATTTTGTACTACAAAGATAAGAATTTTAGTTGCCAAAAATTTAATTTAATTTTCATTTATGAGTTAAAGTATATAATTCATCTAAAAATTTAATCATAAAAGATCCTGGAGTATTTGTTTTGGCAGCAGCGTTTTTTCCAGCTGTATTATAAACATTTACAGCATCAACAGTTGCTGCATACAAATCTCCAACTCCTAAACTAGCTTCAGCAGCTTCAACGGCCAAAAATGATGCAATTGTACTACCTAATGAGCATCCGGTTCCAGTGATGTTCCCCATTAGTTTACTTCCACCTTCTATAGTAGTTGATCTACCATCGTTGGATATTATGTAATTTTTAGGGCCAGTTATAACAACAACGGATAAAAATTCATCAGCAATTTCTTTAGCACACTTGAACAATGTATTTTCATCAATTTTAGCAGTTGAATCAACGCCTCTCATATGATTTTCATTTTTATTTTCATCATTACAGGCAGAAGTCAACTTCCAAATACTCATAATCTCACCCACATTACCTTTGATGACTGACACATGACCTTTATTTAGCAATTTTTTACAAGCTTCAAATCTTGCTTCAGAAGCACCACATGCAACTGGATCAAATACAATTGGTTTTCCCGCTTCATTATATACTTCAATAGCAGTTGTAAACACTTTCATTAATTCATCATTTGGAGTCCCCAAATTCACAACTAAGGCAATGTTTGGAACATTTGTAACAAATTCTTTGAATTCTTGAGGTAACTCTGACATTACTGGTGAAGCACCAATTGCTAACGTTACATTTGCACTAAAATTTTTAACAACATTATTTGTTATGTGATGTACCAATGGTTGCAGTTTCACCATACGATTAATGCTTGCAGATAATGGTAACACATCTTTATAAATTTCAGTATGAGCCCATGCTGGTTTAGTACTTAGCTGTTCACATAATTCAACAGTGGATTTTCCCGCATCTTCGCTAGCCATAATACATGAAACGATAGCTACACCATCTATTGCTTTATCTTCGACACTACATAACGTTTTTACTCTTGCAGCATTTGATCGATTAATTCCACCAATAGCCACCGAATGAATGGGACTTTTTGATTTTTTGAGTTCATGTAACATTTTTCTTATTCCAATTGGTCCAACACCCTCTGGGTTTGTAACATCTTTCTTAGTATTTGTAGCAAAAACAGTCCCTAACCCAACATAATCGGCTATCCCTTGCTCCACCACTTCTTGAACTTCTTTTGTATTTGAACAAGTAACACCTAAGATCTTTTCAGATCCAATCATATTTCGAACAGTAGCTGCAGGCATATCATCTTGACCTACGTGAACTCCTTCAGCATCTATTGCTAATGCAACATCGACTCTATCATTAATTATTAAGGGTATACGCTTAGCTTTGGTCAATTTATGTACTTCCTCTGCCCTCTTTATAAAATCTCTAGTGGATAATGTTTTTTCACGTAATTGGACAATTGTTACCCCATTGTTAATAGCAGCCTCTACTTGTTTCAAAAAGGTAGAAGACTCCGGGATCATGGTTGAGTCAGTAACCAAATAAACTGAATAGTCAACCATATTGCTATACTTTAATGCTTTAGTGGAACTGAATATTTGTTTATTTGAACATTTATAATTGTACAGTATATTTATTCAGATCTTGATCTTGCACAAATTAAGTTGAATAAAAATATGCGCTTACAAGGACAATAGCATTTATATATGTAAAAAACAAAGTATTAGTTCAGTTTAGAGTAACAAACACATATAAATTAATTTAGCTTTATATGAAAGAAAGAGCTAACAAAATGAAGCTGTTTGATCAATATTCTGTAATTTTTAATAGATAATCTAATGATTGAGATCTCAAATAGAACCTGAAATAATAGTTTTAAGATCTAACTAACATACAAGATAAAATCATAGGTAAGATAAAGTAGCACGACTAATTTTACTCAAAAAGGGTTTCGGTCCCCACAATTCATAAAATAATAACGTTCTCAAATAATATTTTTCACCACAACAAAATAATAATGAAAAGGCTTGATAAGATATCATAGTATTTAAATAAATGAATTTTCGCATCCAAATTCAACTTTAGCGGCTTTTTTAGTCAGATCTTGTTATCAAAAAGTTAAAAAAAAATGGTGATAAAACCTCAACATATTCGGAAACCAGAATTTAATGAAAGATCATATATCTGTAGAAACGATGGAAAATTTTACAGTAATTTCAATAACTCAGCAAAGTATAGTAAGAATGTAACAACATCTCATTTGTCAATTGCTTTAAGATCTTTAATTTTGAAAAATAGTTGGTTCTGTCATAATTTTCTCAAAACACTGCATACCAATAGTAAACTACACAATTATCATAATTGGGTCGTTAGATATGTAAAGGAGATTAAATTTAATGATGTGGTAGAGTATAAGAAAATAGATGTATTTGATGAGAATTGCCTTGAATATATGGATAGTTTCGTAATTAAAATGAATGTTGAAAAACCGCTATGGAAAATAATTGTATGGGAAGAAAATAATGGTGAACAGTTAATTTCTGTACTTTTTGATCATTCTCAATTTGATGGTTTGTCAGGTGCACAATTTCAGAAAGATTTAACGAAAGAGTTGTCGTTAGTGAAAGATGATAAAAACGTGATAGACATCTTATTTGATTATGAAAAAGATTTTGAATATTTACCTCCCGAAATTTGGCCAGCCACTGAAGTATTGACTGATTTATATGTTCCAACTTATACAAATATGATAAACCATTATTTAACAAAATTCGTGCCAGGATATTCATCATTATCATCTTGGCTTTATAAACGAGATCCACCATTATATGCAAAACCAACGTCACTTGATAGGACGTTAAAATCCAAATACAAATTATTAAAAATCAATTCAGACCAAATGACAAAAATATCAAATTTTTGTAAATCCAATGGCATAACAGTGACTGCTTATTTAGACGTGCTTTTCCTTGAATCGTTACAAGAAACAATATTCAAATCACTTTACCCAAACAAGAAATTCAGTACTAATTCGTACGTAGCAATCAATGGAAGAAGATATTATAATGATGATATAAAAAATTTCAGATATGGATCAATGGTATGCGGGAATGACTTATACTTACCACCAATTAAAGATCCTCTTCAATCAATGAAAGATTTCAATTACCAACTTAATCAAGATATTAAAAACAAAACATATTTTAAAGTTATAGGAATGATTCAATTTAGACAACTTTGGGATTTCTTAAATGGTAGAATTGGCAAAATAGGTGTAACTCCAACATTAACAATATCAAATTTAGGTATAGTTTCAGACTCCAATGACGAATATAAATTTAAAGAAATGTATTTTGGGGCAAATGCAGGATTAACATTTGATTTTGTTATTGATGTAACTACTTTATCTAATAATGAGATGACTATTGTATTGGCTCATATGCCTGAATATGAATTGATGTTGCATGGTAGATCTGCTATTGATAGATTATATAAGTTGTATTTGCATAAACTCCTTGACGTAGATACAAATTAAATTACAGTGTTAAAATAGACAAATATATGACTCATGAATTGGACTACTCTCTTGTTCTTATTTTACTTCTTCATCAACTGCTATTACTTCTTCCTCTTCTTTATCTTCATTTAATCCACCAATCTCTTTCAAAAACACATTAATATCATTATCTTTAACTTTCCCCATTTTCCCCATCAATTTTTTAGTATTTAAAATACTAAACTCTTCACATTTCTTAATAGTCCCACTAACATGAATACAACTCATTACTAAATCAACACCATCAATACAATTAATCATACTCATTGCTCCAATAATAGTTTCAAATTGTGATCTACCACATCGTATTATTCCAGTTGAAGTTTTGTTTGAAAAATATTTTATTGTCATAAGCATCCCCGCAGATCCTGATCCTACATCCCCGTAATGTTCGTGTAGTGATTTTCGTATTGCGTGTAGTATTGTTTTGTAATTTATGTTTTGTGGTGATGATTTATGTAATGTTAAAAGAACATTTGTTTCCGATTCGATATATTCTTCTAATTCTTGTTGTGACGCGTTTTTGGGGGTTGGTGGATAAAGTATTTCAAATAAAATGTATCTGTGTTTTATTCTGACCATATTGATTAAAATTGAGGGTAGTACTTATCGATGTAATTTTAGTATACAAGTTGTAAAAGTAATATTACAAAATTTGTTTCAGTTTGTAAGGCTACCAAAAAATCACGAAATTTTTACAACCATTTTTAAAATTCATTAATCATTATTATTTTATAATCTTCATCTCGTTATATAACTAAATACTTTTCAATTATTTCATTAGCTAATTCTGCACTTCCATTAATGGTATAAATCAATTGTAAGCTATAAGCAGCTTCCCATTTCAAATCATAATCATCATTTTCATCCAAATTATTCTCCAGAATCAGCAAGACTTTCTTGTAATATTCAATAGCTAATGATGTTAAACCTATCATATGAAACAATCTACCAAAATTATAATCAACCTCTTGTTTTTCATAAGGACTTGAATTAGTTTTTAATCTGTTTTCTCTATATTCTAAAAATATACTTATACCTTGAAGTAATTGAGCATTTCTATTTGAACTTAATCTTTGCATTGATCTATGAACGTGAGCTAATGCTAATATTAAACAAACCATTGGATCTTTGCTAAATGATTCATATGCTCTATATATATAAAAAGCAACTGATGTATAACTCTTGTTCATCGATAATAAAACTGAATAAATATAAACTAAATCAAGATGAGCAGGACCTAATTTAACATTAGTTAAATCTGCAGTAATATTTGACCTTCCAGTAATTACTTCATTTTTGTAACAAGAATCATAAGATTTTAATTGACGAAGGAAAAATTTTTGATGATTATAATGAGCAGAAACTCCAAATTCTGTTATCAATGAACAAAAAGCTAAGAAAAACTGACACATAAAAGGTGAAAATTGATTATTTAATAAAAACACTCTTACTTGGTGAAATGCTACATCTGATGATCTTGGTTGTGGATATACAAATGACAAAGTTAATAATCTTAAAACTGCTTCTTTGGCTTTATCATGAGCGAATAGATTTGTTGCTAATGCAATATCTATTATATCAGTGGCATAAGCTGGATTATTTTCATAAATTGATTGAACTAATGCAAATTGAGCAAAAATGTCAAACCATTGATTATAATTTATTCCTCTATAATCTGTTTTGGAAACCAATGTTTGTTTTGTATATGGTTGTTCTTCATTAATACCCTCTAATAAATTGTAAGCTCTTGCTAACTTGTCATCAAGATTCATTTGAGTATTTGAACGATACCGGATAATACCTTTAAATCTCTTGGATTTATCTTTTGGGAAGAAACTTTTAACACTAATAAACATTTCAATCAATTGTGAAGCTAATTGAATCCATGCTGATATAGCTACTCTATCACCCTCATTAACAGCTTCTTGTAATTTTTCCATACGACGATATTTTTCCAATACTTTTGCTGTAGCATTTGCTTCAATTTCTTGTTTTTCATGTTCACTGAGTTTGGCTCGTTTTGAGGTTTTCCTAACTTTATTTTTAATAATTGACATCTTTCGGAAATCTTCTTTTTCATCAATATCTTCCTCTCGACCAATTTTTTCTTTTGATCTTTTAATTTCGTTAATTAAACATTTAGCTTGTATATCATCTCCTAAATGATATAAAGTCTCAGCTAAAGCTAATTTATAATCAACATTTTTAGGATCATAATTTAATAATTGAGAATAAGCATGTTCTGCCCCTTCGTAATCACCAATCTCAAAGTAACATTTACCCAAATAACCAACTAAATCAGTTTCAACCATATCTGGAGAAGCCAGTGCTTTTTCTAGATAAGTAGTAGCTTCTTCAAAATAACCAGATTCTGCTAGATTTCTACCGGCTTCATAAAACAAATCGGCAATTTCATCTTGATCACCGATCAACAAATAATTGAAATGCTGTAATGCTTCATCTTTTTGATCTAATCCCAATCTTAATAATCCCAATTTGAATCTAATATCAATTGGTAATTCATATGGTTTTGTATTGAATAACTCTCTATCATCCGGGTTCAATTTTAATTTGTTATTGAATCTTTTATCAGCATCAAATTCATCATCTTTATCTTCATCCCATAAGTCGTTGTTTTCAGTCATCCTTCCTTGAATCCATCTTGCAGCTAATTTTAAAACTTTAATACCCATTTTAAATGAACGATGTTGCATATGTAATTCCAATAAAATATTTAATTCTGGCCAGCCAAAATCTGGATATACTTCATCTGAACTTGGATCAGGTAGAATATTACTATCCAATATCCTCATATATAGATTTATTGCATCGTTCAATCTTTTTTGATCAACATAGACACCAGCTAAATATTTGACAATTGTTGAATTTTTAGGCCATATTTGACGTAATTTTTGAAATCCATCTAATGATTTACCGTATGATTTTTTATCTTTATATAATAGTGCTCTTTCCAAAATATAATTTGCACTTTTATTGATATCTGGTGTTATAGCTCTTGAATAACAATATATAGCTTGGTCAATATGGTCCAATTCAGCAGATAATTCAGCAACTTGACCCCAAAATTCAGTATCCCAAGGATGTAAATTAGCAGCTAATAACCAAGAACTACAACATTCATTTAATCTACCCATATTTTTATAAATTTCACCTAATGCTTTATATGCACTAAAATTTCTTGCATCTCCCTTAATAACTTCTTTATATAATTGCAAAGCAACTTGTAAATCACCTCTAACAAATGCTTCATTAGCTTCTGATAAATTTTGTCTGACTACTGGATCTAAATCTCTGTTACTTTCTCTCGTCATTTTTTTTCTATAATATCCTTTATTAGCAGTAGATAATTTTTCTCTTCTATTACGAACTTTAAAATTACTTGCACTTTTCAATGCATCTTTAAAATCATAATCTTCATCATAATCATCTTCTTCTGCATCTGAAAATTGTAAAAAATCATCATCTAAATCATCATCTGAATTGGTGAATATATAATTTTCGTCTTTGTTGGTATCTATATCCATCCCATCCTCGTCCATTGCAAAATTCTCCAATTCTAATTCATTAATTGCTTTATCTAATTTATCATCATCTTCGTCGTTATTATTATTCTCTTCTTTAGTTTGATCTGCTATTATTCTATGACTTGTATCACTTTCTCCTACTAATTCTGGATCAATTAAACTAGCATTAGTGTCACCATCTTCTATATCATTATTGCTCGGTAGTCTACCATTGTTTGACATTGTATATGATTACTTTTTATAAGTTGGTTGTAAATAAATTTGAAATATAAGTATAAGTAATCAAATGTTTCAGATTAATTTTCTTTTGTTCTTGTTTTTGATTTTGAGACACAGACATTAAAAAAATTAACTACACTAGGCTATTTGGTAGCTCGTAGACGGTCCATAAATTTTGATTGTTAGTAAATTAATAAATTAATAAACTAATATACTGGAATTTCATATCCTTTTAACCCCTTATTCTTTTTATGCATTGATAAAAGAATATAACACAGAGGGACCAATTTTTTTAGATTTAAAAAGTTTAAATAGTTCACAGTCCATTCTTAAATTAGATTGTGGGGGTTAGACGTTACTGCTCTGCGATAAATTTACTAATATAGACTCAGAAAGTACTTTAAAGTTTACCAATCTCTCAACTATATATACTCTATTATTGATTATGAAGAATTTTTATATAATCTCTTACTACTACGAATATTAATTTCTTTGAAAACTATTTCATTTTTCTTAGATCTCTATAATAATAAAAAAATAAATAAATTTTATATGAAGATCATAAGTTTTGTTAGCAAAAAAATAATAATATTAGTATTACAAGAAATGAGTAAGTTAGTGAGTGAGAGAAATTTAAAATTACGAGTCTTCATTTTATTTTATAACTTCCTTAATATTCTTTCTTTAATTCATTAATCTATCAATTAAAATCTATTACATTATATTATCAATTCATTCTTTTAATTATAAAGCTTAGATCTTAACATAGTGTAAACTTATAAACAATTGCTATCAACAAACTTACAACAAACAAATATATTATTAATAACACGATTATATATATTTAAATTATACATCATTATTTATATTATTATTATTTATATAAACTTTAAATTTTGAAAAAAATCAAAACAATATAAATACTATCCATAATGTCCGATCTTAGAAAAATTGCATTATCAAATACTAATTTAAAAAGTATGAATGATTCACCAATAAATTCAGGTGCATCAACTCCAATAAAAGGTAAAATAGAAAAAACTGATTCAATTTTAAATTTAACAAAACCAGAATTATTTGGAATATATAAAAATGATTCATATGTTAATTTAAATAAAGATATTGATGATACATCAGACTTGGATTTAGAAATTTTAAAAAAATCAGATACAAATGATTCATTATTATCACCAAGTATTTCTAATACAAGTGATTCAAATTATTATATACCATTACCTGCAAAATTAATGATTTTATCAAGTTCAGCATATATTTATAATGAAATTATTAAACATATAAACTATAATCATTTTAATGAAAATCAATTGGTTAATTTTCCATTAACTATAACTCATGTATTTCTTTATGCATTTGTATCAAAATTTAAAATTGGTAATTACATAAATATTGATGATGAATTTTTAAAAGTTTTTGATAATATTTTTGCATTAACTTTACAAGGTTTATTAATGGCTTCATTACATCCAATTTTTGATAGAATATTGCCAAGATTTTTAACAAAAAGATTATTATCATCAAATCCTCAAAATCAATCATCATCATCGTCATCATCATCAAATCAATCTAATTTCTTTAATGATTTAATTAGATCATGTATTACATTTTTAGGTATAAGTTATGCAATAAGAAAAATAGAATGGAGTAGTTTTTTACAAGTTTCAATTATTTGGTCATTAATTAATCCAGGATTATGGTTATTATTAGATGGTACAATTTCAGGATTTTTATCTTCATTGTTAGTTTCATCAATTGCTTGTGTTAGTATTTATACTCAAAATTATCAATTTATAAATCAATATTCAAAAACTTCTGATGATATTATAGCATTGTGGTTATGGATTGGATCATTTTTCTTTTGTGGTATTATAATATTTGGAAAAATTGGTAGAGGAATATTTGGTTCAAAATGAATTTAAAGGAGACAAATAAATATTTACAAAGATATAGATAAATAGTTTTTAAATAATTAATTTATTTTCAATTAAAAGTAATGAGTAATTCGAGAAAGTGTAGTAAACTAATTGATATTTAATGTGAAATTCTTATTGTACATGTTTCGTATATTTAACTGCGTAAGTTACGACAGACATTTTTTCAGAACTATCAATTCTCAATTTTTGAAACAACAGAAACAGATCTTAATCACCAAATCATTCAATGACAATATATTCATTCAATATCTTTGATCGCCATTGTAATTGTATATACATTAGAGAATTTATACTGCAACCGCAACAACTGCAACAATTACCCTCATCAAACTCATCAACATCATTAAGTTCAACTTCATCAAATCAACAAGGTTCAATCAATAAAAATAACTATGGCAACAACTCCAAACTATTATTTGGTATAATATACTCGCTAAATCAAATTTCATCAAAACTAGCATCTCCCCATCCCGACTCAAATGAACAACCAAACGAATTAAAAACATTCACAATAGGAACAGTTAAAATCCATTTTTGGGAATCATTAACTAAATTTAAATTCATTATAGTAACAGACACAACCGTAACAAATTTACAAAATGAATTATGGTACATTTATCTGAATTTATTTTTGCGGTATGTTGTTGAAAATCCTTTACTGCCAATTGAATTTAAAGTTATTGAAGATGATGAAAATTCAAAAAATCAAAATAATGTTGAAAATATGAGAGATAATGAACAATATGGGAAGATTAATAATGGGAGATTTATTGAAGAGACTGATTCGTTTTTGAAGTCGTTGCCTATTTTTGTTTAGTGTTGGTGAAATTTTAGAAATGTATAGAATAAGTAATAATTAATGCATAATAATTTGCATGAATTTGTAAACAAATTTTTAGAAAAAATCTTATGTAATTGTTCCAGCTAAGTAATTTATTCAGTTAAATGATTAATCTTAAATTATATCAAAATGCATTCGAATTGACGAATGAGATCAGAACTTCGAAAGCAGAACCTAAAGACTACTTTATCAAGAATTTTTCAATATTGATGTAGAGATTTATCTTATCTTATATTACATCTTTACTACAATATATAAATTTACGAATGGAAATTGCCGTAAAGCGCAAAAAAGAAATTATTTAAAACACTTTTTAATACAATAGCTGAATTATAAAATGAAGTTAAAATACCATAAGAATTAAAGATGACTTTTTTCTTCACTAAAAGATAGTTCATGAGTCAAAATTTGATGCTTTCTTTGATACAACATTTATAACAAAAGGAGAAAGAAAGAGATGGGTCTATTAAATTTCGATGAAAGACCTAAAATTTTCAAATCAAGTTTTCATGAATTAATAGTTGTGACGTTAGTATGTCTTGCACAATTCTTGACACAAGCTGGGATAACTATGTGTTTGAGTACTATGAATATCATCCTAAAAGATTTCAAGAACTCAGACTCATCATCTTTAGCAACTTGGTTTATGGGTGGTTATGCATTAACTGTGGGGAGTTTTATTTTAGTTAGTGGTAGAATTGCAGATTTATTTGGATTGAAGAAAGTATTTGTCATAGGTTGGATTTGGATTATTATATGGTCGATTATAGCTGGTTGTTCATATTATACAAATTCAATTATATTTTTCATTATATGTAGAGCATTTCAAGGTATTGGATTTGCATTAATTTTACCTACTGGTTTAGGTATTTTAGGTCACATATATCTGAATGGTGGTAGAAAAAATTTTGTATTTGGATGTGTTGGAGCTAACGGTCCAACTGGAGCTTGTCTTGGAGCATTAATGGCTGGTGTTGTTGCTCAAACTTGGTGGTGGCCTTGGATTTTTTGGTTATTAGCTATATTTTGTTCTATTTTATTGGTTTTATCTGTGTTTTACATACCGCATTTTGTTAGTGATCAACAAGAAGGTAGTACTTTGGAGAAGATAGATATACCTGGTTGTATCCTTGGACTTGTTGGATTAATACTATTGAATTTTGTATGGACACAAGGTCCAGTGGTTGGGTGGGGTAAAGCATATATCATAGTATTATTAGTTATATCAGTATTTACAATCATTGGGTTCTTTATTTATGAGATAAAATTTGCTAATTATCCGTTATTGCCCAAATCAATTTTCAATATTAAAATAGGGCTTGTTTTAGCATGTATGTCATTTGGATGGGGGTCATTTGGTGCATGGCAATTTTATTATTGGAATATTATATTAAATTTAAGAAAATATAGTCCTATTGAAGGTGGATTAACGTATATTCCCTTTTTAGTACTAGGTATAATTGCATCATTATTAGTTTCATTTGTTATATCTCATACTAAACCTTCATTTATTATTTCATTTTCATCATTGTGTTTTATGATTGGCTGTATAATGTTATCTGTTACTCCAATAGAACAATCATTTTATAGGATGACAATGGGGCAGATGTTCATTTTATCTGGAGCGATGGATATGTCATTCCCCTCAGCTACTATAATCTTAATGGACGTATTAGAAGAAAAAGGAATGGCAGGTTCATTAGTGTCTACAATTGTTAATTATTCAGTAAGTTTGTTTTTGGGAATGTCTACATGTGTTGAAATTGAGACTTTTAAACATAATCAAAATTTGTTGTTAAGTTACAGAGCAGCACTTTATTTTGCTACTGGTATTGCTGGTTTAGGTTTTATTTGTTCTTTGATATTTATATTTGTTCAAAGAGATGATATAAAGGGTACAACTGCATTTATAGAAGTTGATAATATTGATGAAAGTTCAATTGAGAAAAAGTAAAATAGATTTAGATAAAAAAGTTATAGAGTAATAAATAATACTAGTTATATTAATGTTATTTTAATTAACCCTCAAAATATAATAATTCTTTTGACTAAAGAAGTATTATTTTAATTTTAAATGAAATATTATATCTCTAATGACATTTAGTATTACGTGGAGCTAAGCAATAATTCCCCTTAATGCTACCAAATATTTACGCCATTAATTCAGAAATGTTTAAATTTTCAATGTTTACATCATTCACATTTCCACCAAAATTAGCAACTCAATTTATACAAAATCAAACATGATTGGAAAACTAATCGTACTGTTGACTTCAATTGCATCTTTATGTCAAGGTAGAGAGTTTTATTTAGGTACATCATCAAACGCAGCATGTTTAACAATCACATCACCAACAACGATTGAAATTACAAAAACAATAGGTCAAGAATCACTTCCAATAGTGGTATTTGACTACAAACATAGAAACTTACTCAAAGAGTTACCTAATTTTGACTTTTTGACTACTGATGCTAAAGTTGATGAATATATAGAGTATGGAGAATTTGTATTTGACTCACCCAATTCAGTTCATGCTTTCAAAGATGAATTAAATAAAGTTCCTTTGAGGTATAATGTTGAACCGGGAACTTGGTGTATATATACCCCAAAGACATCATCTTATGAATACAAAGTGGAAGTTGCAGAAGATGGATATTATGAAAGATATGATGATTTATGGTGGTCAGGTATAAATATAGTAGTTTCTTTATTTTTAGCAAGATTATTCAATTTTGGATCAAATCCTCCAATTATTTATAAAGCTGCTACTTTGGTACAATTGGCTAAAGTTTCAGTATATGCAACATCGGCTTTTTTTACATTTTTAAATGAACCAGTTTTAAAATACGCAGAATATGTTGTAAAGGGATTAGATGATATTTTCACAATGATGTTTTTAATGGGATATGGATTAACTTATGGAAATTATCGTGATCAAAATGTTAAAAAGATTTTGTTTTTCTCATTGTTGATTGTATTACCATCATTTGCATTAAGATATTTTGATTTAAAAACTAATATCAACTCTATTGAAATTAATCATCAAGGGTATAATGTTGTTAAGGGAATATTAGGAGCTTCTGGATTTGACGCATTAAATCAAATTGAAAAAATTACATTAAAATATAAAATTAATACATTTAGTGGACCAGTTGCTTTATTGTTTGCAATTTCAAATTTTGTTAAAGTTTTAGTTTATTCATTATCAATCCGTTCAACTTTGAAAAAACTCAAGCAAATAAATCCAACAGCAAGAAAATCTTATTCATTAGTAGTAATCGTTTGGTTATTTGCTTGGTCATTAATCAGTGCAGCATTATCACCACAATTATTCTATAATTATCCAAACACCACAAATTATGCAAATGTCTTAAACAATTACTTGGTTGAAGCTTTAAGAAATAAATACATTATATTTGCATTAGATGAATCTCATTGGATTGTATTTTGGTTATTGTGGTATTTTGGAAAAGGTTTATTGGTTGATAAAGAAGTTGTAGAAGTTAATGAAGTTGCTGCTGTTAAAGTTAAACCAAGTGAGATTGATGCTATACCAGCTGTTACCGATGTTAAAGAAGAAACTAAAAAGGATGAATAAATCATTTCTTTGGTTAATGATTATTCTTTGTAAATTAAATGTATGTATAAAATTTATTAGATTATAAAGTACCATAGATTTTGTGTATTATTATTATTATTATTATTATTATTATTATCATTTTGATTTTGTGTACTAAATTAATTGTAAACATTCAATGCATTATTTATAAATATTATAATTCCAAATTTATACAGTCTATAGTTAATCATTTGTTTCAAATTGAAACAATTATAAAACCGATTATTACATAAATGATATAAAAAGAACCCGAAATTCTCCTAAGAAAAATATATAAGATGGAATCACATGAACTACTAACCCCACTACAAGAAAAATCACCAAATAAAATGAATAGATCACCACCTAATAGAAGATCATCATTAGGTTTCGAAATAGTTAGTATACCAACATCAACAAATTTCGAAACCAAAATCCCACAACCTCCACAACAACAAGAAAGTTTCCAATCAAGAATTTTATCAATGCAACAAAGATTAGCAAGAAAACCGCCACCATCAACTTCATACCAAGTATCATCATACCAACATCCAAATTTTACAACAGAATTACAAAATACAATATATAACATAACTGAAGAAATCTCGAAAAAGCAAGAACAAATAGATCATTACGATATTGAATTAAATAAATTACGTCAAATTCATAGAAATTATCAAAAAAAAGTATCAGATATAAATTCAGAATTTATAAATTTTCAAGCACAATTTGATTATTTTAGTGAAGAAATTATAAAATCAGTTGAAAATGAAGAAAAACTTATAGAAATTAAATTAAAAGAAAATCAATCAAAATTAGATAATCAATTTAAAGAAATTGAATTTGAAATGTTAAATGAATTAAATGAAGTTAAAAATTTTGATTATTTTGGATTAATTACAAAATTTGAATCTTTAGAAAAATTGGAAAATGATTTAAGTTTAGAGGTTCAAAAAAAGCAGTTCAAAGTAAATGAGGAAATTGAAGTTGAAACTACTTGTATCAAGAATGATTATGAGAAGAAAGTAATAAGTTTAAAAGAAGAACTTACAAAGAGTGATGAAATACTACATCAAAAACAAGTTGAATTTGATTCCTTAAACAACTCATTTCAAAAGGAATTAGATGACCTAGACGTATACAACTCCAAAATAGAATCAACAAAACAACAAATCACAACAATAGAACAGTCGATGACAAATTTCCATGAAGTCAAAAATAATATGATAATAAATATAAATCAATTAGATCAAGAACTCAATATCAAGTCCCAGCAATCAAACCTAGAACAAAAAGAATACGATGAAATCCAATCAGAATATCAAAACCTACATTCAAAAATTCAAAAACATGATGAACATAGAAGAATTTTAGAAAATTCAATAATGGATTATGAAAATAAAATTAGAATTTATGGAATTTCAAATCAAGAAGAACCAATAGATAAAATCACTAAAATTTTCAAATATGATACTCCTTCATCTTTTATAATTGATGAATTTTTATTATTTGTTGCTAATGTTTTCAAAGGTATAAATGTATCTATACTTACTCAGTTTATATCAGGTAAATCAATAATCTTACAATCTTTACAAGGTTTAGTTCACCAAAATATTAAATTAGAGTATCAATGTATTAATGAAACTAATGACTTATTGACTAACTCAAGTTTACCAAAAGATTCACTATTTAGTAGTCAAAGGATGATTATTGATGACATAACTCAATTTGAACTGATTATTAATGGTATAGAATCCACTGGTTTGGTAATTCATATACTTACAATTAATGGAACAAGAAATAGTAAATCATTCGAAAGTAAATTGGTGGTATTAGATACAAGTCAACTAGATGCTAATTCTCAAATCAGTATACTAAACAAATTAGCATCGAACAATTTCAAGATAGGATCCTCATTAGATCAATTAATTCAATGGATCTCAATTAAGAGTAAGAAACTAATAATTTCAGAACTACAAAACCAAGATATTTTAAATGCATTAAAATCATTGAATTGAAATTCAAACTAAATAGCATATCTATATAGATCATTTACATGGTTGAGATTAAATCATGTAATACCCATTTCAATTCATCATTTGTACCTATATGAGCATCCGGTCTAGGTAATGGTTGTTGTTGTTGTACTTGAGTTGGTGACGAGGCAGATGAATTATTTGATTGATCTGATTTTTTATTTGAATCATTATTATTATTCTCATTACTATTGGTATTGTTGTTGGAATTATTAGGAACTGATGTATCTATTGGTTTTTTTGTAATATATGATATAGGTTTTGGTGGTAATGTATAATTAAAATCTTTACCTTTATAATCATCATTTTCTAATAAAACATTACTTAATCTTAATCTTGGACCATTTGGTTCTATTAAATATGGAAACATTTCAAAAGTATCATTTAAATCTTCAACAGATAAAATTATATCTTTACTATTTTCAACTTCTTCATATTTCCTTTTCTTCGATGGTGATGTTTCTAAATCTTGAGTTGGTGGTTTATCATATGGGACATAATCATTATTTGTATATTTATTTTTCCTGTATTTTGCAACATCAATTGCACTTTCAACTATATTTTTTAAATGAGATTTTAAACCTAATAATAAAACTTCCATTACTCCTGAATTTAATCCACCAGTTAAACCATGTTCTCTCATTGTCATTAACATTAATTTTGATGGATTATCAGCATCGGGGATTTCATAACTTTCAGTTGATATTGGTGCATTAATACCATTTAATACATCTTGTTGCCATTGTACTAAATTATTTACTTGTAATTGTTGTTGTTCTTTATCTTGAATCATTGGTATTTTAGGTAAAAGAGTATGTCTAGTTAATGTAATACCAGCATTTAATTTATTTCTTTTACCTGAATCTCTTGTTATATTTTTAATTCTTCTTCTTTCTTTTATAGGTAATCCCATAATATTCAGTTTAAATTTTTCATATTGAGAACTTTTAACATTTTTTGATGTTTTTGATAATTTTTTATTCCAAAATGATGCTAATTCATTTGAAAAATTTAATGAACTACTATTTTTTAAACTATTTGCAAAATTTAACATTAATAATTTATTATGATATTTAAATAAATTTTCAGGTTTTAATATGGGATTTATAATATCAATTAATTCAGGTCTTGATAATTTACCAATTAAAAATAAACTTAAAGTTTCATGATATTTTTCCCAATCCTTACCTAATTTACTTTGAAATTCTCTTATTAGTTTTTCTAATTCTATTCTTTTACCTGATTTATCTCTTGTTGATTGAACATTAGTTGATGTACCGTTCTTTTGGATGCTAAAATTAGAAGTGGTAGTAGTAGTATTAGTAGTAGTCGGTACTACTGAAGTATTATTGTTTGTCGTCGTCGTCGTTGTTGCCGTTTGAGTCATTGAATATTATAGTATAAAAGTATTGAAAAAATGATAAATTTAAAATTAAAAATGAATGAATTGAAATAATGATAAATGATATAATATAAAAAACTGTATAAATTTAAATTGCTGCAAAAAAATCCTTATGAAAAATAAAACTGAAACTTGGATATATAAAAAATGTTTAATGATAAAAATTTAGTATGGGGAAAAAAAATTATTAATACAAAATAATAATACAATAATAATATAAATTTGAATAATTAAATTATATAATGATATAATATGAAATAAAAAGTTGTATGAAACTAGTGAATGAATAATGTATAGTTTGTTTATGTAGTATTGATAATAATTGATTGATAATGATTGATTGATTGATTGATTGCTTGATTGATTGATTGATATAACTTGATTCAAATTTAATCAATTTATCTATGTCTATTCTTAGGCTTTTTTAATTTTAATTTTTTTTATTTTTCTTCTTTTGTTGAAGATTTAATTATAATTAAAATTTCACTACCAATTGATCAATAGTTTAAAATTAATGGAGAATCTAGAAGTGTGTAATAATTGATAATGAGTGATAATGTATTCTAGTTTCAAAATGTTAACCGTATACTTATCGAAATAAATTGCAAATACCATTTACAATCGGTAATTGAACTTTACATCCAATAGGAAATCATTATTATTTAGCGATTTTAACAAGTCCGTATATTCATATAAGTTGTCAAAAAATATATGAATAAATCCGAGAGATAAAGTTTTCGTATATTTTAATTGAAGGAGTTTAAGCAATTAAATAAGTCGAGTCCAATTAATTTGAATAAATCATGAATCATCAAATGAGTCGGCCCTAAAAATTGATTATAATATAATATGTCAAACTAATTAAAATTTGAAACATAAGATTTACTACTTACTAGTAATATATATGTAATGTATTATGAATAATAAAAGATTGTATTGCGCGGTAATATAAATATTGCAAAAAAAAAAATTACACATAAATTTCGGTAATATAATTATCCCATCTCCGTTTAATCTCCGTATATTTCGGAATTGTATATGGTAGCTCAATTAATATCAATTTTTGACAGAAAAAAAAAGACGTTTTAAAACTTTAAATTTTTTATTTTATTTTATTTGTTTGTGCTTAATAATAATAATTTTTATTAATTGATGCAAAAGAATTTAATTATTCTTGTTTTGATTTAAAATTCTACATCTTTTTACAGAACTTAGTATAAGTTCTATCAAATATATATATAAATAATATTATACATAAATAAGTAGCAGGATCATCATATTGAAAATCTACATTATTTTCACTACTTAATTTAAATGCATATATAATAATCTATTTGAAAATATATCCACAATGACTTCGCTAAAAGAATCAGATACTTCAACAAATGAAAAAGAACAAAATCAAGAACATCAATTACCTTCAAATAGAAATAGTGATAGTGATAATCAATTAGAAAATGACATTGATAATGATATAGATAATGAATTAACTGCAGAAGAATATGGGATGCCAGAACCTGAAAAAGATATTCAATCACCAGAATATATATCATTTTTCAGTCCAGAATTTGCACAAAATAGAAGACATATAGCTTGGAAATTTTTAATCAATATGTTAGCTTTATGTACTTTAATTATGGCCGCTTTTTCAATTTATTGGGGTTCATTTTATGATAGAAATAGTTATTTAAAAAATTTGAATTTTTTAGTTGTTATTGGGGATGAACAAACTAATGGAATTCAACCAATATTTGGAAATACAATGGAACAAATTTTACTGACTGAATTTGCAAAATCAATTGGTGATTGGCATATATATGATTATGAAAATTTTCAAATAGATGCAAATAAATATGGAAATACAGTAGAAGAAGAAATTTTAAGACAAGTACATCATCAAAAATATTGGGCAGCAATTTATGTTAAACCTGAAGCTACTTATAATTATCAAAATGCTTTACAAAATGGTGATTCAACTTATAATATTACTGCTAATACAGTAGTTGTTCATTATGAAACAGGTAGAGATTTTCTGAATATGGGTACATATATAATGCCACAAGTTCAAAAAATCGAAAAACTATGGTTAAAATCACAACCAAATACAACAACAAGAATTATTCAAAATAATATAGATATTGATTCAACTTCCAAACTTCAAATTGTATCAACTCCATTATCATTCGAATATGTAGATCGAATTCCACTGACTGAAGCTATTTTAATTGCACCATTACAAGTTGGTAATATTTATATGATTTTGTTAACATTTTTTGCAGCTAATTTCTTCACAAACACACATATGAGAATAGCAAGAACAAAATTAAACAGATTACATTATTTGATATATAGATGGATGACTTCAGTTTTATCATTTGCTGTATTATCTATATTTTTTGGATTAATTACATTAGCATTTCAAGTTGATTTTACTGTTACTTATGGAAGGTCTGGATTCTTGGTATATTTTTGTATTACTTGGTTAACTATGATTGGAGTTGGATTAGCTAATGAAATTGCTATAATGGTTATTGTTGGAATAATTCAAATTCCAGCATTATTAAGTTGTTGGATGATAAGTTGGATTATTTTAAATATATCACCATCTTTTTCAGCTATGGCATTAACAAATAATTTTTATAGATATGGGTATGCAATGCCAACATATAATGCTTTTGAAAGTACTAAAACTGTATTTTTTGACGTTTATAAAGGTGCATTAGGTAGACATTTTGGTATATTAGTTGCTTGGATTGTAGTATTGACTTTGATTTTCCCATTTGTTATGATTAAATTTGGTAAGAGTATGGCTGCTAAAGGTCAAAAAGAAGCTGCTGAAGCACAAGCTAGAGCAAGGGCACAAATTGAAAAAGAAAACTTGGTGCTTAAAAAGACTTTATTTTAATTTCATTTTAGTAGACTATTTTTTAGGTTAATGTATAATAATAATAATATTCATGTGTAGGAAGTATTGCAACTATCTTCTCTGAGGATGCCCCCATAATTCTCATGTTATTAATTGATTTTCAGGTTATTTTACTTATTCAAATAGTTCTGTATAGATTTTGTGAAACGTATGAGATCTTAAATTTTAACGAAAAGCTAAAAAAATAATTTTATTTCTTTTAAAAATCTGTCAAATCTTAAAATAGAAATTTCTTGAACTTGAAACAAAAGGATCTAAAATATTAGCAACTATATATACGTCAATAAATTATAAGTCACCTCCATTGGAACAAAATTAATTAAATTAGTACAATAAAATTATTACGGATGGAACTAGTTACTGGGTTTGAATCTGTCGCCTGAGATGGAATCTGAATTTTTAAGCCGTATGAAACAATCTTTTTTTAATTACTTTTTTTTATCATTATGCAAGATTTCTAATCTTTTATCTGAAAATTTTTTAGTTTTTATAGAATTTATAGATAAACTATAAAAGAGATTTTAATTTTTTTTCAAATATAAGACCCCAATATTTCACTTTATTCCATACTGCTAATGATATAGCTTGAATAGCTGATACTTTCATAACTTTTATTATTTTCATTTTACTTTTTCATACCAGGTCATATTCATCAAAATAGTTATAAAAATGGGGAAAAGTATACATGAAGAAGAGATTATAGAGTCACACGATATACAGAGATCTCCATCAAAGACCGCCAAAGAACAATATATTCAAAATGAAATAGAATACACAGATTCATATGAAATAAATGAAAAAAATTCAGAATCAAATGAACATACCGAATCTACTGGTGGTTCATCAATTATGAACATGTTTAGAAAATGGGGTAGATATCTTAATGTTGAAACAAGAGGTATTGAAAAAGTTCCAATTGAAGAAAAAAAAGATACTTCATTATTGATTCCATTCACTATTTTTTTTTCACCACAAATGGCGGTTAGTGCATTAAGTACTGGATCATTAGCTCCAATAATGGGTTTAGATTTTAGAACTGCTGTATTATGTTCTATCTTTTGTACTTTTATTGGTGGTGCTGTTGTTGGTGTTGTTTGTTTATTTGGTTTAAAAACTGGTCTTAGACAACAAATTGCTTCAAGATGTATGTAAAACCTCAAAAATACTTTTTGCAACCAAATGATATCATATACTAACCAGATCTTTAGATTTGACAGGAAATGTTATGGGTAGAATTTTTGCATTTTTTAACGTCATCAGTTGTATAGGTTGGAACGCTTTAAATATTATTCCAGCAGCTCAATTACTTAATTCAGTAAATCATGGATTTAAACCATGGTTAGCTTGTCTTGTATTAGTTTTAATTATATGTTTTTTAACAGTTTTAGGTTATAAGGCAGTTCATTATTATGAGAGATATGCATGGATTCCAACATTAGTTGTTTATATTGTTATAATTGCAAGATTTACTCAATCTCATACTTTTGAATGGGGTAATATGAGTCAAACTACAGCAAGAGGAGTATTGGGATATATTGTTGTTGCTATATCTTTTACAATGGGTTGGGCTCCAAGTGCTTCTGATTATTTAGTATATTTTGATCCAAATATTAGTGCTTTCAAAGTTGCAACAGCAATGACTTTAGGATTATCTATTCCAGCAATTATCTCATGTATTTTAGGAGCAGCTGTTACAACATGTATTTATACACCAGGACGTTTTCAAGATGCTTTCAATTCAAACTCATTTGGTGGATTATTATATGAAATAATAGTTGGAGAAAGTAATAATAGTGGTTATAAATTTTTAGTTGTTGTATTAGCTTTATCTGCAGTTCAAAATAATTTAAGTGGTGGTTATTCACTTTCATTAGCTGCTCAATGTATATCACAAAGAATTTTTCAAAGAATTCCAAGAGTTTTATTATGTATAATTGGGAATTTAATATCATTAGCTTTTTCAATCCCAGCTTATTACGTATTTGAATCAGCTATGGCTAATTTTCTTTCAATTATTGGATATAATTCATCAATTTATATAGGAATAATATCAGCAGAACATATAATTTTTAGAAAATGTAATTTTAATAATTATAATATTGATGATTTTAATGATAAAAAAAGTTATGGTATATCATTAGCTGGAATATTTGCATTTGCTTGTGGTGTTGGCTCAACTGTTGTATTTATGGATCAAACTTGGTATTCTGGTGTATTTGCTCAACATGTTGGTGATATTTCTTTAGAAATGAATATTGCTATATCTTTTTTGGCTTATTGTTTGACTAGACCAATTGAATTGAAGTACATAGGTAGATAAAAGACTTTATATTTTACTGTATAGTATTGAATTAATAATATTTATTAGAAACATTAAAAACTTATCTATTTTTGTACAGTAATGAACTTGTTTCAAATTTAGTAATAATGGTTACAGAAACAAATTTATTTCTTCCCCTCATTTTTCCCCATAATAAGGTTGATGATTTGTGAGCTACCAAAATTTTAAGTTTTAAATCTTTGGAATAATCAGTCCGATTTTTCCCCTATCAAAAGCATAATTTTTATCTGAGTCAAATGTGGTACTTAAACTTCCATTCCATTCTATATTTACCTTAATCAATATTTTGATTTTTAAACATATATGCGTTCTATTAGAAATTGTAATCAATTTTTGTAAATGTCGCCTTGAATTAAGATGTAACATGAGAGAGAAAATTATATTTACGAAGCAATAGGAGATTTAAAATACGAGTTGATTATGAATTGTATATGGAGTATATTGTGATTCAAACTTGTCCAAATGTGTAAAACAATAATCAACTTAGATTTGGTCTAATTGCAGAAATTCTTAAAAAAATCTTAGTAGCAATCCATAATATCAGAAAGCTACAAACCTAACTAGGTAATTCTGTTTGACATGTCAAACAATTAATTCGAGCTATAGAAAACTGTCCAAAACCAAACTGCCGTAAAGCTAAACGAGTTGGTTAATACAAATAGCAAGATAGGCTAGAATCTCAGTGAAAATCAAAAACTTATCGTTGTCTCTAGTTATTGATCTCAATTTTACAATAAAAAAATCCCCCATAGATTTAAAACACAAAACCAAAGAAATTAATATTCTTAATTTTGCTACTTTAAATAATTTTTATTTATTAGATTTCAAATTTGATTTAGATTTCAATTTTTCAACTCCCTTTTCTACCATATATTAATTCCTTCTTTTCTATTATCAATTCATCTTTTTTTTTTACAAGTATGGTTGGTTTAACAGCAGAAGAAGAAAGATTAAAAGATATCAAATATAGACAATGGGGTCCTTATGTATCTGAAAGATCTTGGGGTACAGTTAGAGAAGATTATAGTGTTGATGGAAATGCATGGGACGCATTCAAATTTGAAGATTATGCAAGAGTTACACGTTGGTCACAAGATGGTTTAGCAGGGGTATCAGATCGTCGACAATTGATTAATATTACAATGGCATTATGGAATGGTAAAGATCCAATTTTAAAAGAAAAATTATACGGATTAACTAATAATCAAGGAAATCACGGTGAAGATGTTAAAGAATTATATTATTATCTTGATAATACTCCATCACATTCATATATGAAATATTTATATAAATATCCACAAAATGAATTTCCTTATGAACAATTGAAAACAGAAAATGGTAATAGAACAAGATTGGAAAAGGAATATGAAATTACAGATACTGGATTATTTGATAATAATGAATATTTTGATGTTGTTTTTGAAAGCGCTAAAGATTCAGCTGATGATTTATATTTTAGAATTACTGCTTATAATAGAAGTGATAAACCTGCACCATTACATATTTTACCAAATGTTGTTCTAAGAAATACTTGGACTTGGGGTACAGAAGAAGATAAAAATCAAAAAAAACCTCATGTAAAACAAATTAATGATTATACAATTGAAGTTGAAACTGAAAAATTCGGTAAAAGATATTTATCATTTGCACCATCACCTGGTGAAACAGATCAATCACCAGATGTTGAACCACAATTAATATTTTCAGATAATGAAACTAACACCAAAAAGTTATATGGACAAGAAAATAAAAACAAATATGTTAAAGATGCATTCCATGAAAGAGTTGTACATGATAATAAAAAAGCTATTAATCCAGATAATGAAGGTACTCAAGCAGCAGCTTGGTATGTATTTAATGAAAATGGTGGAGTTCCACCAGGTGATTACGTTACCATCCGTTATAAATTTACAAAAGAAAATTCGGAAGTTGATGAATATAAATTAGATCAAATATTTGCAAAACGTCAAAATGAAGCTGATCAATTTTATTGGAAAGTTTCTCCATTACCAATAAGTGATGAATTAAGACAAATTCAAAGATATGCATTTGCAGGTTTATTATGGTCAAAACAATTTTATTATTTCGTTCATAATTATTGGGCTTATGGTGATCCAAATACAATGAAACCTCCAGTTAATAGAGCAAATGGTAGAAATAAAGAATGGAGTCATTTATATGTTGATGATATTTTATCATTACCTGATAAATGGGAATATCCTTTCTTTGCAGCTTGGGATTCTGCTTTCCATTGTATTCCTTTTGCGATGATTGATCCATGGTTTGCTAAAAATCAAATTGATTTATTATTAAGGGAATGGTATATGCATCCAAATGGTCAAATCCCAGCTTATGAATGGAATTTTAGTGATGTTAATCCTCCAGTTCATGCATGGGCAGCTTATAGAATTTTCAAAATAGAAAGAAAAATGTATGGACGTGAAGATATAGATTTTTTAGAAAGAGTTTTCCAAAAATTGATGTTAAACTTTGCTTGGTGGGTTAATAGAAAAGATGCTGAAGGTCATAATGTTTTCGAAGGTGGATTTTTAGGATTAGATAATATTGGTGTTTTTAATAGATCAGAAGCATTACCGACTGGAGGTAATTTGGAACAAGCTGATTCAACAGGTTGGATGGCTTTCTTCTCATTACAAATGTTAAATATTGCATTAGAATTAGCTAAAACTAGACCAGTTTATGAAAATATTGCATCTAAATTTTTTGAACATTTCGTAATCATTGCTGATGCAATGACTTTCAGAGGTACTGAAGGTGAAAATGAAGCAGGAATTACCAAAAATTCACTTTGGGATGAAAAAGATAAATTTTATTATGATGCCATAAGATATGGTGAACATCATACTCAATCGTTACCAGTAAGATCATTAGTTGGATTAATTCCGTTATATGCATCATTGACATTGGAGCCAGAGTTATTAGAAAGATTCCCATCATTTAAAAAACGTTTAAATTGGTTTATTGAACATAGAAAAGATATTGCCGAGAGAAATATTGCATCAATGGAAACAAGAGGTGTAGGTGAAAGATTATTATTGTCATTAGTTTCAAAAGAAAGATTAATCGATATTTTGAGTAGAATGTTAAATGAAGATGAATTTTTATCACCATATGGTATAAGGTCTTTGTCAAAATATCATAAAGATCATCCATTTGTTATGGAAGTTAACGGTGAAACTTTTAAAGTTGAATATTTACCTGGTGAATCAGATTCAGGTATGTTTGGTGGTAATTCTAATTGGAGAGGTCCAATTTGGTTCCCAACTAATTTCTTATTGGTTGAAGCATTACAAAGATTTTATTTATATTACGGACCAGAATTAAAAGTTGAATGTCCAGTTGGATCAGGTGAATATCTTAATTTAGCTCAATGTGCTCAAGAAATTCAACATCGTTTAATTCATTTATTCTTACCAGATGAAGCTGGTAATAGAGCTTGTAACGGTGATAACGAATTAGTAAACAAAGATCCTTTTTTCAAAGAATATGTACCATTTTATGAATATTTCGATGGTGATACTGGTAGAGGTTTAGGAGCATCACATCAATGTGGTTGGACAGCAGTGGTTGCCAAATGGATTCATGATAATGGTGTTTCATGTAGAATACCAAAAACACCAAGAACTCCATTACATAGAAAACAATCATCTTGTTATCTTCATGATAGCGCAGATACAAGAGATGATGTATCTAAATTTAAACCAAAAGCAGGTCCATTTTCAGGTAAATTGGTAAGAAGAAAATCAGGTAAATCATTATTAAATTTAACAGTAAATGCATTAGATCTTAATGATGATGAAGAAGATGCAACAGCTAAAGCAAATGCAGCTATAAATTTAGTTGGTTTAGATCATGGTGTAAATGTAACTGATGAAATATTAAAACAAGAATTAACTGAAATACAAAAAACACAATCTGGTGCATCATTAGATTCAGAATTTGAAGTTGATGATGAATTTTTAGATCAAGTAAAAGCTGCATTTAAAAAATATAAAACAAGAACAGATGATGATGATGTTTCAGGTGATGAATTTGAAACAAGATTAAATAGGAATTAATTCAAATAATTTATAGAGATAGAAATAGTTGGTCGTGTATAGAATTAAAAATTATTAACTGACACTTAATTTTAAAAAATGACAATCTTTGTAATCGAATAATGATACAGCCTTTGCAACAACAATTATAATGTCTGATTCATTCAATACATATGAAAATGATTTTCAATTAGCTTTGCAAGAAGCTAAAAGTAAAATTGCACAAATAGAATCCGTAGAGGGAGGTATGTTTTAACAGAATTAATTGTAATTCAATTAATTCAATTACTAACTCAATTTAGAACAACGAAAAACGTATTTAAAATCAATTGAAGCAGCTAATGATGAAGCATTAGAAGTATTAGATCAAATGAGTATAGAAGTACAAAATCTCCCAAGTAATCAAAGATCATCATATAATACAAAGATTCGTCAATACAAGCAACAAATAGATGAAACTAAAAAGAAATATAATCAATTATCAGATTCTCAAGATAAACATGATTTATTTGGATCCAGGTATAGAGATGAAGAAGAAAATATAGGAGATTCACAAAGAAAACAATTATTAAATAATCATTCATCATTAGAAAGATCATCACAAAGATTACAAGATAGTCAAAGAATAGCATTAGAAACTGAAAGTATTGGTGGTAATATTTTAAATGATTTAAGATCTCAAAGAGAACAAATTTCTGGTGCAAGAAATACTTTAATGCAAGCTGATTCTTATGTTGATAAAAGTATACAAACTTTGAAAAGTATGGGAAGAAGATTAACTGCTAATAAATATATAAGTTATGGTATTATTGGTGTTTTAATCTTATTAATATTTTTAGTTCTTTTTAGTAAATTTAGATAATTTTATTCGTTAATATACAATTTTAATTTGACTATTCACTTGGTACAAAGTAGATTGTTTGGTTATGTACTTGCTTGTGATAGATCTATTTCAGTATTAAACGGCTTTAAAAATTTAATGCACAGAAGAAGAAAAGAAAGAAAAAAATATTTATTTTCATTTTAAATCAATTAATCAAAAGCATCATAAATATTCTAAAAACCACCAACATATTTAATTCAAATGATAAGAAGGAGCATATCTCAGTTATTGAGAAGCACCAATAACACACGAATAATACCAAATTCAAGTCGACATTTTATACAGCAATATCAGCAACCACTACTCAAAAGATTTTTAAATTCTACATCATTTCTAAATCATGGTCACTTACACAAACCAAAACCAGGAGAAGAACTTCATATAACATTTATAACAAAAGATGGACAACAATTAACATATGAAGTAGCAGAAGGTGATAATATATTAGATATAGCTCAAGCTCATAATTTAGATATGGAAGGAGCTTGTGGAGGATCATGTGCATGTTCAACTTGTCATATAATAGTTGATCCAGAATTTTATGATGAAATTCCAGAACCTGATGATGATGAAAATGATATGTTGGATTTAGCTTTTGGATTAACTGAAACTTCAAGATTAGGATGCCAAGTTAAAATGACAAAAGAATTAGATGGATTAAGAGTTGCATTACCTGCCATGACTAGAAATTTACAAAATAAAGATTTTAACTAAAAGAGCCAAAAGTTGATTTAAAGAAAAAAATTGATATTTTATGTACATAGTTATTTATCATTTATGCTTTATTGAGTCAATTGAAACGATAAAAAATTGGGGAGTTGCTTTTATAGAAGAAATTTTTAACTAAACGTTGTTAGATTATTTATTTACATTGTTAAGAAAGGCGTAGTTGATGATACCCTCTCAGAAAATCTAACTGATTTGGTAAATTGATAAAATTTTACTTGTTTCTGTTTACAGCCTAGTAAATAAAATCTCGGATCTTGAATTTTCTCGATCCGACGAATAGAATTAATTTTGCAACCAATATTTCTTTAAGTACTTTAAACCTCAACAATTATGTCAATAGATCATAATATTGAAATCTTTCATATACTTTACGTAAATAGGGCTCACTACTGATCAAAAAGGTTTTGGGATATGAATTCTATTACAATCTATGATGTTCTATATAAATTAACTAGGAAACACTTGGTAAATCTACCCTTTTACCAACACAAAAAGATCTACTTAAAGCATTTAAACTAGTTTCATAATCAGGTATTATACTGTATTGATCTTCATAAGCATCAATCGCATGGAACGTGTTATAATCGTGTTTATTTGCAGTTTCATACATTAATAATTCAAGTGAGTTTGGCAAAGCATCGACTCCGTTATTTGAATTTATTAATTTTTCAAGCAGTTCTTTTGGTATATGGTTGTCACTTAAATCTATTTCAATTAGATTTGAATGTAGTGTTTTGGATTTAGGATCGTGACCTATCATTGACATATTGAAATCTGATAGTTCATTTGAACATAAATTAATTATTTGTAAATTTGTTGATGATCCTTTTGGAAATGATAAATTTAAATTGGAAGTATTGTTAAATGATAAGTCCAAACTTTTTATATTATAGTTCCTTCTAAAGTCGTACGTTATGGAAGTGAAGTCATTTTCTGATAAAATTAAACTTTCCAAGTTCTTTAAGTTTGATATCTGAGTTGGAATTTTGGAAAATTCATTTATTGATAAATTTAGATTCAATATCGAGTTTGGCAATTTTGTCTCACTTGAAAATGTTTTAATTCTATTTAGTGATAAACATAAATACTTTAATTTTGAACAAATATAATGTTCTTTTTCACAATCTAAATGAACTTCTTCAATCAGACACCCAATAAAACTTAATTCTTCAATACTTGGTAATATTTTGAAATCTAAATTTGGAATATTGCATCTATCCAAATTCAAAATTTTCAAAGTATTACTATTTGGTAATTTTAAATTAGCCATATTATTAATTTTATTATAATTTAAATATAATATTTCAATTCTCAATATTTCACCTCTATTATTGGTAGATAAATCAACTTTTGAAATCAAATTTTCAGTAAAATGAATTGTTTTTAAAGTAATGGGGAAATTTGGTTTATAAACTATTCTTATTTTATTTGAACCAATACCTAAATTTACCAAATTTTGAGGAAATTTAATTTGATCAATTGATTCAATTTGATTGACTTCTAATGATAATTGCTCAATTGAGTCTGGGAGATTAATCAATGGTAAATTTAAACCAATATGAGTATTTGATAGTTTCAAATATTTCAAATTTATAAAATTTTCAAAGTTTTTGGTACAATTATGCCAATCTATTGGATTATCTGCTAAATTTAAATACTCAATCTTGTCAAAACTTGAAAATTTTCTTATTAATCTTGACAAATTGTCAATTTCATTATTTGAAAAGGTGACTTTTTTCAATGTATCATTGAATTTGAGATTATATAGCAGTTCAGGGTCATGAAGATTTTGAATACATAATTCTTGCAATGCAGAAATTTGAGGTATGACTGGTAAGTTTGATGTAAAAGATTGATAAGGGTGGTTTACTTTAATATGAGGACCTATAGTATCTCTCGCATGTAGGTATATATCAAATGCAATCAACTCAAATCTCACGGTGAGGTTTTTGTAAGTAGAATTAATTAAAGTGGAAATAGTCTCAAGATCGACGAAGTTAATTGTGTCTAAGGTCAATGTTGCAATTTGGTGGCGTATGCAATTAGTAATATTAATATCACTTAGTCGTAGATCTTGTACAGTTGGTGGAATTTCATCTATATTTAAATAATCTTCCACGATTAATTCCACAATATCTCTCTGAATTTTATGTAGATTCAAATATTCTAATTTCAGCTCTTTTAACCCTGTAATTGTAATGTTTTCACAATTATTTAACCATAATTTTTTCAAATTTGGAAATTTAGTTAAATTTAAATCAAACTTTAAATTATAATCATCAATTGTAATTGAATTTATATTGGAGCCAAATTTTAAAAGTTTTTCAAAAATTGAATTTAAAATTAAAAAATATTGAAAACTTGGTTGAAATTCTAATTCAATATTATATTTAATTGAGTCATCATTTTTGTGAATGATCGAAATATTTGTAACTAGTCTTCTAAAATTTATTATATCTATCAAGTTCCAAATATAGTAAGATATATATAATTCAATTTTCAAATTATTTCTCGAACAATAATTATTCAATATTAAAAAATCTTCTTCATTTGATAAAAATGATAAATTTGATTTATTTGTAAAATTCTCAATCCTTAAATACATATGAATATATGAAGGTCTATTAATTCTATTATTATATTGTAAAAATTTACCATTTTCAATTACATGATTAATACAACTTTTTAAATTATGATGTGAATCAAGGAATGGTTGATTCTGATCCGTTAATAAGTTTATCAAATTTTCAATTCCGACATAATCAACAATTTTTATTAAAATTTCATGAGGGTAAAAATCTAGTGTTATTACTTGTTTTAAATTTTGGTCCATATGATTATTTCTGATTAATGAATATTTCGGGTAGTTAGACAATTATTTGTCTTGATTCGAAGTGTTTTAAGGTACCAAATTAATTGATAATAAATTAAAGTAAAGAAAAAAGAAATTATAGGTCAAATGTTATCTTTTTGATCAATTTTCAAGTTATTGTATTTTAGGACATTCAGTTTGCGACAATTTTTTAACTTTTTACAACTGTAAAACAAAAGTATCATCTATGTATCCAATTCGTTATTAATGATTATGTATGTTCCTAGTTTTTATGTAAGTTTTGTACTATTGAGCTTTTTACAGCTTTTTACAAGTCAATCAACTATCAATTCCTGGCTGTTCAGTAACAAATCAATTTAAAAATATGCGTTCACTTTCGTATTAAATTTTTTGGAGTTTAGAATCAGATTATAAACGGACTTGTAAATATATCAAACAAGATTTCAAATAGATCAGTATTTGCTGAGTTAATTAACACATTTTCATAAAAGGGATACATGTCCGCAAAATTTAGGTTTTCTTGATATCAATTGTTACCAAGATAATCAAAATGAAAATAGTACATTCTAGAAGATTTCTTTCATCACCTAATAACACGTAACAGGTCGAAAATTCCTTTTGACCCGTCGAAAACGCTCCTTTTGTAAATCTCTTATGTCCGTACGGGGTAGTGGGAAAAAGAAATTGACATAATCAGAACAGGCCACGAGTTATAAAATAATTTAAGTTCTATTTTCTCCTAATGTGCGAACAGATAAGATAAAATAATAAGTTATTATTTCATGCCATTTGAGTAAGTGATGTTATTATATCACTCCTAAAATTACTGTAATCAGACAATCATAAGATAAGCAATAATATCATTTTAAGAAACGTTGTGATTGATGATACGAACTATCTGACATCACTTAATTTTATTTCTTAGTGAAGTGAAAAAAATAATAGAAAAAAAAAGTTTATTCAACAAAAAGTTAAAAAATAATCTTGTTGAATATTGAGCAAGTTTAAAAAGAAAAGCATGTGGATAGTTTGTTAGTGGTGGCTTCATTTTTGTTTCATAAGTTTCCAATTTGTCTTGAAATAGTTGTTGTAATATTCTATGAGTATTCCAAGAAAGCAACTTAATTATTTGTCAAGATCCCAGGATCTAAATGTTTAAGAGTGAGTGAATATTATTCTTGACAATTTGAAATTATCGAGGGCTTAAAATTCTTACATTTGTATTCGACAGCAAAGAACCCGATTATCGACTTATTAACACATCGTTCAAACTGTTTTTATTGTGAGTGAGTTAAAATGAAATGTTTTTCTAATTGCATAAATTTCTGAAACAACAAAAAAAAAAAAATTATTTGACACATTAATAAATTATTCAAGCCATGATTTTTAAAAAGGAAAGTAAAAAAAGTATCTCAGTATCTCTAAGTAATGTCTTATCAAGATTAGTCAGAGTTGACTCGCTCTTATTACAACCACACTTGCTATCTCAACATTCTTATCATTTCTATCTTTACATTATTATTGTTGTAATCAAAAAATTAATTCGTTTAATGAAACACAAAAGATTAAATTCGACCTTTTTTTTCTGATTCTTATCTATTTTAGAGTTTAATTCGGAAATTTGATTACATTTTTGATTTTGCGCAATTTCGTACTTAATTTGATTATTAATGAATATTTTTTAATGACTTAAACAACACAAATTCAAAAATTAATGAAGAGGAGTAAAAAAATAAGATAAGTTTGAAATTAAGTGTGCTGTTAAAATAAATCACTCAATTTGACTATGACTTTTAAACAATCCATCCAATTGATATAATGAGTGGATCATTAACCTATTGTTAATTGTAAATAATTTGATTTAGCACTTAGTGATTTCATAACTCAATGTAAAGTCGATTTGTTAAAAATATGACCGATTAGGAAATTGATTAAAGTACTATCCAATCACGCACATTGATCTCCGAAAATAGAGTTTTAGAGTAAGAAGTCACAGTAAACTAAATTACTATTTGCTCAATTGTAAAATCGATATGGACTTCGCAAGTAAGGGATAAAGATATGAGTCAATTTAATACTCATATATTCTTGTAATACATCGGTAGTTGTTTAGTAGTTATTTAAATAAGAGTTATAGTAGTTAATTATAAATTATATAGGAGTTATTATTAAATTTCGTTGTAAGGGAAAAAATTTTTTTCAATGTTTTTCATACAAATTTAAAACATAATAATTAACAGATCATTGAAAATTATAGGAGTACTTTAAAAAGGTTGTCTTTAATTTCTTTCAATGTTTATCTTATTCATATTTTAAGTATATGTTGTTAATTACTATATAGTTTCAATACGCGATTAATCATAATTTCATATAATTATAATAATAATAATAACGTACTATTAAAATTAAAATATCTCCATATTTTTCTATTATTAAAAAAATAATTTACATATTTACAAAATTTGAAAATTGGGGAAATTAATATTATTTTACATAGCACAGTATTATTAAATTATTATAATAATACATTATTCAAGTAGTACATACTATTATTTCTTATCTCTCTATCTATTTGAGTAAATCAATTAAATTTAAATAGAAAATCTTTTTATTTTGAGATACGTAATTAGGATTATTAATTATTATGTATTGATCTCTAAGTACAATTGTTACTAATAAAATCGAAAAATAAAGTGTATGATTCTATAAAGAAGTTTTGTTGGTAAAATATTTTCATAAAAATAAATAGATAAGCTGATTAAAATAAAATTAAATTTAACTTAAAAATTTATTGATTAGTCACTTGTTGAATTTAAGTAAGAAGATAATAGAATAAAAGTTACCAATTTAAACCATAGTTACTTTTTTAAAAGTTTTGAAGAGAGTCAAAAGTTAAACATCCACCACCACCATTACTATCACCACCACATTCAAAAAATTTTGATTTCATAAACTGTGTAATTTGAAAAAAACTTCTTAATTCTTAACTGTGTAAATATTTAAGAAATAAGAAACTAGATTCATAGTTATTATATGCAGTATTTTTTTATTTTTTTATTTATTTTTTAATATGCCACAAAGAAAAAAAAATTACTAATAGTTATTTAGTACTACTATTAACTACTATTACTATTATATAAATAAAACATATAAATAAAATATAACCACCACATTTTTTATTTTTACTCACAGTTTTTCTTTTTTTTTTGCAACCAGAATTTTTTATTTTCATTAATTATAAAAAGATCAAAAGATATCATCATTTTGATTTTGATTTTATTAATTTCAATCAGTATCATTAATCAATCATCAATAAGTAATCATTAATATTACTTTACATTTATACCTAATTACCTTTTTAATATATTAATTACATACTATATAAACAAGACAATATAATAATATCACAATGGCATTTACTAATACAACTTTTCAATTTGATCAATTTAATCCATCAATAAATAATTTACAATATCAACAACAACAACAATCATCATCTTCATCATCTTCAACTACTAATTTAAATTCATTTGATGATGAAGATATTTTTGAATTAAATATAGAAGAAGAAATAAATACACCAATACTGCAAAATGATATAATAATAAATAATAACGATATTAAACATTATAATAATTATACAACTTCAACAAATAATAATAGACAATCATCATTATCATCAATAGATTCAATATCATCAAGTTTTTCAAACTCAAATAATAATTCAAATTCTTTATTAATATCACCAATTTTATCACCATCATCTTATAATTATAATTATTCAAGACAATTAGATGATGAAGAAGAAGAAGATCATTTGCTATATGAATGTATAATATGCAAGAAAAAAATGGATTCATTATCAAGTGAATTACATAACTGCACTAAAAATTTATATTCATCAACTAATACAACCACTACTACAACTAATGAATCAAATAATAATGAAAATGATTCAATTATAAAAAGTAATAATGAATTGATTCAAAATAATTATAGAAAATGGTTATTTAAAATCACTCCTTCTTTTCCATATTAAAAAGAAAAGGTTTAATGAGGGATTAGTCACATCTGTTGCTACACGAGGATAATACTTAGGTTGGGTTCATTGGTTAGTTAGTTAAGTTTTAATTCAGTTACAATACTTATTGGTTTGGAGTTTTTGCTATTAGGGATAATTTTTTGTCATGTTTTTCTTTTTTTTTTGCTATACTTGTTTACTTTAGTTAATAAATAAAAAACAATTGCAATATCCAATTATACTCATAAAATCAATACCTGTAGATCAAATCTATTATGCTCTCTAATTTCGTTAATCTCTAATTACACTCTATTTTTCAACTTGTTACTATTTAATAATAAAACACAATATAAAGTCCGAATACGAATAATAGATTATATGCAGTAGTGGAGAAATTAATATACAGTATATTTTTTTTTTAGTTACTCAGTGCTAAGAAAAACGTTACTACAATTTTACTCCAACAAAATATAAAGTAAAAATTATCAACCAATTATAAAACCGAAAGCCTTTTCATCAAATAGGAGAAAGGAAAGCCTAAATTTTCAGAATTAAGGGGAAGCTCTTAGCTTTGATCTGGGATAAATGGATGCTAGATTAAGTATAAATAGACTATTGACTTATATACTTTCCATATGTCTAATCAGGTCTTAATTTCTTATATTAGTGTTTCTCTCTTTCTTTTTTCTCTGTACTCCTCACACGTTGATTTCAATTTTAGTACGATGTCATACATAAATATACAATTAATATTAATACGGCCAAACGGTACGAGTTTTTTTCAAATTAGTGACTTAATTAACAAAGTAAGGTCGTCATGTAAAAAATTATTTTTTACGAAATTGTTGTACGTTTGTTACTGAAAAATTTTTCAATATTACGTTTTAATCAATTTTCATTCAATTTTAGTTCTAATAGTTTCTTTAATTCATCTTTTTTCTCTTTTTTGTAATTGATAAATCTAAACGTTTTGTAGTACTTTACAACTAAATTTCTTGATAGGGCCAAAACTTTTCAATCTAAAATTTTGCTGGCAATTTTTTTGAAAAATCTAATCAACTGGCTTTTCTTATCTTTGCAAATGAAGATCTTGTAAACTTAAATCTACAAAAGATATCATAAAGTTTTGCCAAATTTTTTGTTATCTTTTGAAAATTTCATGATTGTTTTATCATTTGATCGCCATATCTTGAATTGAATGAAAATTTTCCAATTAATCTAGATTTCCCCCTCTTTTATTTTGTGTTTGAATTAAAGTTTCACGAAAGATTTTATTAAATAATAATTTATTATTTTTGTGCCTTGAAATCTGGGGTAAAAAAAATTTGCTTACAACGCACTGAACTACTGAAAAATTTCATATATAAAACTATATATTGCAAAGTTTACTTTTAAGTTAATCTTTGATATTAAAATTTGATTAGATCAAATATCATAGATGATTTACAAGAGATTATTAAAATTTAGTTTAAATCTTAGTTCATATCGTTTCTATAACTTTGTGATGATTTTTCCCCCACATATCTCCAAGCTAAAATTTTACGTTCGGAAAACTTAATTAATAAAGAAAAAAAACTTGAAACAAGTGATTAAAAAGTCAATGCGCTTCAGGTATTATTCAAGATAAGCTGATATACATAAATTTCTGAGACAATGATTTGTTGGGCTAGTTTTTTGCCCTTTTAAAATTCTCCTATTCACGAGAGCCAGCCTTAATAGTTGGGTAAAAATCATTTGAACTTATGTAGTACTAACATTAGCACAATTTTGCTGCAGTTTTATGAACGATCGAGCGTTAGCTTCAATAATAAGCAGAATTGTTTCACTTAACAAATGATTCACAAATGTAAAATTTAAGAGAGCTTTTAAAAAGTGAAAACACATATAGAGTACACTACTCGAGACTCATTAAATTTTAAAATCAAGATATGTTGTATTAGAATTACCAAGCTAAGTATTTAAACATCATGTACTTGTAAATCCTTTAAAACACCAATAATAAGAATGAAAGCTCCACAAAACATCATACCTACACCTGCACCACACAAAAATTTCCGTCTTGTTGTATTGGTGGAACTTGACAAGTTTGACTCATTTTGACATAAAGGTTTGTAAGATCCCATTTTTGATATAATTTTATTAATATGTTTGTAATTCTTTTGATCTATTTATCAGCAGTTAGTGAATTAGATTTAACTTGGGTGACACTCTATAGCAGAAGCTAAGTAACAGATTGCAATTCAATTGAATAATTCATCCTTGAGGAAAAACTTGCTTATATATATGATAAACTTTTGAACAATAAAAGCCACTTATCTAAAGATAAAAAAAAGCAAATTTGAATTTATTTTTGTGGTTTATTTTTACCATCATATTTGACAGAATTTGTATGAACTTTCACAAACAATTATATAATTACAATGCTAATAGCCTCGCATATGTAGAGTAAATGCTGCCAGAGTAAAGTGATAATTAGCTCAATTGTAGGAACAGTTGCGTACATCATTGAGATTGTTTTTGGACTTTCACATTTGGTTGTACGGCACAATCAAATTTAGATTTAAATTAAATGCACTGGCTTGGTTAAATCGTAGTATATAAAAGAGGGCGAATTTGTAAATGATACCCCTTGAAGATTAATCTCACACTCTTTCAAGTAGGAGCTAAAGATAATAATAAGTGAACGAAAAGAGAACAAAATAATTTACAGTTTTTGAAAACAGATGTTACAAATACATTATACAAAATACATTCATCTTTTAGAATAGACTATGTCAAAATAGGAATAAATATTTATCTTGCAAAAAAAGGTTCAAAAACGTAGTAAATCATTCAGTCAATAAAAAGATTGAAGAACAATTGATCGAAATCATAGAAGGAAAACATTGAGTTAGTTTTCGAAACATGATTTTGAACATGAAGCAAATACAAATAAGAATAGTCATAATCATTGAGATTTGATAGTTCTATATGAATTCACTAAAGTTCCAAAATTTTTATAGCATTGACCATTCATACACCAAAAACCTAATCCCATATTTTACTTCGCATTTACCATCACTTTTGATTTCATACGAACTCATGCAACAGGAGAACTAACAGAGTCATGACTAAAATGAATGTTTAAACATAATATTTGATAATCAATTTAAGTAAGAAATCAATCAAATATTGTTTAAAGTCATTTTTAAGTAAACTGAAAAAATATAGATCATTTGATTATATTTAAATGATATATTTTAAAAGAATCCTTGTAGTCATGAATTCTCTAAACATTTGATATCACTTTTATGAACCCAAAATTTCCCAGTAAAAGTCATCTATCTGTTAAGAATAATTATGAATAACTTTAGAATTATAAATTGATTTAAAAATAAATATGAGAAAGTCATAATTTATTCTTAATGCGATTTGTAGAAATTTGGTTGCCTATTTATATTTTTTTTGATAAGAAAAAAATGTTACACATAATCAAGGAGAAAAATCACCAAAATATTTAAGGCTTGTAAATTAAAAATCAATTAATTAATAAATAATTAGTCTTTAACATTCCTATCCGATTTTCAGTAAAAAGTCGAAACAGATTGCAAGAAACCGCCTTAGCAGCAATTGATAATTAGCTTTTCATTCTTGATTAATGTTTTTTTGATTCAATATATTCAACTAAAATTTCAAAATAATCAAAAAAAAAATATTTCACACTCCATTTCTGTAAATATCAATCCTTGATTTTAAAAATAGATTTATGATTGACCATTTCGTTATTAAATTAAATAACAATTATAATAAATTTACTAATAGTATAAATAGCGCGTCTTAGTTTTTAGTAGTAGTATGTATGACCACCTAAATAGATAAATAATGAAAAATCTGAAACATCCCTTTAATAGAGAAGAAAATTATTTGTTTTTCTTTCATCCAAATCGATGTAAAGGCTCAACAAAAGAAGTTAATATAATACTCATCAAAATAAAATGTTATTGTTCCTGTAACTACGTGTAGTTTAGGCTGAAGATTTAACACATTAATTTAATTAAAATTATAAAATTTCTGATAATTTTAAACAAAAACAGTGTAAAATTAATGAATTTGTATATTAATCCCAAGAATTAAAATGTTTTTGATGAAAAGTTTAGTCTTTTTACCTTTTGCATGTAGTTGAGTCTTAACTCGAATGACAATAGAGAACAAATCCTTGTAACCATTTGCCATTAAATATTTCTGTATCATATTTACTTCTATATCATGCAAAGAGGGCAGTTCGTAAATAGTAACTATAAAGTCTAATTGACATCTTTTTGTAGGTCAGAGTTATCGACAATAGTAAGTAACAGAAAAAAGGAGTTCAAAATTTACTACAATTTTGATATCTTGTGTTTACAAATACAACATACAGAATACATTTATTTTTAAAATAATATTTATATCTTCTAAATATTTTCAAACAATCATCATCTTCTTGTTACATCAAAATTCTTAATAATTGAAAGAATTTTTCAACTTCTAAATCTAAATAATCAACATCTTCTTGCTTCATCAATAACCAACGTCGAATAAAAAAGTAAAATAGTAAGCATATTATTACTAGTCAATGAAAGAATTAAAAAGCAATTGATCAAAATCAGTGAATGAAAAATTGAGTTAATTTTTGATACTTGATTTTGAACATGAAGCAAAAACAAATAAAAGTAGTCATAATCATTGAAATTTGATAATTCTATACGAATTCACTAAAACTTTAAAAATTGTTCATAGTATTGACCACAAATATGCAAATAATTTAATCGAACAATTTCTAGATATCATTTCTAATTGAGCATCAAGTTTGACATGTTAAATACTCATGTATTATCAATAAGTATCAGAATCATGACTAATATGAAAGTTAAAACGTAATATTTGATTGTTAATTTCAGTAAAAAATCAATCCAATATTTTTTAAGATTCATTTATGAGTAAACTAAAAAAATATAGATCATTTAATTATATTGAAATGATATATTTTAAAAGAATCCTTG